CGCAAAGGGCTACGTGGCCACCCACTAGGGGATATTCAGTTGTTATATATACGTAGGCTTAGAGACAGTTTAAGTTTACATTCCTCGTCGTCTCGTGCGATGGTATAAAGGTTAACATTTTTCTTGATAATTGATCTGCATGATAATCATTCACAGATGTTTACCGCAAGTTCAGAAGTGATAGAATTTAGAGGCACTAGCCAGTAGCCGCAGCCTAATTTACAATTGAAATTTGTCTTGCTGGATGGCGAGAAGATGCAGGTGCGCTGCAGGATACCCTGACTAAAATTCTGACCAAGTAACTAGGTGTTTGCATAAAACACGTGGGCGATCGAAGGAACGACTGTTTCCGTAGGTTCCTTAATTGGCATTCGTTTGATCGACTAGTGTTAGGCGAGAGCGTGGTGCATTCGTCTCCAATTTCTCTCGTTGTCTAGCAATGAGTTTTATGTTAAACAAAGGCGCAGTGATAGGGAGTAATGAACGGAGTCGAGGTTTTCATAATATTAGATATTGCAGAATGCATGTAGAAAACACATCGAAAAATTTATGCATAACAGGAGCTACGTATACGCCTGCCTAAAGAATTCGCACTGAAACAGGAATGTAAAGTTCCTTGACGGTCTGACAACGCCCAAGAAACCGCTTGTGTATGTTACCAAAGGTCCTTGAGTTGTCTCAACGACAACAGTTTTTTAATTAAAGTACAATACGGCACGAACAACTCTTGCAAGTTGCCTCTTTGTTTTCATCAACGTCAGAGTTGAACTTCATTTATTTTTAATTGTTTTTCACTTTACTTAATGACTAGTATAAAATTGCTTATAACTGATGAATATATCTCATTTTAAAATGCATATATTTTATTACGATTTGCTTGTAAAAGTGATCACATTTTTTCAGACTGTTTGAGGGTCTTAACTGTGTCAAAACGTTAAAAATTCACTGTCGAATTAGTCGGGAAAAGATATGCATGTAGCCGGTATTTGATTTTGTAAGGATTGTTGGATTTCTATCGTAAGTTCCCCCGCATTACGCCATCTGTTACCAATTTGCTCCACAGTACTTGACGCGCGGGCGTTCAAATTAAACTTCCGACTTCTAATGATGAAACATGCAGTTACACACGCGTGCGGAACTGGTCCGTGCTTGCAGCTATATAGGTTTTGTCTCATATCATATAATATATATCCTGAAGTGCATGAGCTATTTACATGTGCGATGAATGGATTCTGGTTCCCGCTCAGGTATCAAATCCCGATCATCGTCAAGCTTTGCCATGCACGCAACAAGGAAAATCATTTATGAAAGCTATAGTTGTTTTATTGTAGAAGAATGATAATGATATTGATTATTGACTGCCGGGAATCGCTGAACTAATTGATATGTCTGAATTGATAAAAATACACTGTTATACAAAATGTGTTTGTCAATAGTTCTGGTATAATCAAATAGAAAGTTCAATAAACTGCATGCATTAAACCAGCATACATGCCTCATGTCTTATATAGTTATATACCCGAGATATTACATGTGGTCATGCGTGAACGGTTATATACAAATAATTCTTTATTGAGAAAATATATAAATATATATTTCGCTATAACTATATAGCTACACCAAAAATGATAACATATACATATATATATATATATATATGAAATAGAATATCTGATCATCTTACCTTTAGACATTCACCGTACCGCGTGAAAAATAATAAAAGGAGCGTTCTTAACTTGGTCTGTAAGCCAGAATATCTCTTTGCTTTCTGCTTACTCCTTATATATACGTAAGCGACCAAGGAAAGGGCGCTATTATGGAAAGTTTTTCAAACATGATAGGCTTTTTAATGAAGTGAAAAACGAATAGAAAGTTGTTGTTGTTATTCGGGTATACTGAATTTAGCATTTGATGGAAGCCATTTGTATAGTAGACAAATTACTTTTTTTGGGATAATTTTTAAAAAACAATTAATAGCCCCCAAAGCAAAAAGATTGACGTATAAAGTACTATATACATACAGTACAGATATGCAATATTTAATCGTTAGAAAGCTTTACTTTACTTTACTAGCTTGCATTCCGTTAATGGCCAAAGTCAATTAAGATATAGATCATGCACGCATGTATTCAAAAAAAGGTCGAATTCAATTCTATATTTAAACGGGTCATAGATGTATTGATTATGCTTTATGTCTGCTTATACTGTCAAGTTCAATAGCAAACCTTGACGTTTTTATATAGTCAAATAATTCAAAAATATCTACGCTAACTATTTCAAAGAAGTCGCATAATCAAAGCCACACCCATTGTGATGAAAAACAGCTCGAGGAAATTAAGTCAGCATATATAAAAAAATTGAAAAGCTGATACAAGGACATGTTTTCTTTTCTATTTTGGTAATAAATTGTTGTTTATCACAAGCGGTGTGATAAATTTTCCTCGAAATTTTCAGTGCATGATATATAATATGCTATCATTCTTTCGTGAGCGTTTTAAACAAGCTATTTTGAAAATGTAAGAGGTTATAAACGGAAAGGAAAAGGCAGGAAGTAAAAGAAAAGACATAGGAGACTTGAAAAGGTCTTGCTGAAAAAAAGCTTGGTGCGATCGAAGACGATAATAATTGATAATTTTGTCAAATCACAACAAATGCCTCCCAATCGATATAGGTATAGCCTTAGGCATAAGTATATCGCTTTCCTGTTTTCGCGCACTTTCATGAGCACATGAAGCTGAAAGGCCCATTGCAAAAAATCACTTACTGAATTAGGGCCTGTTTACATGGAGCGAGTTATCCGGCTGGCTAGGCGAGGTGAAAACAGCATATAATGAAAACTGCATATTTTTATTAGCTTCCGAATTTATTCATTGGCGAGTCTGAGATAGTAACTAAAATAGTATTATAGTTCAGTTCCGCATTCGACTATAGTTTATCACTCTGTATTGTTCAATACTCCTATACTAGATGAGATCGCCGTATTTTAAAAAGGGTTTTCGTTTACATAAACGTAGGGCCAATCATACCATGCAGGCGGGATCTCACTTTTGATTATTTGAGATCCGGCTCCCCTAGAGCGGTTGGATATATTCCACTTAGGCAAAGCGGGGAGGGTTGGACCCCTGTATAGCAAAAGGGACTAGTATATTTTCTTATGTAAACACAAATGATGATGTGAAACTAACTCTTATAATCACGTCATTGATATACATGTAAATTAGGACTCACCTAAATCGGTGAAACATTTCAAATCAACATTCTCCTCTTTCTTTGCGAAGGCTAATAACGAAATGGGGAAATAATCTTGTCAAAGGTGAAAACATACATTCCAATTGCTGCATGGAAAGTCACTTAATCAAAATTTTGCCACGTTTCTCTGTACTCTAATTGATCATAGACCCACTCCTGTACATCACATTAGCTCTTCAAACATCTAAGTCAATATATACATCAAACTAATTCTCTTAAATCAATAAAAAGTAGAGCTTCAGAACACGCTCCAATATAACATAATATTCCATCCAATTTATAATTATATGCATGCTATTGAGTTACGAAGAATTGTACACGTCAACCTGAAGGAATTATAGATAAACTCTACCTGCTTTTAAACTAAACTTTATAGTTTTTTCTCCTTTCCGTCTTTAGTGAAATATTTCCCGATATTTTTTCTTTCTTTTCCGTTTGCAAAGCAGTCTTGTCGTGGAGACTATAAATCACCGTATCTGGCCTTTTTCAGTGGAAACACAAGTTATAAACTATACCGGAAGAGGCTGTTTTCCAATGAAAATGCTTTTAACTTCTTGGAAAAAAGCTTTAATCGTGCCTTAAAATCACGAGATAACTTGTATATTGTAATTTAGTTTAATTTAACCCTAGGACAGTTCGAGGAACGGCTGCGTTTGGAATTGATTGTCATGAAATGTGAACTTTTTTGGGTAAAAACTTCTCTAGGTATATATAATTTCATTCTCAGCATAACCTACAATTGCATAGCATTGCTTAACAGTAATGAATATGTCAGCCCTCAAGGTTGCACAATCCAGTCTGATCGATTTCACCTCCCACTCTTTCTTGAACGCGGGAAAATTTTGTAATGTGCCTTATAATAATGCCTGCTCGTATATTAATCACTGCATTTTAAAACATTATTTATAAAAACTAGAATTACTAAAGTATCATGATAAAATGCAAAGCAATACTCATTACTCAACATCATTGCGAAATCGATCTTTTGACTATGCTAATGTCACCATGAGAATGCATGCTTTCACTTGAACTCCTTCACAAGCCTTTAATTTAGAAGATATCAAATTTATTATAATAGGTGGGTGTTGTGAACTTTAAAAAAAATAGATAAATAAAGTATAAAGGGGAATATCATGCACGATGGGTCAGCATAGGAAATTAAAAGCATTTACCAAGGAATGCGCGTAGGTTGATGGAATGTAGTATTTATCTTGCATTGACGTTCGTTTGTGTGGGATTACTGATGGGATAGCGCCCACATGCAAACGATTTGGTCAACTGGGAGCCACGAACCTACGCAGACTACATATTGTGAACGCCGAAGCCAATTATTTAAACTTTTTTTTCATTCCCACGCATGAACCCTTGAACATGCATGCATGATCAATTGCATAAAATTTCACAAATTTTCAAGCGAAATGTGAAATATTTCGCCTGCTTCTTTTGAATTGTGAGCAACAAAACAGAATCAATATATTCTAGAGGTCGAAATTCAAAAGAAACAGGCGAAATATTTTGCATTTCGCTGAGAAAAAGCGCCCGTGGAATTAGGTCCTTACTGACCTTAGCCTATATTTCATGCTTCCTCTTCGGGGCAGCATCGACGGAAGACAGCTGGTTTGGTGTCTTCTCTGAAGGCGAAGAAAATGAAAGTCTCGAAATAAGATTTATTCACAATCGTTCACAGTTCGAATTTATAAACTGTTGTATTCCGCAAATTTTGGATAAATATATTGGTCTTAATCGTGATTGGGCTTACTACCTACTGCTTACTTAACGTAATATAATATTGTAATACTCTGATGCTTTTATTCAAGCCAACTATTTACAAGTAAAACGAAAGGAACTGCACAATAAAAAATATAGTTCGTTAAATAGACTGACTAATTTATGGGTTATCTGCCGGAAAACTAGCAAGAAGGTCACCTTTTGTTTGTTTTCTGTGCGTCACCCGGGATCATGCACAGACTCTATGGACTATAAAACGATCAACTATTAAACCATGTCCCTATATTTTAATTTATCAAATTCAGTCCCACTAAAATATTATGCCCCCCTGCAATGACCCCAGTGGTTAGTATTCACCTCATACGTCATGTAATAGCTCTGTGAAAAACGGTTTTGAGCTAGCTTGTATATTATTTACAATGTAATTCTTTCTCCACAGTTTCCACAAAACTTATCATTTTCCTGGAATTTATGTCCACAATTTGTGCAATAGATTTTCTTCGCTTCACTCGTTCGTAAAGTCCCGTTCTCTGCGAATTCTTTTTCTTTTTGAACATTCTTGTTGGTATAAGGCGCATGCGTGTAAGGTACAAGAGTATGTGGGTTTCCCTTCACCCGCGCTTGGGGCGGGGGCGGGTGTGGGTAGGTAGGATATACTGTCGTCATTCGAATATTGTGTTGTAAATTCTCAGCACTGTGTAACATTGCACGTTCGGGTGTATACCCGGAATAGAGTACAGGTGAAAGTCCAGGGTTGGGCACAAGAGGTATGGGAGCATGCAATGGAGTGGGTCCCTCGTTCTCTAATATACATTCAATAGCTTGCACCACATTTCCCCCACATCCCTGAAGTATACGACCCAGTACATCACGGCCGTGACCAGGGAACGCTTTACACATCACATCAAGTGGCTCTGGTTTAACTCGTTTCGGTAAAGCCTCTCCATCCCACCGTCCTGACCGCTCGGATAGAAACGGCGAGTCTACGCTATGTGGTCGCTTCCGACTTGTTATGCGTTGTGGAGGTGAGATCGACCTCGGTTGAAGCTCGGGATCCTCCGGAAGATCATCCGTACTTTCAATTTCGATTTTCACTTCAGTTGTGTTGTCCGCTGACAGACGTTTTTGTTTGCCTGTCACCTCGTCGGAAGAACTGGGTTCCTGTATTGGTGAGGTTGCGGTATCTGAAATGTCAACACAAAACGAAAGTCTTTTGTTTGTCCACGTTTTAACCACATGAAAGAGAATGATCTTCAGGCATTGATGGTCTATGAGTACGAACCACATTAGGTTTCAATGCTATCTTTTTATATCGCATTGTATTTACAAAAACAGCTAACTGTATTTACAAAAGCAGTTGAATTTGGCTGATTGTGTTGTCTTCATATTTTTTTAACAAATCACATCTGGCGACTCTCCTGAAGGAATATACGACAGCACAGGACGAGCTTTTCAACCTAACCTAATTCAGCCAATTCGCTGATCATTAATACTGCCTATTCGTGGTAATTTCGACTCGCAATTAATACATTGCCAGCCTCGATAAGAAGATAAACTAACCTTGATTGGCGTCTTCTGAGAATTGAATAGCTGCAACAGAAATCATTGATGGTCTTTGAAACGCACTTGGACTTGAGACGAACTCCTCAGACCTCCACTCGGCGGCCATTCCTTCCTCCATCTCGCCATCCATTATCGTGCCTTTGTCGTAGCCTTTACGCTGCTGTCGTAAAAGCGCAACCCTTGCTGCTGTAATTCGCTGACGCTGTGTGATCACGGTACACTTTGCGCACGTGCAGTCGCGCCATTCACATAGATGTTTATGGCCTTTGAGCCAGGACACTGTACCGTGTGTACGACAACGTGCACACTTTGGTATACGGTGATTTAATGGGTCGTTTAGAGATGGATCGTCGTCATCAGGAACATTAGCTTCTTCGTGTCGGCTGACTCCAGTCATACTGTATAAATGAAAAAAAAATATATATAGTGGCATTGTTTGGTTACAAACATTGACGCGCATTGTTCTATAAATCCAAGGAGTCCACAGCGTGCCAAGATAACACAGCATTTTAACGTGCAGGAAATACTGATAGAAACAAAATTATTCACATCAACTGTTCACTTGTTTATGTTAAAATGGGATAAATTACTGCGATATGCATGTTCCTTCCTGCTTGAGCACTGTGCTATGATTTAACTGTGTTCTTCGTTGGCCAGAGATGTTTAATATGTGTAGTTGAAACGGATTTTACAAGCGTATCAGCTAACCAATTGCACTGCTATCATCCAATGTTTTGTCTGGGTTTAAACATAAGTAACTCCTATTTAGCATTAGGTCTTTCATATTTCGTCCGGCTTTAAAACTGTTTCCTACCACAGCTGTTCATCCATGACTTGAATGCTCATTTAAAACCTTACTATTGGTTTATCAGGATAATACGAAGACACGTGACGGGATGGAGGAATTTTTTTGATAAATGCATGCAACATAATTTGAGAAGCAAGCAATGTTCGTAACAATCCTGACAGCCAGACAGTTTGTAGACGACACACAAAAGCATTCTGTGCTGAAAATCACGCATAATCATAGCTTGTTATTGCAGATGGACATTTTAATATATGCGCGGTATCCAAACCACTTTCGAGCAATAAAAGTTATATAGCCATTTAAACCTTTTCCTTTGAAAATATATACTTTTATTATCCACATACATATATATAAGCATGCCTGCTGTTTATGAGTAGTACACTCCTGATGCTTCTTCATAAACAGATTACAACTAACTGAATTCATAAAGCCTATACAACACTTTCAGTGGATTAAGACATAGATTCAATAATTTCATGAATGAAAGGCGATCGTATAGTGAGGAATATTATGGTCTAGTATATCGATTAGGTAGCTTGTTGATGTACGTTTATAAAACACAGAGATCGTTGCTGGTTGAGCAGTGAGATTTTTTATGGTATATTTAAGATTATCGTAATCATAGTATATATTTCCTTGTGAGTTATGTATGCATTTCATGGGTAAAGATACTATACATTATTACCACGCAGGATCGAAATGAAAACAAATCATGATTCATTCATACGATAACTTGTGGTTTACTAGACATACGAACCTAATTTTATGTACTATCAAATTTGTTGTTAGGTACAGTAGTGCCATTACATGTAGCAACACTGTCTTATCTTTGAACAAGTATTACCGACTTCTGTTATTCTTGATATATTGATGCTGATAGCTTTTGTTTTGATGTTATAATCCCCACGGCTTGACTGTACATTTGTCTTGAACGTTTGTACATTTTTCGCTCAAATAACTAATACTAACCTCTGTTAATGACCCTAATATATTGGCTTTGGTCTCCAAAACAATTCTTCATTCAATACGTAGAAAATACTTGCGTTAACCGGCTGATATGTTGCATTTATTTTTTTAGTATTACATTACCAGTTCAAGCTGTATGTCTGAATGTATAATGTACGTAATATCACTTAAGGACGTACATTGACGTCACTACGCATGCGCTTTATATAGTGAAATAATTCCAGATTTTCTTTTCAATCAGGGAAGAGATTAACTTCGGTGGACAGAACTGGTTTTGACTGTTCAAGGGCATTACCCACGCATAGGAATTTATCGCTTATCTTGAGTTGTTTCAATGATGACCGGCTTCATCTTCTATAAATTATACTGAATGCAACGTCGTATTGTTCTTTGTGTTGTATAGTTTCCACACAGGATGGTCAGTATAGTTTCAAAAGTCTTCAAGTGATGTATAATTCTGTGGGTATAGAGGTCTAATACGTTGCGTATAGAGGGCGAAATAAGAAATAAAAACTAATTCACTGGCGCAGTTGAGACGTGTCTTAGTTGAATAGGGTGTGTTGTGGGTTTTACGGCATCGCTTGTTGACTTTAAAGTGTCGTACAAAGAAATTCTGTTCCCATCCTTGAGTTGTTAAGAGCCCGACTTTGTCGGATCCGGATTCAATTCACTTCTGACGTATGGAATGCAGTTTGTTATTCATAAAGCAATACTGCATTGGCTTTAGTTGATTTATATATATACATGCACTGCAAGTGCAAGCCAAGGATAGGGCGGTGAGCCAAATAACGATAGCACGGTGGGACGAATAAGGATAGCACGGTGGGACGAATAAGGATAGGGGCCGGTGGGACGAATAAGGATAGGGCGGTGGGACGAATAAGGATAGCACGGTGGGACGAATAAGGATAGGGCGGTGGGACGAATAAGGATAGGGCGGTGGGACGAATAAGGATAGGGCAGTGGGACGAATAAGATAGCACGGTGGGACGAATAAGGATAGGGCAGTGGGAGGAATAAGGATAGCGCGGTGAGAAGAATAAGGATAGCCCGGTGGGACGAATAAGGATAGGGCGGGAGGGGACTTCTCAAGGGACACCCTTTAATTGTAGACTGGACGCGTGCACGGTGCTTTTTTATAGTTTTTATTTTTTTGTAATGATTTATATTCCCAAGTTGAATTACGTGTTAACATGTTACACGATGTGCACCAACTAATAAATGACCATATATTTCTTGTGCTCAAAGTTAGCTTGATTCTTCAACAAGCCTGAATGTCAAGAGTATGAAATATTTTTCTATGAGGATCTATTATTGGCATAAACATGTCCCTCAACAAGAATACTACAAATTAATGACTTATATATTACGTGTTATTTAACGTCCACGGGTGTTGGACAAATTTATTTTGACAATTTACTACATACAGTTTGCATAAGGAGAGTCCTGGGATTTCACAGGACATGGACAAGTTAGGGTAAGTGGTGCATTCAGCATCACTGGATGATATACATGGTTTTGATGGGGTAATCCGGGATGATGATATATTGGCCCATGTACAACAGAAGATCTGTAGATACCAACTGGACTACGTGGGCTTGTTGATCTAATGCATACTCGATGAGGTTCTGGGGATGAGTGAGGTGATGATGACCTCATCTTACTCTGCCTCGATGGCAATTCGTCATCGCCTAATTTTCGCATAAAACTTTCGTATTCATGATGGAAACTTTCAAGGTTTTGTGTAATACCCCTGTCCTGCTTGCTTGGTTTCTGGTCGCGGCGGGGTGAACGGTTCCCGGGGCATACGTGGTGGTAGGTATTCTCGTAGTGAGGAAACATTCCCCGGTATTTCATATGAAGCATTTCATTATAGTAGGAATCACCGGCAAAAGTCATTATTCGGTTTTCTAAAGAAGTCAGAAATATTTGACACTGAACGAGAGCTATCCAGTCAACTAGGAAGCTAGAGATTTCTGAAGCTTACCTGGCAATGACTGATCAGTGCAGGAGGCAGGCATATGTCCCATCATACCCCAGGCACCAGGCAAGCCAACATGATAGGAATTTGTTCCCATTCTGTATGACATTCTCCTCTTTCTCTCACGCCTTAGGACAGCGACACGAACAGCCGTCACACGTCGCTTCTCTGTCACCATCATGCACTTTGAGCATGTGCAATCTTTCCATTGACACTGTCTCTTATGACCGCGGACGCTTGCAAAGATATTGTGACAACGGCATCTAGCACATTGCGGAACGCGACGTTTTCGTTTACTTGCCATCTCCGACCTAAAACATTTTTTTAACCCGTTACACAAAACATCATAAATCATCAACTCCTCCGAAAAACCGCTCATTATATAAACACAACTGCTGGGATACCCAACCAGATGGCAATGTTAAAACTTTGTTTACAAGGCTTCGGTAAATTCATTCAAAATGCATGGTGGACATAACGCTATAAGCTCTTAAACCAGCCGTGAAAACGTTTTCCTTTTGGTTACTATGAATACGGTATGCCTTAGTCATCAACTGTATGACTTTACATCAGATTGGCTGACTTCACATCAAACTGATTTTTGGCACAATCATCAGTAAAATACTTTAACAACGAGTTTACTTTATTATGTCTTCTGAGAAAGTGAAACAACTTTCCCAGTTTGAACATCACAGTTTGAATACTAATTTTCAACTAAAGCATTGATGGAGACAACTGACGTTGAGAAATGATACTAAAAACCCAGCGCATGGCCGTTTTTGAAGAGAGGTTTCGGCATTGTTCTGATTGTGTTCGCCACAGCAGCCTTAACCGTTTCTAACATTTCCGTTTTTTAATTATTCTTCTCGGAAGAGCACTGGATAGAGTGTCTTTTAGAAAGGAATGAAGTAACACTGTATGTAGATTGCCAGGGACTGTTGAGGATGCATGATACCTCTTTGTAGACCAACTGTCGGATTAAACACTTGGTTCAGTGCACGAAAATTTCATTCCTGTGTTATCTGGGAAATGTTACTGGTCACACATATATTCCTCCGATGTGAATATATTTAAAGAACGCGAGTTTCTCGCGATAACTACTGAAGTAGTTAAAATTTTTTGAAACATATGTACATTTGTACTTTGGTGAAACACGTTTCTAATCTTCTACCTCAATTACACACTTTCTTAAAACTATATCTCTGATTAAAAGCTGATAATCTCTTTCTCGTTTTTTCCCTAATAATCTATCGCAATAACCTTTTCCAATTAAGATAATATTCTCCGCGTTCTCTTCCAAAAGTAGGCTGTCATATTTCAAATTATCACGAAAGACTAGTTTTACCAATAAAACATTCAAATCTTAAATCCTGAAGGTGTGAACATAGTGTGTACCAAATCTCACCTGTATTCCTTTCAGGACGATTAAAACGCGTATCCAAGCCTGTAGCTCTTCTCAAAATGTTTTAAAGATTGCGTGTCACTGAATGAGTTCGTTGCAAAGCCTGTGACATCGTTGTCTATTTAAAACTAATTAGCTATTCGTTTTGTCTCAACCGATTAGCCTTCAAACATTGCACATGTTTAAGAGAGCTATTAAGGCGGGCTCTTTGGCAACGTTATTAGCTTGAGGGTTACTTCAATACACGTGCAACAGCGAGTGTTTAACAGTGAATAGATAATCAGCTCTGAGATAAATGTGCGTAGTTTATACAATAATAGGGGGGGGGGGAAGTACTGTCGTGGCCAGATTCATTTATATATAGAGTAAAAAACCTGACGTTTTAGACCAAAAGTAATCGCCGTTTGTGTTGGTGAAGTAGGTAATAACACTGGAATAAAAAAATTATCCTTACTGCACCTCTAGGAAGAACAGTTTAGAATTGATAGAGCTTTTGGGTATAAATAAAGTTTAATTAGTTTAGGTTTCCTCCTTTAGTAACACTGGATCAATAAAGACAGTTTAGAACTATATAGAGCATTTAGTATAAATTAAAGTTAGTTTAGTTTAGGTTTCCTTCTGTAGTAACACTGGATCAATAAGAGATGATCCTTACTGGACCTCTAGGAAGAACAGTTTAGAACTGATACAACTATCCAATATAAATAAAGTTAGTTTAGTTTAGGTTTCCTTCTGTAGTAACACTGGATCAATAAGAGATGATCCTTACTGGACCTCAAGGAAGAACAGTTTAGAAGTGATAGATTTATACAATATAAATAAAGTTAGTTTGGTTTAGATTACCTCCTGTAGTAACACTGGATCAATAAGAGATTATCCTTACTGGTCCTCTAGGAAGAACAGTACTAGTTTAGAACTGATAGAGCTATCCAATATGAATAAAGTTAGTTTAGTTTAGGTTACCTCCTGTAACACTGGATCAATAAGAGATGATCCTTACTGCACCTATAGGAAGAACAGTTCATAGAAACTAATTGAACTACGATTGTTAGTATTTCTGGACCAGTAGAAGATTCAGTTTTGACTCCTCCTCCCCCCCCTGCAGAACATAGATGAAAATACTAAATAAACTAAGGACCCAATATTTAAAATAGACACACAGTCTAAATAAATAGCTCAAATTGTTTTCCTTCGAAGTTAAACACGATCACACGTGTGTACATTGCTATAAGTCAACACTTCAACCGATGCTTTTAATATATTTATAGCGAATCTTTTTGCCACATAGTAATTTTTAAGATAAGAGGCGAAAAGGTAATCGAGAAAACAATGCCTTAAAACGCCGTACAGATCCTAACGGTGGTATTATAGGCAATTACCTTTGACAATTGCAACTAGGCATTTTCAATTTTTCAATGAAAAATTGAATGAATAATGCAACCTACGCGTCCCAAATTAGTTAATAGCAATGATTGCATAATCATATTAAAGCAACTGCATAATTTAATTTACTCTTATTGAAATGCAGCCATTACGAACATAATTTACTTGAAAGAGCTAACATAGATTCGAAGATAACTGAGGAACAGATTAGAGTTCATGGCGTCAATACACAAACCATAGACAATTCATACGCGTATGAAAACCGTTTCCTCAAAACATCGATGAAAATGACCTGCGCAATGTCTCGCCCTTTTTAGTTATCCCTACGAAAAAAAATGTTCGCCATGAAAGGCTCTTTTGCGAAATATTCGTTTATTTGTTTCACATTTTACTGTAAACATGATAAAAATGACTTTGTGTAAATTTGGAGGGGGTTAAAATCCGCCTGATTGTCTGGCTTCCTAACAAAACAAGCAACCATATGGAATCATCTGGTAGAGTAGCAGTAATTGCTTTCTTAAACAATAAATAAACGTTTGGGATAATAATAATAATTTTGCCATCCCAATAGTTAGTAAAGTTCACGGGAGGTTTAAACCTTTTCATGAATTTGCAATTAGGTTTGTTACTGTTTTCTTTCATCGACAATATCAGGCAACGCGTGCAGGTCGTATATGCAAAAAATCTATGATCCTTTAAACACATTTACCATATGTGCCTTGGCTGTGGCTTTGCATGGGATCACATATACCTTCGTTGTCGTCTATTCCCCCCGCAATTACATTCACCTGAAACTAAGTCGTATTTGAATGTAATTTTCCGCAAGGATACTCGCAAGATGTTTTCTAAACGAATTACTTGTTCAATCGTTTACTGAAATTCTTACTCACGAAACGATAAAAGTTAGTATTCAGTTTGCAAACTGAAAAAACCACATGTGCAGATACTGTGGAGTTAGTGTGGACTGACACACAGAAAGAATCTGAGTGGACTTTTCATAAATGCCGTTGCACGTTCAATGTTATGACAAAAAGGAGCCATCTCGCTGATTTGAAATATTCAACAGACCCACTGACGCGTGGCCTATAATTTCTAGCGGCCTTAATGGTTCGTCATTGTGACTTATGACAGTATCACTAATCAGCAGTAAGCATAAAGACGTGCCTGAATTCAGAAATAATCTAGATTAGCAAGGTTTAAAATTAGTAATGTTAAAATATTAAACTTGATATTTATTTACGAGCTCTCTGGCGTTGTTGACCATAAACGCTATATTTGAATATGTCAGATGTAACTTAGAGATTCATCGCTTTAAGTTTTGTCACGAAAAATTGACAGTTCAACATACAAACAGTGAAACAGCCATAAACAGCTGTTCTTTTTTCCTGCAAATAGCAACTTTAGCGCTACGAAATTCAATGCCACACATAACGAAATAAATACACGCTGAAGATCTGTAACCAAAAGGTCCCCGCGTGGAATTCTCTGAGCTGTCAGTGATAAAATTAATTTAATTTAAATATCGCGCGTGCGCAAATTAAGCCAGTCCCTATCCATTCATGACGTCATGGTAACCGTGAGCGTGGCATGGGATGGGATGAACACAGTCGCTTGGAGGACAATGCAATTGATATCGTTAATGTTGCTTTGTTTCATAGATTTTACGAAAGGCAACTCGAAGAACATTCCTTCTATATACAATTGCAAGGCTGATGGACATAATTTTGATTGTAGAAATCATGGCTTTCAAAATGTTCCTTACGACTACTTCTACGGCCATTTTTGCGTCCGTCGCATGTGAGTTTGATCAATCCGATATGAAATCTTGATTTACAGGTCTGTCCTAGCATAGCGCACAGCTGTATGACGAAATATTGTTTTTGGGTACTTTTCAGCCACCTCAGTGAAAACCCGTACATTTGCGACTGCAGCTTAGTCTGGTTCCTGCGTGAGCATTCTAATCGAAGAAAATGCATTCCAGATCGTCTACAAATGCAGTGTGCATATCCTGAGAAATTGCGGGGAAGAAATATAACAGAATTAAAGGAGGAAGAGATTTGTGATACCGGTGAGTAAAACAAACAATGAACAGGAATGCTAATGCATGATTTTCCAGGATTACCGTATGCGGTACCGTGTAGACTTGTAGTGTAAATCAGCATCGCTGTTTTCTTATTCAAATTATCAATATTTTTATCAACCTTTTGCTTTTGTATTTTACAAAAATGTTGGATAAAAATTGTGCAAGAATCTTCGTCATGAAATGAATTATATTTTTCATACCATAATATATGATTATAGTCATAATGCATGTGGTTCAGGGGTGTGTGAATTAATATTGTGATGTTGCTACACGAGATATGGAAGAGACTATAGGCTTCAGTTCCGTTTTGACCTATAGTAGCTCACTCAAACCAGCTACGACGGGTTTGATACCCATGGTAGTTAAACTAATTTTTCAGCTTGCTTGGTTGCTAACTCGGAGCACTATCACAAGTTCACATTCACAATAATAAACAATAATATGCATAATGTGTTCTTACCTTCCTGTAGCTAAAATAAACTTACTTTTCTTACAGAAAGAGTGAGTTTCAAGAAGGTTTGCAAACCTCCTGCCGGTAGTTCTAATACTTGGAACTGCGAGAACTTGGGATTGGATTTTGTCCCGTACGATATCTTCCATCGAAAAACACGTTTGTAAGTGAACATGTTATATTGCTCTTCGCATTGGTTAGAAAGACGAAAAATATTTTCATTGAAAAATTTTCTCTAATCAAAGTCTTCGCCCAATATCCTATGCAGAGGTTCGCTGGTACATGTCTCCACAGTACAAAACTTCAGATTTAAAAGCTTCAATACATATGTTATGAATATTTGTCTAGATCACTGAGAGGTGAATACATGTGTGACTGTAATATTGTCTTCGTGATGCGGCGTCTGAAGTACGAGTGGGATAGAAACCTGTTACCAAACAATGCCAAAATCAGATGCAAAGGGCCGGGAAAATTTTCCCAGAAGAAGCTCTATACGTTAAAGGAGAATGATGTTTGTCCCCAAAAAGGTGAAATGATACCTTTGAATATTGTATTCCGTCACACGATCGATTGTGCTAATCTTGAAACTCTTTGGCTGCATTTTAGTGTTGTCTGATGCAGATTTATTAACAAACTACAATCCTTCAAATTGAAAGGCCATCGTTGACCCCCCCTGCCCTCTGCTGTTGTAATAAAAGAGGGGTAGCTTCCCCTAGCCGTTCTGCCCTCTAATTTGGCCTCCCTGCTTTCTGATGTAAATTATGATACATGTTATTTATTTGACCGACTATAGAACCAAATGTCTGCAAGGCTCTTCCATGTCCTGTAACCTCGATATGCGAAGTGACTGGGGCGACCTCTTATCGTTGTGCAGGTAAGATAATGATAAGGTTCAGATGCTCAAAACACTATGTTGTATCTTACAATCTATATTCCTATAACCTATCAGTTTCCTATAAAAATTAAGCGTGCCTAAGTCTATCTTCGAATGCATTTTTACCTATATAGATTCATTTAACAGACCTGGGGCCGGTTGTTCGAAAAGCTTTTAGCTAAACGGGCTTGGTACAACTGCGGCCCCTGGTGATTATCAGTCGACAGAACTTTGCTTTCTAATTTTTAATTCTTATATCCTTTAAGACCTTGATGAATGTTGGACGAAACTGAATAATTGCGATAAAAATGCGAAATGTATCAATACAGATCCGGGATATCTGTGTCGTTGTAGACCTGGTTATACACAGTACAATGATGGACGAGTGTGTCAAGGTATAGGCCATGATGTTCTGGCTTTTAAAATCGTAAATCATCCGCGAATATTTACTTGATCATATCCAGCTTATCAATTCAGAACTATTGCAATTTACGCAGTTGAACTTATACAACGGGAAGAATTTTAGAAGCCACTATATACTTGTTAATTGTTGACTGGCAATGGTGACAAATCACAATGCCTTGTTCTTCATTTTTCTTTGTCCATCGTGAATTGGTTCGTAGACCAGACTCGTTGTAATGAGTGCAGTGATTTACCGTAAGCCACGTATGAAGTCCAATGCTCCGACTAAATAAGTCGGTTGGCAACGGTTATCCAAAATTATAAATCACATATTCTCCTTCTTCCATTTTTTTTTCAGATTTTGACGAATGTTCACAAAAATCTCTGTGTGCTAAGGATGCTAAGTGTATTAATCTTCCTGGATCTTACAAATGCGAATGTGATGCTGGCTTCTCTGGAGATGGAACATTTTGCGAAGGTATGCTTGATCAAAACACTAAACAATTTCCATTGATAGCTCTAAGTTCTCAACAGTTCCAGTAAGGATCATCTCTTATTCGCTCCAGTGTTACTACAGGAGGAAACCTAAGCTAAACTAACTTTATTTATACTGGATTGCTCTATCAATTCTAAACTGTTCTTCCGGGTTCATTTTCAAATCATACTGAAATCATGTGGCCACGTATGAACCAGATGAATTTGTAATCAGATAAAATGTTGTTGGAATTGAACCCCATTATTCACATGAGTATGTTGATATTTGTTTTTCAGACATAAATGAATGCGTTGGCAGAAAACGCTGCAGCGTTCATGCAGAGTGCAAGAACACACAAGGATCATACGAATGTACATGTAAGAAGGGTTACCGTGTCAAAGACTTGATATGTGCAGGTAAAGTCAGTTGCATTGACTCTTGTTACTGACTTACTTTTGTTATTGCAACTGCAATAGCTTGATATTCAATGATTTCCTTTGCTAAAGATATTGACGAGTGTTCCCAGAATCCTTGTCCAGTCCAATCCACTTGTCAAAACACTGTTGGTTCATACTCTTGTAAATGTCTTTCTGGATATGAGTGGAAACACACCCGATGTTTAGGTAAGGAGCCATAGCGACTTAAATTATCATGTTGTCTGCTTAGTCGGGTCGGGTCGAGTTGAGTTGGGTGTGAATAGAGTTAGTTTAGTTTAGGTTTCCTCCTGTAGTAACACTGGATCAATAAGAAACAATCCTTACTGGACCTCTAGGAAGAACAGTTTAGAACTGATAGAGCTATCTAGTATAAATAAAGTTAGTTTAGTTTAGGTTTCCTCCCGTAGTAACACTGGATCAATAGGAGATGATCCTTACTGCACCTCTAGGAAGAACAGTTTAGAACTGATAGAGCTATCTAGTATAAATAAAGTTCCCTGTTATCAATAAGAGATGATCCTTACTGCACCTCTAGGAAGAACAGTTTAGAACTGATAGAGCAATCCAGTTAGTTTAGTTTAGGTTTCCTTCCGCAGTAACATTGGACCTATGCAATATAAATAAAGTTAATTCAGGTTTGGTTTTCTCCTACGTACATTAAAACCGCTATGAATAAGGTGTGCAAATAATAAATAGCATGGTGGTATTCATAATAATAACCATAAAAATTTTCAATGTCTCAAAAATGTTTAAAGATCTTGACGAATGCAAAACAAATATTCATAAGTGCGACAAAAATGCTGTTTGCTTCAACCTGGTCGGAGGATATAAATGTCGCTGCAAGGATGGTTACGAGAATGTGAACAATGGAAGACTTTGTGCAAAAAGTACGATTATATATTTTTTTTATTTTGAGTCTGCAAAACACGTCAAGGTGTCATTTTCTCACATTTCTATAGGCAAGACAAGCAAATACAAATCACCTCATATTCTGTTGATTTCAACTTCAACCTGCGTGGCCGTTGGTGGTGTTGCTTTGTTAATAGGTCTGGCTATCTATTTTGAAAGGTACTTAACTAAGAAAAACGTATAGTAGTGTGACCAACGGTCTGAAAAGACATTAACTTTCACGTTCCCTGTAGGAAAATGAGGAAGAAAGATAAAGAACATTTGCAAAGTGACGATGAAGGACAAGAACCGCTGTTAAACCAGGAAGACACAGCTATGGATGCTGTATTCATGTTCAACCCTCATGCCAACAGAACGCAATGTAAGTTGAAATATATATTGGAAATAATTACTCGTGTGTTGCCTTTGAAAAGTTGGGAAAACTCCAATTTTTTGTTTCTTTGCGTTTGTAGTAACCGCCTGGGATTAGTTGTGTTTGAGTCTTTCGAGAAGGAAAGAAATTACGATGATGATCACGTTGAATGATGTGAAACGTATGTTAAATATTTTGCTGATACATTTGTATGCTCGTTGCAAAAATAAAGTGCCGACGTTTCCAAGCCATATACGTGGTATTGATAGGTTTGCTCATAAGCTAAGAGCCTGTAAACCATTCAAAGTTAGAAACAAAACCATTCACGTTTTAGAATTGCTTTATTAAATGAACTTGTGATGTAATACAGGATGTGTAATACAGGTTGAACCTGTTGTCTTAATCTAAATCTCAATTTATTCAAACAATTATTACGTGTTGTCATCGTGATGAAACACTCAGTTCCGAATATGTGGGCACGATAGAAATACTCGACGAGATTCTAAAAGTAGAAACAAAAATGCGAGGTTATAGGCTATGGGGTTTGGTATGTTGCTCTGAACTAGCGTGGTCATTATTCGAGATTTGGCCAATATTGGAAAGGTGACTCACACTGGCAGATTCAGCGGCCCGTTCAAAAGAGGTTCATCTTCGTAATCAGTTATCTTCGAATCCTCCTTTCTCCCGTAGCAACTGTAAATTATAGAAACGCCAACATCGTGTTGAAAAACTCAACGGGAACGAGAGGAACAAAAACAGCACTAAAGCAACACTTGTACTGCAGGAATGCAACATAATGCAGCAATGATGACAGCAAAGGCTGCTGTAATCACAACGACTAGAACGATAGCGTTACTCACCACTTACAACAGCAAATAATCACGAGCAAGACTAAAGCAACGGCAATGATCGTGATGAAAAGAATAAACGTGACATAGCTCTGCTCGTTCACAACATCTAGAAGAAAAACACCTTTGATTGTAAATATTTCCTGGAGTCCTGCCGGTTCCAAAAAGAGACATTATACGAGGGCAAACCAAAGACAAGACAAGGTCAGTACCTTGTTTCTGGCATTCTCCTGTCTCCGTGTAACGCTCATATCCTTCTTTGCATTCGCATTCGAATCCTCCGGGATAATTGATACATATTGTATTTTTCCCGCAATTATCTGGTATCTCCCCATAAAGACATTCATCTACGTCTAAATAATTTCAGGGGGGAAACGATCAGAGGCATGCCGCGCGCAAATTACGTCATCATTTCATCGCCTACCTGCACAATTCGTTTCGTTTCTTGAATATCCGTCCAAACATTGGCATTGATACGAACCAACTGTGTTCACACATTTTGAATTGGCCAGTGAATAACACACATCGTTGATGTTTGAACATTCATCCACGTCTGTTGAAGGTGAAATGGAAGTGTTTATAAAAACCTTTCTAACGAAACTCTATCAATCACAAGTGAATTAAGTTGTCACTAAATGGTATTGAAAAAATGGTGCCTGCCTGCTGTAGAGACATACCTCAGCATTTTTTACCATTGCCAACATAACCTTGCTCGCATTGGCATGAAAAGGATCCAGGGGAGTTTGAGCAGTTTGCATAAAATGAGCAGTCCTGAATCCCTGCTTCGCATTCATCAACGTCTGTATGGAAGAGGAAGAGAAAACTAATGCCACATAGATCGAAAACTGATGGTTAAGAGACTTCTCTTAAATCTCATGTTACCTGTGCATTTCATCCCATCAAAATCAAAACCTTTGTCACAAGAGCAAGTATAAGATCCAGGAGTGTTGACGCATTTTAGTTCGCTTGAGCATGGCTTTTTTTCCGCACATTCGTCCACATCTAAAAGTAAAGACTCGTGGAGTCGTGTTTCCCGTGCGATTTCTGATGATCCGCTCTCAAATGTAGCTACGTGCAGAGATTACAGGATTTAAACGTTTATAGCTCTTACCAAAACAGATTCTTCCGTCACCACGAAACCCAGATTTGCATCTACATTTATAGCTTCCATGATTATTTTTGCACCACGCGTTCTCATCACAAAGATTCTTACCTCAGCATTCGTTGTAGTCTTGAAAATATATCACCCAGAATAATTTGGTTTGGTGTGCACCAGAATAGATATATATATTCGATATAAAATCATGTGATGTTTGTAGATGGAAGAAAGAAGAAAGTAAAAGCTATAAAAGGAAAGATATTGAGGGAAACGAGATGGGACGCAATTGGGAATACAAATAATAGTGAAATTCTCGATTACTGAAGTCCTGTAAAAACGGCAACAACAACAGAGACGTCATGGTAACAACGTTGACAATTGATAAAAAAACCCAACCACATCGTCCTTACCAATACAGATTGAATATTCGAGTTCGAACCCAATTTTACATGTACATTTAGCTCGACCTTGTGCTGTTAATCTACATATTTCTCTCGTTGGTGAGCTGGTGATGTCTGAAGTGAAGTAGAGGAATCATTTCTAAGCGATGAATCAATGAATAGACTTTTCCTATTATGAGGTCAAACCCAGAAAATCTAATCATTAAGACAAAGGTTTTTTGCCTGTACTGCAAACCCCGTTACTCGGAGTAATTCAAACGTAAATAAAGAATCCAGGAGACATTCTAGAAACGATCTATACACAACGAAAACTATAAACGAAAATACACAACGTTTCCATTTCTTACCTCCACATCGGAAAGTTTTCTCGAATCTCTTGCATGAGTAAAGAACTCGAGTGGTATCGTTTCTGCAAAGCACAGGATGGCCTTTGCACGGATCAACGACTGGAAAGGAAAGAATATTTTTAAAACGCGTGCAAACTAATCGATGCAAAATACATACAGCCTTTGTGTAACTCAATTCGGTTGTCTTGATACAAACGTGCATCATACTTTTTTTCTCCAACTGTGGGCAAACATCCTCTTCTCTAACGTCTTGCAGTCTTTTATTTTTCAGTCGTCTAGGGGAAATGCATTTGCCGATATTCGGAAGACTGTGTAGTCTTTCACGATATTTCTTTTGCCAAAGTTTTCTCAGAAACCACACAAAAGAACAATCGCAGTCGATTTCGAGGTCTTTTAAACTTCTAGAAATGGACGAATATGAAACAAGAGAATTTGTTAGGAAAAAACAGGAGATTCCTGGCTTTCGTAAACGAACGTGATTCATTCTACATTTCGAGACTTCTTTTTACCTCGCGGTACCTATTCTGTTCGATATGAAAGCAACCCACTTAAACATACGCCACATGTAGCTCACTGTGAAGGCAGTAAGTTACAAATGCAATTTTTGCCGCTTATTTTATTTTACAAATTTCAACCGATTAAAACCAAAGCTCTACGCCACTAAACTCACATTGCCTTCATTTTGGTGTCAAATAATTCCACCGGAATGCTGTGTTTTTCTGGGAGTTCGATAACGTCGTTCCCGCAATCCAGAAGATTCCGTCCAAGATCCTCGCGACACATGCGCTTAGCACTCCATCTGCCTGTGCCTGTACAAATACAACAAAAGATAGTTGAAGATTAACTGAAGCGCTCTGGAGGGAGCGTTGTTGAGGAAGCGCTCTGGAGGAAGCGCTCTGGCTAGGTTTAAGTGGCCCATATATATGCGAGCAAGCATTCAAAGCCGGACCGCAAATCGTCGAGAGCTTTCGTGTTTCTTGTCAACCTCACATTTATAAAACCCACAATGCTGAAACATATCTCTATAGTTTATTGTTTCCCCAGCAACTATAAATGCAGACATAACCAAAAATATTTCACTGATGGGTATAAGTAAAAAAATTCTTGGATTTGCGATGCTATTCCTGAGCCCCTCTTTAACCACTTGTACAGTATCTTACTTTTCGGGCACACATCACGCTCCTGTAGATCAAAGAGACGTTTTCCCTTGTGAACCGATGGGGAGCCGCACTTAACATCTGTGTAAAGATCGAGAATCACAGGTTTTTTGTCTCTTATTTCCCTAAATTTCGGTTCTCTAAGAAACCACGCTATTCTGCAGTCGCATACAAACGGATTTCCACCGAGTTTTCTGAAAGAAATATATATGCATGGATAAATCTTGATGGCACCTTCAGATTATATGAATAGAAAAAATGGCAAAGGTTGGTCGGAGTACTTACATGACATGCTTCCCTTTCGGGAATTCAAATATATCATAGGGAACACTCTGCCATCCTTGGTATCTACAATCGATTTTTTCCGGATAATCGTGATTACAGTCTTTGGTCGAATAAAGATGTTTATTACCGCAAATAAGACGGCAAAACTGTGCTACAAAGATGCTTGTAAAAAGCACCCTGAACACAAAAAACATCTGAAGTACTTTTGTGGTTTTAAAGAATTGCGATTATAAAGCAATCAGAGTTGACGTCATAAAGCGAGTCATAATTAATGCTTGTGTGCTCGCGGAGTCTTGTTCTTTACGATTCAACAATGATCACAAAAATTGTTGTTTATTGTCAAATATTGGCGGACAAGCTTTGGTATAGTTTGAGATTTTTGAATTACATTTCCTTTGTGCAATCTAGATATCGCTTGAACTCATGCTGAGACGTTTGCACAAAGATCTATGAAGTTGTTCGCACAAAGGGCGGTGCACAAAAGGAATGCACGAAGGTTAAACAAGTCCCGCGCAAAGGTCTTCATCTAAGGCTTGTGCAAAGCCAATTTAAAGATCTGCGTCAAGGTCTACCCAAGCCCTATCTAAACGCCTGCGCAAAGGTCTAGCAAATCATAGGCGAAGATCTACCCGAGGCCCAAAAATATGAAAACAACAATAAAAACAAAGATTGACGCAATTTGATTTGACTTGATTCTTTAGTTTCTCTTCAAGGCCAAGGGTCAGTGCTAACGTCTGTTTAAATGCTGGGGCCGGTTGTATCAAGCCCGTTTAGCTTAAACGGTGGATAAGTCAAAATTAAATAACACTCTTACAACTCTCTTGAATGAGACAACTTGAATATTATGCACTGAATATGTAGTTGTAAACAGTATCTTTGTGTTAAGTTAAAAAACATTTAGTTTGCTTGTTGAATAAAACGGCAAACTTGCTTTCTATTTTGAACTTATCCACCGTTTAGGGTAAACGGGCTTGATACAACCGCCCCCAGGGCTTCAAAGGCCTAATCGTTGCAGCAATGCATGTGTCATTGATAGACTCGCTTATACCCCAAAACAGCTTTTGAATTGAGAAACGAAACCATTCACTTTTTCGAATCACTTTATTCTAAACTTGTAATGTACTTTATTTGATCATGCAAACCTCCATTTACTCAAAATATTCGTACGTGTTGTCATCGTCATAATCCACTTCGGAATATGTGGATACCATAGAAATATTTGTTGGAATTCTAAAAGTAGAAACAAAATAGGTTTGGCTATCGGGTTTGGTTTGTTGCTCTGAGCTGGTGTGGTCAATATTGGAAATTTAGCTAATATTGGAAAGGTGACTTACGGTGGTACATTCATTGGTAAAAAAGGCATTTCAGCTGCGTACAAAAGAGCCTGTTCATCTTCGTCATTAGTCTTTTTCGAATCCTTCTCCTTTTTCCCGCAGCAACTGTAGATTATAGAAACGCCAACATCGTGTTAAAAAATTCAATGGGAACGAGAGGAACAAAAACAGCATTAAAGCAACACTTGTACTGCAGGAATGCAACATAATGAAGCAATAATGACAGGAAAAGCTGCTGTAATCATAACGACTAGAACGATAGCGTTACTCACCACTTACAACAGCAAATAATCAAGAGCAAGACTAAGGCAACGACCATTGTGGGAACGGTGAATTTGACATAGTCTTGCTCGTAAAATGGCAATTTCACAACATCTAGAAGAAGAAACGAACAATTTCAAATAATAAAACATATCTTTCATCGTGCACTTCTCAAAACCAGGAACACTCAATCAATCAATCGCAAACCAAAGACAAGACAAGGTCATTACCTTCTTTCTGGCATTCTCCTGTCCCTGTGTAACGCTCATATCCTTCTTTGCATTCGCATTCGAATCCTCCGGCATAATTGATACATATTGTATAATTCCCGCAGTTATCTAGTATCTCCTCGTCAAGACATTCATCTATGTCTAAATGATTTCAGGGGGAAACGATCAGAGGTATGCCGCGCACAAATTAAGTCATCATTTCATCGCCTACCTCCACAATGCATTTTGCTTCTTGAAAATCCGTGTAAACATTGGCATTGATACGAACCAACTGTGTTCACACATTTTGAATTCGCTAGTGAATAACACACATCGCGTGAACATTCATCCACGTCTGTTGAAGATGAAAAAATTATGTTTATAAAAAGAAAATCTATCACTCACTAAACATGGTGCCTGATTGCTGCATGCATGTAAAGACATACCTCGGCATTCTTTACCGTCACCATAAAAACCATTTTTACAAGTACATTTGTAGGATCCAGCGGTGTTTTCACACTTTGCTTGGGGTGAGCATTGCCCCTTGTTCTCACATTCATTTATGTCTGGATGTGAAAAACGGAATCAAGGTTGAGTTTTAAAGCAATTATAGGTCCTAACCTGATGATGTATCTTGTTTTCTTTCCATGACATCGTCTGCTGTGTTAAAGATATCCTAGAATGAATGAACTGTGCTGTGATATTCGTCATCTTACCATTACAAAATTTTCCATTGCCACTATAGCCAGAATTACAAGAACACTGAAATGATCCCATGGTATTATCACATGTTGCGTGTTTTGAACAATATGTCTTGCTTTTACATTCATCCACGTCTTAGTAGAAGAAATTAAGATTAGTCAATATTTGATAGTCATCAGTGAACAGCTAAAGAAACAACCACTATGGCGACGGAAGACCTACAAGACTAGCGACAAGAATCCATCAAAAAAGCTGAACAAGCAACAACCACTATAACGAATGATTTTTTTATAATCCTAAAGGTACCTTCACAGCGCCTTCCATCCTCAAATGATTTGAATCCCTGTCTGCAATAGCAACGGTAGCCTGGTGATGTGTTTATACATTTAGCTTCCTTGTGACAAGTGTTTTGATTTTTTGAACACTCGTCAATATCTAAAGAAAGAAAGAATAGGATTTTGGGAAACATTTCATTGATCTAGCTATAATTCCCCGCGAGGCCGCGACATATCTTCACCCAACTCATTCTCCATTTAATGAAACTATAAGCGCATTACCAGCTGGTGCATCAATCTTGGATTATGGAGATATCTACATGGATGTCTGTATAGTTGAGATTTCTAGAGATATTCTCTCATACCTGTGCATACTTTTCCATTGCCAAGATAACCTTGCTTACATTGACACGAAAAGGATCCAGGGGAGTTTGAACATTTTGCATAATATGAGCAGTCATTATTCCCGTCTTTGCATTCATCAACGTCTGTATAGAAGAGGAAGAGAAAAAACTAATACCACATTGATCGAAAAAGAGATTTCATCATAGATTTTGAAAAATAAAAAACATAGATTTTAAGAGACCTCTCTTAAATCTCATGTTACCTTTGCATTTTATCCCGTCTCCCTCAAAACCTTTGTTACAAGTGCAAGTAAATGATCCAGGAGTGTTGACACATTTTGCTTCTTTTGAACATGGCTTTTTCTCCGTACATTCGTCCACATCTATAAATAAAGACTCGTGGAGTTGTGATTCTTGTATGATTGCTGATGATCCGCTCTTAAATTTTACATACAGCGATAACGTTTACATGCAGGATTTAAACGTTTATAGCTCTTACCAAAACAGACTCTTCCGTCACCACGAAACCCAGACTTGCATTTACATTGATAGCTTCCATGAGTATTTGTGCATATCGCGTTCTCATCGCATAGATTTTTGCCCCTGCATTCGTTGTAGTCTTGAAAATATATCACCCAGAATAATTTGGTTTGGTGTGCACCAGAATAGATACATATTTGATATAAAATCATGTGATGGTTGTAGATGGAAGAAAGAAGAAAGTAAAAGCTATAAAAGGAAAGATATTGAGGGAAACGAGATGGGACGCAATTGGGAATATAAATGATAGTGAAATTCTCGGTTACTGAAGTCCTGTAAAAACGGCAAAACACAACAGAGACGTCATGGTAACAACGTTGACAATTGATAAAAAATAGCCACATCGTCCTTACCAAAACAGATTGAATATTCGAGTTCGTATCCAATTTTACATGTACATTTAGCTCGACCTTGTGCTGTTAATCTACATATTTCTCTCGTTGGTGAGCAGATGTTTTTATACTCTGGGCATTCCAATCTGGTGATGTCTGATGTGAAATAGAGAAATCATTTCTAAGAGATGAATCAATGAATAGACCTTTCTTATAATGAGGTCAAATGCAAAAAACTAATGATTAAGACAAAGGTCCTTTTACTGTACGGCAAACTAGACATATATGACCCCGTTACTCGGAGTAATTCAAATTAAATAAAGAATCCAACATTTCTATTTCTTACCTCCACATTTGAAAGTATACTTGAATCTCTTGCATACGTAATTTCGTCCAGTGATTTCGTCTCTGCATGGCTTAGGATGGCCTTTGCACGGGTCAACGACTGAAAAGGAAAGAGTATTTCTTAAACGTGCGAAAACTTGATACAAAATACAGTGTTAGTGTGACTCGATTCAGCATGATTAGATGACGAGTGGACTGCATTGGATCGATTGGAGTACGTTTGGATAGCATTTAATCAGTGACGGTTGTCTTAATAAACGTGCACCATACTTTTTCTCTCTAACTGTGGGCAAACATCCTCTTCTTTGAGGTCTTGCAGTCTTTTATTTTTCAGTCGTCTAGGGGAAATGCATTTTCCAATATTCGGAAGACTGTGTAGTCTTTCACGATATTTCTTTTGCCAAAGTTTTCTCAGAAACCACACAAAAGAACAATCGCAGTCGATTTCGAGGTCTTTTAGACTTCTAGAAATGGAAGAATGAAAGAAACAAGAGCATTTGTTAGGAAGAAGTGAGAGATTCCTGGCTCGCGTAAAACTAACGTGATTCATTTAACATTTCGAGACTGTTGGATCAGGCACACTCATTTACATGTGTTGTCACTTGTTCTCGTCTGTTAAATCAGTTTAGTCTTTCTATGTTTAACGTCATTATGAGAAAGGTGTCTTGCAAGTGGCATTTATTAATCTACACATTTCCATGACTAAAACCGAAGCTCTACGCCATTAAACTCACATTCCCTTCATTTTGGTGTCAAATAATTCCACCGGAATGCTGTGTTTTTCTGGGAGTTCGATAACGTCGTTCCCGCAATCCAGAAAATTCCGTCCAAGATGCTCGCGACACATGAAATTAGCACTCCACCTGCCTGTGATCACAAATAAAAAAACAGTTGAAGATGCACTGTTGGAGTTTTCCCTGCTACTCCGGAGCCCCTCTTATAGGTACAGTATCTTACTTCTCGGGCACAGATCACGCTCCTTTAGATCAAAGAGACGTTTTCCCTTGTGAACCGATGGGGAGCCGCACTTAACATGTGTGTAAAGATCGAGGATCACAGGTTTTTTGTGTCTTGTTTCTCTAAATTTCGGTTCTCTAAGCAACCACGCTATTCTGCAGTCGCATACAAACGGATTTCCACCCAGTTTTCTGAAAGAAATATTAATGCATGGATATATCTTGATGCCACCTTCAGATTATCTGAATAGAAAAAATGGCAAAGGTTGGTCGGAGTACTTACATGACATGCTTCCCTTTGGGGAAATCAAATATATCATAGGGAACACTCTGCCATCCTTGGTATCTACAATCGATTTTTCCCGGATAATCGTGATTACAGTCCTTAATGGAATAAATACGTTTCTTACCGCAAATGAGACAGCAAAACTGTGCTACAAAGATGCTTGTAAAAAGCACCCTGAACACAAAAAACATCTGAAGTGCTTTTGTGGTTTTAAGGAATTGCGATTATAAAGAAATCAGAGTTGACGTCATAAAGTGAGTCTTAATTAATGCTTGTGTGCTCGCGGAGAGTCTTTACGATTCAACAATGATGATTCAGGTTGAATGATGTGAAAGTACATGCAAGATATTCGGCTGAACTGAATTCCTATGCCCATAAAGTGGCAAAGTTTCCAACCCATACAGTTTCATTGGAGTGATAGCCTCGCTTATACCGAGAAGAAGCTTTCAACCCATTTATAAATTTAGAAAACAAAACCGTTCACTTTTTAGAATCACTTTAATTATTATAAACTTGTAACACTTTATTTGAATACTTTATTTGATCATGCAAATCTCCATTTACTCAAAATAATCGTACGTGTTGTCATCGTCATAATCCACTTCAGAATATGTGGATACCATAGAAAGATTCGGCGGAATTCTGAAAAATGGAAACAAAATATCCGATATTAAGACATAAGAGGTTAAACACGGTTGCACTTTGTTGCTCTGAACTGGTGTGATCAATATTGGTAATTTAGCTAATATTGGAAAGGTGACTTACGGTGGTACATTCATTGGTAAAAAAGGCATTTCAGCTGCGTACAAAAGAGCCTGTTCATCTTCGTCATTAGTCTTTTTCGAATCCTTCTCCTTTCTCCCGCAGCAACTGTAAATTATAGAAACGCCAACATCGTGTTAAAAAATTCAACGGGAACGAGAGGAACAAAAACAGCACTAAAGCAACACTTGTACTGCGGGAATGCAACATAATGCAGCAATAATGACAGCAAAAACTGCTGTAATCACAACGACGAAAACGATAGCGTTACTCACCACTTACAACAGCAAATAATCACGAGCAAGACTAAAACAACGACCATTGTGGGAACGGTGAATTTGACATAGGCTTTCTCGTAAAATGGCAAATTCACAACATCTAAAAGAAGAAACGAACAATTTCAAATAATAAAACATGTATTTGAAATCATACAGTGGAAATCATACACAACTAAGCCAGGAACAATTAAGAAAAATGTGTCAACGATCAGTCCTACCGGTTCCAAAATATTACAAGGGCAAACCAAAGACAAGACAAGACAAGGTCATTACCTTGTTTCTGGCATTCTTCTGTCCCTGTGTAACGCTGATATCCTTCTTTGCATTCGCATTCGAATCCTCCGGGATAATTGATACATATTGTATTATTCCCGCAATTATCTAGTATCTCCTCGTCAAGACATTCATCCATGTCTAAATAATTTCAGGGGGAAACGATCAGAGATATGCCGCGCACAAATTAAGTCATCATGCATTTCATCGCCTACCTGCACAATGCGTTTCGTTTCTTGAATATCCGTCCAAACATTGGCATTGATACGAACCAACTGTGTTCAGACATTTTGAATTGGCTAGTGAATAACACACATCGTTGATGTTTGAACATTCATCCACGTCTGTTGAAGATGAAAAATTGAAATGTTTATAAAAACCTTTTTAAAGCAAATCTGTGACTATATCTCATCATTTCATAGTCTTGGTTGAACCTTGGTTCAGTGTAGTCTTGCTCGCTCAGAGATGATCATAGGTATACACATTGTTTCACCATTGTTTGGTTATCATTAAATGCTATTGAGAACATACATGGTGCCTGATTGCTGTAAAGACATACCTCGGCATTTTTGACCGTCACCATAAAAACCATTTTTACAAGTACATTTGTAGGATCCAGCGGTGTTTTCACACTTTGCCTGGGATGAGCATTGCCCCTTGTTCTCACATTCATTTATGTCTGGATGTGAAAAACGAAAACAGCAGGTTGAAAGTCGGTTGCATGACATCGTCTGCTGTGTTAAAGATATCCTAGAATGAATGAACTGTGCTGTGATCTCAACCATCTTACCATTACAAAATTTTCCATTTCCACTATAGCCAGAATTACAAGAACACTGAAATGATCCCATGGTATTATCACATGTTGCGTGTTTTGAACAATATGTCTTGCTTTTACATTCATCCACGTCTTAGTAGAAGAAATTAAGATAAGTCAATATTTGATAGTCATCAGTGAACAGCCAAAGAAACAACAACTATGGCGACGGAAGAGCTACAAGACTAGCGACAAGAATCCATCAAAAAAGCTGAACAAGCAACAACCACTAACGAATGATTTTTCTATAATCCTAAAGGTACCTTCACAGCGCCTTCCATCCTCAAATGATTTGAATCCCTGTCTGCAATAGCAACGGTAGCCTGGTGATGTGTTTATACATTTAGCTTGCTTGTGACAAGTATTTTGATTTTTTGAACACTCGTCAATATCTAAAGAAAGAAAGAATAGGATTTTGGTAAACATTTCATTGATCTAGCTGTAATTCCCCGCGAGGCCGCGACATCTCTTCACCCAACATAAGCGCATTACCAGCTGGTGCATCAATCATGGATTATGGAGTCTCTATCTGGATGTCTGTATAGTTGAGATTTCTGGAGTATATTCTCTCATACCTTTGCATACTTTTCCATTGCCAACATAACCTTGCTTACATCGACACGAAAAGGATCCAGGGGAGTTTGAACATTTTGCATATTTCGAGCAATCATTCCCGTCTTTGCATTCATCAATGTCTGTATGTAAGAGAAAGAGAAAAAACTAATGCCACATAGATAGATCGAAAAAAAAATTATCGTTAAGAGACTTCTCTTAAATCTCATGTTACCTTTGCATTTTATCCCGTCTCCATCAAAACCTTTGTTGCAAGTGCAAGTAAATGATCCAGGAGTGTTGACACATTTTGCTTCTTTTGAACATGGCTTTTCGTCCGCACATTCTTCCACATCTATAAGTGAAGACTCGTGGAGTCGTGATTCTTGTACGCTCCCTAATGATCTCAAATTTACATGCAGAGATTACGTTCGCAGAGTTTAAACGTTTATAGCTCTTACCAAAACAGACTCTTCCGTCACCACGAAACCCAGATTTGCATTTACATTGATAAGAACCGGGAGAATTTGTGCATATCGCGTTCTCATCGCAAAGATTGTCACCCTTGCATTCGTCGACATCTTGAAAATATCAACCAAAATAGATTGTGTTGGTTTGGTGTGCACCAGAGTAGATGTATTAGATATGAAATGTTGATGGAAGAAAGTAGATAAAATATACTGTATAAAGATATAAATTAAGGGAAAGATATTAATGGAAACGAGACGGGGCGCAAATAAATAAACATTGGAAATACAAATTATATATGAATTTCACGATTATCCTGTAAAAAATGGCAGCATCAACAGAGACGTCATGGCAACAACGTTGACGTGCAATTGGTAAAAACCAAGCACATCGTTCTTACCAATACAAAACCATCCTTTAAACCCAAGTTTACAATGACATTCTATTGCATATGGGGTTTTTTTACATATCTCTCTCTCTGGTTCACATATATTTTTATCCGCTGGGCATTCCATTATGTACAAGTCTGAAATAAGATAAAGGAATCATTGCTAGGAGATGAATCAATGAACACAGCTTTCTAATTACGAGGTCAAATGCAGAAAGTCTAATCATTATGAGGAGTTGCCCTGCATAACTGACATGCAAACTATCTGATCCCATTACTGGAGATGAGTCAAGGTTAAAAAAAGAATCCAGGAGACATTCTAGAAACGATCCTAGAGCAAATTAAAAAAATTTCCAGAAACATTATCGAAAGAAGTTCTGTAGGCAATATTAATTCCTCGAATGTAAACATGCAATACCCAAGAAAGCTTTCAAAGAAATCTAAGATGCCTGGTGTGCTTGATGGCTTCATTTCCTACCTCCACATTTGAAAGTGTTCTTGAATCTCTTGCATAAGTAAAGATCTCCAGTGATATCGTTTCTGCATGGCTTAGGATGGCCTTTGCACGGGTCAACGACTGAAATGGAAAGAATGTTGTTAAAACGCGCGCAAACTGATGCAATATAAAGTTGGGTCACTCGATTTAGCCCGACTATATGGCCTGGAGACTGCAGTGGATCGATTGGAGTACGTTTGGATAGCATTTAGGCAGTGACGGTTGTCTTAATAAACGTGCACCATACTTTTTCTCTCTAACTGTGGGCAAACATCCTCTTCTTTGAGGTATTGCAGTCTTGTATTTTTCAGTCGTCTAGGGGAAATGCATTTGCCAATATTCGGAAGACTGTGTAGTCTTTCACGATATTTCTTTTGCCAAAGTTTTCTCAGAAACCACACAAAAGAACAATCGCAGTCGATTTCGAGGTCTTTTAAACTTCTAGAAATGAACGAATGAAAGAAACAAGAGCATTTGTTATAGGAAGAAGTGAGAGATTCCTGGCTTTTGTAAAACGAACGTGATTCATTCAACATTTCGAGACTGTTGGATCAACCACACTCAGTTTGTGGTTTGGAATCTATTCGATATGAAAGCAACCCACTTAAACATACGCCACATGCAGCTGTTAGTTACAAATGCAATTTTTGCGCGATTTTCTTCTTTTAATAGATATAAAAGAGCGAATCTTGTGTTTACTCGTTCATACCTGCATGTTAAATCAGTTTAGTCTGTCTATGTTTAACGTCATTATGAGGAAGGTCTATTGCAAGTGCAATATTTTTTTAATCTACACATTTCAACTGACTAAAACCAAAGCTCTACGCCACTGAACTCACATTCCCTTCATTTTGGTGTCAAATAATTCCACCGGAATGCTGTGTTTTTCTGGCAGTTTGATAACGTCGTTCCCGCAATCCAGAAGATTCCGTCTACGATCCTCACGACACATGCGCTTAGCACTCCACCTGCCTGTGGTCACAAATACGGCAAATAGATAAATGAAGATGAACTGTTGGAGTTTGCCCTGCTATTCCTGAGCCCCTCTTTAACCACTTATACAGTATCTTACTTTTCGGGCACAGATCACGCTCCTTTAGATCAAAGAGACGTTTTCCCTTGTGAACCGATGGGGAGCCGCACTTAACATGTGTGTAAAGATCGAGGATCACAGGTTTTTTGTGTCTTATTCTCTTAAATTTTGGCTCCCTAAGAAACCACGCTATTCTGCAGTCACATACAAACGGATTTCCACCGAGTTTTCTGAAAGAAATATATATGCATGGATAAATCTTGATGCCACCTTCAGATTATATGAATAGAAAAAATGGTTGGTCGGAGTACTTACATGACATGCTTCCCTTTTGGGAAATCAAATATATCATAGGGAACACTCTGCCATCCTTGGTATCTACAATCGATTTTTCCCGGATAATCGTGATTACAGTCCTTAACGGAATAAATACGTTTCTTACCGCAAATGAGACAGCAAAACTGTGCTACAAAGATGCTTGTAATAAGCACCCTGGACACAAAAAACATTTGAAGTACTTTTGAATTGCGATTATAAAGCAATCAGAGTTGACGTCATAAAGCGAGTCTTAATTAATGCTTGTGTGCTCGCGGAGTCTTGTTCTTTACGATTCAACAATGATCACAAAAATTGCTGTTTATTGTCAAATATTGGCGGACAAGCTTTGGTATAGTTTGAGATTTTTGAATTACATTTCCTTTGTGCAATCTAGATATCGCTTGCACTCATGCTGAGACGTTCGCACAAAGATCTATGAAGTTGTTCGCACAAAGGGCGGTGCACAAAAGGAATGCACGAAGGTTAGCCAAGTCCCGCGCAAAGATCTCCACCAAAGATCACCTAAGGCTTGCGCAAAGACAGTTTAAAGATCTGCGTCAAGGTCTCCCCAAGCCCTATCTAAACGCCTGCGCAAAGGTCTACCAAATCATTGCAGAAGATTTACCCGAGGCCCAAAAATATGAAAACAACAACAAAAACAGCCTTAAAGATTGACGCAATTTGATGTGATCCTTTAATTTCTCTTCAAGAATCAGTGCTAACGTCTGCGCAAATGCTGGGTTTTAATTGATTAATTCATTTAGCCCAATATATTTTCATTATTGAAGACGCTTATCGAATTTTCCTACCCATACAAGGACTCTTATTTTCTGTAAAAAAACACCTTACCACTTTAACAAATAACTTCAATAGTTGCAGTTTAAGATCATTGATATGAAATTACTTCGTTATATATTGGTGTTGTACAGAGGTGCAGTGTTGGCATTATACATTCAATTTGCATAAACTTCTTCATAAGTCATGCTTCACCCCAAACCACAGTAACTAATATTATAAGCAATGTATCACTTAACATATAAGGGATATTAAATACTGAACTGGATGAATTCCACCTCAAAAGAGTTTTCATTTAACTCCAACAAAGGAATCGGTTTCAGAACTCGATGAAAACCAACACCTCAATGAAACCGTCATCCCGCAGCGGATAATTTTTGCTTGAATTGTGTACGATAAGACGTGAAGACCTAAGCAGATTACGCCCATATATTAGTATATTTCTGGCATTGTAATTTATGGATTTTTATATAAACAGCTGTTCTGTCATTACCACTGTGTATAACTTGTCTCCTCGCCTGTTAAATGTGTTTCCAGAATTCCAGCCAAATATACATAAATGTGAAGATGAAGAAATTTAGGTGATATAAGTAATTTCCCCACGTGTTTTTTCATGAGGTGCGACGAACGGGCGGCAATTATTTGGCAACCGTGTGGTTAAATGCGGTTAGTTTGATTTGCTAAAAAGCAATTACTCGTCTGTTGTCTTGTATTAATTTTGATCTCATTCTTTGCAGCATCTGTCTTGGTCACGTTAAGGCAGGAAGAATCTGTTGGATTACGTGCGCTGTAGGAAGACCCAAAGGGCTTTAGGAAGTGAAATTTTGCAGTGGATTTCCACTCAGCTTCAGGCTTCAGGTAGGTTTCATTTGTGTATTCTCATAATTTTTGAGGACGTCTTTTGATTACGGACCAGCGTGTCTGTACATTTATCAAATTCATCGCCGGTGTATCGGTTAATATTAGGTTTAAATATTATCAATGTTGGATGTTTTAGTAACATTGCCGGAGGTCGCATTCACACTCAATACGGAGATATATTGCGCTTAGAAAGGACACAAATCGACCCATTAATAGTCGAGCTTCGCTAATCCCTATAGCAGTATTGAAAATACTGAAATACTGGCGTGTAGGCATGCTGTGTGCATGGATGCGACAGTGGTTCATTTTGAAATTACTTCGATCGCAGTTTCACAATGACATAAGATATATATTCAAGTGAGAAACAGCTGCCATAGATACATCGAGTTTGACTCAGCGCGAACATTACCTTGGCTGAAACGGTATACGCCATTACACCGACGCGACGAGACGATTTTTTTATCCGTTTGCCACAATCTTAAACTGAATATATCACGGTAATCGGACTTTGTTTAGATTCGTTCGGTCTAGTTTTTGTCAGTGAAATGTATGAAATAGCTTGCTGCTTGCGAAGTGAAATACAATATTTAGCGTTAGAGTTATATATAGGTAATAGAAGATCTTCCTGAATATATATAACAACTAAGTCTAAGAGATCTCAACGTACTTTAGTAGTGCCAGCACCATTTCAGTGGATTTATGAATTAATTAGCTTATTTAAGACTTAAATATTCAATAATCGGTGTACACTTTTTGTAAATAACATTTTCTTTTATAATATGTCTCCTGCGGAATTGTATGAGAGATTGAGGTTTTCACAGCGACGATAAAAGGACATATTGTTGTTAAAAAAAAACACCCAAGGATATAAATAGGATTCCTTGCATTTCTATCGTAATTAATCAAACTTGTAGTCTTTAAACTAAGGGTTACCATTATACTTGCATGATAGCTATAGTTTCTATCAGTTTTAATTACATATTCTCTCTCGATCTCCTTCGCGATCCAGATTCCTTATCCTTCATTGTTGTAGAGAATTGGTCACGGAATTGTTATTCCTAATAGACGAGCCTTATCAATCCTAAGGCAGCCTTCTCTTTGAACAGGTCGTTTATGGAATAATTTATCAAAACGTACAGCGACAAATTGTTTATCAAGGCGTACTTTTTTACAACGACAGCTGAAACATTTGCCTATATTTTTACGGCCGAATATTCCATATATAATCATATAAACTTGATCGGTGAAAATAAGTCGTAGATCTGATGGGCTCCCCAAATAAGTATATATAGTTATTCGAAACACCTTTAAACACTGAAAGTTTCGCTATTCATACATAAAATCATTAAAGATTTTCTGTGCTGGCCAATTACGGCTACACATATAATATAAATTACATAAATAGAGTTAATCAATTATTAATGTGTTGGAAATTAAAAACATATATATACCCACAACTATAGCACTTTTTTCACAAGAGCGAGTACAAGTGTCATACGTGATCTATATATACACATGCATATATAGATTCTTATTTGAAGTGTGCAACACGGAACACTGTTTGAGGGGGAGTTGTCCATGGGCATGGATGATGAAAGCGCGGGCATATAATATATATAAGTGAGTTTGGGAAATACAACGGCAACCGCAACGGCAAAATACATTCACCTATGATTGTGGTATATTATTGACAGAAAATACGAGTTAGTATCGACTTGATTTGCCTCTTCAAGTTTCCTCTCTCTCTGAAACTGTTGCCGCGTTGTCATGCACCGTGAAATTGGTGTAAGTCACGATGTCGTTTCAGCGACTACGGCAGTGTGCAACGTTAAAGATAACATAATTTACATTTTCTGTGCCAATGCAACTGTTGATAAGGGCGTTGCGGTTGCCGTTGCCGTTGTATTTTCCAAGCTCACTATACATACCCAGGAAACGGAGTTGTAGAGGGTACTGAAGTGCATGTTTAGAAGCCATGGGTCGCCGGAAATCTCTTTTAAGCGTTTGGCTGCAATGGCGATGCCATGCAGTGCTCACCAATTTGTCCTGGGACCCGAGATGACACATTCATGTGTTTATTTTATCTCTATATATATATACATTCCTGCCTATCTGATAACCTATCCAGGATATGAATACAACGACATTTTATTTTTTATAATGTTCCTGAAAACTTAAACCATTTAAAGGTGAACTAGCTGCGCTCTGCTTCAGAGTGTTTTTGGTTGATGGAAAATGGAGCGGCATTTATATGTACTCCGACGTATGTATTTTTCATCAACCAAAATCGCTCTGATATCAATCTTAATCAAGCAAAATGGCCAGAATATCAATGACGAGTCAATTTAAGATATCATTGCATACCTGAGTCATGATATTAACATGGTTTTCCACAGGAAAGGAATATTTTTGTCTCATTTATGATCGCCATGCACTATATCGAAATATGATGTCAAAAGTAGGCACGCTTCAGCGTAGGTACCCAGGAAAAACGTGGCATGTCCGCTCTTTTTAGTGTGAAATTTAGCATAAGTTTGTTTCATTCCCTGTGTATTTTTTTGGTTGTTCAAAAAGGTTCGACCGATTTATCAGATGGGAAACGAATGTTGGATAGCGAATGGCCGTGGGAACTTAAGTAGGCGACAAATTTACTGTGAAGTTACAGTAAAATATAAATATATAATATGTATTGAAGATGTTTTCTATCAACTGACTATAATGAAGAATATATGAGCATGCAAAAAGAATGTTTAAAAGGTTAAATTTTGAAGGTATCTTGCATGGAGGAAACCTTGATACAGAATGGCGACAGGGTATCTTATAAATGATCAATAAGATCCCGAAGGCGTTCTCTTCACAAACCCACGTTGAGATATGACGTAATGACAACGCAAGATAACATCCCAATGATTCTTACCCACACACAACTGGTATACATTTTAACAAATGATCCGTTTTATTTAGGCGCGGCTGTTAATGTACAAATATATCCACACTCAAGGCTACAAAACGTCAACTGGAGGTAACATGACTTTCTTATTTGATAAAATTCGTGGTAATTTATGACATGCTTTTGAGTATATGTGCGTGTGTGTTTGTGACTATAATTGTGACTGAAACATAATGTGAACTTTAGTCCATTTTATTCCTGTATGAGTGGCCTGCAGTAATAGATAAGTTTATGATTCGCGTAGTACTGCATGGACAAAAAAATTCTTTAACAAAGTTTTCCGGTTTAAATAAGCCTGCTGTTTAATATTTCACTTGCCCATAATCTAGATAGCAAACTGGGTTAGTAAATATCATAAATTCAAATACGTCATGACCACATGGTTCTCACTAACTGATCATTGCCATATTTTGTCCTCATTTGAATATCTTAAAATTTTTAGATTTCAAAATAATTTCCCCGCAACTAAATTCGAAAGAAACAAGACTGACAGAGTAAAATCACTTGAACATGAATAAAGGTATGGAGTAAAGACTAAAGTTATTTGTTTTTGTCTTAAGGTTATAATTATTATAATCACTTAGATCATTCATATCTAAATCTCACAGCTCGCCTTTGCTTGAAACGGCGAAAGCCTGGTAACAAGATATCTCAAAATTACACCATCAATTTTGTATCCAGGCCATAGTAGCCAACATGCAGTACGTTTAGCTAACGGTCGTATACTCATTGCAATAATCGTATTTCATATCAACTGCCAATAAGTCAAAACCGTGTATTTAAAATCTGCATAAAATATAGTAATACATCTCGGCCGAGAAGGTTCATCTCGTTCTGCTATCATTAGATATTTTTATGGCCATTTGCTTCCAATATTATACAAAAGTTACTGAACAAATAATATCAATTGGTTTCGCATGTAGCTATGTATGTGGAAATCTGTAACGATAAAGCATTTTCCGTTTGTAAGCTGAATATACGGATGAGAGTGAATGGAAGCAATGAGCCATTAGCAATTCAGTTTGTTCTATATTTGCATGATTTTCAAACTCTGTATGAGAGCAATGAGGCTTATAATTGGCGCCCACTAGACTGTCAATGAAGATAATGTTGCAACCGCGCTGCAATTTTAAAATCTCAAAACTGATCACTTGATTTTGTATGAAAATGGAAGGGTCAATGTCTTTCGCCTCGCTGTGTATAACTGCTGTTTAAACTTGGCGATAAAATTATGTAAACACAGGAATACAGTCCAATAGCCATATATTCATATATGGATGATTTATTAATGTGAAACTCCGCGGGTTCTCTGACTTTGTGTGCAGATTATCCTATTCCATTAGTCATATAGAGAAGTCGTTTCCTGACTGTATCTACAAATGTTAAGAATCCTTTTTCATGCATGTAAAATCAGTAGGAGTTTTATTAGAAAGTAGTATGTCTATATAGTTCGCTTTATAGGACTTTACGAAAAGGCGCGCATTGCAGGTGTCGGGTTTCCATGCATCAAATGTTCAAATCTAATTGGACAGAGACATTTGGCAGATGTTGCATATAGATTTAAACAACATCCTACTGCGCCCGTGAAAATTATTATATATGATCAAAACGGACTCCATCTATCGTGAATAGACCTTCGAGGATCAAAGAAACTCTGAACTATTGCAGTGTATTCGTTCGAAAAGCGTAATCTCCAGGCATTATTAAGCAAATGTGTTTCTACGATATTCGTTGATGATACGTTTTTATGAGCACTTAAAGACGTTGGCTGCGTTCATTATTGAACTGGCACATGCCGTGTGATCCGGTAAACTGGAATCTCAAGGCACTTGTGTACGAATAAAAACAACGAATAGTCAACATGTAATAACGCACACAATTATCAATTTTACATAACAAGGATACGTCCCAGGCATTCGCGGCCTTGAAGTTTCGTGCTCTGAAATTGGATAATCATATATAGCTTAACCTGGGCTTGTGTTTTTTCATCTTAACAAAGACCGCAGTTTATTTACCCAGAATTATGGGAAACTCCGTAAAACCGTTTCGCGAAGAATCGTGGACTATTAAAACGACAAAAACGACAAAAAGAAAGATTATACGGCGTCGTTCGACAGGTAAAAATGACGACATTTTACTTGTGAGTAAAATATATCTTAAGTTGGTTTATAGAAACGACAGGTCGTCGGAAACATAGCGTTTGTGCATGTATATCATTATCAGCCTCGTCACTATAGGTGACAGCATCACTTGGCTTTGCTCTTAAATTTACGCTATTCAGTCGTTTTCTCGTCTGCATTTAAAATGCATAAAACAGGGTAAATTTGACAAAAGTTTAGGTAAAAAAGCGTCAACGAAACGCAAATTTCAGTCGTCAACGCATGGCCCCGAGTGAATTTGTTTACAATGTATGCATGCAGCAATAGTCGATAGAGCAAATACGGACTACAGTTAATTTTTTATAATCGCAGAAATATACGATTTTAATCTCATGACATGTATGTATGGCAAATTATATGTTCTGCAGATTTGCGATCATATCTGTAGTGAATTAAATTCCCATTTGCCTACAGTTAACGAGACTGTCCGATGCTGCACGTATTCATTTTTGTTCGGTACTGCAGTGGGTATAGACATGATGGCGGTTCTATAGTTTGAATTGAAACGAGAAGTTAAAAAATTGAACACTTAGAGAATCTAAATGGTTTATAAAGGGTTTAGCTACTTTAGGATATTTTGCTAGGCTATATCTCGTTTACTGGTCTGTTGATACAACGATTATACTTTTGCATTAATCCAAACATATTAGGTTCACTGTGTCCCATATGATATTCGTAACAAGGTTGTTCTCATTTTGCGCTAGTTCTCGGAAATGTTGATAAAACCATGTTCATAGCCATAGGTGACATAGAACGTCACGCAGATATGCACGTTCTGTTTGAAACTAACTTAAAAAGCCAATCCTTACTTGAAAAAACTTCAACTATTTTCGTTGTTGTTGAAAATGTTCTTATGTAATTTATTCGCCGACACGTACGAGCCTAGCATTATTCACGTTTTGACCCGCTGTTAATAAGAATAACTAAGCCTTCTCATTGCGTTATATAAATATACCCAAGGACCGTAAAAGACTTGTAGTTGTTGTGACACTCAAGTGGAAAGCGAGCTGTTTCCTCGGCTATTATTGGCTGCAAAAAATTACATTCAAAAAATTTACATACGTTGCTCTACAGTTAGATCTATATGCATCTATATATAAATAACTTCCTTACTACCTGATTAAGACGATCGGATTTCGGGCGCCTTTAAGATAAACAGCTTCTTCAGCGTTCGTGATTTCATCAGAGGAAGGTATTGTAAAGTTCTTGAACTTAATGGTTAACTTCTTCAGTTCATTAAAAGGAAAGAGAAATATATAAACCGCGGCATGGTATTCTATATCCTATATGTATTTTTGAGATCAGTCAGTCTGTTTCTAAGTTCATATTTTTGGGGTTCAAAGACAATGTTGTTTTTACAAATTTTCAAAGGGTCTGTCTACATTTCCATAGCTTAGCGTTCACTTTTATGTAATTTATAGTAATTGCGTTATCACAGGCATTGTCATGCATGCGTATAGATTCCTGTTTATAGCAGAGCTTTGAGCAATTGCGAGGGAAACAGAGATCTTCCCAGAAATGCTTGTATAAGTTACGGCGACTGTTGACATGTACAGTAGCTAGTATAAGAAACATGCAGGTGTTGGCATGCAGGTATAGCTATAAGCTGCATGGATGTATATCTTTAATTGACAGCCGTCTGCTATGTATACGTGATCCCAAAAAATTCATTGTCAAGTCAAGAAAGTGAAGCCATTCGTGTAGGGAAGTTACGTTTGAAATCCGGCTAGGTTTCTTTCTGTCACCTCGTGCTGTGCTTTTAATTTGAAACTAAACAAAATATTTATATATTTCGGTTAAAAATGTTCAAAAATGTTCTCAGTGTTTACCATACTTTATTACTTACCCTTGACGGGCATATTCAAACATAAGAATGTAGGCTGTAGCTAAATTCGTCCCTTTCTCTCACCAGCTCCTCATTACGAGTGCCTATATAGGTCTTGGGACGGCGATTTAAAGGAGAGAGGAACACACACGCTACCCGAGTTATACATTTATCCAAAGCATTAATAAGCTTGAATGTGAGAGATTGATTTACTGTATTATGAATGTGAATGTAAGTTCTTAACGCGTGCATCAAATGTCCAAGTGCCACAGAACTCATCTCATTGTCATCATGAACATTCTTACAATGCAGGAAATAAGTATAGTTAAAATACGAAGGTATATTATCCGCGCGCCAAGTACTTTTGGTTATTAGAAACATATATATATATATACGCCTACAATACTCTGTATATATATAGGATTACAATAAGGAATATAAGGAGTAAAGAATATATAATATATTATTTTCGCTTTTCTAATAAATCCATATGTGTCTCATTCATCATCTAATAATGTTAAAATAAAAGCTGAAATTAATAAATAAATTAAGGGATATTTGAATGGATATAAATTATAAATGAAGTTCTTGTAGGTTCTAATCCTTCGTAAAGAAATTAGTGTTATTTGGGATTTTCCTCTTGCATGCAATTTCAGATAATGTAGGTTTATTAGTTTATGCGCAAATGACAATGATTAGCAAATAAATGCGTGTAAATATTCTGACCGCCAAATTAGATTTGTCATACGTAGCTTTAAATCTAATTGTGGTAGAGTGCAGACAAATTTCGTTTGATACGATCAGGCTTGTGTGACCGAAATGATACGCGCGGTAAAAACTAAAAGATTTGCCATGTGAATTTAATAAGCTGCGTTTGAATAACATAAAATATTACTTAGTGTTGGGCGTTTCTGGAGGACGCGTTTATCCTTGTCGGAAAGACTCTTGTTTTTCCTGTTGAATTGCTGGCTTTAAGTGTAAGAAAACTCGAAATTACGCGTCCGTCATAATTATACTGATTGCTGTTGACAGCTAAAAGCAGACTTGTGTTCATCCTTTTTATAATCACTGCATATATTTTTGACGTTTTTAGAATCTGCGGCTCGCAAAGTGGAAGACGCTTTTGAGAGTGAACAAAATTCGTTTAACAAAAATGTGACAATAGACGGAACGATTAGTCGAGTGTCTTCACTGGATAACATAAGAACGATGTCGACTGTAATTGCGGCTGAGCGGTGAGTGCGTGTCTAATATTTTCTTTATTTACGAATACTGTTTCACCCGTCGCTGCATGCATGTATGGTGTCAATAATTAACCATTATAATTCATTGCTTTTTCTAGACCTTTGTGTGTTTAAATAAAAATAAATGTTTGCATTTATTGAGCTAGCCGGCATGCAGTATAAAAAATGATTAATGCACAGCTATATTTGCCAGCCTCAATGGCGACTGCATGATCTCTTATAGTATTATAGCTACTGAAGAATTCGTGGTAGGTTTCAAACTAACCAAAAAATGACATATTTTAATAGGCTTGCATGTGCAGCTGTCAAAGAAATCAAAATTCTTTTGTCTAAACTGAAAAGGCCTTCATGATATCAGATAAATACTTAAACACGTTTGTCGTTTGCATTGCCATGATGGTCAAATGTTGTCGTCGTTTGAACTATAAAATAAACAGCATTGTTGTTGAGAAGATTTGCCTTTTGCATGTGTTTTCCATGAATTTGACAATTGATTTAATAGATAAATATTTGTAAGTTTGCGAGTTGTCGACTGTATTTGCATGAATGGGTTCATGAGAAATGCATTCTCTAATTATGTCAAACATGAGTTTTCAATAATCGTTCAGTTACTGCCGTCTTCGTCTTTGCTCCGAAGGAGATGCTTATAATACAAGTATTTATTATCCTTGTAAACCAATATAACTTGATGTACATCGGAGTATATAACAATTTCAGATATATTTTATTGATGTATAGTAATTCATTGCTTACAACCTAGGTTAAGACGAACGCTTAAATCATTAGAAAAAGGAATCTACCCAACAATGGAGGATTTACAAAGACAGTTGACTTGCATTGCCGTCCTGTTGGATTCCTTATCCACTTCAGATGAAGAAAGGTATATATATAATTTTTTTCCTTTCTGGGCCTTTCTTGATTTCATCTGATATACAAACCACGAGAGTTTATTGTAGAATACTACCTACACTGGACCAACACGTTTGAGATATCTTTTCCAGGCAGTTCAGACACAAACCACGACAGCTTGTTGTGGAAAATTAGTTACCAATCTCATTCTCTCTCAGATTTCTACTCGGTCGATGCCAGACTGCTGGTGATGGCAAGAGTCCTGATTTTGGCGAATGTGTTCCAAGAGAGGTCCAGAAGTGGCTGACAGCAACATTCACAACTCAGTACCAGATCTCTCGCAATCCTGGTCGAAATCAGATTAGATTTAAACACGTTATATGTGCCGTAAAATGCAGTCTGTACGTCGAAAAGTAAGTGATATATTAATTATTATGTTGAATGTTTCTATTTTTGAAATCGTGCAATGGCCTACACACGCTATGCTATCATTCTGTTATAAAAAAAATGAGATAACTGGGCATTGTCGTTAAAATAGTACATATAGATTCTATCATAGCAAGTATTTCAGTCATTCTCCTCAGTTCCAACTCTTTTCCAACCAATGCAGATTTTTTTCTTGAAACTGGCCGAGATATTCAGACTTCTTCTTCTCGTCAATTAACTGACACAATTATAATCCGAAATGCAAGAGATTATAACATTTATTGAAAAAAGTTTCGGAGCGTGACACCTGCGCGCCTCCTGATCGGGCTGATAACACCACTGCACGTATCAGATACAGCCGATTTTCTAATATGTTGATTCTCAGCCTATGCTCTCTGATGTGATTACACGTATTTTATTAATTAACTACGTGAGTAGAAATCCTCTCCAAATGTAAATTTAATGTTACTGCATGGCTTGCTGAGATTAGGGTCAAACTAAGAACGGAAGATTTGCGCTCAAGTATACAGTGTATGCTTCACTGCGAAATATCTTCCACAGTTGCACCACAATCATGATTACTTTTAGTTCTGTTTCGTTGATTCAGCGTCCGGGTGCCTCACTTTATTATAGACGACTTTTGAAGAGGCTTAAATCAATATGATTCCCGCGCTCTCCTTCTCCACTTATAGGCATATAAGTGGGAAGACTTTGATTTCTTAAGCGTCATGTTACGCACAATTTATCTGCAATTCATCATCTGACGTCGCCCACCCCCTAAAAAGTATTCTTTAATGACGTAGCAGTTATTGACCACACTATACGCTTGGCGTCAAAAGAGCGGCTTTTTAAACGCGGCGATAAGTAAACATGACCTCAACCGGTTAAGAATACTTTACTATATAAATGCTTGTAAAAAAAGCATCAGAGATTGACAGAAGCGGGGTTTTTTTAGTTAGGGCAAATCACTGACAAAGGTTCTGTATCAACTGCCTGGATGAAACGGCCAAAAATGACAGCGATTAAGTAAGTTTGTGAGATACAATGGACGCTTTTTAGCCGATTTTCAGGTCTTAAAAGATCTATCAGTCGTGTAAGTGAAAATAATGGACACTATATTATACTAAGACATTTTTATGCAATTTCTTCCGTCTGAGGACTAGGCAAATGAGAGAAATATCGTATAGAACATAATGTTGTTACTTTCCCAACAAAGCGTCCAATGGAATTTTTGTCAGGCGGTTTTAATCACGAGATCAGCGTGTTACAAGTAGTCTTGTTGACAAAGTGTTGTCGCCCGTTTATTCTTCATTTCGGTCGTACGTGAGCGAACCGCAAATCCTGTCTTCAAATCATTGTACGACGTTTGCGCAGAAATTTTGTCAGAGCTTTGTTCATGTACGTCAACACTTTAACCTATATATAGACAGCATGAAAAAAAAACCGGAGAGACGATGATATGTGATTTTTCATGTTTTGATAGAATTTACAAGGAGGTTTGTGGGATACGAATCCCTCCGAAAGTGGAATCGTTACTTAAGGTTAGTTGTGTTTGCAGTTCTTCGGTGGAATGTTGCACCAGTTGAACCCCTTTTGTGAAAAAACAACCAAATCGCCGGGGTTAATTCTTCCAGCAACTTGTCAATGTCTTGTTATTCAATGTCTTCACTACATCGTGTACTACTTCTGCGACGAAATGAACTGACATAGTGAAAACATACTGCATGATACCAGGTCTACAAACCTGTAGCTGGCCCAGTTATCTTCCATGCTCTGAAGCGAGATTAAACTATGAAGTCAGTTTAAAATCTTTAAAAATTATCATGGAGTTTGACCATTTTGTTTTAGACGGTGGATGATTGGACCTGTGACGTTCTTGAGATAGACAATGTCAGTGGTGGGCAAGCTTTGAGATTTGTTGGCTTCGAGATCTTCAGTAAATATGACATTACTGAAAAATTCAACGTATGTATAACTCTACTTCAATAAGAGATTATCCTTACTGGACCTCTAGGAAGAACAGTTTAGAACTGATAGAACTATCAAGTATAAATAAAGTTAGTTTAGTTTAGGTTTCCTTCTGTAGTAACACTGGTTCAATAAGAGATGAAAAATCAGATGATCTTTCCTGGAACTCAAAGAAGAACAGTTTAGAACTGATGGAGCTATCCAGTATAAATAAAGTTAGTTTAGTTTAGGTTTCGATCTCCGTGGAAAAGCAGCGAATAAAACTGATAGAGCTATCCAGTAAAAATAGAACAATTTTGCCTAACTGTAAAGCGAGAGAAAGAGGGTTGTTAGTAAGCAATACAGTAGGTACTAATACTCGCATTCTTATTCAGATTCCATCATCAATGCTGGATCATTTTCTCCATGTTATTCAAACTGGTTATCAGAAGTATCCCAATTCTTATCATAACCACTGCCACGCGGCCGAAGTACTTCAAACCGTCCATTATATGTTGCTGAAACTTGATGCTGTGGTTAGTTCTAGTTTCAGGAATTTTTATCTTAACCTCGAGAACGTAAAAAATGACATAACTTTTAAGCAACTTAATTGTATTGAGTCTTTCAGTGACGTAATAGTTCGTAGTTTTTTCCCTCCCTCATTTTATGTGACCCTACGTAAATAGCAAGCAAACACAGAATTACTCCGGTTTTCCGTTTCATGCACCTGTGATTTCAGAAGACATTCCACGATTTTTTTGTCATTAGGAGAATAAGAGGCTGGGCCCATCCAAGATGGCGGCCTATTTTTATGATACGTCATCTTCTAACGGTCCTCTATATTACTTGTAGATTGCTTTGACTGAGATTCAGACATTCGCGGCCTTGTTTGCTGCCTTGATTCACGACTATGAACACACAGGAAAGACTAATTTATATCACATCAACACAAGGTACTATATCTGCCTCGTCACCTCATACTTAATTTTCTACAAAAGATCAAAGCTGAATTTTGATCGTCCTCTTGATATAGGTCAGAATTAGCAATGCTATACAATGATAGATCTGTCCAAGAGAATCATCACATTAGCGCAGCTTTTTTACTTCTTAATAGGGTAAGTTTTCAGTCTTCAAAATTATGATTGTATCAGTAATCAGTGAAGAACTCTATGGTAAAACATTTTGTAATATATTAATTCAATAATGTGTTTTTTTTCGTGCTCAGCAAGAAATCAATATATTGGGGAACCTAAGCTCTGTGGAATACAGGTGGGTTGTTCAAACTTGGTCGTGATTCGTTAACTAAAATTGCTTCATTTCAAAGTGGAACGTTAGTTCTAACCGTTTGTCTTTTTTTAGTGAACTACGGTCTTTGGTGATAGATATGGTTCTGGGAACAGATATGTCTCTTCATTTCGAACAGCTCAAAACAGTGAAGGCCAGTTTGGTTAACACAGACATGTAAGAATCACTATTTCATAATTTCAATTTCTCGTACCATCGTTAGCGTCTTCAACCAGAGATGACCTCGCCTATAATCAACATTTGCATTTTTCATATTCCAATGTTATCAACTATAATGTTGAATCTCTTCCAGTAGCACATTCGACCCAACGAAATGCTTGCCTTTTGTTCTCCATTGCGCGGACATCTGTCACCCCGCCAAAGAATGGTCCGTGCATAAGAAATGGACAGATCGAGTGATGGAAGAGTTTTTTGAACAGGGCGATGCTGAAAAAGATTTAGGCTTGCCATTGTCTCCTCTTTGTGATAGAAATACGACAGTTATACCAGAGAGTCAAGTTGGTAAGTAACTATTTCATTCAGTCCATGGATGTTATTAATACGTTTTTGAGGAAGATATTATGATTGGAAAGCCATTGGAATGGAATTTCATCTTGTTTGAATAAGAATGTTTCTGAAGTTGACCAACCACAATCTGCTATCTAGTGTTATCCATTATCAACGAATATCGAATACGTTCGATAAATTTAGGAATAAAATACCTAACACAGGGTTTATTATGCAGAACTTACGTGTTACTTTAGGATTAGGACTGGATTTACAAGCTAGACTTACTGTAAATTATTAAACTTAATAAAAATTTTTTGCCCACATTGTAGGTTTCATTAGCCTGATCTTGTCCCCCGCACTGGACGTTTGCGGTGAGGTTATAGACAGATTAAAACAAGTCGGTGAAGATAAATTAAACGATAACAAAGTCAAACCTTGTAAGACGTCTCCACGAGAATCCATGAAGATAGGCCTTGCAGAGAATTTTGACAGAAAAAGTTATGTAAATAAAGTTTGGACTAAACATTTAATTGAAAACCGTAAAAAGTGGCAGGATTTGTGTCAAACAGGTAGGACAATCCGGTTCTAATAAACTTAATCTTATAGCTTGTAATGTATAGCTTTTGTTGACGTTTTTTAGAATTGACATGAAGACGTTGCTGGTTGGGCATATTTCTATGGCTGGTTTTCCATAGATTGGGCGATTCCTGAAGTAATTATTGATCGTAAGAAAATACTCTGGGCTGCTTGCGACCTATTTTCCAGTTAATTTATTGCATTATATCTTATTCAATGAATAATTTTAATATCTTTCATTCTAATTTTCACGTAACGTTTATATGTGAGGAGCGTTTTTACGTATCCAAAGGGGTCAAAAATGGTCAAACCGGTCATATTTTGAATTGAAATAGAGTATTTCGTTGCGAATTTAGCGGTGAAACTGCATTTTCCGTGCTAGGCAGATGTAAAAACGATATACTGAATGCAGAGTTTTTGAAAACACTCTAAATAATTATGTCTGTATTAAAATACGACAGGACCGGTTTTACCGTATAAAGAAAAGCGACCCAAATAACCTGAGGAAATGTAATTCGGACATTACTGCGACACCGACCTTTCCCTAGTACTGATATTTGTCTAAAGCAAAAATCCCTCTCATACATGGAGGAGGAACATCTTTAATATAGAGACCGTTTCGTATAGATACTGCAAAAAGTGCTTTTGCATAAAATAAAGATTTGCGAGTAATCCCTGATCAAGATGACGGATTATTGGGGGAGAATCATAGAATGAAGTAGAAATTACATCGATTACATTGTGTATTGAAAAGATAATGAACATAAACACGTTAAATAATTGATTTTCATCTAAACATTTCCGATATGAACACTCTCTGACGAAGACTGTAAATTGTGAAATAATATTATAGTTGTTGTTGTGTTAGTTTATAAAATTTCATATAAACGTATTAGTGCAATATAGAGTCATTGTGTTGCTATGGGTTTTCCCGTACATATATTTGGCGTTAGTTTGAACACACCTACTCTGGTTGATTAAGATTAAGGTTAAGGCTAATCCTTAATCTAATCCTAACCTAATTTGCGATTGAGACGTTGCTTTGACGTTGCTACGCAACCAAACCAAAAACAACATGGAGGTCGTAAAAATTTTATTGGTGTAAAAATTGTAATCTTGAAAATGCCAAAGAAAGCGAAAAAAGGGAAGGCTTCAAAGGGGAAAAACGAAAGGTATGTTGTTTTATGTGTTAGTTATGAATTGATGTATCGTCTAAAGGGAATCATTTGATATTTTAAGCATAAAAACATATAAACACAGAGCTGTTTTATAGTTCTTAGTTATTACTTCTTAAAATGGCAACTGATAACCGCAGCAGAGCAATTACTATGCTAGAGCAATTACTATGGGGCGACTGATTAAGGCAATATTTTGTCAGATGCTGCCTTGCAAAATCAGTCATTTATATTGAATTTTCTCCGTTTCTCATGGTATTAGGGATTTAGGAGTAGATAAATTTATGGGAGACGACGGCTGCAGTGAACAGCAGTGATGTAGCTATAGTGAGATGCTGTGTTTTTCTATGTCTTACAAAGTTTTTTTAGGTTCTGTTGACAAATGAGTTTTATCTGAAAGTAACGGACACGGCTGCAATGTCCTAAACATGCTTTCCAGCAGGCCTTAATTTAATTTATACTGTAGTTTATTATCAGACCACCCTAGTATTAGTCACCACACACAACTAGAACAAGAATGAGTGTCATAATCTAAAAACAGCTCAATTTTCTCTCAGTTGGGGTTTGTGCAATAAAAACATTGTTTGTTGATGCGACCGAAGATATACCTAAAATCCTGAATCTTCATTACTGCATGTACTGTACTTGCATTGATCATATATACATATAATAATAATGTCAACTTCAACTTTCTCTGAAGTAAAAAGAAAAATGCTGAAGCAAAGAAGGATGCCATTCTCAAAGATGCCACAGCAAATGCATTATTTTGGGAGAGCAAACTTGAGTCGTCTGAAAGAATTAAGCAAGAGTACAGAGACAACGCAAAGAAGCTCCTGGTAGAAAATGAGACGTTGCAAAACAAGCTTGTGCAAGCAGAGAAGGACACAATTCAAGTAATTTCTTTTCTTAAAGCAGAGGATATCAAGAAGGAGGAACAGGTAATTGGATAAGGTGTTGTCCGGTTGTAGGTAAAATTTGCTCTTACATAATTATCATCATTAATAATGTTTTCAATATTTCAACATTTGCTTAGATTGTGAAATCTGAACAACAATTAAAAGAATGTAAAAAAAACTTGACTGTGGAAAAGGATTCATTGGTAAGTGAATGCAGCGGCCATACAATTACGAAATGATCTAATGAATAATAATCATACAATAGAGACTGTAATAGACTAGACATTATTCCAATATAAGGTATCTGAATAGTTTATATCTTTATACCTATTTTGAACGTACACCCTACATGTTAGCGCATATATTTGAATGAACACATGATATGGATTTGCAGGTTGAAAAGTACACAGCACAAATTCGTGAGTTGGAAGAAGCATTAGATGAAAAAACAAATGAGGTATGTAATATATAATATAAATTATATATATATATATATATATATATATATATATATATATATATATATACATATATATATATCTGCATCAGTTGATCATCTTTACAAGAAATTCTTCACATATTTATAATTCAATTGTACATAGGTGAGGCTAATACAAGCCGAACTGAGACTGGTGAAAGAATTTCGAAAGAAAAGGGCTCAGATGCAACGAGAACTAGATGAGGTACTACATATACAGAAACAGATCTTTTTAAATTTAGTTTTATATCAGTTCTGTTGATTAAATATTGTCAAAATTATCCGGCTTCAATACCCACTGAATATATATTGTAGATTAAAGACAATATGTTTACAACTGAGAAGACACACAAGAATATTTTGGGCAGCATGGAACAGAAATTTTTTGAAGAAAAGGTATGAAATCTTCAATGCTTCTGGCAGTTCCAATCTAATATATCCTCCTGTGTGAAGCTCATGCGTATAATAGTTCATTCAGAAAGAAAATACATAATAAACAGTTTGACATAAAAATCGCGATCAAGGTATACCATATTATACACTGCTGTAGAATTCAGAATCAAATTGTAAATATTTTAGATACGTTTGCAGCAAGAAGCAAATAGGAAGATAGCAGAATTGGCTGAAAGAGCACATTCTGAGGCTGTACAGTAAGTAATTACATACATAGTGTCTGTGCTATATAGATAAGACTGAGGTGTCTACATGATCATTAACTGGGATCAAAATGATTTTGGGATGCTGATATGATGTCTTCACTCAGACATTGTATTGTAGAGATGATTGACTGATGCAGATATGTTTCAAAATCATCTTCCATGCTCCTAATGCAATTAATAAACAGTTTCAATGAAGATGAAACTTAATATTTTTAATCTTTATTGTAAAATATGACATTTTTCACTTGCAAGCAGCTAGCTACATCATAACCCACACCTGCTTGCTCACAAATGATCAACTAACTTTGCAATATCCTGATAAGCAGAGCTGAAATGGTGCCTCATAATAATACCACCATTTTATTGAAGATTTCCTAATTGTTTATTTCAGCAACTTGGATGAGATGACTCGCTCGGTGTATAAGGAAAACGTCCGAATCAATGCAGCCCTTGAGTATCACATGGTGGAGTCAAAAGGGTTGAAAAAGGTTAAACGATATGTTTTTAAAACATCTAAAGATCTGGACGAACAGAGCAAAATACTGACCCTTTATACATGACAATTAATGTTCTAAGTTAGTGCATTTTGGCAGGCTTTTTTAAAAACTTTCTCAGCCTTTCTGCTTAAATGAACCATAAGAGAAAACTTTGTGAAAGTTTCTATCTAAGATTCCTTCATCAAGAGACAGGTGAATTGTAGTAGCTAGATTGTAAAAAGTCTAAAGTATTTTTCGGTACTGTACCTCACCTCAAGAAGTTACAGAAATACAGAATCTTATTTCATAAAGCAAAAAAAAGAAGAAATTTAGTTGATACTTCAAATTTTTCGTGCTTAATTTCAGGCTTATGCAAATGCATTTTGTCTCGTTTTAGAGGAAAGAACATCTTGAGGTTGAAAAAAGAGAATTGGAAAACGACAACGTACGGAATGATAAGAAACAATAATTTTGTGTTACTAATTATTCATTATAGTAATTTCTAAAATACTCTAGTGCATCATTCCATTTTCGTTTCTTGTTTAGGAATTGAACGGAATAATAGTCCAAGAAAAAGTCGTCGAATCTAAGCGGCAAAAGAAAACGATCAAAGAGGTACGTAATAGGGTTTTGTTTAATTAAGGTTTATGTGGTTTCATATTGAAATAATATTCTTCCATTCTGTAGCTGGAAGAGAAGGTTGAAACACTGGAGAAGTCGTTGAGTCATGTAATTCGCGAGTTTGAAGTGGAAAGAATGGCCATTGTCAAAAAATCTAAGGACGATAACAAACATGCATTGTAAGTTTGTTATTTGTCGTGACTTCGCACAGAAAAGTGTTTATATATCTATATGCTTACTTTAACTCACAGTTGTTGAGGTCAGGCGACGGATATATACAATATACATCTGGAAATTGATAAAAAAAAGAGAAAACTCGCCTTGCAGAGAGAATACGTTTCTGCAAATGAAAACTGTCGGGAAATCTCTGGTAGTCTCTCTAAACTATATCGTAGACGAGTTATATGAATACAGTATTGCTTGTGTGTTTGTAACCAGTGTTTAAAACGATATAGACAGTGTATGTATGTACATTCAGAACGAGACAATTTATGTTTCAATGTTCAGTTGACAGCGCTGATTCTTTTTCTCTGTCGTGTAGAGCTGAAGCGGCTCGTTTAACGAAAGTTGTGGAATTGAAGACGAAAGAAATGAACAGAGTGAAACGTCTGGCTAAGAACATCTTGGATCAGGTTAGAATTCACTATTATATTGAGATAAAAACGCTAGGATTGTTGAATTGAAGTACAGTGCTGTATGTACAGTAGTTGTCTTGTCATGCCTGCGGTAATGCCAGGAAGTAGTGAGTCGTAAATAGACCGAATATGTCGACAGAAACTAAAGTATGATTAATACGCCTTTCATTCCAGAGAAGTGAAATTGAACATTTCTTTTTGGATTCTTTGGAATATGTTAAAGAAGAGATTGCAAAAAACAGGTGAGTCACGCCACTATACTGAATGGCGATCATGCATCCATCTACGTTGCATGTTTACAGATTTTTTGGATATAACGCTAGAAAACGATTTTTTCTGTCCATATACTCGGTGATTTTCATCGCCATTTGACTGTATTCTGTTGGCCGTTTGAATCGTTAAAGCATGAAAGAGTGTTATTATTACCCACGTGAAAATCTCACATCTTGTTGAAAAGTTGTATTTGCTATCAACCTGTCACTGGCAAATTGCCAAAAAGTTGTGGAATATTGCATAGCGATAACAAGTTTATAGAACAAGCTTATATAATATAGCGAGTCAACAAGCTTGTAGTAAGTCTGCTGTGGCTTTGTAGCAACTTGTAAACAAGCCTGGAACAAGGAGTGAGAACACTACTTGATATCGGCTTGTTCGAACCATCTGTAGCAAGTCTGCTGCAGGTTTGTGAACCTTGCTTGAGTGTACCAGTCGAGGAGTGATATTAATGCAATATAATCTGACTCTTCCTGCAGAAGTCAATATAGAAAAGATGCTCAGGTCGCGTATCAGGAGAGAATGTTGGCGGCACATAGCGGCCGAGGAGACTATCCAAAGATCAGGACTTTTAACCAGTGGAACACGAGCACAAACAGCGTGTTCGCGGACCTCAAGGAAGCTGAAATGTGGACTGGACTCGAGGAGAAGGTGGATATCTCCGAGCTGACGTGGGAACAACGTGAACGTGTGCTCAGATTGCTGTTTTCCAAGATTAACGGACACAAGAGCAAACGCAGGTATTTTTTCATCATCGCCTTTATATATGATATATGATAACTCCCATGACCTTTTGAGAGGATCGAAGATCGTTTTTCTTCTTTTAAATGATGTTTGATATAAGAAAAGTTTGATAAAAGCATGTTTAAATGTATGTAGCTGATGAAATTGTTGAGAGAAGTATATCCCCAAACGTGGAAATTCATTATGTTTCTGTACAAGGGATGAAGTTCTTCTAAAATTGTTTATTTTTTTCGTTGATGGTTTTCCAGACGGCCAATTCCCGCCCTGGAGGGTCAAGACGACTCAAAACTTTGTATACCTGAGGTACCAGGAGAGAAATCAGAAACTGTAATTATTGAAGAAAGATCAACAGCGCAAGATGCGGGAACATTCATAACACAACAGCCATTCTTTCCTACTATATTAAACTCGAAAGAAGCGCCTGCCGTTGCCAGGTAGATATGTTTAGAGGCCAGGGGCCTATACATGCATCATCTATGTGCGTAAGACGAACAATATTCATCCATTTGTAAGTTTCATTAAAATTTGTGCACAAATCCCTCTGTAAAATTATTCTTTACGATGAAGAATGTAATCGAATGTAATTCCTCAATAACCACATTGAGCAATGTGATATATACTAAGCCGTCGACTCTTGGATGCGTACCGATTTCGGTACCCATGCACTTTTTTGTTGGGTTTCGAGGGAGAATTTGGTGTTCTCGTGTCTGTTTAGGGGGTTGGTTCAAATGCTTGAGCTGGACCATGTTTAAAGAAAAGATTTAAGTAAAATAAAAAACGCCACCATGATCAATTTAAAAGAGGGGAATAGTCACGCGCTAACAACAATGGCCTCGAGAGACAAGGAGAAAAATATTTTTGTCATGACTCGAAAAAAAAGATTTACTATAAAATAAATAAAGGTAATTCTAAACATCAAGCGCTAGTGGTCTAGTGGTAAAGACAACGGTATGGTAAACCGTCAGACTATGGTCCGAAACGGAAATCGGGATGTTTTTTTATTATTTTGTTAATTGACTCAGAGACATGGGAATTGCATGTAAGTGTATTGTCTTTAATTTTCTACGCTTATGATGTATGCATGTGGTGATTCGTGTACTGTGTGGACTATTGCATGATGTCAAGAAAATTTTAAATGTCCTTAATTCACTTCATTCCTTGAAGAAATCTACCAGTTTTAGGTTGCAGTAAATGCAGTGAGTGAAAAAGAACACTTTACGTTTATGAAACATGCTTAAACGCTATTGGAAAACGAAAAAAAGGCAAATTCAGTGTTAGGAAACCTTACGCAGTCGCAGTAAACGAGTAATAATTCCACAATAACCGCATTGAGCAATGTCATATATACTAAGTGGTACCCATTTTCTTGTTGGGTTTCGAGGGAGAATTTGGTGTTCTCGAGTCTGTTTATGGGATGGTTCGAATGCTGGACGGAATGTTTTTCATTAACAACTTGAAAAAAAAGATTTAAGTAAATAAAAAACACCATTCATTATCGAAAGAGGGGGACAGTTGCGGGGTAACGACAATGGCTTAGCAACTGGTAAGATGATGGTTCGAATCTTGCATGGGGAAAATGTTTTTGTCACGACTCCAAAGAAAAGATTTAGGTGAGATAAAGAAAGAACTTGTGAATCACAAGATCTCTCTTGGTCTAGTGTTGAAAACAATGGTCTCTTTTCATTATGATCGCAAAAATGGATTGAAATAAAATAAATAAAAGTAGCTCTAAACATCAAGCGCCAGTGGTCTAATGGTAAAGACAACGGTATGGTAAACCGTCAGACTATGGTCCGAAACGGAAATCGGGATGTTTTTCTATTATTTTGTTAATTGACTCAGAGACATGGGAATTGCATGTAAGTGTATTGTCTTTAATTATCTACGCATATGATGTATGCATGTGGTATTCGTGCACTGTGTGGACTATTGCATGATGTCAAGAAAATTTTAAATGTCCTTAATTCACTTCATTCCTTGAAGAAATCGACCAGTTTTAGGTTGCAGTAAATGCAGTGAGTGAAAAAGAACACTTTACGTTTATGAAACATGCTTAAACGCTATTGCAAAAGGAAAAAAAGCCAAATTCAGTGTCAGGAAACCTTACGCAGTCGCAGTAAACGAGTAATAATCCCACAATAACCGCATTGAGCAATGTCATATATAGTAAGCCGTCGACTCTTGGACTGATATCGATTCTTGGTACCCACTTTTTTGTTGGGTTTCGAGGGAGAATTTGGTGTTCTCGTGTTTATTTAGGGAATGGTTCGAATGCTGGACGGAATGTTTTGCGTTAGCATCTTGAAAAAAAAGATTTAAGTAAAATAAAAAACACCATTAATCATCGAAGGAGGGAAATAGTCGCGGGGTAACGACAGTTGCCCCGCACTTGGCAAGTTGGTGGTTCGAATCTTGCATGGGGAAAAAAATGTTTTCGTCAGGACCCGAAAGAAAAAATTATTTTTTATTGGGTTTGAGGGAGAATTTCGTGTTACTGTTGGAAAGTTTTGGTAATTACCTGCTTCAAAAAAGGGCTTAATTATGTCCAAGGCTTGATGAAAAATTGATTCAAAGTCCACAAGTATACATACGATGTAAGCACGTGCATGTTTTATAGGTACGCGTAATTTACTACATTTGCGACTTGTATGTACGCAGGCATATGATGTATGGACGTGCACGTTTTTGACGTTCGCCTACGTTCGCTATATATACACTATCCGCCGAAACGAAATTTTCAATTTTTTCACTTTGCTTTTTTTGAACAAACCTAAATGCTATTGCAAATGATTAAACGCAAATAGAATAGCAAAAAACGCCACGCAGTCGCAGTGAACTAATATAGTCATGCCTACGATCAGCACACTGAGCTATGTCACATATATACTAAACATTTTTAATTGGGTATCGGTGTGTTGTGTGCTCTTCTCTTCTGAGGGTTTTCGGTTGTCATCTTTCGCTTTCTTGACCCTTCTTTTTGTGGTCACTTCTCTCGGTGCTGCCTTCGGGCTGTATCGTTTGAGATCCTTCAGGATCTCTCTAAAACCTTCCTCTCTGCTACCTCAATTGGGGGCGCAGCGGGGGTTTGTTTTTCTCCCCCAATGCGCCCCCGGGTTGTGGTAGCAACCTCTTTTGTCTTCCTCTTTAATTCACGATCAGTCTACTCAATATATGCAAATGACGTAATAATTTATGCTGAACCTAACACATGCGCAGTTCACGATGAGCTTCTCTCTCGATCTATTTAATATGGTGGACTGGTGGTCAGTCAAGAAATGTTTTTGCTTGCAAAAAGATCGTAAAATGTTGGCGCTACAAACTCGGAAAAGGTATTGAAAATACTCCTGTCTCCTTGCTTTGTTATTTAGTGTAATCTTAAGCGAAAGAAAACGATATAAAGGTTATAATAGTTGTTTAATTTCGAATTCTAATAAGTCGAATTCATTTAACATATGGAAGGATCACAGCTGATTGCTTTTACTCATAATTTGGTTTACTGTGATGACTACCAGCTAGTAATGGACAAATATTGCGTGGAAATATGTGAACGATTAAAAACTATTAGTTTAATTTAAAATTCGTGTGTAGGGAATCCAACAAACCGAGCTTCGCATGTTCGCCTTTTATCATCTGATTACTTGCAATAACTTTTACAAATGAGTAAAACTTTTCAACTTTTGATATCTTATAGATTGTAAATGAGATCAGGATAACAAGGTATGTTTATTAATTTTAAAAATTGTGCATTAAAGATTGTCTGGCTAGAACTGAACAAGCATTGCTAAAGATGTATGGTGTTTATTAACTGCAGTCGGTATATATTGCATTTTTAGAAGGAAGTATCCAAACAAATTCAAAGATGACTAATTTTAACATGGTTCATAAGAAAGTCCTTCCTTGAAAACCTACCTCAGTCACTGGTCAGTGAGTTTCTTACTTCTTTTTCATTTGTATTATTATTGCAAATGAGCTTGATAGGTTATTGAATAATGAGTAACTTGTGTCGTGGTATTCCAGCATTTTACTGACTTGATTTGACTGCGCTCATAACTGTAAATGATGCAATAAACGGTCTCTATCATATAAACGTCTCAAACCATTCCCTTCAACATACGTTTGTATTAGGCATCTCTCTCTAATAAATGCCTCTCTTGAATCAAAACACCAGTAATGGTTAATGTGCCTAGCGTGGTTGTTTGTTTCACAGTGGTTGTCTGTTTCACAGTTTCACAATGGCAAATTTTTTGTTGTAAATGATAGAAGATAAATTTTCAAACAATGACCACAATTTCATTTCCCACAGATAATGTATATAGTAATAATTTCATGTCGGAACTCTAATTTTACAAAGAGTTACAAAATTGGGTTGTGGGACATAGTTACACCTCATTAGTAATTGCATCTTCAGAATCAACTGTTAGAAGACTGCATGGTATTCGTATCTTTTAAAAAAGTTGATTTTGGACATGGAATTTCCCTCTTCATCCCCCCACCCATCTCTCTCTCTCTTTCAGTCTGATGGCGATTAATATGGAATCTCATGAACGGTTGTTTATCACTGAAGCTAAAGAATTGAGATACAACAATCTTTGACTGACTTTAGGTGTAAGACGTTCGTCCAGCTATTGTAGACCGCATGGAATCGATTCAAGTCCTTTAAAAATTTGTGAATCAAGATGAGAATGAACTTAGTGAATCTGTAATTGCTGCTATATGTTTTGGCTAAAATATAAAAAAAACTGTTGTATGTCTCCAAAACAAATGAGCTTATATTTATAATACCAAAAAGTACAGGATTGTTTGACATCAGAAATACAAAGAATTCGGCACACAGCGACAATTCACCTTTTAAAACGAAACCAAAAAACTAGAAGCAAAAAACAAATTGTGCTTCAAAACAAAACTAGAATGCGCTGCTTTTAAAAGGTTGAAATATAGGAAAGGACAACTTTTTTCTAGGCGTTTAGTGATTCGTTTATAGTAACATCGCTCACGATGATGTTCGGAGTTGATCGGCATGTTGTCGTACATTATCATACCACGTGATCTGCTATGATCACATGGTAATTATTGCCTATAAAAATAATCTCAACGTTAAAAAAAAATTTCTTCGAATAGGTGGCGATCGAAGGTGGACAGCAAGATCGAAGCTCAGCAAGATTGAAGATTGTTCGAGGAAGAAGGAGTTCGCCGTTGACTAAAAGGTGGGTTCCGGCGATTATATGCGTAATCTGCGGTTGCTTTGTCCGACCCCAGTAGGGGGACCGTTTGCCTAGAGCGTTTTGGTCCCCCGCACGCTGCTAGTTCCCACTTGTAGGCCTTTACACTAATCTACGGGAAGGCCGTAGGCCTTCCTTAAGGAGTACAGTGTAGCTGAGCCGAACCCTTTTTTTTCGTTGTATATAGGTTTATCTGAACAGCTAGTTGTCAAGATGAATGTGAAGACTCGCCCGGCCAAATTCAAAATGGCGATGCCAAAGAAAACCATCCACGTGGAGCGTTCGCGGACCTTTCTGAGCAAGATTGTTGTGCTGTCTGGTCAAAGTTAGGTATTTTACTTTGATGTTTTTGTGCCTTCTGCTAATTGTTGGCCAGAAATAACAAAAAGCCATATACAATATGAAATATTCTGCGTACAAGGTTATCTAAAGTTTCGAGCTTAATTCTGCCTGCAATGATGATAATTTTTTACTGAAAATTTATGTCATGAGCAACTTCCGCACCCATAGACTGAAGCAGAACTGAACATTTTGTCATTAACGTTTATCTCAACAGCCAGTTATCAAGACGAACGTCAAGAGAACAGTTGAAATAGAAAATAGAAATCAGTTCAAGACTCGCCCGGCCGCCGAATTCAAAATGGCGATCCCATACACGTGGAGCGTTCGCGGACCTTTCTGAGCAAGATTGTTGTGCTGTCTGGTCAAAGTTAGGTATTTTACTTTGATGTTTGTGTGCCTTCTGCTAATTGTCGGCCAGAAATAACAAAAAGCCATATACAATATGAAATATTCTGCGTACAAGGTTATCTAAAGTTTCGAGCTTAATTCTGCCTGCAATGATGATAATTTTTTACTGAAAATTTATGTCATGAGCAATTTCCGCACCCATAGACTGAAGCAGAACTGAACATTTTGTCATTAACGTTTATCTCAACAGCCAGTTATCAAGACGTACGTCAAGAGAACAGTTGAAATAGAAAATAGAAATCAGTTCAAGACTCGCCCGGCCGAATTCAAAATGGCGATGCCGAAGAAAAGTATACACGTGGACCGTTCGCGGACCTTTCTGAGCAAGATTGTTGTGCTGTCTGCTCAAAGTTAAGTATTTTACTTTACTGTTTGTGTGCCTTCTGCTAAAACTAGACAATAATTAAGGTAGTTGAAAATGTAATTTTATATTAATAATGTTTTCTTATATTAAAGATTTTCCTTGGTCAACATTGGAAGTGAAGAAGATTTCTGCGCAAAGGTAATTCGATTGTTTCTTCAAAATTTATGTTAGCCTTGCAGCTGAAATTCTTGTCACTACCTTGTAATACATATCAACTGCCCGGGTATATATTTTGTTATTTCGGTAGTATAAGAGGGAATTTGCTGCAACTAGGATCTTTTTTTGGAAAATTGTCAGGCAGTCACAAATTTTGTTAAGATTACTAAGTTAACATTGCTTCTATGCTCACTATGTGTCACCAGTAATAAATTCCTGTGGTGGTCTTTAAATAAATATAGCAACCATAGTTATATGTAGAGGGATGAAGTAACCATTGATTACCTGACCAAAAACTAGACAATAATTCAGATAGTTGAAAATGGAATTTTATATTAATCATGTCTTCTTATATTCAAGGTTTTTCTTGGTCAAGAGTGCAACATGAGCGGTTGATATGAACTTTACTGTCAGATCAACATTGGAAGTGAACAAGATTTCTGTGCAAAGGTAATTCGATTGTTTTTTCAAAATTTATATTAGCCTTGCAGCTCAAATTCTTGTCACTACCTTGTAACACATATCAACTGCCCCGCTATATATATTTGTTATTTAGTATAAGAGGGAATTTGCTGCAACTAGGATCTTTTTTTGGAAAATCGTCAGGCAGTCACAAATTTTGTTAAGATTACTAAGTTAACATTGCTTCTATGCTCACTATCTGTCACCAGTAATAAATTCCTGTGGTGGTCTTTAAATAAATATAGCAACCATAGTTATATGTAGAGGGATGAAGTAACCATAGATTACCTGACCAAAAACTAGACACTGATTAAGATAGTTGAAAATGGAATTTTATATTAATAATGTCTTCTTATATTCAAGATTTTCCTTGGTCAAAGAGTGCAACATGAGCTGCTGTGAATATTAACTTTACTGCCAGATGAACATTGGAAGTGAACAAGATTTCTGCACAGAGGTAATTCGATTGTTCCTTCAAAATTTATATTAGCCTTGCAGCTGAAATTCTTGTAGTGACTTTGTAATACATATCAACTGCCCAGGTATATATTTTGTTATTTAGTATAAGGGGGAATTTGCTGCAACTAGGATCTTTTTCATGAAAATTGTCAGGCAGTCACAATTTTGTTAAGATTACTAAGTGAACTTTGCTTCTATGCTCCCTATGTGTCACCAATGATATATTCCTGTGGTGGGCTTTGAATAAATATAGCAACCATGTATATATAGAGGGATGAAGTAACCATAGATTACCTGAAGAAAAACTAGACAATAATTAAGATAGTTAAAAATGGAATTTTATATTAATCATGTCTTCTTATATTTAAGATTTTCCTTGGTCAATGAGTGCAACATGAGCGGTGGATGTGAACTTTACTGTCAGATGTACATTGATTGGAAAGTGAACAAGATATCTGCACTGAGGTAATTTGATTTTGTCATGGATGGTCAGCATTTGATTTTAAAAAGCCACTACATTGTTGAGATGACAACAATGAAATTGAAATTTGCTTCTATGGTCACCATGTGAAACTAATGATGAAACTTAATGCTATAACAGCTGAACCAGTCTGGCTGATTACTAAAATTCCTGTGGTGGTCTTACAATAAATATCCATGAAAAAGACCGGCAATTACTATTTTAAACTTGGGAGAAATTTTTCTGATTTCCATGTGATTTATAGAAAGTTGAAAGGCACCCCAGAAGAACCTGAATTATTTTAGCCCTATCCTAGATTCATTGATTAATATATTTTAGTGTGTGACAATTTCAAAACTTGGATTTATAAAGAGAAATTTTTCTTTGTAAAGTTTAAGGAAGTAAACCTTTTTTGTCTGGTGGTGTTAGTGTTTTGATTTTGCATGTTTTTCCCTGTGCTTTCACAATTGAAAATATTTTGGCAGTTGCTTTGGTTTTGTCTCATATTTTTTTCTCTTATATTTTTTTCTCTTGTCTGTAATTTTTTTTTAATGTTTTTCTCTAAGTATTTTCTAAATGTTTTTTGAAAAGTTTAAGAAGAAACTTTATTTTTGTCTCATGTTGTTTGTTGTTTCGATTTTGCATGTTTTTCCGTGTGCTTTCACAATTGAAAAGATTTTGGCAGTTGCTTTTGGCTTTTTCTCATACTTCTTTTCTCTTTAATTTCTTCTTAGTATTAGTATTTTTTCTAAATATATTTTCTCTTTTATATTTTTTTTGATGAAATTCTTTTTTTTCTTTAGTGTTGAAGAAAGTTGAAAGGCACCCAGATTCATTAATTAATATATTTTAGTGTGAAATGTGATGAATTATGTGACAATTTTCAAAACTTGGATTTATAAATCTTTTTTCTTTGTAAAGTTTAAGAAATAAACCTTTTTCGTCTGATGGTGTTAGTGTTTTTATTTTGCAAGTTCTTCTGTGTGACTTGACAATTCTAAATTAAACCTCTCAGTATTTTTTAGTATTTTTTCTAAGTTAAACCTGTTAGTATTTTCTTCTATTTCTCTAGTTTCTCTTGTCTTTTATTCTCTAGTGTTTTTTTCCCTAGTTTTTTTTCTCTAGTTTTTTCTTCTATTTCTCTAGTTTTTTCTTCTATTTGAAACATGGTGGTATTTCTCTAGTCTAGTTTTTTTATTATATTTTTTTTATATATCAGACCATAGATTTTTTTTCAATTTTTTTACTTAGTTTACCTAGTTTTTTCTTCTATTTCTCTAGTTTTTTTCTATTTCTTCTATTTCTCTAGTTTTTTTCTATTTTCTCTTGTCTTTTATTCTCTAGTTTTTTTTTCTCTATTTTTTTTTCTATTAAAACTAGTCTAGTTTTTTCTTCTATTTCTCTAGTTTTTTTCTATTTTCTCTTGTCTTTTATTCTCTAGTTCTTTTCTCTAGTTTTTTTTTCTCTAGTTTTTTTTCTATTTTTCTACTTAGTTGTTTTCTCTAGTTTTTTTTCTAGTTAGTTTTTTTCTCTAGTTTTTTCTTCTATTTCTCTAGTTTTTTTTCTATTTTTTTACTTAGTTTTTTTCTCTAATCTAGTTTTTTCTTCTATTTCTCTAGTTTTTTTCTATTTTCTCTTGTCTTTTATTCTCTAGTTTTTTTTTTTTTTTTTACTCAGTTTTTTTCTCTAGTCTAGTTTTTTCTTCTATTTCTTTAGTTTTTTTTGTATTTTTCTAGTTCGTTTCTTTCTTTAGTTTTTTCTTCTATTTCTCTAGTTTTTTTTTCTATTTTTCTACTTAGTTTTTTTCTCTAGTCTAGTTTTTTTATTCTCTAGTTTTTTTTCTATTAAAGAAACTAAGTAGAAAAATAGAAAAAAAACTAGAGAAAAAAAAACTAGAGAATAAAAGACAAGAGAAACTACAGGTTTAACTTAATACTAAGAGGTTTAATTTAGAATTGTCAAGTCACACAGAAGAACTTGCAAAATAAAAACACTAACACCATCAGACGAAAAAGGTTTATTTCTTAAACTTTACAAAGAAAAAAGATTTATAAATCCAAGTTTTGAAAATTGTCACATAATTCATCACATTTCAGACTAAAATATATTAATTAATGAATCTGGGTGCCTTTCAACTTTCTTCAACACTAAAGAAAAAAAAGAATTTCATCAAAAAAATAATAAGAGAAAATATATTTAGAAAAAATACTAATACTAAGAAGAAATTAAAGAGAAAAGAAGTATGAGAAAAAGCCAAAAGCAACTGCCAAAATCTTTTCAATTGTGAAAGCACACGGAAAAACATGCAAAATCGAAACAACAAACAACATGAGACAAAAATAAAGTTTCTTCTTAAACTTTTCAAAAAACATTTAGAAAATACTTAGAGAAAAACATTAAAAAAAAATTACAGACAAGAGAAAAAAATATAAGAGAAAAAAATATGAGACAAAACCAAAGCAACTGCCAAAATATTTTCAATTGTGAAAGCACAGGGAAAAACATGCAAAATCAAAACACTAACACCACCAGACAAAAAAGGTTTACTTCCTTAAACTTTACAAAGAAAAATTTCTCTTTATAAATCCAAGTTTTGAAATTGTCACACACTAAAATATATTAATCAATGAATCTAGGATAGGGCTAAAATAATTCAGGTTCTTCTGGGGTGCCTTTCAACTTTCTATAAATCACATGGAAATCAGAAAAATTTCTCCCAAGTTTAAAATAGTAATTGCCGGTCTTTTTCATGGATATTTATTGTAAGACCACCACAGGAATTTTAGTAATCAGCCAGACTGGTTCAGCTGTTATAGCATTAAGTTTCATCATTAGTTTCACATGGTGACCATAGAAGCAAATTTCAATTTCATTGTTGTCATCTCAACAATGTAGTGGCTTTTTAAAATCAAATGCTGACCATCCATGACAAAATCAAATTGAAAAATCAAACATGACAATCAATTGTCTTTACCATTACACCACAATGGCTCCTGTTGAAATCCGCTCTATCTTCTGGCACACTTAAACCTTCCTTCCAACGCTTCTACTTAATAATTCATTCAAATTTTTTCCTTTTCTCTTTTTTTTTACCCTGAACAGGTTCGAACCACCACCTCTTAACTTGACAGTTAACTGTCTTAACCATTACACCACAATGGCTTCTGTTGATATCCGCTCTATCTTGTAGCACACTTAAACCTTCCTTCCAACACTTCCTACTTAATAATTCATTCTTTTTCTTTTCTTTTTTTTACCCTCAACAGGTTCGAACCACCACCCGTTAACTTGACAGTCAATTGTCTTAACCATTACACCATCGAGACTCCTCGAAAAACGTTTACATTTTTAGCACACTTAAACCCATCTTCTGAGCAATTTCAAAATTGATAATGTTTCAGCATTTAATCACATTTGTGTTAACAAATGGCTATACAATAAACCAATGATGTATAACTCTGATCACACGCAGTCTTACCTCGCCTTCAAAAACAAGCTCAACGCCAATCAATATACCTCTCTCCAACACAAATCTTGAAAATGTGAGAAAATATAATGAAAATGCTGTATTAAAACATATTACTCATTTGCAATTTATTTATGTTCATTTCATGCGATACTACACGTTTATCTGCGTTCGGGATAAATGAATGAATAAAATATTAGCACCCCAAACGCTACCGCAATAATCCTTTGAATTAATTTAAGAATTAAACTGCTATTAAAATCCGTTTCTCATAAACCATGTGAATCCAATCTGATACGATCTGTCCACAGATCACTAAACATTTTTTATGTGGTTGTTTATCCAGGATATATAGTTCTTTACTTTCGTGTACACCCCATATTTATTTGTCTGACCACACCTATCTCCCCAGCTTACGATACCAACTAAGACATTCTTCATAGAGTTAGCATTTTTGACAGTTAGAGGCCCACCAGAGTCACCTTGACAAGCATCCCCTTTACCATCAGTGCGACCTGCACACAACATGTTCACCGTAATGATATATTTCGGTAGATGATTCGCCTTACATATTCTGTGAGAAACCGTTTCAATTTCAACCGTGTGAAGCCTTTTCACTGGACGGGTCTTACCCACTTTCCTAGCTCCCCAACCACTAATTCTCGCTACATTTCCACCGTTTGAAAGAGCAAAATCTTCGGTACTCGTTGGAAGACAGACTGGTATTACATAGTCAGTGAATATAGCTTGTTTTGTAAACTTGAATACAGCAATATCAGAGTCAAAAGTAGATGGATTGTATTGGGAATGAAGATGTATCTCAGAAATGGACATTCGTTGTTCTGATGAATCATCCCTGTTCCATTGGTGCTCACCCAATATTGCTACCACGTTGTTCATATTTTGTAAATCTAATATAAGTCAAAAGAGATAATCATTATTTTTACCAAGAAAATATTCATTACACGTGCTGGTTCAGTGTTCACATTAATATGTGTGCTTTGGGTCTGAACTACCTCAAATGAAATCTCAAGCGCACTAAGAACAAGCTTTTCAGCGTCTTGTTCTGATCCAGTACAGGTAATGCACTACAAAAAGCTATCGTTATGGCTGTACATCACCTTGTCCCCCAATTGCTTCACATTGAAACTGAATACTAAAATTACTTACACAAACAATGTGCAGCAGTGATTCCCCATCTTTCATTCAGCAAACTAGCTCCGCAAAATGGAGCTTTAGTCACATTGTTGAAAAGTAATATCTGCCAGGGAATAGAACCATGCTCAGCTCTTTGTCCGCCAATTATCTTAGCTCTGGTTGTAAATTTTGCCTTTCCGCAAGCTACAGTAAAGATAAAAATTGTCAGATACAACAACAAAAGTATATCACACACAGTAAATTCCGATATACTTACCCATCTGTTTTTGTCTTACGGTCAAATACATGGACGCGTGTCTGCTCCCGGCTGCGTTCTTCGCCTCACAGCTGTATAATCCTGCATCGTCAACCAATGCACGAGGAATATGCAGATAATCGGTCACACGATCTTTGTAATATCGGAGAGAGGGTCCCAGTACTTTACCGTCTTTGTACCACGTTATTACAGCCTTATCAATTGATCTTTTGTCAGCAGAACACTCAATCGTCGCTGCATACGAAACTTCGACAGTCTTGTTGCGAGGCAGCCTGGTAAATACTGGTAGAGCTGAAATATAAAACATTCATATCGTATATTCTCATTATTATTTTCGATACTATCAAATAAATGCTACGACAAAGTAAATGGAATATAATACTTGAACATAGTGCTGAAATGAAACACACGCGACACCTTTGCACTGAGTGCTGCTTCCACTCCATTTGCCTGTCGGTAAACACCGACGATCATTCGATCCGAGATGTACAAATCCCGGATTACACGTGAGAAGGATTCTATCTCCGATGTTGTATTTTCCTCCAGCTTTTGTTGGACGTGGATTTCGCCCTCCAAACAATGGTATCCCTGGATCTGTACAGAAGCTAGCTGTGGAGACATAAAAAATAGATGAATATGTGTTTGCGATTAGAATGTATTTATTAATTGCTACCTTTCAAAGCCGTTCCATTGTAAATCTGTAAAGAAAATGGTTTCAGAATTCCAATTGCAATCTCGTCAGGCTGTCGGTAAGATTGGCGTTTATCCAAAGAACGAATATGACCCGTCCAATCCGTCCAGTACAATCTAATTTGAATAGAAAATCATTCTAAACTTCATTATGATGATATACTTTTCATCACGTATAAATAGTGATGATAATACAGTATTGGTGTCTATGGTGGATGCTTTACTCAACCACGATCGAATCGCTTGATCAGATTTCTGTAATAATATTGGCTAGCAATAGTATTAGTGTAGTACTCGTGCTGTAATCAATGCAATGGTAGTGAAGTCTGTATTGCTGTAATGCTATTAAGATAATGCTATACAGCGGTGGCTACAATAATAGTCATCTCATTCCTCACCTGTTTCCAGCTATTCCCAAACCGTATGGATGGGTAACACCATTCGTTGTAACAGTGATTCTTCCATTACCCTGTTATATAATAATTGTAACCAGAAATTAACGCGCTTCAGAACGAGATCATTAAACTAAAAAGGATATTTTTAGCTTACGTCTAAGTCGCTCATTTCTATTTTCTTAGAACGAGCATCCGCCCAGTACAAATATTTTCCATCGTTTGCTAAACCATTAGGCCATTGCAGGCCACTTTGAACGAGAACGACTCGATTGCTACCGTTCGTGTTGATTCGCTCTATCTTCGCTACTGCACCCCAACTTGTCCAAAATAACCATCTAAACGTTAAACAAACTGTCATTACCCATAATTATCTTGGTATAGATAGATGTATAAAAATCTATATAGCGTCAAGGGGATACATGTATGCCATAGCCATAGGTTCAAGAATCGCATGAAAACAAATTTCTTTTTCTGACCCTAGCTTACCCGTTCTTTTGATGCAATGACAAGGCTCTAGGTTTATCAATACCAATAACAAACGACGCAACATTTGCTCCGTCCAAGAAGGAACGAAACAAAGTGCCAACTTGACCATCAGCCCAATACAATCTTCCCGCTTTTGGATCGATAATCATTCCATCTGGTAGAATGACTTGGTTGCTAAGTTTGAACATTGAAATGTTAATTTGAAGCAAAGATAGAAAAACTGTATCGTCAACAGTTGCATGCATGCGGTACTGCTATCATGATAACAGACTACATTACTTACATCTGAAATGTTTTTGGAGCCCTTTGCCCAAACTTACTTTATAATTTCTTGCTTATTCGTTCCATCTAGATGTGCCCTGAATATCTTCTGTGCTCGAGCATCTGCCCAGTATAGATATTCGTCCTTTGCGTTATAGAAGAATGAAATAATTTGTTGCCCGTGAATTGGGATTCGTGTAAACGATACACGTTTCTCTGCATAATAGACACTTGCTGACCAAATCGAACCTACTGTCGAGTACAACAGAGAGACATCTGGCCTGGCAGCTAGTAAGGAAGAATACAGGTTCACTAAAGATCACCTCTTCTGATCCAGGCAACAAAACAGTTCTAAACTGTTCTTTTAACAAGTTCAGTAAGAATCATCTGCTCCTGACACAGTGTTGCTCCAGGAAAAATCTACTACATCTTCCACTCAGTGTTCATTAAAGTCAAACACTGTGCTCCAACAAGAGGTTTGAGTGATCATAAACTGCGATTACCTGTGAGAAAACATTTCATTCCATCCAAGGCAAGTGTATAAGATGCCCGACAAGAACAACTTCTGCCATTGGAAAGACCAGTACAAGTATGGCTGCATCCACCATTATCTTTTAGGCATGTTCGTGCATTATTGACAACGACTGCAAATTATAAATATTGTGTATTAAATTGAAATGTGTAGAAAGCATCACGACCGCCCGAAGTAATATGACAAGAAAATTATAACTTAAAATGATCTTCAGAACACTCTGGTGTTTTGAAAATGGCGAGGTTCATAATCAAGTTCCATTAACACTGGACCTTTCTGAACCTACTAAGCATCAGATTGGCCAATAACCGAGCCTTGATGTTTCTGATTGGTTAACGTTGCTATCATAGTGCAAGTGGTAAATTCTAATCTGAACGTACCTAAGCACTTACCGAGGACTCCCAGATAACAAAAACTGCATTATCAACGGAACATTATATTGACTCACCTGGGTTCCTTGGTGTACATACATCCTTCATAACACATCTTTCGGAGGACCCACACGCGGGACTACACGTGGAATGCGAACTAGGAGCAAGATTCTTGACAAACAACACTCTACTACCACTAACAGTTTGTTGGTAGACAACAAACGCTCTGCTATGTCGCGCGTTGTAAATAACAACAGCGCTGCGTTGAATTCCAGACACTGGATTAAAAGCGCCATCTTTCACAAGATATCCGCCAAGTCTCGCCCCTTCCTCCCAGACCATAACATGAGCGTTGTTTGTCGGTAGAAAACAAGAAACTGAGTTCTTCACGTTCTTGTGTTGCTTACAATTGTGTGCATTCATTTCACGTCTGAATGTTCCTGGTAAACCAACTACAGTCGAGGAGCTGATTACACTTGTACCATTCTCCCGGTTGTTCCAAAACACAGTCAACCTGAAAAAACAAACAGAAAACGATTATATTCAATACAAACGTTTCATAAACTTGCTTGAAAATGTGGCATTTACAGTCAAAAAGCCAAAAATCGTGGGTTAAATGTAGAACATTGGCACTTTTCCAATTACGGTAATAAAGTAAACTAATGGTGGAAAGACAATCCTAAGTTCAGGCTCTTATATCATTTCATCCACATCTCTCTTCCGTCTTTTCGTGTGTGTGTTGTTAATAAGCATGAATAATTAAAATGAAACTTTGGAAAAACTACATACCACCCATTATTCCGGTCAAAAAACCCATCAAGATGAGCATTTCGTTCCCTGGTATAACCGACCATGTATCTCACAGACATACTGCTGCCTAGTTTCAAAAGCGCACCAGTTGCATTTGCCTTTGAAAGTAGGATTATGTAAGGATACTGCTTCAGTTTCTCATCACTCTCAGACGTCAGTGTGACGGCCCATTGTGGAACTTGATACACAATGTACACTTGTTGATGTTTTGTATCCATAAATAGTTTTCCTTCCAGAACTTCGCCTTTAAAAAGAGGCGTTAAGGACGAGGCTTTACCGTCGGGTCTCATGAAAACAACGAATAGAGTTTTGGGCGGTTCGTTCACCATAGCTGTCATCACGTATCCACCTGTAACAAAGCATAATCATGCTCAAATTAAAATGACTTACATGCAGCCCATCCCTTATCATCGTCACAAAATCAACTCAAACTTACCAGAGCCAGCGTTGTACATTAATTTTGGCTCAGTAACGGGACGGAATCCACTAGCGAATTTAGCATTCACGAGCATAAAAGGATTACTCTTCTTTACTGTTCGATGACCATGCACTCTTTGCGCGATAATAATGTGAGCACCTCCTTGTATTGCTGGCGCACTGAGATGCCAGGTTACCAGGTATTCTTGAGTGCTGGGGTTGAACGCCACAGAAGGATGCCCTTGTTCGGCTGGATGAGAAAAAAACCATAAAACATTGTCATCTCCTTGTCATCAACATGCTCAGCTTAACTAGGTCAAAGTAAATCATCAATTGTTTAACTCAACGGTCCAGAGAAGAAAAGCAATTTCTGAAAATGATTTGTTCACGACAATTAATATTAAATAGAAACCAAACCTAACCAGAACGGAAAATCTTTTATTGGTTCATCGTTACTACAGAGATGAACCCGAACTAAACTATCACCTAATGTCACACTCGACAGTGCCAAATGTTTGCTTAATTATGACATAGTTATCACAGAGCTGACCTAGACAACTAGCTCAAAAAGATACAATACTGAGAAATAATGTTCAATATATTTCCGACTTACTCGTTGCCCCCCGTAGGGTGAAGTCAATCAACTGTCGGTTCAAGATTTGTCCCAGTCCATTGATACGCCATCCATACACTCGGTCAGGAATGTTGTCATTATTCTGATCCACATCAAAAATAACGAAATATTCATTGCGGAAATTATTGTATGCAACACTGTGAGTCATTACGTTGCCTTGAATGATATTGGGCATGATCCTTGCCGGGTTACCGCCAACACCATCAAAACTGCCAAAAAATGATGTCTAAAAAGGAATGATCAATCATAAGATCTTTTATGGTCCAGAAAAACCACTTCATCTCATAATGCACGGGATGAAGCAACTGTATATCTATCAAGGAAAAAAACGCAAAGCCTGCATACATACATTACTAGATCACGCTAGTTGGGCACAGGTATCTAGTACATATTACCAGAACTGACTGAACTGCTCTCCCCAGACTGAAATTTTTCGAGTCTGGGAGAGATTGTAAACGCCATACCTGTTTAGGAAGAACATTGCTTGGTTCTTCTCCCTTATTGTTCACAACGGTTACAGCATAAAACAGGCCTGTCCCAGTTGGAGGAAATTTATCAATCCATTTTTCCAGCAGCAGATTCCGGAGTTCGGCTACATTTCTTCCCGATGCAATCGGTCGCAGGCCCGTCACAGATGAGAAGAAATTCGTTTCACGATAGATGTTGTAATGACTGAACTCCGAATTGCTACTGTGGAAGTCAGTACTGAAAAAAACGCCACAATTAAATATCAGGATAACCCAATCTTATCCATTCTCTAATATTCTAATGCACTACTTTACTGACACTACTTCTAATGCAATCAAATGTATCACGCACCTCCCTCTAATTGCTCTCTATTCTAGTAAACCCACTCTCTCATAATTTCTCTCTGATAACCCCTCTCTAATTGATATTTTATAACAAGTAACTCCTCGTATTGGGGTCCTTTCTAATAGAATCTGCTTGAAAAGCTTCTAATTTCATTCACCTCGAAGGAAAGTTGGGCTTCGACCATCGCAGAACGATGCCTTCACATTCTTGTGAAACAAAAAGCTCTATCAGGTTGTTGCTCCTAACTTGACGTCTTTTTCGCCTTCGAGCGGAAATCCCGCCGTCTTCGGTGTTCCAAATGAATCCTTTGTCGCTGTTTCCAAGATCCGGTGTTGATGTATCAATTTCTGTATGAATTAAAAACATCGTATGAACGAACCAAAACAATTCATTAATTCCAATAAATTCTAAACTAGACTCACCATTAAAAACAGCTGTTTTTTGAAAACCTTTATCAAGTTGTTCAAGCGATTGTGAGTAACTAACAAGCATTGGTTCAGAATCACCCAAACACAACACACAAGACACTAGAAAACAAAATATAAAACTGTTTCTCTAAATTACCTTTGTTATTAATGCTTTTATCGTTCTACAGTACATGTACAAATTACATGTCATATTATGCGTTATCATTCATATGAGTCAAACTATTTGTGGCAACTCTTAACTGTGGTCATATCCTGCGTATTATAAAACGACAGATGATATCTTGGTTAATTCTATCTGAAAATTTGTCAACTGTTGAGTTATTGGATTGAGCGATATACCGCATCATCAAAGCCACAAGATCTTACACTTTCGTGCCATGATTTTATGTGTAACACGGCAGCCTATATTTATCGAGCTAACGCCTGCTGTTGTATGTTGTAGACACTATCAAATTAGCAACATGAAGCTCTAAAATCATAACACACGTTATCAAAGTTAATCTACAGACCGCTGAGTGTCTGATGCAATATTAAGAGAACAACAAACGGTTGTTTAAAGAATACACAGGTCGAAAATAGCTTGCATCTTCAAAGAAAATAATTTCCATCCACGTAATACTTTAAACTAATGTTAGATGTCAAAAAACCCAACCATGTAAGTATGTACAGAAAGCAAAACTGCGCACCATAATACATAATAAATTCACGCTCGCTATAAATTTAACTACACGGGTAGTGACGCGTAAAATTTACCTGTAATCAGTAGAAACGTGGAAAACGCAAAGCTTGTCCCGCGCTCCATCATGTTGCAAGATGTTCTGAAGAGAAAGAAAATTTGGTATCGTCTTTATCGCAGCGCGACTGATATCTACTGCTGTAACGGAAGCTTTGATGCGTAGAAATCGACGAAAATTGATCTTACTATTCAGTAATTGCTAGGATCACATTGTGAAAGGTGATGAAAGTTAACCAGATGATTGTTTTAGTCCTGAATTCATGTCAGTTTCCAGCGATTTTTCCAATATTTCTAACTCGATATTCACACATCGAGTAATGTTCAGAATTGAGAATTGTTAAGTGGAAAATACCAATGGAAAATGCATTTAGCCTACGTCAGTTTATACGGAGTATAATATTGCTAAATCAACTTCCCTTTCATGCGCGTGGTCATTGGGAGGTCAATTGGTAATTAGCTCAAACAACTTGGATTTCTCAATAATAATAGGGGCATTGAGATTGTAGTCTAACTCCGCAGCCAATATCAACCCGTAGCAAAACAGATTATGTAACATAGTCTTTCCTGGAACTTTAAACCCCCTGCAGTATTTGTCAGCTTTTCTGCCTGCCAAATCTGCTAAAACAGATTCGGTTCCCTGCAGTGTTTATTAAACAACTTTGGGCTGAAGCCAAATTCTTCATTAGAATAAGTTTGCGCAAGAACGTGATATGACGAGCGAAGCCCAACTGGTGGCATGCATGCAATCAGGAAACAGCTTAATTTTTAATTTTACAACTTTATATAGTTAATTAAAAAGAATTATCTTTATCAAAATGATTACATAATAAAATTTGATACAGCTTTTTTAGCCTTTAAAAAGTATTAGTTATTTTGTAATATTTAAATTTACTTATCACTTATTAATTTATTTTTTTATCTTATTTGTATTCACAGGCTGTGTCGAATAACATGCAGCCTATAGTATATCAAAGAGAGCCAACTTTTCGTCGTGAAATAACAATTATAAAATACCATTATTACTGTAAAAAACCTCTTGCCATGGCAGTTAATCTATCTTTTAATTTAAAATTACTTATGTGATAAGAATATTATTTTAAAAAACAAGTATTACAGATCGATAACTTCAAGAGATTCGGTTGACTGTGTTTTATTTACAGGAACGACCACAGATGATCTTTTAAACCATCCTCTTCCCCTCAATGACTTAAGTTGTTTTAAGTGCTTTTCCTTAGTTTCTTTAGTAAGATCGAGAATTTCTGATGCTATTTTATGAACGCATTTATCCATTGTTTTAACTTGTTCGTTTTTTATTTCGTTTTCACCTGCAGAGATATAAAACATTCACGAAGATTTAACCAGGTTTCAAATCGACACGTGTTACATGTTTTTAAAACGGTCGATGTATAAACATGCTCACAAAAGACCATGCGTAATAGAATAATAAATATAGATTAAAGGTTGAAAGGGTCATTGAAGACAGGCGTAAGATACAAGACCTTACTCAACGTTGAAAAAAATACGACTTAGATCGTTTTAGTCTTGGCCCAGTCGTATCCTCTGTTTCTTCGTTCTCATTATAGGCAGTTAAAGAACACCTTAAATTTTTGTTATAAGAGAATGCTGCAACTCTGCCAACTGATTTCATGAACTTACCATGCGGTTTAATCTTGGTTGCCAATCTTCGCCTTCTCAAAATTTCATATATAAAACCCAATCCAACTGCGGACGCCAAGGCAACCAAACAATAAAACAGCGATGTTGTGTAAATCTTTGTAGTTGGATCGAATATATTTGAAAGCTCCTCCTGAGCGTCTATTCTATCAATCTGAAACAGTACAATAGTATACGTCAATTTCAATACTGAATTTATTGACAAAATCAACCTTAATCTTAAACTTAATCCTTCCCTTTACCCTAGCCCTACCCCAATCTTAAACTTAGTCCTTAATCAGAACCCTAAACCCTCAGACTTCATCCTTATAACCTTAAATCCTAACACTAATCATAACACTCATCCCCTGACATAATTATAGGAAATTAATATTTCAGGAAGGTCACTCAAAGGAATGGTATTAGACTATCAAATGATCACAAAAACGTAAAGAAAAGCTATCGTACACGATTATAACAGACGAATAAGAAGATTACCTTTCTGGCCATTTCCAAATTATCTGCAATATGATTGAACATCTTGCTTTTTCTACTCTTCATGTACCAATCCACGCATTGCCTCATTCTCGAGCTTACGCCAGCCCAAACAATGCCGTAGGCAGCGCGATAATCCTTTAGCTTGTTCACCACTAACTTTGGGTTCTTAAAAAGATCCTTACGGCTTCCAACAACGTATGCGTCCAACAGGATTCCATCCACTTCGCCATCGAGTAACGCCTTGTAAAGTTCGTCCAAGTTATGATACGTACGAACTGTGAACAAAGAGTAATCCTACGTTAAAATCTTATATACTATGTAACTAGAGATTAAAAATCAATATATCAATAGAAACAACTGTGCTTTGTTTATTAAGAAATAAGCAGTAAAATTTTGTATCGTTATTCACGCTTTATTAAGTGAAGCACAGAAATTCAAATACAATGTCTTCCATACTGCACTCCTTATCCCAAAAGATCCTATCTTAATCTGGAGTTCGTACGAAAGAGAAACGAAGAAACAAAGAGAGTAGAATCATATTGAAAGCACCCTTCGTGCATGTGGCTGGGGTATTATTGCGCACAAACCTGTATTCATTTTTGCGTTTAAACGCACGCCGAGTCGAAATTCTGGGCTTGAATCCAAGGCGCCAACCTGAAACAGATACAACAAGCTATTAAAAGATCAGCTGGTTCTTGCCGAATAAGGTGGCATGATGCTGCTAGGATAGTTTGATAAAGTTCGGTGGAGATATCATATGGTAAGGCACGTATGCATAGCATAGTACAACATGGTATGCTATGGTATGGTATGGTGTGGTATGGTATGGTGTCGTGTGGAATGGTATGGTATGGTATGGTATAGTTGGTTAAACATAGTATGTCACATATATGGTATAAAAGTTCAGTTTGGGATGACAATGCATAACGAAAGTAGTAAAAAACATACTTTAGCGCCATAAATAATCTTCTCTGTGAAAGTTACTGATAAAGTCAACGACGAAGTGAGATTGCCCACCATGATGCCTGTGACAACCAAGCCTACCAAAGTCCACGTAATTGCAAATAATCGTCCGAGAGTGGTTTTTGGTGACCGGTCACCATAACTGTGGATAAACACATATGGTTTTAGAAATACGCTTCTTCACAGAAACATATATCCACACATAATTTATATATCAGACAAAATACGCACCCTACAGTGGTCATTGTAACATAAGCCCACCAGAAACCGTTCAAGACTCCGCGGAAAGCAGACGTTGTGAACTCCTCGCTGTTTCCAGATTTTTCCTGAAAAGGGAGCAAAATGCTTCAAAATATAACATGCCTTACTAGACGCAGCAAATTCTGCAAAATAACAAAGCAACCAACTCTATGTTATAAGGTAGAGGCAACTTATTTCAACAGAGAATCTACCTCAGCTAATTAATCCTCAGAAGAATTGGAACTACACGCAGTTCTAAAATAGGCAGTATCATTGCTTTTCTGCTCTCTTGCACAGACGTAAAATAGACAGTAAGAAATGCTACTCACAAACCACCACATAACGGCACCAGCCGCAAACGCTAGGCATACCATAACCGCTGCAAGAGGCCAGTTACCAAGTATATTCATCAACAATAGTTCACTCATATTAGTCTCCTCCTTTCTTACAATGAAGGCACTTCCAGGCGACTCAATTAGAGGAGTATATTTGTACAAACTATGGTACAAATTCATTCCAACGTAACCATACACTGGAAAAGTCAAATCCGTCAAGCCATCGATAGAATTTACCAGAGCTTCGTATCTCGTAACCTCAGCCGGATCCCCGTGGTAATTGCGACTGAAGCTGACGGTAGAATAATTGTGTGTCCTACATGTTTGACAACAAGATACCACAGCATCTTCAACGATGTATGGAAAGATTCCCCAGTCGTTTTTAAGTATTTTGTTGTCGAAATATTCTGCGTTTGTGATGTTGGTATAAGGTGCGAGATTTGTCCATTGTGTCCAAAGCGTTGGACCACATCTGCAGGTTTCTATCAACGAAAAAATAAGCACCGATGCTTATTACTTTTGAAATGGGATTTTTAGTGAACATACACTAAACCAGATCACGATAAAGAACGCAATAAATATAGCTCAAAAATGCAGAAATAACAGGAATTCGGCAAGCTGAAATTCCTACACCAAAAAGAGTTTTTCCCTTAACTTAATTCTCAGATTTACCCGAATGTTTGGGGACGAGTATTTTTTCTTATAATTTAGATAAACTGAAAATCATGGCACCAATACCCGCTCCGAGTTAGTCTTTCATTTTAAATGTGGTTTACTATTATCGTTTCGGAACTCACCGGCATAAATCGTATTGCTTCGTGGGGAACCGCCAGCAACTGTGAACGCAATCATGTATATCCGATACTCGGCAAAATATTCCAAGCCCTCGATGACATGCGAAGATACTGCGCCCGTGAGGACGATCTCTCTTTCTCTAGCGTCTGGTACTTTTTCTAGCCCAATAGCCACCAACTTTATGTATAACTTGTAGCCGAGTATGTAACCTTTCGTAAGCTCTGGTGGAACTTTAATCCATGCAACTGGGATTTTGTTTAAATTCTGAAAACTTTGGCCGGTGAAATTCAGCGGAGGAATTGTTGGTGCTAAAAAGGAATTAAGATAAGTTGAAATGCATTGCGCCAAAAAAAATTTTCACCATCAAAAATGATATACCAAAATCTAACTTACCAATTTGAAGGGACAAGACAACCTTGCTAGACCAGGGTCCTTCACCTTTGATGGTAAATGCTGTCATATTTACAGTGTAATTGGTGAATATATGCAAGTCGCTGACAGAAATGAAATGTTCATTAGGCCCGAGGATTTTATCCACCATAACATCGCCCGTCACGGTGGTGAAGACGAAATGATAACCCAGGATGATACCACGTTCATATGGAAATGGTACAGGTTTCCAGACTACCCCCATGGTGCTCGGTGATGTGGGCATACCAGCAATGTCTTGTGGAGGTAGGTCTGGCCCTGGGAAAGAAATACAGAGGTGTCTAACTAGAAATAACTTATATTATTATGAATTACACTAAACACTCTCTTGAGGTAAAGAAATTTCCACCTCCGGCCAAAAAACTTTATCAGTTTATTAGTTCAAGACGTTCAATGCTCGCAAAATTAACCAGGGCCAGTTGTTCAAAGCTAGGTTAGCGTTAACCCTGGGTTAAATTTCAATCCAGCGTTTTAGTTTATGTGCTTGTGAACCACTGTTGGTTTTGAAACTTTAGAAAATATGACTTCTATCGGTACAGAAAATATTCATAATAAAAGATATTCAACTTTGAAGACAAGCGATTGAAAAAATCAATGTGAAGATTTGCTTTAAGTTTAACCCAGGGTTAAACTAACCGGCTTTTGAGCAACCGGCCCCAGAATGCTAACATAAAATATGACGAGTTTGTCTCGAAATAGCTAGAGAATCACGTGATGGATAGAATACTTCACACATACTTCAAATAATATACTTCCTTTAGACCGAACAACCTGCGATTAAAATTCAATATTCTACGTCAGCATTCTGCCTGAGAATATCTGGATTTATCAAGAACGGCAAATTAAGGCTATATAGTCGATGTCCATAGTGACTCTCGATAGCAGAAACCAATGGTTAACAGGAAATGCTGTTTATAATAATATATGTATGTAAATTATCAGGTTGCTACGGATCACCTGAGAACTACGACAAATCAATAACAAGTGAGGAATACAAATATGGCGGTCGAACTTGAACAGGGATACGAAGACGAGTACTTCGAGATTCCTGTGAGCAACAACTTTCATTGTGTTATCTGTTTCAATGTCTTTAAAGATCCTGTGATGTGCAACTACAATGAACACATTTTTTGCCGAAGTTGTATAACGAAGCACCTCGCGAACTCTCAGACATGTCCATCGTGTAAGGATGACCTCAATGTTGAGACACTTCGTGAAGCTCCTCGAATCGTAAAGGAGTGTTTGTCTGAGTTAAAGATTCGTTGTGAATTCTTCAACCGTGGTTGTGGGTTCGTAGAGTTGGGAAAGCTTGAACGACATGTTATGGAGTGTGGTTTTGCTCCTGTCCTTTGTTCAAACGAAGGATGCGAAGCTGAAGTCAACAAACGTGATTTGATTCATCACGAAACAGCAGTATGCGAACATCGTAGAGTCAAGTGTCACAACTGTGAGGAGATACGTCAGGAGTTGAACGAAGTTAACGAAAGACTGGGCAGAATGGAAGCGAATATGAACAACAAGTTCACACAACTAAACAACACATTGAGGGCGCTTGGTGCTAAATTAAATCAACCAGAAACTTTGCAGTCTCTAGTTCGATCATTTGAACGCAATAATAGAAACGCTACACACGAACCACGAGATTCAACTAACTCCAAAGACACGCGGCTTCAGTTGCCAAACCAATCTCCACCATCTTTTCTAGAACGTAGGGAGCAGCGTAAACGAAGCCGACCTCATGTCACTACTTTACCAACTAGTCTGCCGTCATCAGGCCGAAAACGAGGCAGACTTCTACCCACGAGGAATATTACCTCACCGCCTCCCCAGCCGTTGGAGGGGTTCCCTATTACTCCCTTACCAAAATGTTACTCCCCAACACGAAATATATCTCCAATCCCGTGGGAGAGATCTCCATCACCGCCGTCGATCGTGTCTTACCCATCGCCACTGCCCTGGGAAAGGGATGAATTTTCATCGCCTCCGTCGCCCCAGAGATGCGTCCGTCGTCGCTGGACATTCTCATCTCAACCACTCTCAGACCAAGAAAACCAATGACTTTCATAAGCGACGGAAAAGGTGAACACTTCCCTATAATAGGCATCTTTCAAAGACGGAGAATGTTCTCTTATGTGTTATGTCCTACAAAATAACTTAAGATATACAACAATGCTTTGTCAATAACTACAATTCCCTTCATTGATTATGTAGTTCTTAAAGACACAAATATTACTAATAAAAATGGCTAGTGTTACTTTGTTGAAATCTTACATGATGATTGTCATAAGTACGTGTCACCTCTATCTTTAAATTTAACAGAAGAGAAATATCTCAAATACGTATCACACAATAGCACGATTCGTAGAGACTGTTGAAACCGAAAACAAAGCATTTAGACTTTCATGAGATTATTTTTTTCACACATAGACAACTATGAGACCACTAGCTCTGTCCAGTCCCAGACCTCAAGTGCTGCTCCGACAGGAACAAACAAATGAAACAATCAAACATGAAACATTCCATGTAAAAATATCAAACATGGCGGCTGCATACGTACAAGGAGGATATGAGGACGAAATATTCGAGCATTCTGTGAGCAAAAACTATCATTGTGTGATTTGTTTAAATGTTTTTAAAAATCCTGTAATGTGCCGCGACAACGAGCATCTTTTTTGTCATGGTTGTATAACTAAACATCTCCAGCACTCTGAGACATGTCCCTCTTGTATGGACGAGCTCACTGTTGAGACGCTTCGTGAAGCTCCTCGAATCGTAAAGGAGTGTTTGTCTGAATTAAAGATTCGTTGTGAATTCTTCAACCGTGGTTGTGGGTTCGTAGAGTTGGGAAAGCTTGAACGACATGTTATGGAGTGTGGTTTTGCTCCTGTTCTTTGTTCAAACGAAGGATGCGAAGCTGAAGTCAACAAACGTGATTTGATTCATCACGAAACAGCAGTTTGCGAACATCGTAGAGTCAAGTGTCACAACTGTGAGGAGATACGTCAGGAGTTGAACGAAGTCAACGAAAGACTGGGCAGCATGGAAGCAAAATTTATAGAACTAAGTGAAATAATGAAGCAGCTGAATGCGAATCTTGCAGCACAGAACAAGAAATTGGATGAACTGAGAACTGTTGAAGCAGTACAAAAGAAGAAAGTGTCCATTTATGACGACGATATCGGCCGAACATTGGTGGGAGTAAAGCATGGTAAAGAGAAAAAAAAATGGAAAAAAGCCGCTGCATTTAGTGAATCTGTCTTTGATGAAGATTAGTAATGATAACGGGATTGATACCAGAAACCAGCAGGAGAATATATAAAATTATGAAACAAAAACCTCAAGATCATCTCATCATTATTCATCGCAAAGAGGAGGCAATAAAAGTGTTTTTGTGTTGAATGGAAAAGAACACCAACACTAGTTTATATTAATACTTGTATTAACTTAACACAATTCAATAAAAAATCTTTATAACTGAATAATTATTACTTACTGTCTTGGTCAGTTTTACAAGACACCAGAACACTGCGGTTACTCTCTCCAATGCTGTTAAACACCGTCAGCTCAAAACTATACTCTGTATACTTTTCCAGATGCTTTAGATCCAGAGAGATCGATTCATAGGTTGAATTATGCACGTACTTCTGCTCTACCCCGCTGCGGCCGGTGTAGTAGATATTATAGCCAAGTATTATTCCATTTCTATCACCCTCTGGTATCATATCCCATTCCAAGAGAATGCTTGTTGAACTACTGTTTCTTGCAGTAACATTGGGTGGTGCCATGCTTGGAACTAGAAAAATATAAATGCCGTTCTTTTATGATATTATTGACTCCCTAGTCAGTCAAAGGATATGTGTACAGAGGTTTTCACCTCCGACTCCCGACTTAAGGGGGTTTGCTTCTATGCTCTCATCTGCTAAGCAGATCTGCTACAGCGGACTAGAGTATTGTGACAGGGTATTTCTTTATATGAGCAAAAATCTCTCAGACCTTATGCTGTCCTTAAAATCATATGCACGGAGAATTCAATCTCTCAAGGATGAAATGAATTTAGGATTAACTATGAATGGGATTATGCTCTATTGTTCAAATCCTACACTACAATAACTGTAGACTTACGATCTTCTGAGGTCAGCGTGGTGTATGGTGGTGACAAGACCCCATCTAGAATTGTTATCGCTTGAATCTGAACAGTGTAGTTCGTATATTCATTCAAGTTATAAATATCAGCAAATAGAGGATATCCTTGGTGGTACTGACTCACGCTGCGCCTTCGTCGTTTAAACGTCACTTTACCCGCTTCTGGTTCTTTGGGTAGTGTGAAGTTCTTGCGATGGAGAGAACCCTCGCGCGTCTTCCAGTAGAACACGCGATATCCACGCAATATGCCGTTGATGAGATCAGGGGGGACTGGTTTGAACTCAATACGCACACTCCGTGAACTGGAGTTGAAAACTTTGACATCATCAGGCGGTGAATCAGGCGCTAAATACAATTTGATTAATCGTCAAATGTAGAAGAAAACTTGCACAGCTTGTTTACAAACACAAGCACGTTTACGACTACAATTATCCATCGATGGCGAGATTAACACGCCCCTGGGTCGACCAAACCGCAAAAAATGTACACTTACCGTCCTCAGCCGTGGTCAAATTCATTGTAATACTCTTGACACCGACGTCAATGGAAAGAGCTCGGATATAGAGAGTATATGTTCGAAACTTTTTCAAATCATCAATAAGTACTTCATGTGTGGAGGAATCCGTCGTGATATTTTTAACACTAATGGACGTACTGGTTTCAATAACGTATACAATATAACCTCGAAGTTCTTTATAGGTGTTCTCGATGGGCACTGGGTTCCAGTTTAAGTTGAGTGTTGTTGAGCTGGCGTTATGCCCTGTTAGATTGCTCGGTGGATACTTGGGAACTAAAACATAAAGGAAACTAGAATAAGGAGTTGAATATTGATGCTGTGATGATGGCGATTGATGAAGATCGTCATGCTTGGGTATGGTGATGGATAAGATATCACAGTGGTGGGGATAATGATAGTAATAAGATATCGCAGTGCTGGGGATAATGATGGTAATAAGATATCACAGTGCTGGGGATAATGATGAATGATTGATGAACAAGATATCACAGTGGTGGGGATGATAATGGTGATAAGATATCACAATAATAGGAAGGACAATGGATGTTTGACGAAGCCCACAAGTACCCACATACCGTCTTCCATTGTTTTAATAACGACTTCGCTCCATTTTCCAATACCAGCCAACGTATAAACTGCAAACCTTATGATATAATAACTGTACCCAGTCATGTTGTTAAGTTCGTAGGGTGAGCCCATCGCATTCTCTGTCACATTCGTCGTCTCGTTTGTTTTATTATTGGTAGCTGTTATTAAAAATCCTTGGTATAAATGACTAAATTCTTCTGGGTTCCATTCTAGGATTATTTTAGATGCTTCTGGACTAGTCACATTTGGAAAGGTAGCCTGAAAAGGCACTAGAAAAAAAACAAGGAAATATTAAATAAATAACCCTATTGATACAGCATTAGGATTAACTAATCCTAATGAACACAACAAGCTAGATTAACTAATCCAGTCGAACCTATTTTAATCTATCTGTTTCAATTGCAATTTATCAGAAATGAAACAATACCTTGGTAGGTTGTAATATTCGAGATCTTCATATCCGGGATGACATTCTTGTCCTCCAAAATCTCAACCATTTCATAATCGGAACCATTTAGAGTAAGTTTCAACTTGCACATCATGCTAACAGGCTCCTTCCTAAGATTGAAAAAACAAATATGGGACAAATATAAGACTTGTAACGACTGAAAAAGTGGAAATTTTGAGTCTGACATATACGCGCAAGTCTAAAAATTGGAATGGCAAACTTTTCACCCTTTGGCTTCACTGAATTCCTTCACTTTAAGGAACCATCTCACAGATGACTCCATATTTTGAAACCGGTAACTGAGTTGATTCATGCAAGTAAGCTTCAAAAACTAAGTTTTCAAACTCGTAAGTTTGCTAGTTAACTAGCTACATTGTACGATTACACATATTTATGTAAAACATTACCTGCATTCATCGATAACGAATGATGTGTTTTGGAATCCAGGAAAAACCGATGCAAACTAAAATAACAGGATGGAATTGTGCTGTTAACTATTGTGCTCAGCAATCATTGAACTGGAGGTAGAAACCTAAACCGACCTTCGCTTATACTAAAAAGCCTATTTTATAGCTTTAAATATACCGAGTACTTTCATAGAATTTTTCAGGCTGAATTCATCTTCAGAAGTTAATGTTCTTACGACGCTGACGACAACATAATATCATCGTCTTAGATCATCCCTGCCGAGTGAAAACTATACTTCACCACAACTCCCTGGAAACGTGCAGTCATCGACTATTTGACTTCAGTTAAGCACAAAAGATGCGTCATCTTAGTTTTCAATTCTCCCTCTAACTCTAACTCTAACTCTAACTCTAACTCTAACTCTAACTCTAATCTCTCGTTTTAACTCTGAGATCTGCGGTAATGGAAAGTACCCTGAGACGAAGGTCGGTTCTTATTTTCGATGGCTTCTAGTCACATCTTCCAAACCTTTGTGTGTATTTCATTCTCCAAAGATTTCCACATCTTGGGTTCTTTATTCACAGGTTCGGAACCCCAGACAAAGTTAGTAAGATTCACGTCCAGTGAAGCAATCAACACACGTGGATCTGCAGGATAAAGTTTATTATGAATTTACAACGCCACAGATTGTACCGACTACAGAACCGGCGAAAGATTCGATCAACATCAGGGTGAATTGCAAAGTAAATTATCTGTTCTCATGAATATTCGATACCCAAACATACAAGTCCTCGGAAGACGATTAATTACGACACAGTTTGAATCCGTGCAAAGTAGGAAGATTCTTCACCCTACGTAGAATCATGTGATATTTTCGACTTGAAATACATGCGAGAAAACAAGAGACTTTCATTCTCCAGTCAAATCATACGAAGCAGGCATTATTTATTCGTTTATACCAACCTTTATAATAGTAACGATATATTGTCTCGATTTCAGTGTCTTCCAATGCTCGGTACCAAACCGCCACGTCATCGAATACCGCGCTGGAGTCCTTTCCACCATTTCCAAGTATCAACTTTCCCACCGGGTTTTTCACACGTGCAGCAGAGGAACATACCTTAGTCACATCGGTAGTCAATTTTACCCCGTTCAAATAAATATGCCAAGACTTAGTTTGAAGACCAAAGACAAAAGCTACAAATGTCCAAAGATTTGGCTCAATGTGGAAGGTGTGGATACATTGGGAAATAACTCCTCTTTTTTCAAACAAGATTTCCCCCGGGCTACCACCTGAGTACATAAATAATCCTGAATGACCCAATATATCGTACGATGTCTGAAGGAACATTCGATCTGCGCTGCTCGATTTTTCTGTCTCTATACTCTTGAACCAAAATGAAAGAGCCAATTTTCCACAAACGTCAGATCTCCTAAAGCACTTGTCGTTGCTAATCAGTTCCACTTTTCCATCGTTCTTAATCTCGATACCAGGTCCGTTAACTCCGATATTGGAGGAAAGATTGGCTTGAACTAATGCCCAGGCATACTCGCTACCACTTTCTTTTAAGATGTTATGTTTTGAATCTAACGACCAATGATATGCTGTATCTGCGTAAATTGTGTTGGGTGATGCTCCTAAACAAAACAAAATCAATATATCTTCTTTAGTATTGTAATTGATTGCAATACCACACAATCTCCTGGTGGTAGCTTGTTGACAGGGGAAAATACACAAGGAAACTCCTTGTGTTTCAAGCAAAGATTCCGCAGGAGTGTTAGCAATACCACACGAAATATACACCTTTATAAAAAGCTTGGGTTGTGACGTAGTCGCGGAGGAAGCCTGATTGGTCAACTGAATACACTGGCAAATCAGACTGGCAAATCAGAAAAAGCCTTCGTCTGAAAACTACGTTTTACATAAAGATTTATAAGATTATGTATTTTATATATATTCAAACCTATTGAACACCAAGAAGGTGGACGACCAGTAGAGTCGCAGATACATTTTCCTGTAATTTGGTCACAAACGTCTTTCGATTTACACCCAGGAACGCATACCTCGTCTACAAGAAAACGTCGAGTATATAAATACAAAATCTTTCGCTGAAAATGTGCCAAGTGGTCTCTGTTTAAGATTACATAATCTAATGTTCAATATGAACGTGGAAAAACAATTAGATATGAACCCTACCGTGGGGTTGAAGGACCTCAAAATCATCTGCAGTAAATTGGCCTACCCCGGCCATGGAGTCTAAATGGTCCACCCTAAACACACGACCAAGGACGTTCTTCACAATGGGTTCTCCTACCCAGGTTATTGAAAGCTCGTCATTGGCAAACGTCATTCCTTCATCGGTGAGAACAACACCTCCATTACTAGAAGTCTGGTTAAATATTGAAGACGAGGACTCTTTGAGGGAAAACAAGAAGCTTCGATCTAAAAAAGATGAAATCGTTATTGTATGAGACATTTACATTTTCTCCCAACGTTGATTTCGACATATGTAGTTAGCTTAATTTTCTCAGGTAGTTCAGACACAAACCACGACAGTATATTGTAGAATACTACCTACACTGAACCACCACGTTTGAGATATCTTTCTCAGGTAGTTCAGACACAAACCACGACAGCTTATTGTAGAATACTACCTACACTGAACCAACACGTTTGGGTATCTTTTTTAGGTAGTTCAGACACAAATTGTATCCACATGATATTCACTCCCCATTTTTGTATAACAATATATGTAACCCTCCACTCTTACTTGAGTTGGAATGATCCATGCATCCTCCGATAAGAACACGTTCCTTGCGAATAAGAAGCAATTTCGGCACGTCTCCGTTCAAAGTGCAGTTAAAATTTGCAACTCCCTCGTTAGTAAGATAAACACACGGTCTCCAAAACTCAGAAAAGATACCACGAGAGCCAAGCCACTCTGACAAAAGTCGTTTTGGTGTTGTCATTGTTCCTAGTATTGATGAGCCTACGAATCAAACAAAAAGAATTACTACCAGGAAAAAAACGTGAAAAGAGTAAATCATTTTCCCGTGATAAACATTTGTATTATAGCACTTTGTCATGTACACTTTTATCGCAATTAGGAAATAGTGAAAGAGAGAGGGAGAGAGCTGCATCTTCTCTCGACCTTGTTCCTACAAGATTGTATTTTAGTTATAAATGATTTAGTTGCTTTCACACTAACCACTTAGTGGTTGATTTGGTGTTATGCTTGTGTGGTTTGCGGATACCAAAATCCTCTCAGTTTCTCCTAATGATACAACGAGACTCGAAGTATTCTCGTGGACCTCAACGACACTGCCAGCACTATAAGCGCTAGTTTTATCATTGTACGTGACGACAGAAGCACCAGGCAGAGTGCTCTTAATCTGTACTGGAGTAAAACGCATCACCGTGCCATCGTAATCTCCGCATGAGATCGAACTAGTACCGAGTTTCAATACATTCAACTTGGAGTAATTCACACCTGAAACTGCAAAAAGATGAGCGACGCATGAACATTAGAACACTCTATGTCACAGCTGAATATAAGGACGTATATACCACATGCATTATGTCTTAGATAACAAGGTTGTTGAACAGGGCAAACGTATATTTCAAACGTAAATGTGATGACTTAAGGAGTCAAAGAAGAGTCGGTAAATGCAGTAAGGTCCTGAGGGGGCCGATTGTATCAAGCCCGTTTAGTTTAAACGGTGGATAAGTTCAAAATAGAAAGCAATGACATGAATTTCATGAACGGATGCACGGAAGTGTTCGACTATATATTCACTACCTTTTAGTAATATCGTTGTCCAGTGCCAGCGCACTTCAGAACATCCTTCCCTTCCTAAAGCTAATATATCGCCAACCTTAAGACCATTCCATCCCTCTGCTGCCTGGATACACAACAGACTTCTGACATGCTGAATCGATCCTGTTGGAGTGATTCTGAAAGCATCTTCACTTGGACTACACGACGTACTGAGCACGACTTTTGTACCCTCAATGACATCATCTGTAACAGGTCGCAGACATTTCTCCTGTATTTTCAATATACCGTCAGACTGCCACTCGATGCTTTGGGATAACGCGGTACATGTGGTGATAGTAACATGGCTGCCGTCCCTAGCGACAGATAAACACGAACATTCGCGTTTGGGGGAAATCACTGAAGAAAAAAATAATAATGAATACATTTGAGTATACGACCGTTGACGCAATCGTTAACATATAAAGAAATAATATCTTTTAGGGGTTGTTTACATGAGTTCGATTTCCAGAGATTCAACGAAGAGTGAGATGATTTTGAGGTATTGAAAAAAGTCTTTATGAAACAAAACAAGCAGATGTTATTGTCAAGATGACTACACCACTGCCAGGATTATGATGTATGCTCATTTCAATACTTCAAAGTCATTTCCTGCTTCGTCGAATCTCAGCTAAGCGGAATCATCTTCGATTTCCAACCCTACTAGTTAAATTTGATCGTCAAGATAGTTGTTTAGATGGGGGTGTTTTTCGATTACCTGAGATTGTCGGTTTAGCAACAGATGGATAAGTGTAACATTGACTGTCAACAGTAAATACGACATTATCCAAAGCAATATCGCTCGTATAACCGTCACCTACAACAGCTTCGAACATTATCTGGAAAGAGACAGAAAACTGAACTGTTTAAAATCTTTAGCACAAATAAGTTGTGTACAAGATAAATGGCGGTACCTCGTGGAAATCTTGCAATTTGTTCTTCTCCAACTTCACAACTCCCTGCTTCCATTCCTTTCCTTGGTCACCAACTATTCTCCATAATAGCGTCCGGTTTTGATTGTCCATCCCGGGACCAAATACGTTTAGTCTTCCCATGTTTTCTCCGTGCATATGGTATGAGAAATGCAGGCAGTTATACAGACCAAAGATCGTTGTGGTGAGGAAACCACTGAAGCCTTTCGCAGCAGGATAGGAAGATTCCATATACGCAAATTTTTCTCTTGCTGAAAAGAAAACGATTTCAAGATAAACATACGAATAAACGAACCTCAGGTTTTCATGTTTATAATCCCTAGGAACAGTCGCTTTCAAACGAGTCGGGTATAAGATGATTACTTAAATACCCCCCACCTTCTAGAGCGCCCCCGTCCACCCTGGAAGAATATGGAGCATGTAATAATTCATCATTTGAAAATACAATTCCTTTCATTTAGTCCAACTTACTCATATTATACACAGCAACCTCACACAAGGTCAACGGGTCAACATCAAGATTCATTATGTTGACAATGTCCACAAAAGACTCGTGCTCACAGTAGAAGGATTTGCCAGTTTCAAATTCTGTGTTAAATCCATCCAACTCGGCACATGACGCTGTCGAAGCTGAAACTTTGTATTTAGCAAGCTTTTGATGATCATATCCACGCTTGAAAAATACTACAACCTAAAGAGTTAAAAATGAAATATTCTTGGCGAAGATTCATACTCCCGTGCGCTTTATTTGTAGAATTACGAGGATTTAAAGCAACATTTGGGGTAGGTTTGGGACAAGAGAGGATATAGATATCGCAATAAGGATGCATAAAAAAGAAATCAATTAACTGATTGCGTAGAAGATATAATTCTCAGGGACCGCGAAACCTGTTCAAGAGGGGGAGGTAGCGGCCAGAGTTAAATACCAATTTTACACCAGGCGCAGAGAATTATCCGATAATTTTTGTTCCAGGAATAGGTATACTGGTAGCAGGGGTAGCAGGTGTTAAAAAAATCGGCACATGGTAATCTTATACATACCAATTTTACTTTTTTAGGTTCATCAAAACGAATGGACAATGTTTCGGCTGGTTGCACTAGTGCACAAGTCTCCAGGAAACCATCGACTAGGAACGAGGAGTTACCCTCAGAGCTCCCCGACAATGCTGTGCGACTTCCCCAAGCGAGATTAAAGTCTGTTTGAATTGAAGCAAGCATAGGAGTCAAGTTTATTTTCCCCCTTCCAACCCATACTGCCACCCCAATAGATAGAATACACACTGACCTTTTTTTTGAACCCCTTCATCAGGTCCTGTATGGTTACTTGGTGTTGATGAATCGGTCATTGTCCAGTTCATATTCTTCCACATGCTTTGAGAGGTATCGTCAAAACCACATGAAACTGAACGGAATGATAACTGTGATTAAACAAGTTCAACTTAAACTCAAACAAATTAAACAAGTGGAAAATAATGTGTATACCTCCATAGATCATCGATTTATATTCCAAGGGAGGAGTAAATCTCTTTAAAACAAACAAATTTGCCATACGAAATTTATGTGACACTGTTAAATTACTCTTCTTTCCAATCATAAACTTGTCCGAAATTCGTAAGTATTTTGCTTCAGTAAACCGGCTCGGCTCCTTCGCGGCCATTTTGAAATCTGCATTCTCGTACACCTTGATACCAGCCTTCTCGCTCCAAGTAAAGGCAAGGTGGGTCCACTCGTGAGTTTGCCATTCCCAAAACACTTCCCATACCGCTCTGTCGGCTTGAACGGCGAAACGATACTGCATTAACGTATGCTGCTCCAGAAATATGCCTCTAGGATCTTTAGTCGTGTAGATCGACGTTGAAAGTATGTTAGTCCCTAGTAAAGATCGATTAGAAATTTCCCTTGGGTTCAACAACTATTTAGGAGATTACCAATAGAAATAGAATTGGCTAAACGTGTTAAAATGTACACAAGAATATGCATACATAATAATAAAAACTCATAATTGGTTTTATAACAAGGCGTTTGGCAGTTAAAAATTAATTACACGATACAAAGATGAAAGAACTACTACAAAAATAAAAATATAGTAACTCATAAATTTTTTGGCAACGATCAATGTTTTTATAACGCTCATCTACCTCGCAATGCTCTGTACAATTCAATACGGGTAAGTCCGGTTGGAATACTTTCAGGATATAATCTAACGAATCGAGCGATAAATGGCTTCAAAAACACATTCTTGATTTTTCGTGTATCATTATATCCTACAAAAACCTGAAAAACGATACAAAGTCATGAGTAACACTTAACTGTCGTAGAATATGGTGAAATAGAGCGGGGTACTTGGGAGTACGATACAGCACAGTAGTGTACTAAAGAGTACAATAGAGTACAGCAGGGTAGAGAACAATACAGTACAGCAGAGTACTAGAGAGTACAGCAGGGTAGAGAACAATACAGTACAGTAGAGTACTAGAGATTACAGCAAGGTAGGAAACAATGCAGTACAATAGAGTACTAGAGAGTACAGCAAGGTAGGGAACAATACAGTACAGCAGAGTACTAGAGAGTACAGCAGGGTAGGGAACAATACAGTGCAATAGAGTACTAGAGGGAGTATAATAAATTACAACAGGGTGAAGTGCAGTATGGTTGAATACATTTACGACACAGAAAATATCAATATAGAACAGTACAGGAGAATGAAATGCAGTAGAACACACTAACATCATAATACAGGAAAGCGCAGTAGGAAGGAAGTTTTTGGAGTTAACCATGCATGTGCATTATTTTTAAAAAGTGAGACTTACTCTTGGTTGGCCATTTTCCGTATAAACAACAAAAGCATCAGAGGACTTCCCATGATGCAATTTGTAGGACTTGCAGTAACTGTATTCGCGGTTAGTTATAGAACCCAGGGTCGCAATATGTGTTAGTGTTTCATCTTGATTCAATTTAACTTGAAGCCATTGGGGAGTTCCAGACTCACTTGACCTCCAACCTTGATGATCTGTCATAAAACGCGCCTTGTTTGGTCGAAAGTCTTTGTAGACACTTGAAACTGTGATACTTGTATCTGGTATGACTCCAGACTGCATACCAAGATCTATGTGAACAGAAAAAAATCCTCATCGATTGTCATCAGGTGATAGACCTTTATGAGGTCAAGCGCAGAGAGTGTGATGTTAGACGAAATTAGATTATAGTACAATGGTTTACTTATACTTCATAGCACCATCTCGTACCTCTGAATGTCTCCTGCTTTGAGAAACACTTTGTATTTAAGAAACAGCAGCCGAGATTTGTGCAATTAACTTCCGAGATGCCAGGTGAGACACCAGGACAGGCTACTGCACCGTTTGAGGTGCTTGGACACACTTGAACTACAAAAAATAAGAAATAAATTAGCATATTCGGATAGGTCCTTACTAAGACAGTCTAGTTTGCCATCCACTTGTCGTTTTCTTGTCTATACCATTTACCTGTTTCATAAAGTTCAATTCTTATGCATCCATAGTTTCCTTCCTTCTCGACAAATGAGATTTTTACAAACTTTGTGTCAACTGCATATTGTAGTGTCGTTTTCTTCACTGTTTCTTCATCAGTATTTCCTGTCAATATCTTTTTGCCATAGAAGAAAGAATTAAATAGGATAGGGTTTACCGACTTCACCCCCTAACTCTATAGGAAGGGACCATCTTCAGCATCTATATAACTACTTTTACTATATATAACGAACCAAACACTGGGTTTGTAAATTTCGATTTGTTATACTTCTATATCTCATCAAATCTTCTGTTGGTAAAGGATTTAAGTTAACCACAACTTTTTCACCTGACTTTTACAGTGAAAACATGCCTTGATGCTTGGGCTGACGGGGCAATTCAAAAACAAACCAACATAGTTTAGCCCGACTAAACCATTAATTTTAGAAGATATCTTCAACATGCATCGCAACGAGGAATAGTTTATGTATTGCTCTACCTTCTCCGTAAAATTTTCTTTATAGCTCGTCCAGTAACTTCCATCCATACTGAAAAACAATTTGAACGTTTTTACTCGATTTCCAACACACCCTTGGGTGGCGATTTCTTTTATCCTTGCCACGCCATTTAGTTTTATCTGTATCCATGGCGACGGGTCCGTTCTTAAGGGGAGCCACCGTCCAGTGCTGTGGAGGCGAGCGTATTTTCGTGCAAACGTGGGAGTTTCAGAAAACGAAGCTGTTATTTGGTCATCTTTTATCACGCTGGGGAACTCTATTCCCACTGCCTCGGACGGAACTAAATTAAAGAAAAAAACAAACTTAAAAGATATGGAACAAATATTTCATTTCTAAAAAGGAATTGCCTTATTAGTGCAATCATTATTGCTTCTTCTGGACCCAATGCAGAACTAGTTTTAAACTCATGCAAAGTGCTTCTCACCATGGGCATAGAATACTTCAATCTGATCAACGGTGAACACGTCAGTCGATGTGAAAAACGAAGCATCTGTAATCCCAGGAGGAAGATTGTAGGTTTGACCCAAAGTGCTTGAGCTTTCTGGCGATGCTATCTTAAGGTCGAAATTATTTCCAAATGTTGGCCCCAAACCACTGTCGATGTACAGAGCGAAGGCGCTTTGACCAGACTTGATCTCAAGTTTCACTGGAGCAATATGGGAAGGATTGTAAATACTGAACAGAAATGACGAGTGACTTGCCAGGTGCCTTGAAGATCCTTACAAAATAATTGAAATAAAAAGCGCTCATCAATAATTTCCTTTGTAGCTATGATAAAATATGCGGTTGTAAAAAAACAAGACAAAAGTATAGGTAGTCACCTCCCCAGTTTTCGTTCGAAAATCCACCGAAAACATTCTCTCCGACTCTAACCAAGGTCAGTGTAGCTCCAACGTAGTCACATCTTTCATGGAAATCATCGGTGTCCATACCTGGCCCGGCATGGTGATAGCAGAGTAACCAATCACTGATATCGAAAGCAGCTGTGTCCAACCATTTCAATAACGTCGGATAATGTAAGTCTGACTCGGGCAATATTTTCGATTGTAGACCTGGAAAGCAAAGAGATGAAACGCAGATGATAGACCTTTCTCACAATGAAGTGAAACGTGGATACCCTTATGTTACACGAAGTTTGATTGGCTCCGCAAAACTAACTAGCCAATCAAACTTCGTGCAACATTAGGTTTTCCGCATTTGGGGAGCGTCTATTCTCTCGACACGTAGGGAAGCACATTATTAAGCTTTGACAAATGGCTACTGCATGGACCAAACAACAAAATCTTTCATCGGCATTTTCGCTAACCTCAAAACACGCATGATTCTGATATCTATATGATATAACTTGCCTTCACGCCTCAACCACAGTCCAATTGTAAATCCAGTTTTTCGACAGATTTCAGGGTCAGTCAAACAGTCATCAATGATGTTTAACTCCGCATATTGCCCATTATTTCCGACATTCATTACACCACCAGCCTCAATCGGAGGTCCACCAGATGGTGCACGTAGATTATACTCATTCAGAACATCTTTATATGCATTTTCTCCTCCGTCAATCTCATTGAATGGCCAAAAATGCCTCTCTAACACAGAAAATCGCTATTACTATAGATTTATACCTTCTCTAACTATTTTGTGTTAAAAATCATGCGAATCGACTGTTTATATATCCATACTCATTTTATTTACACTGGATAGCTCTATCAGTTCTAAACTGTTCTTCTTAGAGGTCCAGTAAGGATCATCTTTATTGATCCAGTGTTTCTACAGGAGAAAACCTAAACTAAACTAATTTATTTATACTGGATAGCTCTATTAGTTCTAAACTGTTCTTCCAAGAGGTCCAGTAAGGATCATCTCTTATTGATCCAGTGTTACTACAGGAGAAAACCTAAAGTAAACTAACTTTATTTATACTGGATAGCTCTATGAGTTCTAAACTGTTCTTCCAAGAGGTCCAGTAAGGATCATCTCTTATTGATCCAGTGTTACTATAGGAGGAAACCTAAAGTAAACTAACTTTATTTATGCTGGATATAGCTTCAGCTAAACCCAGAATTTTTCAGAAGTTTACTGCATGTTGTCTACACACCTGGTTTAACACATGTTGTTGCATCATATTCCACATGTTTCTCTATGTAATACTTGATTTCAGGCCAGGCAACAATATCTCCTGTTTCACTACCACATTTTTTAGCCATTTCTTTTATTTCATCCGCTGAATATTTTTTGATCCAGATATTAAATCTCGATAAATCTCCGATGAGCCGAGATCCCTGAACGACTTCCCCAGACATGGTCACCTCATGTCCGATGAACAGCATTCCATTATCTAGAAATAAATACGAATGAAAAAAGTCCAGGTTAAAAACTTTTCTTTCTTATCGCTATCGCTAGTAGAGTCATCGCATTTGATTAGTTCATGTTCGCTCTTGTTCGGTGATCAACGTCGCTCATGATTGATTAATCTGATACAGTCATCGCATTTGATTGGTTCATGTTCTCTCTTGTTCGGTGATCAACGTCGCTCATGATTGATTAATCTGATACAGTCATCGCATTTGATTGGTTCATGTTCGCTCTTGTTCGGTGATCAACGTCGCTCATGATTGATTAATCTGATACAGTCATCGCATTTGATTGGTTCATGTTCGCTCTTGTTCGGTGATCAACGTCGCTCATGATTGATTAATCTGATACAGTCATCGCATTTGATTAGTTCATGTTCGCTCTTGTTCGGTGATCAACGTCGCTCATGATTGATTAATCTGATACAGTCATCGCATTTGACTGGTTCATGTTTTTCAAAACAGGCAAGTTTAGATTAAGAAGGAAAACTTCAGGGACGACATGAAATTGGCGAATAGCTGTGATGCGCCGAAATATCAACATACCACATCATTTTCACCTCTCTTTGACCCTCTCGTGCTTAAGCCGAATGCGTCTGATATGCGTGCTAAGCCAAATGCGTGCTGAAGCCGAATGCGTCTGATATGCGTGCTAAGCCAAATGCGTGCTGAAGCCGAATGCGTTTGATATGCGTGCTAAGCCGAATGCGTCTGATATGCGTGCTAAGCCAAATGCGTGCTTAAGCTGAATGCGTCTCGGACACGTGCATGTTTATTTGTAATTGCACTCAAAACTAAGCTATTACCTTTATTGCTTACATGACCGTTATCGAAAAAATGAAAGAGGTATTCGCCGTCAGCAAAAACATCAATATGGTAACCATCTTCTCGAAGACAATAATGATGCCATTTGCCATCCAGTGAGGAAAACCATTCCCACCTTCAAGAGGAAGAAAAAAAATTGAGGATACAAGATATAATAATGCATTATCTACACTATTTAGCTAGGTTTTCACAAGCATTCATAAGGTCCGTTTACACCACCTAATTCTGTCGGATTTAATTCACTTCTCATGGATGTTTTATTGTCTGTTGTCTTATGATGTTTATGAGCATCAAATCAACTAAAGCCTATACAGTATTGCTTTATCAATAACAGACTACATTCCATACGTCAGAAGTGAACTGGATCCGAAAAAATTGGATCGTGTAAATACACCACAGTTTATACCGCAAACATATTGAACTGAACTGAGTTGAGTTGAACTGAACTGAACTAAACCCAGCTGAGGCCGGTTGTATCAGGCCCGTTTAAGTTAAACGGTGGTTAAGTTCAAAATAGAAAGCAAGTCTATCGTTTTATTCACGAAGCAAACTAAATGTTTTTAACCTTAATACAAAGATACTGTTTACAACTACATATTCAGTGCACAATATTCAAGTTGACTCATTCAAGAGAGATGTAAGAGTGTTTTTTAATTTTGACTTATCCACCGTTTAAGCTAAACGGGCTTGATACAACCGGCCCCTGAACTGTACTGAACTGAACCCAGCTGAACTGTACTGAACTGAACTGAATTGAACTAAACCCAGCTGAACTGTACTGAACTAAACCCAGCTGAACTGTACTGAACTAAACCCAGTTGAACTGAACTGAACTAAACCCAGTTGAACTGTACTGAACTAAACCCAGTTGAACTGAACTGAACTAAACCCAGCTGAACTGTACTGAACTAAACCCAGTTGAACTGAACTGAACTAAACCCAGTTGAACTGAACTGAACTAAACCCAGTTGAACTGTACTGAACTAAACCCCGTTGAACTGAACTGAACTAAACCCAGTTGAACTGAACTGAATTGAACTAAACCCAGTTGAACTGAACTAAACCCAGTTGAACTGAACTGAATTGAACTAAACCCAGCTGAACTGAACTGAACTAAACCCAGTTGAACTGTACTGAACTAAACCCAGCTGAACTGTACTGAACTAAACCCAGTAACCCAGTTGAACTGTACTGAACTAAACCCAGTTGAACTGAACTGAACTAAACCCAGTTGAACTGAACTGAATTGAACTAAACCCAGCTGAACTGAACTGAACTAAACCCAGTTGAACTGTACTGAACTAAACCCAGCTGTACTGTACTGAACTGAACCCAGTTGAACTGAACTGTACTGAACTAAACCCAGCTGAACTGAACTGAACTAAACCCAGTTGAACTGTACTGAACTAAACCCAGCTGTACTGTACTGAACTAAACCCAGCTGAACTGTACTGAACTAAACCCAGCTGAACTGTACTGAACTAAACCCAGCTGTACTGAACTGAACTAAACCCAGCTGAACTGTACTGAACTAAACCCAGCTGAACTGAACTGAACTAAACCCAGTTGAACTGTACTGAACTAAACCCAGCTGTACTGTACTGAACTGAACCCAGTTGAACTGAACTGTACTGAACTAAACCCAGCTGAACTGAACTGAACTAAACCCAGTTGAACTGTACTGAACTAAACCCAGCTGTACTGTACTGAACTAAACCCAGCTGAACTGTACTGAACTAAACCCAGCTGAACTGTACTGAACTAAACCCAGCTGTACTGAACTGAACTAAACCCAGTTGAACCGTACTGAACTGAACTGCACTGAACTGAACTAAACCCAGTTGAATTGAACTAAACCCAGCTGTACTGAACTGAACCCAGCTGAACTGTACTGAACTGCACACTTTCCCTACAATTCTAGACGTTTAAAGGCAATATAATGCGTACGCAGCTAGGACAGGTGGGAATCTTCCAACGAGTGAACCATCATTTTTGACAGAGAATAGCATTCTGTACTGAGTACCGAAGCGGATTGTGAACACGGTAACATAAGCTTCGCTAAATGGTGTTGTACGTAGCCAGAAACAGATGGTGAAGGAATTCATTGGTGGTAAAGATATTGATCTCATCTTTTCACTTTGATTTCCCTTGAAACGCAAGTCGTATCGCCAATCTCGCTTTGCATAGCCTAAAATAATCAAAATGAAAGATAAAGAAATGCCAAAAAACGGAGGAAACATTTCATTTTCTCTAATCGTTAAAAAATTCTACCAAGCAGCTCGCATCACTAAAGAAATTGTTAGTTTAGACGCACAATCAGGGGCCGGTTGCAAGAAGCCCGTTTTGCTTAAACGGTGAAAAACTTATATGTTTATGAACGACTATATGAAGGTAGGTTTCACAGGAATTCATATGGTCTGTGACCGTCCACACACGATCCAATTTTGTCGACCTCGTGGATGTTTTATAATTTGTTTACTTTCAATGTATATGGGCAGCGAATCAACTAAAGTCAATGTAGTGCTATTTCAATAATAACAGATAACATTGGGTGAACATTTCATACGTCAGAAGTAATGAATTGATCGTGAATTTGATCGTGAAAAATTCTGGAAATGTTGGGAACCTGGGTTCAGGTCTATCAAATCTGAAAGACTTGGTGGTCAATGAGGATCAATCAACAAAACACATGCTCTCATATACAAATACAGAATATTTCTCCTCAGTTCAGCCCAAGCATGCTTCGATGAACTGCTGAAGCTCTCGGGTTTTACTTCGCACATGAAAACCAGGCTGGACTAAAAAATTACCCGTACCACGACAGCAGATTACTCTACTCTTGTAAGATGACACATCGTTGGTATTGCCATCAGGCGGGGAAACAACAGCACATGGATCAGTGCCTGGAGAAAGAAGATTTAGCATTAAAAGCAAGCATCACTGTATTTATTTTAAAGACTGTTATAGAGATTGTATTACTAAAAAAATCTCTTTCAAAAAGGGCAAACAAAAAACATAATAATTTAAATTTTAGCAAGTTTCTGGGGACTTCAAAGGCTGATGTATGTACCTCTTACTTTGACCTTATTTTCATGAAAGTTAGAAGTCTGAGTTACACACCAGGGGGGTGTTATATCGGTTCATAGTCACACACTAGGGGGGTTGTTATATCGATCGGTCCATAGGAATGATCGACATGAAGCTTTAGATGAGATTACGCACTTGTTGGCGGATAAATATCGAATACAAAAACAGTTTCAAATACAAAGGATACGCAATCTCGAGTTGTAGAAGAACCCCAACCACCTTAAATTATATTTTAACAAACCGTTCTTTTTATACAATTCTTGTGCTAAACGATGGGAATGAAACTCAGTGATGAAAACTCTATCCCTCGAAATAGACAAACGACACCAACCTAGGTTAATCCACTTCCCAAACGAGTCCAAAATCGGAGTTTTTTTATCGGTTTTGAACATCCCACCGAACGGGCGATTTCCACTGTTACACAAGGCTGAGGATGTGCACAAATCAGCGTCCTTACGCTGGCAGAATTCCTTTGCTGTTTTCCAAGTAATGTCCACGTCAGTCCAGTACACAACGGGCTTTCGGCTCTTCAACGCTAACGAAATAAATATTTAGTTAGTTTTGTTATTTCATTCAGTACGTAGTGTAAGTAATGTTTGATATTCAACTTAGTTCAACTAGTAGTTCATCCTACTCAAAGATTCAAACCATTTTCCTTATAATATAACTAAAAAATATGAAACTTACTGTGAGATGGTCGTATGTTCCACCACCAGTATTCAAGCTTTCCTGTACCAACTCCCGACCATTGAGCGCCTTTACTATCAGACGTATGTTGTTTACCAAACAGGTTTCCATAAACGTGACACCCAGAGGAGAGGTCATGCCAAAATGGACCATACGTGCTTCCGCAGAAAAATGTTAAGTCCTGATAGAAATGAAAAGTTCGTTGGAGAATTAACGGTCGCGTATTTTTTGAACGGCCCTATATAATCACACATTTATTTGGTTTCTTAAGTGTGGATGACGTTGGCTAAAAACGAGGTATTATTATGAAGTGAAAAAAGCATAATGGCTGACTGCTGTACCTTGTCTGCGGTAACAAAGGGTTTATCATTCAGAAGATAATTTCTAGCTCCAAACGTGTTTGAAAAATACACCGGATAAGCAGATTCTGGGCGTCCTAACATAAACCATTGATACGAAACAGGAAACATTCTTGAGTACTCGTTTTTGATAGTCAAAAGGGAAGAATGCGTTTGTGCTGAGGTTAAACGATGAATCCTTTCATGCCCAAGCCAGAAATCATTACTTTCCAAATCACCAAAGCCATCACGGTACTCCTAGAAATATCAACGACACGACGAGTTTCCAAACTACTCAAGAACAAGATAAATAAATATTTCACATGGGTTTTGTACAATCCTGGCTTAGATATAATCTTAGTCCGACCAATAATCCCGGTCTTAGTCCGACCATTAATCCCATAAACCTAATCGTAATCTTAATTTTTATCGTAATCTTAACAGTTTTAATCTAGCACAAATTCCAAAACCTAGTCCTTCAGCCCTTGACCTCCGCTATGAGCTAAGATAAGGTAAAGGAAAATTACAAACCTGGAAATTTTTATCCGGAAAATTTACTTCGTTTTCGGCGCGGTAACCAATTTCCACCCAACCCCCAGAACCCGTATCCTGATCACAATAAACCTGAATACTTGGTTGGTTTTTTGCAGGTCGTATTTCATACAAGCCACTTTGTTTGCCACGGTGGAAATACTCTAAGCAACTTTCTGCAGCAAAAAAAACAATAACAAGATTATTACTAGAACCGTAGCTATAGTAGCTTAATTTGGGGGGTGGGGTGGGTGGGTGTATGTGTGTTGGGTGGGTGGGTGTGTGTTGGGTGGGTGGGTGTGTGTTGGGTGGGTGGGTGTGTGTTGGGTGGGTGGGTGTGTGTTGGGTGGGTGGGTGTGTGTTGGGTGGGGTGGAGGGTTTTCTTGAAAGATGAACTAGCACAGTGTAACATGGACATAATTGGTTGGCAATAGACGGATCAGGAGGGACGTCAAACATGTTCTTGGGGGCATATATGGGCATAAGGGATGTATAGATATATACAGGGTCATTGTCGTATTATAGAAGAGGAAATTAGGAACATAGATACACAGTTAAAATCAAAAAGTGCAAGATCCACAAACCAGGAAAGCAATCATCTCCATCGGTAACTTCCACGCCATCGAACGCCCATAGCTTCACCTCAGGCCAAGCGATAATATTTCCTTCGTCTTCTCCGCAAACGACAGAAGCATTCCCAATCGCATCACCATCCAGTTCGTGATCCCAAATATTGAATCGAGTTATTACACCAATGAATGATTTGTCCGGATTGAAACTTGACGATGATTCCTTGTAAGACTGCCCTATCACGAGGGACCCGTGCTCTGCATACACAAGTGTTATATCATAAATAAGTAGAAGCAGTAAAAACATCTGGTTCTATTAATGTTCCACTAGGATGTTCCCATGCATTTGTGTTCAGATTTGCCAAATATATATCCGCCCGGGGCCGGTTGTATCAGGACCGTTTAGCTTAAACGGCGGCTAAGTTAAAATTAAATAACTCTCTTACAACTCTTTTGAGTGAGTCAACTTGAATTTTATGCACTGGATATATAGTTGCAAACAATATCTTTATATTAAGGTTAAACACATTTAGTTCGCTTATTGAATAAAACGATAGACTTTCTATTTTGAACTTAACCACCGTTTAAGCTAAACGGGCTTGATACAACTAGCACCTGGCGAACTTGAATCAATTTATACCAGATTTATACTTACTTTGGGACTTTGGAAATGGTAAATTGTCGAATGTGCTAATAAGATGACCATCACGATAAATCTTTGCCTTTCGTGCTAACCAACTCCATAAAATACATATGTGATGGTATTCCGGATTATCCACAAAATATGTTGAAAACGACGAAAACCTGGAATTAAAGCTTGATTTTCAGTATCTTAGCTTAAATCCTTCCATTGATTAAGAAAGGATTTTCACGTTGGTATATAAGTAGTGACAAAATTTCTGTGTCACGCTCAATAAATATGAATGTGCCTTTTGAAAACAGATGATATTCTTCGATATTCTTTTAAAAGCATCGAGTATAAAGGACATTACGCCAACCTATGTGGTATTCATCATGATCTCATGTTCTTTATCATGCACAACCAATTGCATCTCTGAACACTCAACACAAGACCTTTTCATTGGCATGACCCAGCTTAATAAAGTAGTGTAAAGTCTAACAAAATTATCTATACAACACCTACCGTTCCTTGCCGCCAACAGTGAGGCGAAATCGTGTATCTGATAGCACAGCGAACTCGATCTGGTCGTTAGTATCCAGGGTTTGATACGAAAACACGGTCTTCCATTCATTGATTTGAACACTTAACAACATCCACCAACAGACAGAGGAATTGGATAGAGGCGTCAGCTTCGGGAAACGTACGTAACTTAGATTTCCGTGAAATTTGATGTCATACTTCCAGGTTCGGGCAATACGTCCTAAAAATAAAGAAATATATAGAAACCCTCATAAAGCATTCGAAGAGTCCACCAAATCTTACGTTGAAAATCCTGCTATATGTTTTTAAGCAGATGTTATCATTCCCAAGGCAGGTATGTACTATGTAGCAAGCCTTTCAATAGAAAATACTCCTTAACTTTACACAAGTATTTTTTCATCGCAGTCACTCGGTGGACAAAAAAATTTCAGAACTATAGTTCTTACACCTAAACACAAAATTTCGACTAGTTACGTATAGAATAACAAAAGATATAATCGATTAAATACTGCAGAATGGATTTCTATTTCGACAACACTATTGCATGAGAGTTGATTGGCTGAAATATGATCGCAAGAACACCTGGTAAACTAAATATTAGAAAAGATGTTTGACCAAGAAAATGGCTTTTATTCCTTGTCCTTCCCCGGCATTTCAAATGAACCTGGAGCTGTCGATGCGAATTTACGCACGATTATCGCATACCAAATCGCATTTGAAATCAAAAATTGCGATTGTAAAAATGAGTCTTAAGATACAGACCTTCCATGATAAGCGGACAACAAAAGAGGACCGATTTGACTACATTTGGGGAATCATTTTCCCCCCACGTGGGTTTAGGTATCGATAAATCGGTGTGATCCTTGCAAATTGGCTTTTGGGTACCTGTAAAATATCATAATAAATACATGTTGAGAGCATCACCAGTAGTGAAAATCATTACCGGAAGAAAATTATCGAACATGTTGTAAACCCACGATTTGCTCTTTTAAACAAACAACAAGTTCGTTTGCGGTGATATTTCGAACTTTAACTTCTAACCTAGCTTTGAACAACTGACCCCTGTATCCTAAAAGCTCGCTCACAATCTTCTCGCAATGTTTTCATAACGGTATTCCCACTCGAATAAAAGCTTGTCAACTCAATGTGTGTGAGTATGAGTAAGCTTTTTGAATACGGGCGTAAGTCACTTTCCAATCAGGCGAAATACTTCCAAATTGGGTATAATATAAATCTTGGGTCCACAACTGTTGTTCTTCATAGTGTTTTTACTAAGAAAGAAACGATATTGTATAAAATCGTGAAGAAAATCAGTGACACTTACCAATACTAACCCAGTCGTTGTTCCTGTCTAGAATTCGTGCCCACATTTGGCTATCATATTCTCCATGCGAAGGATTTTGGCCAAGCGGGCAAATCTCTTCTTTAGTACAAAGTCTTTGCTTTCTTTCCGCACAAAAATCCATGCCATCCATGTACGAGGACGTATCAGGGATCGTGTACTTTGATGGGAGCCAGGGACCTTTGAGAAAAGGTAAAGAGCACGTAATACGTGACACATAGAAAATATTTATGGGGAGAGCCAGAGACCTGCTGTAAACAGAAAAGAAAAGCAATTTTTTTCATGCATTCCAGCGGCAATGATACGTAGCAGAAAACGTGCATGATTTGTCAAAGATGACATCGTTTCCTTACCAGAATCGGAAAGACAGCAAAATACATGTCCTTTCCACGATCCTGGTTCGGGAGAAAGTCCCCAAGTGGGATTATATTGATATTCCTCGAAGTGAGACTCACAGACATCCGCTCGATGAGCACTACCTATCAACAGAAACAGATATTTACATATTTAATACATCGCTGCAAATACATCGTTGCAACACATCGTTGCAACATATCGCTGCAACACATCGCTGCAACACATCGTTGCAACACATCGTTGCAACACATCGCTGCAACACATCGCTGCAACATATCGCTGCAACACATCGCTGCAACACATCGCTGCAACACATCGCTGCAACACGTCGTTGCAACACATCGCTGCAACACATCGCTGCAACACATCGCTGCAACACATCGCTGCCACACATCGCTGCAACACATCGCTGCAACACGTCGTTGCAACACATCGCTGCAACACATCGCTGCAACACATCGCTGCCACACATCGCTGCAACACATCGCTGCAACACATCGCTGCAACACATCGCTGCAACACATCGCTGCAACACATCGCTGCCACACATCGCTGCAACACATCGCTGCAACACATCGCTGCCACACATCGCTGCAACACGTCGTTGCAACACATGTGTGTGGCAGGCAGAACGCGGGCGACGGATGGAGCGGTATTGCACTTAAGCAGGGTGCAATCAAATGAACAAAAGAAAGAACATACACATTTGTAGCCAACCATTGTCTTGATCTGAAATCGGTGCCCATTTGCTATATCCATCTTGAGAACCATAAATTAGATTAGAACCATCGGGGCAAATTTCTTTTTGGCTACATAATTTTAAACCTTTTTTCTTGCAGTTTTCAACAGCAGTTGTATACGAGTACGTATCAGGCAAATTCACTATGATGGCTTTGGATTCGTTGACAGCTACCACGGCTAAGAAATCAAGGTGAAAAAAAAATTGGAAAGATGCATGCAGTCGAACCAAAACCGTAGATTACCCGAAAATGTATTTTATCATAGCATTAAATCACAATTAGAAATATTGTCCATTGTATTTTGCGTTACACGAAGTAGCATACACAATCATAAATTAAAAAACATCATTCAAAAGGGAGTAAATTACGATAAGGCATAGTGCCCGGGCAACATGTGAAAGATCCTACCTTTTTTTGCGTAGTTTTTACAACAATATACTTTGCCTTTATCATCTGATGATGTGCTTTCAGTTCCCCAACCAGGATTCTTTTTAATCTCACAAATTTTCATTTTGTCTAGGGAACCTACAGACAGGATAGATCTTATAAAACTGGACATACATACATCAAATCTACCTAGGCCTATTATAGGTATAACGAATATATATTTTGCGCGTGTATCTTTCCCTCAAAATCCTCTCATTTTTTTACCAGTGTTTATCCATCTGTTGTAATAATCAGCAACTGGTGCCCAGTGAGTGTTCCTAACGGAACCGCCTGAAACATGTTTACCATCACGGCATATTTCCATGGAACTGCACAGGCGCAGTCCTTCACTTAGACAAGCATCCATTCCATCTTGATATGTCATCGCTGGTGATATTTCCTTGATTACAACATCGTTGGCTAATACAAAGAGAAAATATGCCTGGTTTAATGTTATGGGATTGTCTATTCGAAGCGTGCATAAATTATCACCAACAGTCGGATCTCCGGACCATAATAACCTGGACGATCAACAGGGGAATGATCCTAGGCAGCTTAATACGCGGAGAAACGAGGGGGAGGCAGGAGGGAGTTGCAGGCCAGTTGTCGAGCATGAGTTGTAGGGTAAAACCTATAAGGACCTTGTAAATACATTAAAATACTTCAGTAGTTAGTTACTGATATATCCGTATTTAATTTCTCCAGGTTTGAACACCCGAATCTGCACCCTAACTGGACTAAGCTAGAGGGGGGGGGGGCATTAAAAGATGTTTTCGATCCCACTAAGACCTGGTTTACACTGCCAAATTTTCTGTGATCAAATTTGGACTTTTCAAAAAACAAATCCTAAGTTATCCTAAAAGGATTTGTTGCAAATACTGGAGGGAACTGTAACACTAATTAACACTAAGTTATTTCATGCTAATACTCAGTAAAAAAATGTTTAAAACTTTGGATTTAACAATAAAAAATTGCAACTGTAATTGCAACACAGAAACTTTGACAGTGTAAACCGGACTCCTTGCATGTAGACGGAAAAGACTTACACGATTCTCTTGGTCTAAACAACATTTCCGTGCCAAGCCACGATTTGCCGCCGCACTCTCTTTTCTCAGCATTCAAATTTTCCCCGTCACAGTTCCCGCGAAACCACCAGCCTCCATCAAGTGATTTCAAGCAATCTGAAGGATGCTTTGAGGCTTTTGAAGAAACAAACACTAACGGTCCTACACTGTCTGTATTAAGAATACCCGCAGGTAACGTGCCGGAACGGTCAGAGATATCGAGCATGGAGTTATGCATAACATAAAAATCATTATATAAATCATAGAATGAAGACGTGGAGTTCTCGTAGACCACAGCCAACATTTGCCCCCTTCCAAGTCGGTGGATTTTTTTATTCCCAAGCCAGAATTCACCGTCGACGGGCCCAAAGCCGTTGTTATAAGCTTCCTCACTTGAAGGAAATAAAGTATTTCCTTGGTTTCGTCTCTGTATCACCGTCCAACCGCCGCCATTCGTGGTAAAATCACAATATACCATCATTTCTTTACCACCAGGAGGGTAGACTGTATACTTGCCATTTTCTCTTTCACCCATGTACATGTGATCAAGGCACGATTCTACATGAAAAATAGGCCATGAGAAACGCACATCTTGCAAAATACGAGATTCTGAATGGCTAATCCTCAAAATATTCTGATTGGCTGATCCTCGCACTAACTATATTTAATTAAGGTTCACTTTTCTTCACACAAGTGTTTGACAACTTGATTTGGTATGATTGACAACTGCAGTTTAGCATGCAACAAGTTATGGAGAATTTTATTTATACGAACTAATGAACTTTGTGAGTTATATTTTGGTGAGAAATTGAGGTGTAATCAGCCTTCATTCAAACTCGGGTGACACTAAAACCGAGCCCAAAGAGGTCGGAAGAAATTCTCAGTTTCTGATACAGCATGCTATGTCTAACTGTGGTCTGACTAACCTCTCAGTAAAGGAACTGTTGACCTAATTATTGACGGTCCTTGTGACGCAGCAAGAATGCGAGATTCCCTCCACGAGACATCGTTGCTGCCGCTGTAACCCAACAATGAAAATGATTGCCCAGAAGACAAGGAATTAGTGACGTGAAGCTCGTGGCCAAAGGCTGAATGAATAGCGGGGATGGCGGAACCAAAACCCACATCTGGATTCTCGTTAACAACCATAATCATTATTCGTTCAGCGCCAACCTTGCTCAAGGCGTCTTCAAGTCCAGCAGAACACGTGGAATTATGGAAGGTGCTGCATCCAAATTGGTTTAAAAGAAAGCCTGAAACGTTAAGAACATCGCATTAAAACGTATAACGATGTACATTAAAGGTTGCCCAGACATGCCCCATCTATCGCTGGACTGGGTACTGCAATGAAAACACCTGCGACTAGTTTTCTAGTTTGAAGTTCGGATTGTAAATCATAGTATCAAGCTCCTGGGTAATTATATATAGATGCCTAAAACACTGAAATATACAGTAGAATAAAACTTCTCGTCGTCAAAAGAGTTTGTATAATAATTCGAAGCGTCAGTCAGTTTGTTTCTAGTTGTTTAGGTGATAGACAGGCGAAATAAACAAAATTTTGAACTAGACAAAACTCGACAAGAATCCGTATCGATGAAAATTTTCAGGGGGCAATGGTCATAAATATTTACCTGTGATTGCATCTAGCACAAAAAATTGCATCCAGTGAGAACCACTAACTTTGTGTTCCAAGTCGTTAACGAAAACGCTTGAATAAGTGAGACCAACGTTGGCGAGGGTTTTGGAGTCACGAGATACGATCATTAAATCCACGAGAAGATTTGGCTCTACATTGAACCAAACGGGTCTTAAAATTAGTTTACTTCTTGTATATTCTCTCGAAATTGCTTGACATGGTTTGAGAAGACTTTTCTAGTGTTTTGTTAAACCAAAAGAGTGACTTACTCAGTTTTTTATCTGCATTTGTGAAGGTGTAAGACGCCGTACTACAGCTTTGAGGTGCTGCTTCACCCAATTGTGAAGAAGGGCAGATGTACTTAGCATTTTGGCACAACTGTTCTGCAGCACAGGTGTCTTTTGACCAATGACAGTTCTTATCTGCAGGATATGAAAAGTGATCAAATATCGATAACAGGTTCAGAAATTATGAAGTGATGATGAACAAAGATGGTGATAATGATAGCTGATTATGTCAATGATTGTGATGATGATCAATAAGGTGACGATTATCAATTATGATGATAAATGACATTTATGATAAATGAAGATTGTGGTGATAATCAATGATGATGATCAATGATGACGTGATGATCAATGATGACGGTGATAACGATGTTGGTCACTGTCATTACGATAACATTCCAACACTACATACCTGACCATCTCATCACAGGTGATGGTCTACGTATGTTGATCACACCAGGTATAGCATATTTCGCTAAATCAGGCCATGCAAAAAGATTCCCAACGTAAGTATTTCCTTCATTAGCAATCGATGCTATGGTACTATCACTGAGCGCGTCGACCCAAATATTGAGGTGCGCCATAGAACCAAGAAAACTCCATCTCTTATTAGCCTGAGTCGGATGATCACCGATATATATTTCATTATGACCATCGATTGTCACAATGCCAGAATGGGTCCGGCTACCTTTAAGTACCCCGTTTTTGTACAATCGCAATGTTTGATGGTCTTGAACTGCGCATACATGGAACCATTCGTTGTTGGCGTAGGTTCCGTCGTTGCAACTGTAGGAAGAAAAATCAAAAACTTTTTCTATGCATTGAACCTAATGTTAATGAGCTCAAGTTTTTGTTTAAGTCGACGTCTAAAACGCGTTGTTCTAAAGGATCCTATCTAAATTATTTTTTATAACCGGGGTTGGTATTACGAAGGCTGGCTAGTTCATCGCACCGGAGAGTGATAATGATGGAACGAATAAAGAAATTATTTACACAATAAATAAAGTGAAACTGAATACAAGAATACGAAGGTTTCATTTAGGTTTTACCAGGCTATGGACAACATTGGAGTGGCTTAAAAATAACACTATCCGTTCGAAGGGCTATCTAGCTTTCGTAAAACAGACGTCGACGGCGGGACTTAATACACCAACTTACCATTCAACAGCTGCAATGTTATTATTATTTCTGACAACTATCCTTTTTTGATCATGATGAAGAAATAGAAAGAAATTAGCGAAGCTGAGCGATTTAGTACCAATGTAGATCACGCCGTGGTAATAACTGGAACCTGGTGGGTACTTTATCCATAAACATACAGTAAAAAACCAGGTGTTGTATAAAACAAAATCATTTATTGTAATACGAGCTCCCGTTTCTGTTGAAGGATATTCCAGGTAATAATTATGCTCTAGAAATACAAAATACAAACAGCATGAGAGGCGTTAGGTCCATTGCCAGGACGGGACATTGACCGGGAGCTCCCTTGCTCCATATGTTCCAGCTGATCTCAGGATCATGACGTCACGACAAAACTGGAGTTATACGCCTGGGACCGGTTGTTCAAAATCCGGTTAGCTTAATCCTGGGTTAAAGCAAATCTTGTTAACGCTTGTTTACAAAGTTGAATATCTTTTTTCATAAATATTTTCTGGACCAATAGAAGTCATATTTTCTAAAGTTTTAAAACCAACAGTGGTTCAGAAGCACATAAACTAAAACACAGGATTAAAATTTAACCCAGGATTAGCACTAATCTAGCTTTTGAACAACTGGCCCGTGGAGTTATTTGTCCTCGTTCATGTAACTATTAGTATAAGGGGCGAAATATTTAAACCCCTTTTTATCGTTGTGGAAAAACAAACGTGTTTCTGCATAAAAATAATAGAATTACTTCAAATTTTACACGACCCAGGTCATTTGAAACGAAGGAAATGAAAATTCAGTTTTGTTGAGAGGACAATGTTTACACTCCCGCTATTTATCATAAACGTTCCGGTTATATCCACCAGGAAAAATCACGTACAAAATAAAAATGTAAACGCCGGATAAAGAAACATCCATTGTTCCGCCTCTCGTATAAACAGGGGCTGGAAAAGTTGGGACAGATAGTGACTATGTTTCAAAGAGCATTGTGGTAGCATCTTCTAAAAATTTCGCATGACAATGTCGTATAACAACTTGGCCTCAAATTATTGGACAAAAACACCTCTTGACCAGGAGAGTTAGTAACTCATAATAATTCTTCGGCTATTAGAATGAAACGTTGAGAGATGCTTTGCCCCACTTAGGCAGTTGTTATACCAAATTCCAGTCAAATCAGTAACACTATTTAACAATTAGACAACGAGTCCGAGTTGTCTATGAGCGAATAGTCAACGAAGGCGAAGCCTGAGTTGACTATCCGCTCATAGGCAACGAAGGCGAGTTGTCTAATTGTTTTAGTATACACCCTGTACCTAGATATATTAATTTCGAGGAAAAAATCGATACACCGCAAAATTTCACCGAAAAATAATTTAATTAATTCAATTTTATAGGGTCGCGCGAGCGAATCAGAATGTAGGATTTGTAATAGACAATAGTCAGGTGTATACTAATACCATAATAGAGCTACATACCTGAGCAGGGTTTCATCTCATAAATATCTGAACTAAAACAGCTACGAGGCGCTGTCAAATCTTTACTGCAAGGACATCGGAATATTCCCCCTTTACACAAACCACTTTCCTCATCGCATTCTGTTCGTTCCCAGCGACAACCTCCACCTTTGAAAAAAAGACGCACACTTAACATACCAGTAACTCCTTTATCACCTTAGGCTGGTTGTTAGAAAGACGTTTAGCTCAGTGGATAAGTTCAAAATGGAAAGAAAACAAAATTATCTATTATAGTTGAACACCAAAGCTAAAATATTTTCATGTAAATAGTTTAATTCCCTAAATAGTTAATAGTTTAAGGCGTATTTAATGTATAGGATGTAGGTTCAATCGTTCAAAAGATGCATAAATAAAAGTATTTTTAATTAGAACTTTGGATTATATCCACCGTTTAAGCTAAACGCCAGGTGATGTAGCCTAGCGTTTATACTTCAGCCAATCAGCGGCAGGTTTGCCGAAATAGAAATCCATTCCGCAGTATTTGATCGATTATATGATTAGACTGAGTTTACTTTGTATATAACTCGTTGCATTTAAGAAAATATGGGCGCGAGATAAACCTGGAATGTAAAAGCAGCAATAATTCTCCCGAAGTTTGCTTGTAAAAAGTCGTAAGACCGAGGAAATGATGAAATATACCTTTCCATTTCAAGACAGGGTTGTCACGAAGAGTTAAGGAGAGACCACTAACATACTTCTTCATATCAACCCAGGCTAGAAAATTTCCACGTACAGTACCAGGTCCTGAATAAATCTGCTCGATTTCCTTGTCGCTGATCAGGTAGTCCCAGACATTAAACGATGCCACATCACCTGGAAAAGCATTGGCATTCATTACATCAAATTGTTATATTAGCAACTTCTTTGGCAAAATTTTAGTTTTACACGCAGGATGTTTCGGGGTCTTTAACTACGCTCGAGGTACATGCTGGGATTATAAGGGACATTGAGGGTTTTATCGATAACGTTGTTAGCATCGTGCTTACGTGTTATTAACGTGTCAGCATCACACTGTAAACGTACCCACGTGTTCGCCATTTGACGTTTTAAATATCTATTATTTATCGCAGTGATATATTAAAGCTTGCGTATACATCAATCTCATAAAGGTGTACTTATAACGGAATACTAAATGTTTTCCGTGCAGGATTGCGTGATACTGCATGCACGCGGGAAATTGCGAGACTTTCGGAAAGCGTGAAAAAGCACTCGCCTACGGCTTGGCAATCCTGCACGGAAAACCATTTAGTATTTTCTTTATGAAATAACTACAATGAAACGACGGTCAAATTTCCCGCGCAAAGTGCGGGATTGTCTCATACTGCATGCCTACGAACCAATCAAATTGCGTGTTTCATTGCAGTTATTATATACATATATATCCTTACCGAATACTACGTCTCCAGTCCCAAACCTGCCCCCGAACGAGTCTTGATCACGTCCAATGATAAGTCTACCATTTTCTACCGGAGATCGTAAATTGTTACTAGTAAAACTGCCAACTAGGCTTCCATGAATGTAGGTTGTTACAGTTTTTGTATCAAGATTGATTGTATCGCAAACATGTCGCCACTTGTTGAAAATGCCCCCGGGAATAGAGAAGCTAAAAAAGGAACCAACATCCGTGTCAGAAATGTCCGAGTTGGATAGGTGTTTGTATTAAAGAAGTGTTTTCGCGTTAAATATGTCTGTTTTAAAGAGATGTCTATATTAGAGAGATGTCTATATTAGAGAGATGTCTATATTAGAGAGATGTCTATATTAGAGAGATGTCTGTAATAGAGAGATGTCCGTATTAGAGAGATGTCTGTAATAGAGAGATGTTTATATTAGAGAGATGTCTGTATTAGAGAGATGTCTGTATTGGAGAGATGTCTATATTAAACAGATGTCTGTATTAGAGAGATTTCTATATTAAACAGATGTCTGTATTAGAGAGATGTCTGTAATAGAGAGATGTTTATATTAGAGAGATGTCTGTATTAGAGAGATGTCTGTATTGGAGAGATGTCTATATTAAACAGATGTCTGTATTAGAGAGATTTCTATATTAAACAGATGTCTGTATTAGAGAGATGTCTGTATTAGAGAGATGTCTGTATTAGAGATGTCCGTATTAAAGAGATGTCTATATTAGAGAGATGTCTGTATTAGAGAGATGTCTGTATTAGAGAGATGTCTGTATTAGAGAGATGTCTGTATTAGAGATGTCTGTATTAGAGAGATGTCTATATTAGAGAGATGTCTGTATTAGAGAGATGTCTGTATTAGAGAGATGTCTGTAATAGAGAGATGTCTGTATTAGAGAGATGTCTGTATTAGAGAGATGTCTATATTAGAGAGATGTCTGTATTAGAGAGATGTTTATATTAGAGAGATGTCTGTATTAGAGAGATGTCTGTATTAGAGAGATGTCTGTATTAGAGAGATGTCTGTATTAGAGAGATGTTTATATTAGAGAGATGTCTGTATTAGAGAGATGTCTGTATTAGAGAGATGTCTGTATTAGAGAGATGTCTGTATTAGAGAGATGTCTGTATTAGAGAGATGTCTATATTAGAGAGATGTCTATATTAGAGAGATGTCTGTATTAGAGAGATGTTTATATTAGAGAGATGTATGTATTAGAGAGATGTCTGTATTAGAGAGATTTCTATATTAAACAGATGTCTGTATTAGAGAGATGTCTGTATTAGAGAGATGTCTGTATTAGAGATGTCCGTATTAGAGAGATGTCTATATTAGAGAGATGTCTGTATTAGAGATGTCTGTATTAGAGAGATGTCTATATTAGAGAGATGTCTGTATTAGAGAGATGTCTGTATTAGAGAGGTGTCTGTATTAGAGAGATGTCTGTATTAGAGAGGTGTCTGTATTAGAGAGATGTCTATATTAGAGAGATGTCTGTATCAGAGAGATGTCTGTATTAGAGAGATGTCTGTATTAGAGAGATGTCTGTATTAGAGAGGTGTCTGTATTAGAGAGATGTCTGTATTAGAGAGGTGATTGTATTAGAGAGATGTCTATATTAGAGAGATGTCTGTATTAGAGAGGTGTCTATATTAGAGAGATGTCTGTATTAGAGAGATGTCTGTATTAGAGAGATGTCTGTATTAGAGAGATGTCTGTATTAGAGAGATGTCGAGAGGATGTCTGTATTAGAGAGATGTCTGTATTAGAGAGGTGATTGTATTAGAGAGATGTCTATATTAGAGAGATGTCTGTATTAGAGAGGTGTCTATATTAGAGAGATGTCTGTATTAGAGAGATGTCTGTATTAGAGAGATGTCTGTATTAGAGAGATGTCTGTATTAGAGAGATGTCTGTATTAGAGAGATGTCTGTATTAGAGAGATGTCTGTATTAGAGAGATGTCTATATTAGAGAGATGTCTGTATTAGAGAGATGTCTGTATTAGAGAGAGTCTGTATTAGAGAGATGTCTATATTAGAGAGGTGATTGTATTAGTATAAAAACAGGAAATTAGCAGACTGTATTACTTACACTCTACCAGAGCTCAATTCATCCGTCATTAAGTGCGCATAAAAATCATTAGCATCCACACTTGTGGCGTAATAATTCAACGTAAATTGATTGCCATATCTATTTGATGAATACGCATAAACAAAATATCGGTCACTTTCCTGGCGGAATGCCAGTCTGATCCACATACAATACGAGAATGGTTTACCAGAGGGAAGAGCTTTCTCAATTGGACCAAAATACATATTAGCATTATCATCCTGCTGTCGATATACGTAATCATAATCTTAAAAGAAAAAAGTCGTATGAAATTTCGTTGTATCAATACTTTACCAATATTTATCAAATCTTTTCATGATTGATGATACACTTGAAAAGAAAGTATAACTGCATCTGTGGTTTAATTAACTAAAATGATTTCGTCCACGCGTATTTCTGAAAATTTTGCCGAGGAGTTGGCTGCGGCTACTTCATTAGAAGATTCAATTATAACCACAGTTTGAGTGAACACACCTGAACAATCTCGAATATCCTCTTCGCAGCTGTATTGGTCAGCAAGAGACTGCAAAACAAAAACATTTTTGCCTAACATATTTGTAGTTTGTGAAAATAGAGCCCATATATGAAAATAGGACCCTACAGAAGAAATGGAGTGGCGCCTGTGGCAAAGATTTATTTTTCGGGGGGCTTTCCACCCCTTTCTCTCCTACTCCCCCTCCCCCCTTCTTTGAGAGCCCCAGGCGACATGCCGTCAACAAAAACCAAATGGTAATAGACCTTTCTTATAATGACATCAAACGCGGAAAGTCCGATGTTACACGAAATTTGATTGGCTCCACAAAACTATCGAGCCAATCAAACTTCGTGTAACATCATACTTTCCTCGTTTGACGTCATTATGAAAAAGGTCCATTAGTCATCTTCTGTGTGGTAATCAGATCAGTGTTAACAGCTTATAGCAGAACAAAATCGATAAATGATAAAATATACAAAAACGATGATGGATGATATGAGGATATCCTTCCTTGTCATTCTTTATCCAACACAAATATACTTACAAGTGCATAAACAAATTGGAACCCAGCGCGGCCATAACATGCGGGAAGGCTGGTATTGCTATTGCAGTTCATCTGATCTGCCTGGCGACATTCCTGAGGAGAAAGATTCTCAACAGATATCTCGTTTTCATTATATCCCACGCAATCATCATCTCCCAGGGCAAAATATTTTAGTCCATACTGTCTTGTGTGGTTCGCGCACCTAGGAATAATCATTGTGTGGAGATAAGATATCAGAGAAACAGTCTTTCTGCGTCAGCTAAAAAGGCAAATAACTTGTTCATTAAGCTTGCCGCACATGAGAGGTATCAGTTGAGTTAACGACCTCGCGAGGCAGTTAGCTCAACCCGAAAACCATCCGCAAACGTGAGAAACTTGCTGAGATAACAGCCTCGCGAGATCTTTAGCTCAGATAACAGCCTCGCGAGATCTTTAGCTCAGATAACAGCCTCGCGAGATCTTTAGCTCAGATAACAGCCTCGCGAGATCTTTAGCTCAGATAACAGCCTCGCGAGATCTTTAGCTCAGATAACAGCTCTCGTGCGCGGCGGGCTTTAGACAAGCGAAGAGTGCTTTTAGAGCGGGTTTGCACTACGCGGAAATTCTTGATCCAACTAAAATCCTCAACTTACAAACACGCAAATTCTTCCAACGTGTGTTTGGCAGGTTCAAACGCAAGGTACGCCGGCTTCGTCCCAGTGGCTGGTAAGCAGCCTACTTTTGAGAATTTAACATCGGGACACCCTAAACACAGAAATTTATTTCAGTTAATAAAACAGAGTTGTTCATACTAGCGAACAAAGAATGAGCTAGAACAGCCGCCTTTTCATTTACTAAGATATAGAAAGTGTGAAAGAAAGATTGTAACTCCACTCTTGAACATCTGGATTCAACATTTATAAAATCTTTTCAATCCACAAGCAAAGTCACTGATGGCGGTCACATTTCTCAAAATAAAGCACTTCTCTGCAGACTGAGAATGGCTAGAAACGTGCACACAATTTACAAGAATTGCATATTTAGTGTAGACTTACAATTCGTGGCTTGGCATGTGTCTCCAGTTTTTCCGCATGGACACTGACATTCGTACGAGCCATTTCGAGGGACACACAAACCACCATTCTGACAAACGTGGGGGCATCCTTTAGGTTCTAAAAATATGTTACCCGACTCAGAACCATAGTCCATAAAATATCATCCATATGATATTTTACACGCTGGCACGGGTAGAAACCTAAACCAGGTATGCGGTGTGTGCATGATTACCAAACAGAAACGATGACACTTCGCACAATGTACAGTGAAAAAGAAGGCACTTTAGGAACAAGTACGCCAAACGTTTTCTGTCTAGTTTTACATTGATCTGGATATTATTCATGCGCCGAAGACCACAATGACGCTGCATGGGCACAAATAGGCCCGGGCAACCTAAACTACGACGGTGATCTTCGCTTTATATTGCAAAATGAAACTGGACGCGGCAAGAACGATTCTTGCGGTTCCGTAGTCTCAGGCCTGTTTAGACGTTCTGACAACAATTTACATGAGTGTGAAGTGAGCAATATTGAAATAAATAAACAGTTCTAAAGCATGGGTTTTGAAATTAAACACAGCCGACCGACACAGCCTGTTACCTGGGGCCGGTTGTTTAAACCTCTTATTAACTACATCTTGCGTAGTTTAATTGTAGTTAACTCAAAAATACATGACTCTGATTGGTCAATTCTGTCACTAACTATAGTTAAAAGTTAACTACGTTTTTATACAACCGGCCACTGTGATTTAAATTTAGTTTTAAAAAATGCGTTATAGGAAGAATCGTTTAAATCCTATAGTCGTCTGTTTAGACCGCAACCTGCCATATTAATTAAGACAAAGAGAACCTAATTCTCGCGTCCAGGCGCATTAAAAAAAATCAATTTTGGTACGTTTATGGCGGTCTACGGCGAAAAGCGTCTTATACCCGGGATTTATTTATGAAAAGCTGCCATTATAAGGCTAGCATCAAATGTGGTAAAACAACTGCCTAAAATAGACACAACGCTTCTCGACGTTTCGACCTGAGAGCCTTCGAGAACAAATGTTTTGTATGGGGGGCAAAACACGCAATAAAAATGGGCCAATAGAAAACATAAAATCAAAAACAAATTGCCTGATTGAGAGTATTATAAAGCTATGTTAACACTACCTGCATAAGCTGAATTCAACAGAAATGAGGAGGCAATAAGCACTAAGTACACGACTTTCATCTCTCACTTGTTTAGAAAGCCTAAAAAATAAACAATAAACGATACAGAATAGCCACCCAAAATGAGAAAAAAATGAAATAACATGGTTTTCAATATAGTTAATATAGTATATATGAGCTGTAATGTGAGCTGATTGACTGGCTAGTGTACATGCAGTTATAGTAATACAGTGAGAATTGGAACATATCCCTGTTGGATTTTAAGCTTGTGCATTCACTGCAAATTCTCGGTGTCTTGCTTCGGATTTCTGGGGCTGGTTGTATCAAGCCCGTTTAGTTTAAACGGTGGATAAGTCAAAATTAAATAACTCTCTTACATCTCTCTAGAATGAGTCAACTTGAATATTACGCACTGGATATGTTTGTAAACAGTATCTTTGTATTAAGGTTAAAAACATTTAGTTGCATGTTGAATAAAACGGTAGACTTGATTATGATCACTGCTCAGTTATCAGTTTATTGATAGAGGAGTTTTGAGAAACGTTATGAGGTTAAATTTAAACTATTATAGGCATCCGGAAATTATATGCAGATGTAAGATTGCTGTCTCATCAAATCATGCAAATGAAGATTTCTTTAGTCAAAATACTGATGAAGTTCGTAGTATAATAGTATATATATACAATTGATTCAGTGTAATAGCATAAAGGAGAATAATTACGTTTTTAAATATCGATTATCGATAAAAAAAATTAACAATAATTTACTCACCTTGGAACAATGTTCCAAGTTTAACAAATAAACAAGCTTGTTGGACTGTGATTAATCAATTCTCGTTCGATTCACATGATGATTACATCTCTTTACTTTAGTCAGCCGACATAATTTTTTTCACTGAAACAAATTTAAAATCTTTTTAGTGACATGAATAAGAATTGCGTGCCAACGTAGCAAAAATATTGTTAAATAACAACGTCTCTCTTAGAAGTCTTCATTAAACCACCTGTTCCATAGTCTGCTGTCGTCGTTGGCAACTGTTTGAAAATGTCAATACATGTTAGGCCGAAATCGCCGCCAACCAGTATAATCTTGAGGTCGAGAAAACGGTTAAGCTATAGTATATTCCTGGATTGTTACAGAGGCAAATGACGAATATATATGCAAGAGATAGAGAAATCATGCAGATTTCGCGTATAATTATGTAGTTGAGGCAACAAGTATAAACAGGGCAGACAAGTCAGCCGATGCCGACGGCATGCACCAGGCCAACCGCAAGCTTAATAAAGCGCCTGCTTCCTTTTTAAATCACAATTTAATAATAAACATTCTACAGACAATGCAATATGTTTTCCATTTAGTCTGTAAGGTCCGAAACTACAGTAGAACTTCACGTTTTTTATACGTTCGCGGCAGAATATATGTTTTATATTTTTTTTTCTATGGCTGCATCAGGTTCTTCTTTTATTTCGTAAGAAAAATTTAATTAAACTTTAACGGCATATCGCTGGTAAAGAATGATAGACAAACAAATATTTCAAATACAAACTGTGTAGGAATAAGAAGCACTGGAATTCGTAGATGTTTTGGAAGAAAAAAAAATGATTGCGTGAATATTATACATCAGCTTGTTATATAAGAAACAGCCGTTATATGCACCTGTAGTGTAAATATTAAATAATTTAAAACATATCAAACTAAAAACGTTTAAACTTGCCGGGAAAACATCTTATTTTACGCCAACTTTTTTAACTAAAACAAATATTTGTAGCGAAAAAAAAACACATTATAAAAGACATATATTCATAACCAAACTAGATCGAAAATACTAATGTACATACACGGCAAGGCTAGCAGTATATTACTATATATTTCAGAATTGAAAAATTTAGCATGTTACCAAATAGTAAAAATAGACTTCGGTATAACTTTGCGAAAGCGATACCCATTTGCGTCTTCAAATGTGTTAAATCTTACTCTTGCTATCACTGAATAGTTGAAAGTATAATTTATATAGTATATTTTTGGTTATACAGTATATGCCTGTTGGCGGTATAGTTTTGCTTATGTTGCATGCGTTTTAATCTAATATATCTATGGTTATATTTTACGCACAAAATTGGGGTTCATGGTTGACAGACTTTGAAATTGACCATTCACGGATGATGGTAGATTAATTAGGGTGTGCTCCCCTGTAGAAGTTTGTCCACTTTCCCAAGATGTAATCACGCTATTCAGTCGTTCTAAATTTCGACCAAGAGAGACACTACAAGACGTAAATTTTCTTTCGAGCATGTTGCTGGAATGCGCCATGCAGTTATCGCGCAATTAGTGTTCATGTTGTACCGTACCTTCAAGAAATCTTGCTGGATATTACGGAGTTTCCAATGATTTAAACCAAAAGTACTTGGTTTAATATCGAAAGTTAATATCTTCCGAGCGTTCAAATTTATTTATAAATTCCAACACCAGTTTGGTTTCATTTTTCACAAACAAAATCCCACACAAGTGGCAAAAATCTATTTTTATGAACTTTAGTACATATATAAATAAAAATAACATTTGGAATATTATATACTAGATACATGAAACACGTTAATTATTGATAAACTATACATTAATGTGCCATCGATTTGTCTTCAGATTCGAGTCTCGACCATCTTGTGTCCACACAAGATTTCACCTTGTTAAACCTAGTGGATATGGCCATTCAAGTTTACGACTTTACGTTGATGATATTTGACTCAGGATGTGGTATATACATACGTCAGAATGACATAAACACTGGCTAGTTAATAAGGCCAGGGTAACTGCATGAGGGTAGGGTCGTAGCAAGGGAAGATGACGGTATTATACTTTGAGATAAAACTGCCGGCAAACATTTTTAGCATATAGCTATCTCGATGTTTTATTATTTTGAAATTAAATATTTATATGCGTTCCAATATAGCTATGTAATATTTTGACGTACCTGCTTAATTTAAACAACGGTTTCTCTTCTACAATCTCTTTTCTAAAACAATTGACAGAAACCGATTAATTTTACAGAGCGATTCGCCAGCTATTAAATCAGCAAATATGGCTGCTGCAAGAGGCGAGACTTACTTTGGCTTCAGCGAGTCGCGAAATCTTTTGCCAATTCTTCTCGTACGAGCCTGCCTTTCTTTTTCAAGAATCTGAATAAAGAAGTCAAACACAAAAATGCTTTATACTATGAGTCTATGTACTTATCATTGATTTCGCCACTAACACACCCTAACCCCACTTACACATGCACACACATACCCTCTACACAATGGTTGAATGATACTTGAATCATTACATGAGCCATAAGGACACTAAAAGGACAGACATTATAGTAAACTGTAAATGATCTTACTATTTGAGCTTTCATCTCCTTTGTATATTCTGCACTTTTATTTGAGAGCCATTCTCGTTGATAATCCATCGAAAGTAATCTCCTCATGTCTTGCGAGTCATCCAAAACTGCCACATTACTTTTTCTAAATGATTTGATTTCAGAAATGCAATGTAAGAACCAGCTAAGAAAACAAATCTCAATCATTCATACTTCCCACTTACAATTTTGGTGTTTCTTTTAAGGCTTTTCCCTTCTTTGTTGCGTTGTTCTTACAAATTTTTGGCAGCTTGATTGGTTTCTTCTGCAATGCCTCATCTGCAGCTTCTTTTGATTCTCTAGATACAAGGATGATGGAGAAATATTTTAACAAAATATATTGGTGTAGCTAAATCACATATCACATGCATGCCTATGCTGTTTATACCCTAGAGTTCATGCAGTCCTAGCTTCTGTCAAATTCTAAGTGCATATGTCCTGAATTCTCAAAGTTAACAAGAGCCTAGCAAGCTTCTTCCAAGTGCATGCAGGAGTAGTGAATTCTGTAAATCTTACCTTTGCCAAACAGTCATTGAATCACCAATCATTGGCTTCTTTTTTGAATTCTGACCATTAGACAATTGGTTCTCAGTTGTGTCCATAGAAACATCTGCATCATTGTGGTCATCCACACTTTCATTATGGATGTACCATTCCGGTAGAACAACATAGCTATATGGGTTACAAAATTATTGATTTGATGCTTCAATATACACAGGAATATTTTACACAGGATATCTTGTAGTATGTACATGTCCCAAATTCTCAAGAAAATAAGAAGCTAAACTCATTAGCAATTGAATCAGAACCAAATTAATTTAGAACTGAGATATTAAAAAAGATATTAGGGTGTAATACTATAGACAAAGATACATACTCTGTTGTGGATTTCTGTTTATAATTTGTGTTTTCTTCATGATCTCCATGATGATCAAACCAGTCTACTCTTGGGTACAACACTGGTTCTGATGATAGCTTGCCTGGCATAAAGCTTAGCAAATCTAAAATTCAATATGAACATTTGTGAATGATCTATTTATCTATCTAGATTGTGCTACTTCCAATCAGTGGTAATTAAAAGCTTTTGCCTAACAAAATCTGATCATTTCTTGTCAAAGCATTGCCGGTAGTGGTGTGTTAATGGTTATTTAAACACATTATTGGTTGCTAAATGTAAGTAATGAATGCCATTTCTTTAAAAAAAGCAATACTAATAATATAGCCAAACCTACTTTTTCGACCACCAGCTTTTGCAAGCTTCACATATTTGGAATCTGTGTCTCTAAACCACTTTCTTTTGAAATGTTTATCATTATCATTTGGAATAGCACCCTCAGGTATGTTGCCGAGGCCTGGGATTTGAGACTGGATAGGTGCAATAATACTTGGAGGATTCTTAGACCTCGCTGCTGGTATATGATAGAACCAATCTAAACAATTTAAATAACTTTATATAAATTTCACACACGTTGTTTAAGGATTGAATATATAATATATATATATTGAATTTGATCTCAAAATTTAATCTACACATTACATTCTACAGCAAAAATATAATATATTACACACATTTATAGTGACTACTTCATTAACCATTAATATTCAATAAAGGTCAATTCAACGAAGATACACAAAGATAATAAAAATATGAGTTGACTGCTAAATTATAACAATACGTGCATACGCTGACAACAACTATCTACCATTTCGAGCTAAAAAGTCTAAAATCATGTTCACAGCTAAAATACACAGAATAATACGACTGAAACTAATACCTTGTGTAGAAATGTGTGGATTTGGCATGCTTTTACAGACTTTTCAGCTCATTTTACGGTTGAAAATGCCACTAATTTCCCAGTGCAGTCATGTTGACCTTTTGCTTTTTACCATAGCAACGTAAACAATAATGGATAAAACACTTACCTAAAACACATACGCCAAAAGTTGATTTTTCCAGAGATACAAAAGATAGAAAAACACATTTCATTCATGATTTTATTGGAAAATATGCTTCAATATGCTTGCTTGCATGCTGCACATAGCGCTGTATGGTGGCTAAACATTCCTGCTTTGAAAATTTTTATCTATAAAAAATTCTTTAAAGCTTTTATAGATTTTACGAGATATGAGTTGGGTAAAACTGTTATTAAATCTTGTTGGTAAATATTGCAAAATGCAAAACTCAATTTTTTTGCAGACAACCTTTTGCAGGTTAGTGCCACGGCCCACTATACCTAGGATCCAAACATCTGACAGGCTTTTCAGACAAGATCAATGTATTAATGTATTGGTACCATACTGGGTCAATATAGATACTCTTAAATAGATGTTTTAAGTTTGTTGTGGTCCTAAGAACATATTGTGATAGGTCCTAAAAATTTCATATTTCACAATAGTTTTCTTGATACGTACTACCACCTCTGCTAGACATGGCAGGTAAACATGCATGATGGTTCTCTAATTTACATGAAAATTCAATTCCAGCTTTGCCATCATTGCCTGCTAAATAGTTTTCCCCAAATTCTCTCTTTAGTTCCTCTATAGGATCAAGTGGTGCTGGATATAGTTTCCCATTAACATGGACACTCACAAAGTTTAAACCAGTCTTGGCAGCAGATTTGACAGTCAACTCTACTTTCATAGATGCATCGAAATTGGGTACTTGCACCATTAGTATTACAGCTTTTGCATTTGCATTTACATTATGTTTATAACCATGTGTTGTAGCAAATTTGGTGATTTCTTTGATTGTCCCGAACACTGTTAATTGGATGGATTCTAACATCCCCCATGGTAAAATAGATTTGGTCATAATGGCACCAAATAATGTTTCACCTCTTAATGCAAATGGCACATCGACTTTTCGTAGTTGATCTGACACAACTTCCAATGTGCAAATTGCTTGTTCAATGACAAATGGATATGCAAACATTCCATTTTCATACCATTTAGGAAATTTGAAAGTATTTAACATATTTTCTATTGTACAAACCTTTGTGGATGACACCGCACAAATACTGTTGATTTTATTGTCTGGGTTTTTGAATCGAATGACCTGATGCTTTCTTGCAAAAGGTATTGCATTTTCCATTAGTTTCACATCTGAAAGCTCATGTGAAATGCATGATTTTTGCTGAACGAAAAACACTTCTGGTCGATTGGCAATAGTCAGTTCATGTCTTTTTGCTTGGAGGAAGAAATCAGTAAACATGTAGTCATCCGTTTTCAAAGTATTATCAAATAATTCACCATTTATTTTTTGGACAACATCCTTTCGAGCCATAAATGAGTGACTAACTTCATCGCAAATCATAATCTCCCCAAAGCTTCGTTTATACTCGTACTTTTGAACAAGTGTCCAGTTACATAGGTTCAAAGAGTAGCAAGGTACGACAAGTTCATTGTTGCTATACAGCAATGATGACCCGCCAATCATATCCACACCAGGAGTGATAACCAGAGCATGGTGAAGCCATTCGATACTAGTGTCTGATCCTTTTGGCTCAATAACAAAACCTGGTTCTAGCACAAAGAAATATGGTGTATTCACTTGTTTAATGGCCGTATTCAATGCCTCAGCCGAGGTAGCAAAGACACCAATTGGTGTAACACCAAAAATTGGCTTCGTCTCTACTGAATTTGTAGTAACTTTAGTAACAAGAATGTGAACATTTGGAAACTCATCCTGAATTGTTTTAATTTGATTTTCAATGCATGACCAGGAATCTTGATTTTCAGCCAAATACAACAAAATAAACGTAACATTGTGCTCAATATTCAGCCCCTGCAGTTCATCATCGTTATGAGCTACAATATGTGTTGCAGGAATACGAGGAAACGCCCCAACAACTTTGTCTGTACACGTTTGATGTGTGTTTTCCAGATGAATTTTTAAATTCTCCGCGTCTGATTCCAGCTGTGTTGTCTCTCTTTTTAATTGTTTATTCCTCCAGAAAACAACCACAGATATTGCTAGAAGTACTACACAGAATAGGTTCAAAGTTTGGCCCACAAAATTCATACTTTTCATTTATTTTTTTTGCAATATTTCAACCTTTTCTCCACTTTCTTATTGATTTTTAACATTTTTTCCAAGTGCTTCCATTTCTATCACGACGTGTCCTTCTTCAAGAGATTTCCTTAAAATGTTACCGACGAGATGGAAGCACTGTGTGTTGAGCCTACGATATGCTGCTGTTTGGCTATGCGATACTTCATCTTATCCCAAAATTTCTCATACGCGGGCTTGCCTTTACACCGGAACCTGCACCCAGGCAGGAAAGTCAAATTTGGAATTTGACATTAATATTTAGTCACGATTTTTGTGTTTACAGATCAATATTTTCTGTCCCTTGGAAGTAAAAATTTCCCAAACATGGCACAAGAAGAAACAGAAATGTGAAAAGCCGGCATAAAGAGATTGAAAAATGAGCGAATCTCATACCGAATTAGCGAATGTTGGAAGTATTGACAGAAATTTTGGCGAGCCAAATGTAGAAGACACTTTGATGAACCGAGAATATTCGAGTGAGATGAAGTCACATTCGGTCGATAATTGCTCAGATTTCTCGCCGTCAGGCTCTGTGTTTGAATCTGAGGATTGCTATGCTTCGATCTTTGAAACTGACCAAGAAAGTGGCGTTGAAAGTTTCGACGGTGACTGGCTACAATCGTGTTATACTCCTCCGTCAGAATATGATTTAGATCTCACTGAGGAACAGGCGTTAGAAACTCTGAAATATTTCAGTAAGTACGATGTGTTTATCTCGAATATATAACTCTCAACTAGTATTGTTTTGATTTATAAAAATGATCAGGTAATGTTTTGAAATTAGATAATTGTCGAGTCATGTTCTGGGTTGACCTGTGGCATATCTTCTATTGAAAAACTTAGTACAAAGGTGGTCATAGAGAGCAAATATTACTGTTTGTTCACAGAAAACTGTGCGTGGTGGTGTTAAGAATAGTTTTCATCACCAGTATATTTTGCAATAGTTCCCTGTTTGAGTGACATGTGAGAACATTTCTTTCAATTTCGATATTCCCAAAGTATGATCACAGGAACTTTACTTCCATTGATTCTAATAATCCAAAACTATATAAAGCCGCTCTTTTTGGACGACCTGGGATTATACTTAGCTATGAATGATGATTGTGCTACACATTCGAAAGCATGTACAAATATTCATCTACATGGATTGTTTATATTTATTGAGTGTGTGAAAAAACAACAACATACTTTAAGCAAACACTTTTACCATCAGTTACTCAAGTAAGCCACAGTTTGTCATGTTTCAATGTATCAGATTTTTATGTCTTTGTATTTAACCAACTATTTTACTTTGTCAGTTAATGAGGTAAGTTTGCTAAATTTTAAAAAAAGAGTGTATCCTGGTATCGAAAAACGAGATTGCATCTTTAAGTAAAAGCTTCAAGTAGAATGATCCAAAAATGAGCAACTAAATTAATTATCATTTTGATATTGAATAATATGTGGGCAATGTTATGTAGATTCTATAGTACACTAGTGGACCTATTTTTATTATAATGAATAGCCTAACCAAGGGTAAGGGTCAACCAAGGTTTTCCAAGATAGTCTAAGCTGATCTACCAGGGACCAAAAGCTATCCAAGAATTGCTTGCTGTGTATTTATGTACACAATATCCTTTTCTCACAGGAAACAGATAGATATAGCTACTATATCAAGTGCTATATAAGAAAAGGTTTCTTTTTCTATATAATAATAATGTTTAATTGATCAATTTTTGCAGTCTTACGACTGAATTGCAATTGAATTTACAGGCAAAGAATTTTAGATAAAATATGGAATATGTTTACTATATTTACAACATGTTGCTATAAAATTCTATTAAATTTAAGATTACTGTAAAATGTTCCGCTACGATAAAGTATTAATACTAAGACTATACTAATATGCTTAAAGTTTTGATTTTTTCGCATAATTTGGGATAAAAGAGTTCAATAACCTATTCGTATTAATAATGGGAAGATTAAATCTTCTCAGTTCTCTAAAATTATGTGTTGGTAAGTTTTCTTTAGGTAGTAAATGGCGTAATTTATGATCATCTTTTGTTTCGATGGACGAGAATAGTTTTTGTGATAACTTTTCTCTTCTGTCCTTCAGTGTTAATAATTTTGCTTCCTTTAATGCGACTTTTGGACTTGATTCCGGGTAGATTATCCGCAAGGCTCGATTTTGGACACGTTCCATATCCACCGACAAATAATCAGGAAGGCCTGAGTGGAAAACTTGGCAACCGTATTCTAAGATGGATCTAATGCATGCACAGTAGAATTGAATCAAGGAATAATGATCTACACCTGCACGTTTTAACTGCCTTAATAAGTATAGTCGTTTTGATGCTTTTAATACAATATTTTCGATATGACTGTTCCATTTTAGGTCTTCCGTGATGGTCATACCCAGTAGTTTAGCTGATTTAACAAGTTCAAAGCGTTCGCCATTTAGAATCAAACCATCATCAGTAAAGGGTCTTCTAGTAAAGTCAATTCGGAGCTCTTTACACTTTATCGGATTTAACTGAAATTTATTTTCATTGGACCATTTAGCAACTTGGTCTATTGTATCTTGTAATCTACTTTCCATGTTCCTTAAGATGACTTCAGAAATGGTCGTGTCGTCTGCAAATTTCCATATACTATTTGTGGGGGAACCATTGATACGTAGATCGTTAATCATGGCTAAGAACAGCCATGGACCAATCCTGGTTCCTTGTGGAACGCCCGCTGGAACTTGTAGGAAGTCGGATACACCTTCGGTTGATATCTTTACTCGCTGTAATCTATTTCGTAGAAAGTCCGTAATCCAATTTACGATTGTGGGTTTTAAACCATAACTGAGTAATTTTGCAATTAGCAAATTATGATCAACCAAGTCGAAGGCTTTCCTGTAATCGAGTAAGGCTACTCTTATCGCTGAGCCTGTGCCATCGGTTTCAGTTAGCCATTTGTGTAACATTGAGATAAGAGCAAACGTTGTACACGAGCCTGGTACAAAACCAAATTGTGATGGATCCAAGGATCTAAGCAAAGTCGGCCTCAGTCCTCTGTCAATGATGAATTTTTCTGCCACTTTTGATAAGGTTGACGTCAGAGAAATTGGCCTTAGATCTTTATTAAAGTCCGTGATCTTTGATTGTTTAGGGATGGGGGGAACGTCAGCCATCTTCCATGCTTGTGGGACTTTGCACGTTTGGAATGAGCAGTTGATAATATCAGCAACGGCAGGTGCTAATATATCGGCGTATGTCTTCAGTACCCAGTTTGGTAACTTGTCCGGGCCATTTGCTTTTGTGGCGCTTAATTCACGTAAAGTTTTTGCGACCACCATTTCGGTAACTTGTATTGGTTCGTCGTCGTCTTCCTTCAAGACACATACGTCATTAGTCAGCGGATTGTAGTCTGCCATAACACTGATAAAGGCTTCATTGATCTTATTTGCTAGTTCGTAATCGTTGCAATTTAAGTTCGTAGTCAAGCTTGATCGAAAATCTGGGTTATGCTTTTCCGAAGAGCCACATAACAGTTTGATTTCGTGCCACCATCTGTGCGGTTTAATTTCCTTTAGTCCACGGACTTTAGATAGATAATAACTTTTTCGGCATCGCTTCCTTTCACGGTTTACTTTGTTCCTTAAATGCCTGAATAAACCATCCTTTCCTCGTGAAAACGCCTTTTGCCTTTGAATAATGAGCCGTTTAAGCTGGTTAGTCATCCATGGACGATCAGACACATGAACTTTTATCGAACGTTCCGGCATCAGGATATCTAATCCACAATGGATAAGTTCGGTAAAAATTTCTAATTTCTCATCAACAGTCGGGGCGGTTGATAGCACGTCTTCCCAAGCTATGTTTGACAGAAATCTCCCAAGACTTCCAACTTTACTTGGTCTTCTATCCCGTACTTTGATTAATCTTTTATGGCACCCGGTTCTTTGTCGCCTTGTTGGAAATATTAAGATAGTTATATGATCGGATAAGCCAAATGGAGGGCTAGGAATAGGTTCAGTGTAGAATTTATGTAAGTTAGTAAACACTTGATCCAGGGTATTTGCACCTCTTGTGGGAAAGGTCACCATGTGTTTAAGCTGGAAGCACCTGGCAGTTGATTTAAACTCTAGTTGGTTGAAGTCTCCAGCCAAAATGATCGCACTATTAGTGTGTATGGTTTCAACGCGTTCTAACGAGTTTTTTAGATGATCCAGCATTGCTTTATTATCCGAATTGGGTGGATGGTAAATAACGCTACAACTATATTATGGAATCCACGGGGCAGCCTTTCTGGACGAAGTAGTAGCCATAGTATTTCGTATTCGTCCGCTTGGAGATCTAACAGAATTTTACTTTCAATAGAGTCTTTAATGTATGCACAAACTCCCCCATGTGAACTGTTAATGCGGTCACGTCGAAATAATTGGTATCCGTTTATTTTAATTGACTGGTCTGGTATCGATTCTTTAAGCCAAGTCTCTGTAAAAAAGGCTATATCAGGGTTTTCCAGGCTAATCGTATAGGCTATTTCATCAATCTTTGGTACAATTGACATCGTATTGGACAGTAGGAGAGATGGAACGAACTGAAGATTGTTGCAAGGTGCTGACTTTTGGACAGACTTATTCATATTAGATCTATTAATATTGTTAACATCCGTCAAAGCATCATGCTTTACAATATTTACGTACTTAAGGTTAGCTATGTTCCGCGCATTTTGCCTAGATCTATGGCCATGAGCGCGAGAAGATATTCTGACTTGAATTGTGTGAGCCATTACACGTACGTTGATAAAATTCCCTTATGGGTTAAGTTTATTTCATGCTTCGCAAGATGCTCCTCCTTTGGGCGCCAAGGCTTACAAGTAACAAATTTTGGCCAGAAATTATCTTCTTGCACGAGTGAACTAGCAGCCAGGGGACATGGATCTTCGATGAAAGAGTTCCACTGCGCCGACTAGGGAAAATGGAGATATATGTTGGGACTATATTCTTTAGGTAAGATAAAATCTGATTTTCATTCACGTCTTGGGCGATGCCAGATAGAAAAAATTTCTTTATTTTCCTTCGCTTTCGCTCTACTCCGATAAAACCATCGGACTCGCTAGAAGGCACCTTGTTTCTGCTTGGTGATTTCTGCAGGTTTACCTTAGGTTTATTACTCGTATCAATTGCATGAGATGACTTTACAGTGTTTGCGTAAGTTAATTTACATTCTTGCGATGAAGGCGGCTCAGCACTTGTTGTATCATTATTAGGTTTTAACTGGTCGTTCTCGCTTAATTTCACGACAACAAGGCTATCATTAGTATTTTCGCATGCATCATCAATAACAATGGGTTCTTGATTAGTGAGATCGTTAACAGATTCCGGCCCATTGATCATATTAGGATTTGCGAAATCGTTCAAGACAAAAGGCTTCACAATTGTTGCATCATTAATGTTATCTTGATTAATATATTCAGATTGTTCGCTCGCTTCATTCGGAGGCGCTGCCGAGTTTAAATCGTCTTGGCCGCCTTTATCTTTATCCATAAAGCTCTGGAAATGCGAAATCACCGATGTTATGTGAGAAATCGTCCCCGATAAAGCCCGAATCGCTTCCGAGTTTACCAACTGGCCTTGTTGAAGGTCATCTAGAATTACATTGACTGTAGACGATTGCATGCCCGACTGCCGAGCGTCCAAAATGGGAGCTTCGGAAGAGCATATCAGCTTACAAAACTTTTGTGTAATCTCGTTCGCTCTCGCACCATCAAGGTACAACAGATTCTTATTCTTTTTCCACAATATGGTAGATTCATCAAAAGTGAAAAGTTTTCTATCCCCACCAGGCTGCGACCATATTCCTTCGAGTTCTAGGTCGTCCTTTATGAACTGCTTTAAAGATTCGTAGTCGCCACTCCACGCAAAGCATAATTTTCCGCTTAATGTTGACGCCATAAAAGTTAACACATTTAGCTGATCAGGTTTATACCAATTATAAACGATAAAAGATCAGTTTATTTGAGAGATTTGTGGAGCTTCAAAACACACGTCTGAACTCACATGAAGCGAGCATATAGAGAGATACTAGGGTTAATTTACAATTGAAGACATACTATTTTAATTTTTCTCAAACTTGATGCTGCTAAGTAATTGTCACAATATAGAAAATGCAAATATCATGTTTTTAACTTATTATTCAAACACAGAATAACATATGAACGCAATATCCTGAATTATTACGTTTTCAATTCGGATTTATCTTCAAGCTCGTCGTAGTGTTTTACGGTCTTTCCAAGAAAACTAAATGGACTTGGAAATGTATCAATTATTGTATAATGTAAAAAAAGTATTCCCGTTAGTTCGAGAAACGAAAACTCATCGAATTCGTCTTTGTTGGATGAAATATTAAACGACAGATTAATAAGGACATCATCAGACCAGACGGGTATTTAAATTCTCATCACTAAACGTGCAAAGTCCAGTGTATTTCTTGTCTTACATGAAGAACGCATGCAGGGAAAATTTACGAATAAAACATTTTGTGACGTTAGTAAGATGTGCAGCCTTATCACATTAATTAACGTTCTGCTGTAAATGGTTTTGATTCGAAGTGCTACGCTTGTTCAAACTTAGGTTTGAACGATTTCCTGAAATAGTATGGGTTTTTTGCCACATTTCCACCCAAATACATATATCAGCCTGATTCAATCCGCTATAGGCACTGGTTATAGTCTATAGTCTGATGTTTTTTATGCGGTATAATCTAGCAAGGAAAACGCTCCGAAAATGCGCGGAAGAACTTTGTTTTTTTCTTTGAAACCATGGTTACACATACTCATCAGTAAAAGATTGGTTTAAGTAGATTTTTGCATTAAGATAATTAATGTTTAATTACGAAAAAGTATAATGAAATAATAAAATACTGTCGTTACAGATCCGAATTATTGTAATAATGTTTCCTCTGACTCTGTCTGACCAAAGAGCCGACAAATGCGCAAAAATCACGTTTTAAAGAAGGAGCTTTAAATAAGCGTTGAGGGTGAGACTGATGCAGCCAGCTGATATTTTTTAAACGGTCAAGGGTTTTATTTTTTGAATGAGGTTGACTTGTTCCTATATACGTGTTCATTCGCATGATCTCTGAAAATGCTGTTGTTTGTTAAAAGTTTTCACTAATTGTAGTTGTCTTTGTGTAAGTAGAGATCTGCATTTGAACCATATGAGAAAGATACATCGTATGTGTGTGAGTAGAGATATCATGCGTGCTTGCATGGTGGTCATATATGCTCTCATGATAAAGCATAGCTGAACTAGGAAAGACAAGTCGATGTCTTCAAGCCTTCTCGCAGAAACATACCACATATGCAGTTAAGGCTTACTCAATTGAGTTGTGCTTTAAAGCATCACTTGAGAACAATCAGTTCATGTCCGTTTGCATGCCTTTCCTCAACAGTATACTCCTTGAAACATTACAGTCACTCATAGTACATTCCTCATTGTATGGGTAAATTTCTTCCTAGCTCTATCCCTCTCTCGGGCTAACCAGATGACAAAGACGCATCAAGACTTGGAGGCAGTGTTGCAGCTACTGCAAGAGGTAGGTATCACAGAAGATCCCATCACTGAATCTGTTCGTGACAGATCTCTCCACGCTCAGATGCCAGTTTTTCCTCGCGTGAGTAAATGCAGGCAACTATCAATTCTTCCATTTGTAGAAAGAGAAAGACCTGGAATTGGCAGCCAATATTGGTCAGGTGAGCATTTGAAATCTAAATATCTCCTTTCCTGTAATGGATAAAGCTGACTGATGGCAAAAACACCATGACAAACCAGGATCCTATTTTGCACAAGTATTTATAGGATTATTTGCACCGATTGTTTTATAGTCATTACTGGAAAGGAACAAGAATCTGTACAAGAAAACCGAGGCTTTAGAAAATTACGTGAACGAAGTTGAAGAACGAGTAAGTGGTAGCTACTTATTCGGGGGATGTAGGTTGAGGGAGGGGTGTGTAAGGGTGAAGGGTGAAATGGCTGCTGTACCGCACTACCGCATGTGATCCAGTACCTCACATCGTGGCATTCATCTAACAGGAAACGCAGCTGAAACATGTCGTGACTATGAAAGACAAATTGCTGAAGACGTTCATTGACGAAGATCTGAGTGACGTAGAGGATTATTCTCCTGCAGACTCCAGGTATATAAAGAGATCCATCCAATGTGTTGGGTTGACAGCGGTTGGACTAAGACCACCTCTTCAAACTAGTGTACACTGTTTGGAACAAATAGAAATGACCTGAAGAGGTTTTGAAATTCATAATAGCTCTGTTGACAATGGTACTTAGCTACATATTTCTTGATGTTAATGTCATTTTCCTTAGTGCCTACGATTCCTGCAGAGATGAGTCAATGCTAAGTCTTCAAGAAAGATGCGACCAGTTGGAAGACAACAATGCCAGTTTGATTTTGGAAGTATGGAAGAGTCTTTATAAGATAGCGTTTGATAGGACCAGCTTGCCTTATAGCGACCGATACTTGGCGTCACACATCATCTGACATACAACACAATTGCAGCTTCCTCGTTGTTAAACCCGTCGTTCAAAATTTCAAGCACCAAATGTTTGATGATATGATTACAATATAACATCTTTATGTAGGCTTTGAAGATACGTCAGGAAACTGACAAGGAAGAAGAGAAGGAAAAGGAGTTGGTTTATGAATGTATAAAAGAACTGGGTAACGATGTAGTGACCTTATCGTACTTTATATGCAACCTCCTGGGCGTTGAGGAAAACCCTGTCTAAAGCTCTGTAATATAAAATTCCTAGCTGGCTCGGCCTTTATAAATCCGTGTAAGTTAAAGTTCAGAATTCAAACTTTGTAATGATCTTTGAAAACGTTTTCCTTTTCAGCTGAGGCAAAAGGTCAGATAAGTCATTTGACTGATGAAATATCTCTGAAGGCTCAAGACAATATTGCTCAACATGTAATGGATACCGTTAATTGTTTTCCTACAGCTTTTATATTACTAGATGATAGTTTATTAGTTTATTAACTATATTTTAACAAACAGGAAGAAATTTCAAAGCTTATTGATACCGTATTGGAACTGCAGGAACGACATAACATGGTAAGAAGTTGAAATGTGTTTACAAAATTTGGTATTTTCTGCTTAAAAATTTCTTCATGACTTTCCCTCGTTTAGCTTACTGAAGAGAATGAGGGTCTACAGGAAACATTGAAACATTCGCAAGAAAATCAGGATGATCTTAAAGGGGAGGTGACGACTTTACATGAAAAATACCAGGAATGTTATGAAATGCTGATGGAAAATCAAGTAAGTTTGGGAGATTCAGACGATTCGGTCCAAAAAATCGCTGTAGAAATGTTGAGATGTACGAGATGCTTACAAATCGCCTCTCTTCTGTGCGTTGCTAAAATTAAACGTCTTATTTTGTTCCACAGCGTGAGATGAAAATGATGAAAGAAAAATTGAGGTAAGTTTTGTTTTAAAAGGCTAGCAGCAGCAGGATAGAAGGATTAAAGACCGCAGAACCGCAGATGTTTCTTCAACTAGTTAAACGAGCCGAATGCATTATTTAATACTTAGTTTGTGATATGTTGAATAAATTCTTCAATTTCTCCGCTGAAAGTTAAGCAGGTGCCGGTATTCTATGATTTTCACGACAGCTAAATTATTGATTGAAACTCTTATACTTTTCATCGATTCATTTGCGACCCTTCCTGAGATAAAAAATGGACAGTAAACTATCACTTACGGTTTGGCCTGTCCGTTTCTTCAGCCGTCAAAAAAGTACTGGGGACGAAGCTGCGGGAACATCCCGTCCGGATCCACGTGACTCGCTGGCTCAAGAGATCGAGGAGTCTGTAAGAAGAGATATTGAAACATCACAGGAGAAAAAGTATGCCTGGTTTTTAACAGCCCCCCCTGGAGTAGGATTTTGGTTAGAAGTAATAGTGCACGGCTGGATTACATCCAGGGGGGATACATCTTATATACACACAGTTCTTTAACTATTGATAGCATTTAGAACTAGTTTACATGCGGCAGAAAAGCAACGGATATAAAACCAATCCATACAACACTACATCGTTGCATCCAAACCGGGGATAAACTGAGGTGTATCCATTCCATATGTTCTCCTCTATTTTAGGAAACATACGGATCGTGTTATGCAAACTGTTCGTGTTGCAAATACCAAACGTTTTCCAAAAGCGATCAAAGGAGGCATGCGGCCGGTCAAAGCAGTGAAACCTGGAGCAACAAAAGGCGCAGAATCAAAACCGTTTGATTTTAGTTTTGCTGCTGCACCACCAGATGAGCAGCGCAGGCCTGCGCCAAGCATGGATGAGTTGAGAGCAGCCGTGAGGAGACTTAGCGTTAGTGATAGCAATGGTAAGATATATCGTATCATTGCTTGAGAGGTATTACTACTTGACATTGCACTTCAGGATTCCACTTCTATTTAAAGCAGAAAAATTCAAATTCTGAACTAAATCTAATCGAATATCCTCTTTTGAAGTGGGTATTTAATAATACTCGTTCGGTATTGTTTTCATTGTGAGTGATTCTGATGGAGTTGGTTGTGTTGGTGACTAAGAATAGAGAAGATGGAGTCCGTAATTTGATTGTTTTTCTCTATTAGGAGCGCCTCAGGGAAGAACTAGGCGAGCATGGGCACCAGAAAAACTTCAGATTGTCAAACCAATGGAAGGTATGTGAAATAAGTTGGAGTGAGGAGTATTGCGTGACTTGAACCCCGGGCCTCTACCAATGCAAACAGTGGCACCTCTGGCTTTGCCTGTATCATTTCTCCAAATCATATTTCCAATTAAACCTCGTTGTTGTTGCCTTGAAGTATAGTTACCAATCACATCCCAAACCCATATTTAAGTTATCCTCGCCCACTCCAAGACCCACGTTGCTCTCGTTTTCCGTCTGTAGGTTCAGCGACACTTCACAAATGGCAGTCTCTGGCGAAACCAACGATGAGTGGTCTCCACAGTGTCGTGCCAGGTGTGCACGTCAAGGGAGAGATAGTGACGCGTAAGGACAAAAGCAGACACGAAACAAACCAGACTAGCACGAGAAGGAATGAAAATGACACGAAACGAGAAGAGACAGGAACGAAAAACGTAGAGCAAGACACGAAAGATAAAATAGTGCAAAGCACTTCAAAAAATACTTCAAGTAAAATTGTGGATAAAAAGACTAAAAAAGAAGCTAAACTTCAAGAAAACACTCAAGATAAATCAATTGAAAACAGTAAAAAAAGAAACAACCAAGCCATAACAACGACAGTAACAACCACAGTAACCGTTACTAAACCAGTGCAGTCAAATCAAGTTAGTAGCACTGTTATAACAAGTACGAACTCAAATCTTACTGAAATTGTCAAGTCAAAACTCTCTGCTGAGCACGTTCTATCACCAAAAAACGAAACCAGCACCTCGATATTAAACACGATATTTCGCAGCACGGTCGGGATAAGTACGGGATTTTCATCGTCAACTCCCGTCACTACAACGGCAAAGTCTTCATTCGTCACCATGACGACAACGACAACATCTCCGTCAATGTCCGTCGGCGGTTTCTCCCGACCTCGTCACGTTAGAAGCAAAAGTAGCGAGAACTTGTTAAGTTTGATTTCACCCTTCAACCAGAACGAGGAATCAACGAATTCCACCTCAAAAAACATCGGAATTCCTCCTGCATCTAACCCGCAAACAGGTGGAATTGGTCTTGGAGGGTTCGTCGGGAGATTGGTACGAAGTTCTAGTAACGAGAATTTAGCGGATCAATCGATTAAGGAGTCTGGATTCTCCAGAAGTTCGAGCAGTGGGAAGCTAACCGACTTACTAAAGAACTCTGACATTGCAAAAAATATTGGCAAAGCCTCAAGTATGGACACCATGACAAAATCATCAGGTGTTGATATGCAAAACAAGCGTGCTTCATTTCAACTTGGTGACTCGCCACCTTCTGCATCTCACCTGGAGATGATGGGTGATCTGGGAGGATTTGCATTCATGAGTGGTGGAGAAAGCTCTAGTCCTCCAGCGAGTGATAATGCCCCAGTACTGCCAACTACCAGTACTTCAAGATCTGTGTTTGATGCATTTTCTGGTCTCGGAGGATTCTTCCGCAGACCTCGAAGCAAGAGTTTGGATAATTTAGGACCTCTGCCCACAAGAATCACAACACCTCCCCAGCCGGTTCCCAACTCAGGACGAAAACCAGTTGAACGTAGTTTAGAAAGGTTTGACCAGGTCTTCGGACCTGGCTGATCATGAAACCCATTTGAATTGACAGTATAACTGTGTTGTGTGTGTTTATATAATCACTGACTTACACTATACTTTAGGATAGGTCAGTGGCTTATACTGGATGATTGAAAGAAAAGCATACTTCTGCAAGGATATATTACTTTTACCTCTGTCATTCCATGCAACTTTAAGTAATCTATGCAATTGACTCAGCTCTTGAAAATGAGAAGTCAGATAGTGCTAGTATTAACATTTAGTATCGAATGTTTGCAATTGTAAAGTAGAATTCAATTCAATTCATTTAGAAGTATCCCTTTCTCATCTTCAGAATCTTTGCAGAAGCATGCATTTCTCATCATCAAGATTAATAAAGTTGGTGTAAAATATATTAGCTATATGAGTTTATAGTTTATGAAATAAACCCACTGATTTATACTAATATGGGTCAGTGATTTAACCCAACAAAAAAGATTGTAGATAATACATATTAGCACAATGCATTGCTGTCAGGAATGATTGAAAAAACAGTGTGATTGAGTGTATATATATTAGATGCTCTTGCGTTTAAATTACTTTGATCTTTGCAACTTTACAAAGCATTGTGTTGAAATGTACATGCTACTATCTTTTTTGTTATTGAATATAATATCATTGTGTATTTGTGTGTTAACATATATATTATAATTAAATGGATATATGAATATTGAAATGTAAATAAATATTTACAAATGACGCACTGATAAACGTGGAAATTATTGCTGTTTGGTATTAGGCACACAATTTTCTATGCCATTTTCAAATTTCGAGGATCTAACAATAGACAAATACGAAACCAAAATACTATACAACAACGTACCTTTCGAACGCTTTAACAGAACTTGTCGTACAGGACATTCTTTTATTTTTCTTTCCTAAAATCGAAGCAATATTTTCAATTTACATCAATTTGACAATTTTCAACAAGTATTTAAATTTAGCGCCAGAATCCGCAACACTTTGCTAAAATGAATTATTGAAGAACACGCATGAGCACACCGCTGTCAAATGAACTGGATAAATTCGTTGACAAATTAAAAATTTTCCGATGAATTTCGCTCTACCAAACAGATTTACTTTTATACCTTGATATTGTGGGAATAAGAAATTCTATTTTAATAAAGTCAAACAAACTTTTTCTTTTTTAACACTTCTCCAAAAGCTCATTTCGCGGGCGCCATTAACATCACGCAATCATGCATTACCACTCATAACGTTTGTCCAATCAGAAACAAGCAATTTAACGGCTCTAATTTCAAAATTACTTTCGCTATTTTGAATAACGACACGCTTGGGACTAGTAGAAATAGTGTCGATTTTCTTGTTTAATTTCAAACCTTTTTGTTATTTGAGGAAAGGTTGTAAAGCAAATTAATATGGATTACACAATAGACGAATTACATGCGATGAAACGCATCGATCTGCAGAAATTATGCAAGCAATTTGGAATCAAAGCGAACATAAAAGTTAGTAGAAAATATATTACGTTTCTCATTAATTTATATTTATAAATGTTTTACTATAGTTTCTAAAAATGCAATCTTAACCAGTGTTGTGTTTTATAATGAACAGACAGAGAAAATGGTGGAAGAATTGAGCAAACATTCTAAACCAAGAAATTTACAAAATGAGCAGAGTAATTCTATACGGTTGGTTAACTTGTTTCAATGAATTGCAAATTATGAAAGTTTCGACTCATTAGTACTAAATTACTCTGGAAGGTAATAAACAAAATCTATAATCAATACATTATAGACCTAGTGATGAAACAGTTCTCAAAGAACCAGACATTGCTGAAGGAATCAAGGATGATCAAAGTGAAGTTGAAGAAACACAAAATATACGCAAGAAAGAAGAAAAGGAGACTCGAGCTACCAAACGAAAATCTGGCCGCAAAGTGAAGGGTGAGGAATAAAGAAGTAGTATAATTTCTGCTATGATCGATGGAGGTTTATATATATATATATATATATATATATATATATATATATATATATATATATATATATATATATATATATATAATATACAAAGAATGTTCCATTATTTTCGTATTAGCACCGAGCAAGATTCCAAGACGCCATGAGAAAAAGAATGAAAATATTAAATTTGAATGCAACACTCCAAAAACTAATGAAAATGGGAAGAGTAAAACTCCAAGTAAGATGACTAAAAGTATTGTAGCTCAGTCAGACTATTAGTTTCTATATAGAGTCTGTTTCAATACTGTATTGTCGTTTTCTATGAAACTAGAAAATAACGCACCAAAAGATTGGACCAAAATACATCAAAGGCAATTTGACAAGTGAGTAGAAATATTTTGCATCACGAAGATACCGTTTCCTCCATTTCTTGAATAACATGACTTTTCTGCGTTCATTGCAGGATGGATTCCCTGGATGTGTATTTGACAAAGAAGCGAAAGAGGGCAGAAGATTTATCCTGCAGTGCAAAGAAAGTTAATCTGGTATAAAATAATTGATATTTCTTCAATTTGTCCACGGTCTACCAATAATTGTGAATTGCTTTAAGTGCTGCATCATGGTAATCATCTATTGATAATCTTGGTTTGCCAGGTGTCGGCAGAAGAGAAATCAACGACAGAGAATAAAGTTATTCAAAGACCAAAACCTCAACCTACCAAGCCAACTCCTGTCAATAAACCAGTATGTTTATGACAATGCTAATCTGTGCTATTCCATGCAGCATCACTGCAGCATCACTTATTTGCCTCTCTTGTTTTTTATATCAGAAGATAGAAGTGGTTGTCACTCCAAAACCGGAAGCGGAAACATTGGCCAACAAAAAGCGACTGACTTTCAATTTCTTCCCCTCAACAAAGGAGAACCCCATTCGGACACCTCGAGCAGGCAAAAGACGAACTACTCTAACAGACACAGAACCAAGACAGGCGACACCATTTAGGTTGAGCACATTTTCCTAAACCACTGCATTATATTGATTCACTGTAAAACCTCTGAATAAACTTATCTTACTCCTCCTCTTAGATTAACGACAAACACAATGCCATTTGGCTCCCCCACTCCAAGGAAGAAGTTCGACTTGCAAGCAAGCCTTGCAAAACCGCTACGTTATAAGCCTTACACAGGTAAACTGCCAACACCACCTTATGCAAAGAACTCACCCAAAATTGTTTCTGTCAAGAAAGCCAATGCCCCCAAAACACACCAGAGAGACATCAAAGCTGTCAAGACTAAAACGTAAGTAGAAAAGACGACTTGCTTCAAGAAGCTCCTTTGTTTTGAGCTGTAGAAGCAGGTGGCCTTATATACTGAATATGCTCCTTATTCTTTCAGTCGCAAGGATCGTCGTATGCAACAAATGAAATCTCAAAGTCGGGCAAGAGAATCAGCTGTGAGCAGAAGACGTGGTCTGATGAATTAACCTGACATTATAAACGATAAATTCCTAGTTTATGTATGTATATAGTATCATATATATTGTATGGCATCTCACTTAATAACTTCAGACCTTCACTATACCCCTTCTCTGTTGTAAATAAACCTTGGTTCCTTTTTTCTTGTTAGAATTTCGTTTGAGCATTCGTGCATGCATCAGCAAGAACTATTACATCTTACAACAACTTAGTAAAACTCACCTCAGTTCTTGTGTAACGTACTTCATAACGTAACGTTCTCTGCTCTCAGCAATTTCAAGCAACCAGCTAGTATTCGCACTGAGCCTCAGCAACACTTTGCAACACTCAAGCAGTCATCTTGACAATTCACTCCTCAAGTCCACCTACTGTAACAGATAAGCCATGATTCTTCTCTATTCTTCAAAGATGATTTACCAGAATATCACAACCACTAACCATAGTGTTAATATAGGCTTTCTTTTACAATCTAACTGGTTTATGAAAGCTCAAGTTCAAACATATAATCTCCTTTGCTAAATTGGTTCAAATACTCACACACCATAACAATAGTAAAATTTATTGCTACAAATCCTCAAGGAAAAACGGAATCCATGTTTTCCTTACGAATTATGGGAAGATAAAGAGAACAACCTTATTCGAAATACACGTAAAACCACAGTTAATAGACAATGCTCTGACCATAGCTTGACATGCAGGCCGTGAAAAGGATGGAAAGTCTCGCGGATAAATTTGGACATGAGAACCTGTGAAGTGTGAACTCGATGATAAATCAAAAGAGAGACACTATACGAGAACTAGCCTTCACAGTCACAGAATACGGCTTACGCGAGAGTTTCCTCCACTGCTTCGCACATTCACTGAATAAACACTTCCAGTTTCCTCTGATAGACTTTCCTAGAAAAGAAGGAAGTGCAGAGTGTTATAACTCTGTAGAACGCAACGACTCTCGTGCCCTCGCATAGCACATGTTGGAACTAGTCTGCAAGTGGAGTGAAGAATGGCTGGAATTACATGAACCAACTGACCTTCCAAGCTAAGCCTTCCGCTAGAGAGTAATTCAGTTCCCTCTTCGACTCTCCAATACTTGGGAGAACACTGCGAAGACTGACTGGTCGTTTCTTCAGGGGAAATTTCTTGAACTCAGAATAGCGACGTTTTACTGTCATCTGACGTCGAGTAACTAGATATGAACAAACAAAAATCATTTTCTGGCAAGACGACGAATTCTAATTTCTAACTTGAGGATATTCTAATTGGGAAAAGGGATCGAAACAGTGTTCTAATTCCAAAAAAGGATTCTAAATTGTAGTAATTGAGTTTCTAATTAGAAAAGTGATTCTAATCTGAAAAAGAAGCTCACCTTAATTAATAAAAGAGGCTTGCGCATATTATAGTGAACGCATGCATGAATTACTTACGTGGTAATTTCTCAGTTTCCTGTTCAGCAGATTGAGCATCGTATTGTCGACAAAATCCGGCCCAAAATGGCAAGAGTTCTTTCAGGACGATAGCTTGAGCGTCGTCGAAAATAGCGCAATCCTTTTGCTCACGTGACAGCTTGTTGCGAGCGTGAAGTGACTGAGCCTTGTGGACGGTACGACCAGCAAGATCTGAACTGATGTCGATCTAAAAAATTGCACATATTATTATATCCTGCGTCATCACTACAGTCCATAGGGCAAGTTTTGCACAATTTCACATACCAAATTATGTACTATATAACACTGGAGTCCTCTCGAAAATTGTACCAATTATAATCTACGAAACATGAAGTTTTGAGGAAGACCAGTTTTTGGACTTACCTGTACTGATGGAGGTGTTGCCGAGTCAAGAAAACAATCCACAATAGCATCCACTTTCTTCAGTAAGGTCGTCTAAACAAATGATTCATAAATTCAGGATTCTCAACACAGATCTTGTATTAAGAGAAACACAGCAATATACTTACATCATCCATGTACAGAAACAGATCCTAAAAAGAAATATACGTACATATATTTAAAATAAATACATCCTATATCTAGGAGTAAGTGATGGCTCTCTCATTTTGCAGAAGGACTGGAAGAGAGAAATCGACAAGATGTGGAATGCCCACTTTAAATTACTGTCAAAATGAAGTGGCTACCTTATATTTTTGAACTTCTAAGTAAAAGAGAAGATCGTTTTCCAATTTTGAAATACTCTCTCCTTGCACGTCATCGTTCGTATCTAAATATCTTCGAAATAACTCAAGCCTGGGTGACAACACTCCATAGGTTTCGCGAAGCTCGTTCAGAAAGTCCGCTTTATTGTCTTTGGTTGGCTGAACACGACCTGGACCCTGCATGAGGGTAGAATAGATAGAGTTCTTTACGGTGATATTGTGCTGTTGGTTGTTATCATGTAACAGGACAAACCAAAGAAGCTTACCTTTAATTTATTTCTTCTTCTTTTATAGTAAACGAGAAAACTATTTGAATTCAAAGGTGTTTCATTTTTACCATGACCCGTGCTGGTGTGGTGAACGTGATGGGATTGAGCGGCTGGTTTAAACAGTTTTTGAGCCTAAACATAATTAAAATATTTCACATTTGTGTGAACAGTTTTCAAGAGAAAAAAAGGGGGGAATGTTGAAAATACCTTGTGAAACTGTTTGAAAGACGCCTGAATCTCAGGATGAAGGTGATCCTGAGTTTTCGTGAGGGTTGCTGTTGAAGGTCGACCATCTTTGATTTCGAATGGAATACGTGGTGGAAGATCTACGCACCTGAAAAAAAAATTTGAAAACGTTCAATACCAGTTCTTATTATATGGTTTGGGGTATTCCACTGAGAACTAAAACACAGGTCGTTTACTTGTCGTCTTTGTGTGCATTTTGTCACTCATAATTTAGTCCATATACCAGAACATTACACGGTTCCCTCGAAGATACGATTTTATGTATAAAATCTACATCTTCTCGCCACCGTGTAATATCTTATATATATGATGATAAGATCAATCCTGTTTCATTTACTTAATCAGGCTGAATTATAAACTGTCACTTACTTCCTTGAGGATTCATCAAAGTAAGTCCTGTGCAGAAAGAGATGAATAAAAATCTATCAATAACGCTATACCCACGGCTTTCGGACAAGATGATTTAATTCAAACTTAGTCACTGAGTTTGGGACAACATGTTCGAGACTCGTACTTACTTAAATATTTGCGTAGCACGTTCCGTCCTCTGGGACGTGCTGTTTGATGGGATTGATTTGTACGTCTCAATGTCAAGATACATTGCTAGCATGTTCATAGCATGGCTGCCCTCCGAGTTTTGAATATAATGTTTGAACGATGACATCACACTAGCGGAACAAACAGAAAAAAAACTTGGCAAAACACAGTCGCAAGCAAATAAAATGTTAAGACACTGCAGCATGGCAGATAATGGTTGCAGTTATACTTCACGTTTGAAACTAGTGTTCGTGCTCTATCAATGCAGAGTATACTGTACTGTAGAGTGCATGCAGAGTATACTGTACTGTACTTGATATTGTGTGTAGAAATGCTAGCTTAAGGGTTATCCAACATGTAGGAACTTAGTCTGGAAACAAAATGGAAGGAAAACAAAAACTCAAACTCACTTTTTTTCATTTAAGAAATTTTTAAACTCAGGAGTTGGTTTCTCCTCAGTCTCCGCTTCACTCTCCTCGTCAACGCTATCATGTCGTTCTTTCGACGGGATTTTCGCTTTTTCTTTCTTTGGACTAAACTTGACAGTTTTCTCAACACTTTGTGGTGGCTCTGACGTCCTCGATTTCATCATGCTTCGCTTCTTTTCCCCATTTTCGGGCGATTTATACAGGGAGGACATACTCATGCGGGTCGTTTCGATGTCTTCTGCAATCGTCATGGCAGTGTGAAGACGTCTCTGTCTTTCTGAAGGCGATGACTCGGGGTACCTGTCGCAAACGAGGAATGTACTTTGATTACCACAACCAGTGTCATGATTCTCAATGAGATAAGACACTCCATCTCGTTAGTTAAACTGTCCACAAAAGTTCAACAAACCTTGGATACCACTTTCCAGGAACGAAAATACTCTGATACAAAGATCCTGCATGTTTACTGTCGTTCTTAGAAACTGTGGATCGTTCTCCAATTGACTTCTTAACAAAGCTGTGGACGGTTTAACATAACATGATAAAGATTATCATTCACATGTAGAAAGGGTTCATTTAGAAAGCATGTGATGAACATGATATATAAACAGATTAGTATGAACTAGTAATTTTTTTACTTTTTTAACATTGTCTTTTCATCTTCCAAATATTTGTTCCACGGCGTTCTCAAGACATCCAGCGCGTGCTCCTGGTGGAAAACAAACGAATGAGTACAACAGTTTGTACAGGATTAATTTGTCACGAGATCAAAGATTATCCTTGAAATTTGCTCTTTGAAGATTTTCAACAGTGTTCCCTTCAGTAATACTCACAAATGCAAAAGCAGATAATGGCAGCCACTCTCAGGCTTCATGTTTCACTTCATGTTTTACGACAAGAGTATTTAGCAATTTTCAAAAAATAATCATGAGTAATCATGATTACCTGGCCAGAGGTAAATAACGAAGACGACACTTCCATACTCTGTCGAAGTTTCTCAATAATCTTTTGCTTATTAAGTTCGCTCATGTTCACCACAGACTCGTTGCTCTCTGTAACAAAGAGCCAGGATTAAACCTGCATGTACAAAACCAAACAGTGCCTTACTCGTCAATGAGACACACTGTTGATATTGCCAGTTAAGATGTCACTAAAACCACTATCATTGCCTCCTGTTAACCCATATTAGCAAGCAACAAACCCACATGTAGCCTCTTCATATGAATGGTTCATGTTTCAAAGTGATTCTTACCATTGGAGAGAAATCGCTTCACGATATTCCAGGCACTACAGATGTGTAAATGACGATCACAACCACGTTGCTCCTCGTCTTTCAGATCCTCAATCGACTGCCAGAACAATAATGTTGACAATTCGTCTTTTCTTTTTGATCTTGATAACAAAATTATACTGTGTTTTTTGAAACTATATTTATGAAAAATAGCTACTCGAAAACATGTTTAAAATTACCTGGTAAGGAATGCACGAAATGGCCAGCCGGCATCTTTCTCGCAAGATATCCCACTTACAAATTCGTTAAAATCATCTCTAAAGAACACACATTACCAGGCAACTTGTTTAGGTGAACTTTCTTGCCAAACAATGAAGAAAAAACAACTCTAAAGGCAGTCAGATTACTTTCCAATTCGGACACAATACAGATCAATTTATATATTTGTCTATAAAGCACTCCTAAAATTACCTTTCGCCATTGCCAGGATCGATAAGCTTCTTTCTCGAGCGTGTTTTGACGTCAGAAAGCGATAGATTTTTTGACCAATCACAGCTCGTTCTGGCCAACTCTGTGCACCATTCTCCGCGCGGTGGTAATGAATGAACGAACGATATCTTTGGTAGAAAGCTCAGTGTTGTTCTATCGTCTGATTGTCGCGACTGGGAAGACGTACTATCATCTAGTCTAAAATTAGATACCATGCTTTAGTGGTCGAACTTTGATCATGATATCCTGAGAACTTTGAACTAATCTGAACCTTTAAAACATTTCACAGGCCTTCCTGATAAAAATACATTTGTGCAGGGAAGTACACAGGGTAAACAAAAAACTACGAAAATCAACATCTTACATCTCACTATTCATCGTTTCTTTGTGGACTAAGAATCGTGGAATCCAGTAAGACCTTAATCTTCGCAATGTATCATATTGTGTTCTCGTAAAGAGATCTTTAGTCAATCCTTCGTGCGTTAAAGCCTCGCGGATCTTTTGCTAAAAAAGACATTGAAATAATTCTATATCTGTACTGATAAATGTATAGATGGTTGATATGTGGATGAGTAGTAGGTTGGTTGATAGAAGGTAACTTTGCTGGTAGAGACACTCTGGTACGCATGTATGAATGATTGGGGTGGGTGTTAATATGTATCAGATAAAAAGTACAAACTACTTTAAGAGTGCACATAGGGGAGAGTGGGTAAGAGATCTTGCTCATAATGACGTCAAACACAGGAAGTCTGATGTTACAGGAAATTTGATTGGTGGAACAAACGAGCCATTGGACAAGCAAAAAAAGCAACAGGAATAAACATCGCTCACAATTCACAAGCAAATTACCTTGGCTTCAACAGTCAAATGACTTTTGTATTTATCATTAATCTCCCTGAAGCATATCAAAGAAAGACAAGAAGATATATATTATTATTCAAGATTTCTCTCGTATATCATATGAACCGGATATAACCAAGATTATTGAGAAATTTTATCTTCATACCTAAACAGTTTAATCCTCAGCATTTGTAAAGCGTTTTCATTTTCAACGTTGGACTCCTCGAGGTTCTTATATTCCTCCACGTCAAGCCAAAAGTTCACAAGATGAATACCAGATGTCCCAGTTAAGAATTCACGAAATTCTTTCATTCCAGAACTCTAGGTGTGGTTAATACAAGTCAGCATGTTGCTGTTAACCGTCTGTCAGTCAGTGGGTTAACCTGCGCGCTGTACGTACAAAAAAAGACGTTCATACCGAATTAAGAGCATCTTCCTTTATTTCTTGAAGGTCTCGTTTATTTTCATCGATGATACTCAGGAGCTCTGCCTCGGTTCTTTCAACGTCTGCTTCATCAAAGCATAGTATTGTATCATCTTCATCAACTTCGTCGAAATCGTTAAGAGGTGTATCACTTTCTTTACTATGTACTCTGTCTTGTAGTCCTGAAGTCAGAGAACAAAGATAATATTCAAAGAAATGGATAAATCGCCTAACGTTTTGAAGTACATCTACACGAAAAATCAATACCAATAGACCTTTCCTCTTTCAGCTTTCAAGCGCGGAATGCGTTACGGTAGTTGATTATCAAGATCAATTTGAGTTGCTATTTCGCCATCTTTAGGAGTGATTTAGTTTAACAAAGAAGCAAAAAGAATCGGCAAACTTTTCTTACAAACAAAATCACTTCAAAGTAGGCGATATCGCAACTCAAAATTGCTTGATAATCAACTACCGTCACGCATTGCGCGCTTGAAAGCTAAAAGGGGAAAGGTCCATTGATACGTTGATCTAGGATCGAGTAGGGCCGCTAATGAAGAGCTGATGTAATAATAATCGAATTTTATGCCAAAGTGTTTCTAAGTGAATGCAAGATAATTGATGAAACAGAAGACGTTTTTTATAGTCTGATGATCTTGTGTTGAATTGAGCCGAACCGTTTTTCTTTCTTATCTCACCGTGAGAAGCTCAAAATTGCTCCGGAAAATGTTTGAATACAGAAGCAACCATAATTTCGGGCGAAAGATTACGCAAGAGAGGTAAAATGCTAGCCCATGGGTTAAACAGTTAATCAGAGGAAGTAATGATAATAATGAATCTTTTGGTTACCTTCAACAGGAGCGCTTTTAGTTCTTCTTAAATAATTTCTTCCTTTCTTACTTCCTTCTCTGGTCTCACACGAAGGCGTAAACAGGCACGTTTTTCTTTTCCTACCATTCTTCATCCGTATACCGCCGGCAGATCTGATCTTAATTCTTTCAGCGTAGCTCATTTCATCGACGAATAAATCTTCATTTGAATCACCGTGTTCTAGAAGTGAACATGAAAATTGTTGAATCATCAGTGGTAAAGAATTTACGAAGCTCTAGTTCTGCGAGTTAGTTGTAGATGGAGGCCCGTCCGTAGTTAAAAGATCACTAGATGTTAGAGAGGCTTTTGACCTTAGCAAAGAGGAGTACAGTAGAACACTTGCGTTTTTTCAATAAAGAGATTCTCACATCATCGCCCTTTCATCGCAAAAAGGTACCCGCAAAAAAGTACTCTCTGCGAGCGCTTGCCATCTTTTTAAAATCAACACCATAGCATTCTCATTGCGAGAGACTCAACCCTCACAACGAGCTTTGACCCTATTAATCGAGAGCGGCTATTAGATGAATCATTGTCTCTAGCAGAGAACTGTAGCGGAGAGTTGTTCTCAGCTCTGGGGTACAAAATACCAGATATTTCGAGGGACAAATGAATTTAACAGAGAGACGACCTATTGGAGAATGAAGCCTGAAACGTATTAGAAAGTTTAGATGTGTTTAGAAATCACGCAACATACTTTTCAGAGTATCAATGAAAACATTAGCTTTATCTTCGCCGTTCGACATTCGCTTTGCAGGAGGACCTTCAAGTAGTTTCAACCTTGTTTCAAGGGCAAAGGACAACATTGCTGGTAAGCTGGAGGAACTGCCCAAGGGTCGATGATGATGATGCTCGTGCACTCTGCCAGGCCACGATGCCTGACTTGCACAATCCACTTGACTGCCATCCCAATCTTCCGAGGATTCTGGTAGCAGCAGTGGACTAGACAAACGACTGTAGCCTCTCAGCTCTAAACGACTTGGTTGCACGCGGCTTGTATCAGAGAGCTTGCGTAGGAGCAGCTTGCAAAGCTTATATTCCAGAAACAAACGACTCCTGTGAAAACGGGCAGGATTTTGAGGCGATGCAATTTCTAAATAAATGCTACAATAAGATTTTTAACAAGAATTAGGAAAGTGTGATACCTCAAAAAGAACGGCAGTCTGTGCTCTTTTATCCACAAGGATATAGCACTTTGTTGAAGAAATTTCCCATCTTCATCAATCAGCTCCTGAAATTCTGAGTGATTTTGAATGTTTGCAGCTGGGCTCTCCAGGTAATATCCTTCAAGTCGTTCATATCTGAGCGCTGTTCCAAATGCCTAAGAAGTATAAATTAAACTTTATAAAACATACAATCATCTAAAGAGGGTTTTCCAGTAATGCATGATATCATTTTGTGTATGAATTAATTGTTTTCCATTGGGCAATTTGTTCCTGATGAGTGGAAGAGATTTCAGATATGAACCAGGAGATGATATGAACTACCATCCACAAACAACAAAAGCAACCATGAACAACCAAGAATTATAACTAGCATTGGTAAAAGCATATTTAAATTTCTGGTCAACAAGTATTATTGCTTGTCAAGGTGATCAAGTGTTCAATGTCTCACCTTTAGTTGAAGGAAAACATTAAAATAATCAACAAAGACATCATCATATAAAAGTCGGTCTTCCAATGTCGCAGCACTGACAAATACCACTAAATAATAAATCAGATTCAAATCACTCAATTTTAGAAACTAATAATGGATGCTATGAAAATAATTTTAATAATTGCGGAATGTAATGCAGGTTGGTTAAGGGAATCTCCATTTGGAAAGTTCTATAATAAATTGCTTCGACAACTAGGTCACCATTTGGACAGTTGATTTCAGTTTGAAAATGGTAGCTATGGACCTCTTATGTTCATATTTTTTGTTGTTAGTCTATAGTTCATGTCTATAGTATCATGTTATAGTTGTTGTACTGATTATTGCATCACCCACTGCCACTGGCCTTTATAAAGTCTCTTTGTGAGAGGTGATGCAAGTAATGTCAGAATTGGAAAATTAAATTAAACTAACTTGCATGAAATTAAGGTTGCTGGAGTCTGCTAACTTGTCGCACCAGTATGAAGAGTCACTTCCCACCCTGCATGACAACCAATCTCAGCCCCACCCAGTATCCCACCCAGTATTTTGATGGTGATGCGTTTAAGACTGCTGGTGAGCCAGCTCAGATGATCATCTTGTGACCCCTTGTTATGTGGTATTATGACAAATTGGTAGATTCTTAGAAAACTGCAGCTTACAGGTAAGTCTCCTTTAATTTTCCAATTTATACATATCAAACACTCTTATGTCTGCAAAAATGTACTATTATCGTCCGTTCAGACCAGTGAACTGGTTCAGACATTACTTTGCCAATACTATGCGTTCATTGAGCGCCTTCTAGGGCCAGTTTGTTGTATAAAGCGGTCCAAAACGAAATGAGAAAAATCAGTGAAAATATGCTTGGATATCCTCATATACATCTATATATGAAAAGTGTTTTGTCTATAAGTTTACACAGCTTAGCGTGATTAGAACATGCAAGATTATGTTCTAAGCAAACACAATTTTTACCTTGGCTTTGTTCCACGTCTAAGCTGATATCTCTCATCTCTGATAAAGATGTTGCGAGCGAACGTGAAGTTGTTCTGTAAAAATACACAACATTTTGTTTATGATAAAGATTCAGTATGTTTACATCTTCGTGTGAGCCTAATGCTACATCGCACTATGAAGTTATTGAGGTTTAATCCGTTTCCTTGACAATATGGTAATGTTTTGTTGGTTTTGTTATTAATTACTTTGCCAAATTTGGACAAGGATGAAAATTGATATTTCATATTCATACATATTTAATTGTGGCAATTTTGTTACTTTCCTTGGCAAATTAAATGAAAATAGCGTGATATAGATTCATATAACTGATGATATGGCGGTGGAACTAAATTCGTAATAAAACACACACGTGAAGGAGGCACTAAAGGCAGCGACTTCGAAAACTTAATATTTTTAAAATTAAAAACGAAAAATCTTTTCCGATATGCCTTCACTGGTCTACGGGCAGGGAAGGGAAGGGGAGGGGAGGGAGCCTCCCCAGAACATAAAATTCCCGAAATCAGCCGTATACAGGCCCCAATCAACCATGTGTATCATGTGTCCATAGTGCCAGGTCTATCTATCAGTGATCTATCTATATCAAAGACCTAACCTTCTTCTTTAGTCAGATTTTTTTCGTCATTAGTCATGATTGATAGAGATGTGAGGTTTGCGACTTCAAAGATAATTGTTAAAAACATTACCATACTATTTCAATCTCACCTTTTCTCTTTACGTTCATCTTGATAACTGGCTGTTGAGATAACCTAAAAATGAAAAAAATTACATTTAACGAAATAAACGAATCTATATACCAACTCTACGGGGAGGGGAGGGGAAAGGAGGCTCGTGGAAATACCGATAGTTCCGACAGTCTTTTAAGTCTATTTTTGAAAATCTTAAGTCTAAGCGGACTTATACCAGTCCATTAACACAATCATTCATAGCATTTTTATCATTTCCGCTGAAGTTTTTAGTTCATCAAGAAAGTCTATCATGCATTTCTTGCATACGTCATTTTTTAGCACTCGATTTTTTCTTTCACTTTATGACATGCCCATTACTAACGTATCGTTGTTATGGTGTTTTATTAGGGTATATATAACTATTCTCAACTACATTTCAAGTGTTTTTGTATTGTCCCCTCAAGTGGAATATAAGAATAAGATATAAATACCACACAAAGGCGACAGGGTGATATAGATATGAGGATTTAGACTGCGAAAGAATGCGATGCTTTTCCTGCGCGTGTCAATAAACAGCCTTGCTTTTATCATTCGTCGCCGTGGGCAATAAAAAAGTAAAAGTATATTGATTTGTCTGTATAATAATATCAAGGAGAAACGGAAGAAGCGAGGTTTTATTACACGAGTAAGAAGATTAGGGCATTCTCAAGGTGACTTTTCCCTTTTTGGGCAACGAGGAACTTAGGGAATAAATCACTCCTATGCAATCTGAGACATAAGTAGTATATTCTGTCAAAGCTTAGACTTTGCAAGTAAGCGGGGATATTTCTCGGCTGGTTTTCATTTATGCCTTTTGTTTTGCTTCTTGCCGTGCTACAACGAACGCAGAGAGAAGACTAAGAATCGCACTATTTGCTCCTTATTGTCTTTCAGCAAAATTCAACTTCACGTTGAAAGAAGATGGCATTCCCTGTATGGGGGAATTAAAATGCTAATGACATGTAACGCCCCAAACACATGACGATGAAGCTTGGAGACCATTCATTGCCATGGGATGAATGCTTCTTTATAAAGCAAGCACGAGGCCTTAAAGTTGCACAATGTGTTGTATTTTTACGTCTTTGATGTCCTTCATCTACCCTCAAGGCTCCCATATATTGTTCGCACTAACTCAATGCACTATACTGGTTTGTTCCACTGATCTGTATATTAAATATTGGACTGTTTCCTGCCGGTAACAACTTGGAAAATGTTCCTACGATAAAATCTTTTGACTATATAAGTTAAAAGGGCGGTTGTGATGACTGTAATATATAATTGTATAATACATTGTAGGCTTACCCATACGCCAATCAATTATAGCCAGAAACTCACCAGGAAAAAAACACGAAATTCTTTGAATATCATTAAGATGTCACTCACGTGAAAAACATCACTTAACCAGAGCTTTATAAAAAACTAATTGATCTGTTTTCGCGCAAAACACATTTCGTATTTACTTATATAGCTGATATTTTGATCCGCGTATATTAATGCTCGGCTCTTCAGAAGTGGTAAAGCAGATTAAGGTTCAAAAGCTTAGCGAAATACTGTCCATGCATTCCTGCATCAATACTCGGCCATAGACGCTACCGACGCAAAAAAACTATTCTAATTTTGTTTCATGTGGGTTTTCCAACTTCGAAGTTCCTTAATTCTTACACGGGAACTCAGACGTACAGACCTCTGCGTGGGAAGGTTTACAAGCTTATCTCTGCGCCATTCTACTGGTATACCATCCTGACCATGAAGATTGCAGAGTATCCGCTTCCACATGGGTGGAACCTGAACACCCGAAACTTTTTTGTTTACTCCACATGTAATGCGCAATTATTTTGGACTATAAGAAAAGCATTCTAAGCTCTCAAACAACGCATTCCAAGACGTAAACTTCAGCTCTTTAAAAGGTCATCGGACGATCAAAAGTATTTCAGTTTATCTATCATATGATACACCGTATCTGTGTCTGTATTTATAAATACCTGAAAGATAAAAGTAATATATACCTCAATCCACACGTTGTCAATATGTTGAAAACCATATGTTAAGACATTTTAAATAGCGCTACTCTATCTATTTGACCGAGCTGTTCTGACATAATCACCAATGCCGAGAGCCATAAATGGTGTGCCGTTAATATCATTATTATGTAGATGCAGACTGCAGTTGAAAGTGTTTGCGTACATTTAAAACACCGCGCTTTCATGGTTCTTCAACTACTTGTTCTAATCTCATTCCAAACCAGATCAGACTAAGTTCTTGATCGTGATATGTCGCACAAATAGTAGCGATGGACGTAAGTAAGGTCGCGGTTCATGCATGGCACGGCGCTTAGCCAAGTCGTGCATATACATATGGCACTTGAAACGCCAGAGGTTGATTCTTTTAATGACATCACAAGGTTCCAATCGCATTTATCATACACAAAAAAACACACAAAAAGAAGCAACTGCCTAAAATAAAGGTTTAATCAGGGGAGCATAGTGTTACTAGGGTCAAGGCGAGTCGACTACATATGCCGGATACCATTTTCCATGAGGGGCCTTTAAATGCTGGGTTTCACTGCTTAGGTTGAAGTAAAAAATTTCTCGTCAGTAACTTTGTCTTAGTGTCCTTTTAATTAAACTGAATCAGATTATCCAGTGAATAGTTCAAAATAACAATTGAAAATATCAGAGTTACAAGAACCTTGCAGTATAGCTAGAGCGAAGAACTGTCGTAAGCGATTAGGCTTACCTAGTGTAGATATGGATAACAAACTGGTAAAATGGAATAGCTTGGTCTGTTTTGAATCGGACCGTGAAACGGTTCATATCTTCACATAAAGTAGTTATTTTAATAATAAATTGATTGAATTATATCTTTGCGCATGTAGTTTTGCATGATGGAGATGAACTTTGTTATAATGGATAGTCTGCCAGACTGCAACTATTCTAACCCACCCACCCTCAGTCTTTCTCTCACCACTGGGAAGGGAAGGGGAGGAGAGGGAAGATTTGACTGACTCTCTATAAATATCATGCATGGGTGAAAAAATGAATTCACCATGAAGTATATGATAAGAGAGTTTTATACATGCTCCAAGTGAGTATAGCGATAGAGAATTGTTATAATCAGTTCTTTTAGATAACACTGGTGTGCTAATGTGAGACACCAGAATGTTGAATAAACCTTACGAAAGCATTACCATTCATGCCGAAAAACTTAAATAGCAATGCCCAGACGTTTCTATCTTTTTTAGAACACAAAAGCTCAGTTGCATTAGGCAGATTGTAAAGAATACTTTGATAACATTGCAGTTATCGATCACTGAGTGCTCATCAAAAGAAACTATAAATAAATCCAAGTGTAACTTTGAGTCCACTTCTTACTTGTTATATCAATTGTGATTTGTAACGAACTGGTTAAGTAATTGACACAAAATACTCGGTCAAGCTTTTTTACAAAGAAAGAGACTTTGATTTTTTTAACGACTTTTGATATTTTAAGGTCTGATATAGTTTATAATTGAATTGTGTGCACTTAGAAACAATTGAATATGTTTGCATTTTAATCGATGCTCTATCAGCATGATTTTTCAAGAAACACTGCGATGATATATCAGGCCTGCTAAGTTAATATGAATGTGTTCGTGAAACGGCTAGTGATGTTTTTGTACAACAGCATGTCACTAATATGTAAACCTTACTGCAAACAGTGTGCTACCATTGTTTCACGATAAACCAAATAGCTCGCTGTTTTCAGCTGTATGTGGGCTCACCAATACCTTAGAATATGCTGGGTTTTTTATCTCGCCTAATAATGGGGGAGGGGCAAAGGACGCACTACATTTCACTTAAATAAAAAGTTTTAAAACAGAGCCAAGGATGCGAAACTGTTTTCATGCTGTTCTTTTGTAGCCCACTGGAACACCCAACGTTTGTCAAAAGAATCGCGTAAACACCACATCCAACTGTGAGTTGTGTTTAAACTCGTTATATATGGCCTAGCTTGTTGGAAAGATTGTGACATCTCAAGATAACTTTGAGATGCAGTGAGATAAGAACATTTCTATGGATGGATTTTTCATGGCGGTCAGTAAAAGCTTTGCCACTAGGAAATAGAAGCAAACATTCCTTAAGCTACGTGGTGTATCTGCCATTGCAAATATAACCTATCACTTCTCGCGAAGAAGTGACCATCGTCTTGTGACATATATTGTTAAGTGTAATCTAATCGGACAGACGTGCAGCAAAGGCTGGTGCAAGAGTTGACCTAAACCTATTAATAATATAGCACTATTCTCACGGTATTATCAATCGAGTTTTGACAAATCGTTTGCAAACAATCACAGAAAAATGTAGTTTGTTTATGAACGAGCTAGCATGAACACCATTTCTGATCTCATCGATATATCTCAGTCACATACAAAGCATTGTTTCCTCGTGTCCAAATATCCAAGGTTGGCTCAACATGTCTTAATGTAATCTATCAACTGTCAATGTCAATTCACGATAATTGATGACCTTGTTTTGATCCACTCACTTTGCATTCCTCGAAACAAAGAGACATTGCATGTCTAGGCTTGAAAAGAATAATTTTTAACATTAAAAATAGAGATCTTTGCGTGTTGAATACAAAGTGACGACTAATCAGCTTTTAGAAATCGATTGATGAAGATAATAATGTGAATGTCTAATGAAGAAAAAACGAATCATTAATGGTATATTTAGCACAATATATAGTTTATTTCACAATAACTTATGTTTTTCGTAAGTTTCAGAGAGCCATATAAAGATGTTTAAAGCTTTCATTTATTTTGACTTGAAACAATTTCACGGCTGATCATCAGTTGAAGCAGATAAAAGTCCTTGCTTAAGACGTCATGGTTGTTGTTTGTTTTGGATAGTTTATCATTCCACGTCAATCAGTCGAGTCAATATGACTGACAAAATGAATGTTACTTTATTTGCTCTATTTACTGACACTTTATAAAAGATTTCGTTTCCCGAAGTCTGCATATTACTTGAGTGGTGGTAATCAGTCCTCATATATGCCTGGGAAGATATATCAGTAGTCTGAGATTGTAATGGCTAAAGTTATCATCTTTTGTTTTGTGATCAGGTCTTGCTTATAGAGAATGCAGAAAAATAGTTCAAACGTTGAAAAAAACATAAAATTTTACTCTGTTTAACACACGTTGTAGGGAATTTAAGGGAAATTGGAAATATATTTTACGACTTAACGCAAACAACAAGGGGAAATGTATACAATGAATATCAATTAAGCAAGAATCATTTCACTACACATAAATCCATAATTCGTTTGTGTTTTTGTGAAAAATGCCAAGGTTGACTTTTGATTGTGTTTTCTCATAAAGCTTGGTTAGATGGACAATAGTTCAGCTGTCAGGTTTTCATGAAATCGATTTGGCCTCATAGTGACTCTCACACCCGGAATATAATGTACAATTTATAAATTAATTAATATATCTATATATTCCTGAAATTTAATTCTAACTATATTGCCCTTGTTATTGCGCAATGGTTGTTTGTGAAAAACAACAAATGTGTACTATATTGCAGTATAGACTATTGAGTATTGCTAACAATGGTAAGATATGCCGGCACAAATATGTTGTGTATTAGTGGATATATGAAACAGTTTTCAAAGATAGTTTTTAAACCTAATCTTTACCTACGAAATGATTTCAAATAGTATCATATTTCTTTATTAGAAAATCATTTAGTTACAACTCACAGGCAATGGAGTTCACCGGGTAAAATCACGAGGACTATACTATGATTTATGACTTTGTTTTTTAGAGATTTTATCTAGTAAAAATCTTCCATTATTTTGCCGTGTTTTGTTAAGTAAGAATCATATCTGATGCGTAAACGCACAATTCATGGGGGCTTATTCTGCAAGTATTCTTCTTGGTTTCAAAACTTTAATACAGCATGCTAGCTACCTCTGCCTTAGATTGTTCCAAAACCTCGAAATGAGTTTCTCTTTAATCATTACTGTGGTCTGCACGTGGAGTTTAAAATTAAACAACATTTATATTCAACCGCTATCTGAAAGGGATAATAAGTTTACAAGCCTTTTTAATTTCGGTCTATTCTTTCAAAAATTTGATATCTTTTACATCTTAATGTTCAGTCACGCTCTGAACCATAGTGTTGATTAGATTTTGTGTAATTATGATCGTATCGGTAGCTCATAATTTGTAGGTACGTAAAGTGCCGCATATATATATCCGTTTAAATCATAATGTATGTATATAAATGAAGAAGAGATTTAAAATAAGTCAGTGAAATCAATGGCAATGCAGACGCGCGCGCGTTACGCACTGTTTTATATTTTGATCTCTTATAAATCTGCCGCTTATGTTTACTGACATAATATAACTAAGCTATTTACACAAGGGGTTGAAACTATAAAGTACACAGTATATATAATTATCATTTGATACAAACGCGTGTGTCTTTGCAACATATTGTTTGAAATCAGCCTATTTACGAAGATCTTTCTTTTGCAATGTTTCCAAAACAGTCGCTATTTTGTACGAAAATATAAGCGAGGAATAAACAGTGTCTGAATGAGGAGCTGACTGGTTGGGAATTGCCTTAATCCATTCTATAAACTATCAATATTGTTTCCTAATCAGATTTCTTAATACGACATACTTGCCAACGTGTTGAAATTCAAATTAGCTTTAATGGATTTAGGAAAGGTGAAATTAGCCTTATTTATGTATGTGTGAAATGTTGCTAGGTTCGACTCTCAAATAGTACACAATGTTTCAGTCCTATATCACAATTGCCCCGGGAAACAACTGGTTTCTATGCAGGGTTATTTGAACGAATTTGCAATATTTCATGCTTGTATTGTTGAACGTCTCTGACCTCGTCTTCAGCTACACTGATTCAGGCGAATGATACACAAAACAAAGCTAACAATACCGTCTCGTGTGGAGCAGAAAACGCTGCATTGCCTTAGTCTCAAGCACAGTGGTTAGTTTATTAGCTGTGACAAGGTCTTGACAATTAAATGCAAATGAAGTTAGACCACTTAATGAGAGCTTGCGGTCAACATTGAGTATTCGGATAGGCTAATATTTGTCTCAGCCAATGTACACTTTGATTTCCGATCTAATTGCTCCTGTGTTTGTTTCTCTCTTGTGCTGAGCACTGCACCCCTATCGATCACGGCTACACACAGAGTCAAGAACACCGACAACAAGTTCAACGGGAATTCAAACGTCTTCAGCCTCGCGAGTCAAACAATCACACGGAACATATACTGATTATATAGAAATATAGTCAAGTATATGATACGAATTGGCAACCAATCTGCATTGTCAAGTTCCAAGAAGAACGTTTACCTCAAGGAACGAGAAAAATATTCTTTAGAAGGGGAGAAGGTATTTTGACGCACATTAAGTTCTCGTTGAATTCTATCGTAAAAGAGTATATAAATGTGATTCCTTATCAGTTTGATATATGCTCAGACTAGGGTAAGGCACATGCATGTAGGTTTAAATGACTAGAAAGAGCGCTTGCATAAGGAATAGTTTACGAGTCTTAACTGTTTTCCCTGGATCTATACGTGGCCTACATTAAGAAGCAGAAGTGGAATTAAGGTGTATTCACTTACTAGGCTAATTAGCGCAAGTTCAGTGCAACGCACTAGAATTTACGGGTGCAATGCAAGTTAAGGCTATGTAGGCTATATACCGGTCATCACTTGCCGCATAGATAGCTAGATCTAAAAGGTAGTGATTGAGATTATGGAATATACATATAACGACGCGCATACTGTTGGACATGCTGTATGTATGTTTAGTACCCGCGCATAGGGTGACTTATAATTATGAAATACAAGATCTTTTGTGTAGAACAGCTGTACCCATAGGAAACTGTCTTCATCTTCATACTGTTATTCCATCTCAACAAAAAAAGTAAATTGCCTGAGGTTACTGATGCAATATGAAACAGTTTACACTGCGCCGTAACTGCATGGACACAATCGGCAGATAGTTATATATTACACTGGTGTTCAGTGAGCGCGTTGTGAAATATATCGTGCATCGGTCATCAGTGAGCGCGTTGTGAAACGAGAATGTTCCTTGTTTTACCAGAAACTAAGGCGCGCATCTTGTAGACGCAAGAAAGAAAAATCCCCTAAAGCCAGGCATTGCGTCCCTAGCTTTGAACGAAACGCTACAATAGTGTGTAATTTCGTAATAATATACGACTTAGCGCAAATAGATAATAATCTCTGTACATAACGACTATCGGTGAAGCTAATGGATTATTCACAGTCTTGGATAAAATCAGTTCAGGGCATGTAACTTCAGGAGCATATATAGAGATGATAAACGTGTCAACTTCTTTCCCGATTGTCCATGAATTTGTTATATAATGAGCTCAATGTATAGCACTTCAATAATACTCTTTACACAGTCTAAGTTAGATTGTAGACTCTGATAAGTTCAATTTCTAATAATCTTAACTGAGAGGCGAAACTTCTAGTTCTTTCCAGTAAGGAAATTACGTTTGTATGAACTTGGAATATCGGAGTGACTCGTAAATCGCGCGCATCGAAATCCCCCTGAATTTGGAAAACAAGCTAGAGCGTTATGAAATATAAATTTGTATAATTAATAATAATAACTCTAACAGGAGAAATACTTTTCGCGGGAGAGAGTTCTCAGATGTGAAAACTTGAATACAAAGCTTCTTTGTACTTGCAAATAATGCAAGCTATGCCTATATGTGATCTGAAAGGCTGAATTGTGCCAGAAAGAAACTTAATTTATAAACTGGAGTATTTATCTACATGTGGATATTCAAAAGCGGTTTGAACATATTGATTTCTTTTAAATGTGCCCTATATTTGATAAACTAAGTATATACGAGAGGCTACGTACGGGTTGAAAATTGTATATATACGCTAGAAGGAATTGCAATCATGCTAATTTTCTGCATCTTGAAATCCTTGATTGTTGGCTTCAAAGCTATATTTGTATTCTCGCAAGTGCGTGGAATGGTGAATGAGGTAGTTAGGCATTGTCCTTTAAAGATTTTCCTCTCAAACGCTTGACGATCATTACTTTGAAAGAAGATCTCAAGAGCTTAAATACGATATCAGTGTCCTTTGATTTCGACACGCAGCAAAGTCATTATTTTACACCTATATGAAGGCATTTCACACCTAACTGAAGTGTTTATCAGATTATACGATCCGCCTTCGGAATATTACGGAATTATAACTACAGTCAGCTGGTGTTATCGTTTGCATGGCTGTACAGCACGTCGCGTCACTTAGCAATAGAATGCTTTTATGAACTTTGAAACGCGAGGATATTGCATCTCCGTATTATTATTAACTAACATAACTTAACACTTCATTGAAAAAAAATATTTATATCCAAGTTCGCGTTTGTCAACTATACTGAAAGACACTTAAAACTGGGGATATCCTCATTGCTGCGCAAAAATTATGAATATACGGTAGACATTCTAGCTCACAGCTTCCTTGAGACATGAGACTACATTATCATTGTGTAAATTAGAGCTATATAATGCTTTATTTATGGCTTTAGTGTACTTATTTTGATTACGAATTCGTGTGTGCTGAATTAAGTTTAGAAACTGAATATTAGCGCATTCATTCAGCAATTCAGCAATGCATTCGCGTCACACTGACTAGCTCACACACGGTATCACATTTCCCTCGATTTCCTGGGTCGATCGATACTTAAAGATTGTATACTTGCAGTTTTTACCATAAACTGCTAAGCACTTTAAACTACACTGTAGGCGTCTTATTGAGAAAACAGAGCCGGCTTCTTATAGCTTAAACTGGGCAAACAAATTAACCACACTAGCTTCAAGAGTTCGTATACATAAACTCGCCTGAATATGTTTAATTGCCTTCCGGTATTTACTCGGGAAATCACAGATTGACAACACATGTTTCATGGTCGCCTACAACGTTTTCTGAAAATTCGGCGAAAACGATGTTCTCCGTAAAGTGGCTGTATTTATTCAGCTGTGTGTGTTTATTATTTTTATAAGCTATATGGCATATAATATTGTTCACACAGTTCTTGCGTCTAACACGGGCTCAGTGATGAAGGTCATGCACACACTTTGAGTATATATATATCTGCATGTGTCTGAGAATATTTTTCCAACGATTAAACTATAGTTTACGATTTACACTGATGAAATTCGAAATTACAGAAAACTGATATAGTTGGTTTAAGCAAATTGTGCACTGGACAACTATTTCATGTATAAACAGTTATTTTACCTAACTGAGTTCTTGCACAAAAAATCAAAACTAGTGCAGTTAAAATAATTGGCCAAGACTCGTTTTGATCAAGACGAAAATCAGGTGGACAATACCGCGTAGGCATCCTTTTGGCTATAACGTTCATGTAACTTTAAAAGTTCGTATTCTTTAGTGGTACTACGAGCGCGATATGTACAAGACGACTTGGCGCGCGGACAGCAATGGCAATTGGATGCAATATTTTCAATCGAGCTGACTATTAACTTCTATTACTGTTTGATAATTTTTTTTCAAAAACAGATGAAATCGAGCCAAGACCTCGTTAGGAAGCTAGTATACGCTTATCATTTCGCTTTATCTTTGCGCATTTTTTTGTTCGACGTTGTTTCGAATTGTCTGGTAGAATTGAACGCTGAAAAACGTGTCTTTGGACTTCGTGATACAATCATCGCGACAATCCCCTTCCATTGAATGTGGTTTGCCAAGTAATTTTCTAATAAAGCTCGACTCCAAACACTGATTAATTTGGACAATGCGTCTTTTAATATTAATATGCGTTCTTATTGTACAATAATGAGGGATTATAATCTTAAATTAGTCAGGATGTCTACGCTCAAGCTATCTGTGAACTATACTGATTTCATTTTGGCTGCAGCAAAACATAAACACCATATGTGCTAACAAATTAATACATACATAATAAATTTCCATGCAAAGCAAAATATTTAACTCTGCCGCCATGATTGGCTTGTACTGATTACGCAAAGATAGTTGTATTTAGTTTTAATCTCTTTGCTTGACATAATTACAAGCGGTAGGGTTTTACCGACGGGCCATTATAACCAACTCCGCCTATTAATTCTTTTACGGACGTTTACTAAAGACTTGAAACCCAAACAAGAACCTCAAAGTTAAACTCTTGCTGTGCAATGAAAAGTTAGCTCATATATAATCAATTCACATAAAAGCCCAATTTTAAGTCCGGCAAATTTATACATATGTTTAATGAAATATCACGATATAATTCGTAATTTTTTCACCATGAAATAGTAAATTATCCTAATATCAAGGTACAATGCCAGCAGAATTTTTTGTCAAACCATTATAGCTAAAGCGTGTATAATGATGTAGTTAAAGTAAAAAAACTTCCTGTTGTTTTCAAAATAGGCCAAATAAAAAATGTATTGTGTGTAAAAGGGGTTTAAACAACACTGTCTGTTGAACAATAGTAACTTTTTATTAAATCTTTACTTTGAAATATAAAAACGTCGACGTATAATATCTATAGGACCTACATAGACCCATTAGTCTCAGTAAAAGAAAGTTTCTCATTAATGACGTTTAGGAGAAGTTTGACTCCGCTTGTGACCTCGAAAGCCAGTTCAAGGACAAAGCAGTCAATAGTTTATGAAGCACAGACAAGGGAGGAGCCAATTCACAATGCAGTCCTAATTTATCACGATAAATGTTTTGAACAAACACTGCCAAACCCATTTTTGTATACTGGAAACTTGTGCCCGAACATTCTAGTTTGTAGCCTACATAGATTTAATCACGAGATTTCACGCCAAGCATCAGATTAGGAATTGATTCAAGGCCACACTCAGAGCTAGACTGATTCATTTCGAAGCAACTGGGAACTCCAACTTTGATATTATGTTGACTATCAGTAATTCATGTATCTAGATTACTGATACAAGCAAGCTAGGTTCAAATTGCTTTTGGACATCACGCGGGGTTAGCGTGACGGTGGTGGTAGATTAAGAGGGAGGAGAGAGGGGTGGTCGTAAGAGAGGCGTGGGGAAAATTATTTCTATTATGTTCAGCGCGTTATCTTGAATCCATGATTCGTCACAGCCCTGAAGCGTGTTTAGAATAAACCAGCTTAGTCAAATACTGAACTTATTCAGCAACAAGAAACAATGTTTCAAGGTTGCTCTCGAAGTGTTTCAAAACAACTTTTAATAGCTCTTCGAGGAATCACATTTTTTTGAGGGTGTGTAGTTAATTGATCTAAAAACATGCTTTATGACTCGAACACAATAGCCGAAAGCATCCAATATATTTTATCTTCTAAATATATAATATCTTAAAAATGAAACCGGAAATTACGCGTGTCCACATTTCAGACTGTTTTGAAATGCAGTTCACGGTGCAGAACTAATGCACAGTTGTGTAAGTGACGGCTTACTGTTGCCCTATAATTAATCCCATTTGTACAACATGCGGTGTCTATTTGCTTCGCCATTAGTGATAATTAAAAGCTGTTTAGCTATTCAACAGAATCTCATAACCACGTAGTCTATATTAATTTCAACTTTGCGATGAAAACTTGGACTGACGAAAATAAAGCATTCGAGATTATGACGACGTTGAAGACAATGATTCCCACTTGTGAAATTTCACGAGTTTAGGGGGTTTCCTCGACCTCGTCTAGCGTCAACTAGACCGTACTAGAAGCAACAGATTGATTGACTTTAGGAAAAAAAGCCCAGTTGGATAGTGTTGGGTGAACGTAAGAGCCCTGTGGCGTGCTTTTAGTGGAACAATATCTGACACACCAGGTCTTAACCAAAAAGCATAGCTGTGTTACAACAGAACAAACTAAGAGTACTATCCAGATTTTGTTTCTTCTCGCAACTGTGAAATTTCTAAAATACGAGTTGTTAGTGATACGACACAATCACATGCATAGTCACATGTATTTATATAACACATGAAATGCGACAAAGCGTGTATATGCATGCATGTGACCCCTTTGAGAGTTTATTTATAGAATAACAAGGTTATTGAAATGTTTTGAATTCAATTCCATTTGTATAAACTGTTAAATACATATTTTGCTTTACTGAGTGCATTGCTGGAGGTTCAACATTAAAATATTGATCATGTTTTTAAGAAACTTTTTTTTAAACCGAGCCAACGACTTATTTAATTGACTGACGAAGAAATGGAAGGCTGGATTATAGTATTTGGTTAAAAATAAGTTTATGAAAACCTAACGTTTGGCACAATACACGCTACAACGCAAGAATTATGAATTTCTGGATAAAAAACATAAGCCGTACTGCAAGTCTGCGACTACCTATATTTAGATGGTATGAGGCATGCATATGGCTATGATTAATGCAGTATAATTGTCCTTTGCAATTATGTGTAAAATAATTTGAAATCATTCCAACTATTAACACTTTCTGGATCAATTTTTAAGTGATTTGTTGTCTTCATTGTTTACAATATCAAACGCGTCCAAGTTGGTATACCATATCTTTGTCAGTCAGACAAATATAATAGGCTTTTACACTAAAGACTTTTAAAAAACGCATTTCAACCCACGTTTATAGATTAATGGTATAATACAAACGCTCTAAATTTAACCAAATATGTATATAAATATAGAAATACACACGCAGTCACTATCCGGTAGTTATAGATCATGGTTTTGAGAAGATTCTGCGGGTTTTGTCTATGCACAGTAGGCGAGTATAAAATATATCACAGTACAGTGGGAATAGACTAGACCCCGGCTAGCGTAGTGTGATATGTCTTTAAAAAAGTTAATGATGCGAACGAGACGGATAAGCAATTAAACAAATTTCTTATCTCGTTTTCTTAATAACGCTAGCCTTTAAAAGCCCGCGATGCGATGTGTGTATACTGAATCTTTGGAGTGTTTTGAAGTTTTAATTTCACCTGCGCGCTAAACGTATTGTTTTGTTCGCATTATTTTTTGCGAATCGATAGTTACTGATCAGGAGATTTGACTGCGTTTAAAAAGAAACTGTTTTGACAGACGATAATGACGTTGGTTACGTTCGTGCGCAAGGTAGAGGTAGTGATTTTGCCGCGCTGAAGGACATATATACTAATCAAAGGTTCAACTAATAACTGACACAGGAAACTCGGCAAATCGCAAAGAAGTGCGTTCGTAACTGGATATAACAGCACGTGGTTTGTACTGTCGTGATTTACCCTCCGACGTTTTTCATTTTGTAATGTGTTATGAAACAATACTTATAACTTTGTAATGTGTTAACAGTTGTTAATGTAGGATAAACAAACAGCTATATAGGTATATAGCGTACGTCACTTTATATAGGAACTCCCAACGGGTTATATACGATTTGTGTGAAACAATATCGTCAATATCAAATCATTTTCATCTTTCCCATACATTAGAAGTAGGTTTTTCCTTTATTCCTACGGAGGTTTCGTAGATCTTATTTTCGTGGGGCATATTTTTGAAACTGAAACAGGGGTAGACACACATGCACACACGTATCAACTTCCCGCAAGGAAATAACGTTCCCACCCCATCAATTTAGGAGTTTGTTTGTTTAAAAGCTAAATGTATACGATGTGTCATTATTATGATTGTTTAACACCTGAGACAGCTCATTAACACTGGCTATAGAACTCTACACAGGCAGTCCGTGGGAGCTTCAAAGGACATGTTTTTACAGTTGTTTGTCACCATCGTTTTCACCTTCGCTTTTTCGCATTTCCACTGCTGACGACCATCTGTCGAAGGAAGCCCTCGAATTGATAAGCCTATACGAAGACTTTTTTCAACGGCACATATTTTAGTCTCGCCTTCAGCTACGATGTTCAAAGCCCGTTTTTTAACAGAATAGTGAGTACAAACCTACCCGAAAAAGCAATGCTTAGTCTAAATACATGTAGATTCAATCCACGCGTCGAAATATTTGTCGGTTTAATTTTACGTTTTTAGTTGCTTACAATAACAATAAAGTGTGAATTGGTAAAAGTCTTGATGAGTGTGATGACTGTATAGGTTGTTAAAGTAAATGAGTCGTGTGTTTCCTATGCTCTTCTGCAACAGAAAATCGTCAATATGATTAGCACATTATTTATATAAATTTTTAGGATGTAGCGATGTTAATTCGTCTCGAAATTATTTCGGCTCCGGAATATCGACTTGGGGAAACAAAAACGTCTGCGACTACATACCTTCGCCCGGTAATTTTTCTACGCCACGCGCACGCATAGGACAGGAGGGCACGTGGATTTGTGATTGGTAGAGTTGAATTTGTGATTGGTAGAGTAATGCGAGGTGTAGAGTTTTGAAGCAATTATGATGTTCAGTCGATTTCACGGTTCAAGAAATGTGTACTTAGCTTGCTGCGTGCCTGCAATCTGCAAAGTGTTGAGGTCAAGATGATCATTAATATGTAGCAATTAATATCCCCAGTCACGCAAAGTGTTCATATTTGGTGACATGGCTAGAGGGCTGTACCCGTGTGTTATATATCTGTCAAGCGATATAGCCTTCATGGCCTATATATTTACCAAACTGATGACTGTGTTAACTGCTCTCAATGTGAAACGTCATGACGTCATTGTGTTATCGGCGGCGCAGCCAATCACAGAGCGTGCATGCATAGACGTTTGTGCAAGTAGTATCATTATTGGTTTTACTAAACATTGATCACACAATTACCATATCTCGTAGGATCTGCGTGTGTTATTTCCTTAAATTATTCTTACTCTGTTAGTAGAGTGAAAGCTTGCGAATCTTCATCGGAAATTAAACCACAAACAAAATCAAATCAGAGATTGATAGGGACACCAAGTGCGTCGACATGCTTCCAGCAAGACTACCACCATTGAGCTTCACACCGCAACAAATAGCAAATGTATGCGAGACCTTGGAGGACAGCGGGGATATCGAAAGACTAGCACGATTCCTGTGGTCACTGCCTATTGCACCAGCTACGTTGGAAGCGCTGGGTAAAATGGAGAGTGTCCTACGATCGCAAGCCATCGTCGCTTACCACACGGGAAACTTTAGGGAACTGTATCATATACTGGAGAATCATCGTTTCAGCCGTGAGTCCCACAGTAGACTACAGATGATGTGGCTGGAAGCTCACTACGTCGAGGCGGAGAGAATGAGGGGTAGATCTCTTGGTCCTGTTGATAAATACAGAGTGCGGAAGAAATTTCCCTTACCGCGTACGATCTGGGATGGAGAGCAAAAGACACACTGTTTCAAAGAGAGAACGCGTACGCTACTTCGTGAATTCTACCTGCAGGATCCTTATCCTAATCCAACTAAGAAGAGAGAGCTGGCACAAGCCACAGGCCTTACTCCAACACAAGTCGGAAATTGGTTTAAAAATAGACGCCAACGGGACAGAGCTGCGGCAGCCAAACACAAGTAAGTAAAGTCTAGGTGCCTTGCGCAACTTTCCAGAAACTCTTAATATCTGATATAGAAAACAGCGCCAGCCACACAACGCTGAATAAGTTAGTATAAAACATCCTTTAAATCTCACTTGTGGTCGTGATCCCTTATGAGCAGATTCCTTTGAGATGCCTGTACACAATTCACTTTGTCCACTCCCCAGAATTTACCAAAGAAAAAAGAAATTCAGTCGAATGTGGCTGTGGTTTATTTAGTAGAGGTGGTTCGCTCCAAATGATCCAACAACCACAAAACATGAGAATAGTCGCATTAAAATATTTGGCAAGGAAACAAGGCATGTAGTATGATATGTCTGTTCAGATCTCAAGTGTCTGAAACTTGTTTGGTTTAGTATCTTACATATTCTATATTTCCAAAAATCTTTGGCGAAAACCGGGAAATTCGTAGTTAATGTGAAACACCCACAAACACCGATAGCCGTTCATACGAGAGCTATATTTCAACATTGCCTACACAATGCTAAATCTGTGCACTCCTACTCTGTTTTAAGACTGTATCAAAATTCCAAATCGCTGTTTCTCTTGAATGTTTTAATTTCGAGTTCCAGGGCTATGCTTTAGTTCTTTAACACAATACCACGCGCGAATTTTATAAGAAGATTTACAGGAAAGAAGAGGTTTCAACTCACAAATAAACGGATCTACATAAGATATACAATACTAAACGATTTACATTTTAAACACTTTTGCCAACGAGAAAGATTTAAAAAGGGTTGATCGCCTGAGTGACTGAAACAGCCGAAGGGCTTGTGGTTATTTCATTCTAATTTCTAGCTCACAGCGAAGCTTCAAGCATTAACTGATTTGTCCGTATGACTCCCATCAAAGAATATGGCATACATTTCCCTCTTGAATTAGCCAGTGATTCGTGATATCATGCCTTTACATATATTTTAGCAAAGTTTCAAAATACGATAAGTTAACCTCATCAATGCTAACTCAGCCTAAGAATATCTCACTAGCTATATAAACAAGTAGAATGTGATTCACTCAACCTAGAATTGGCAAAATTCGCGCAATATATTCAGAAATCAAACTTTTGCGCGTGCATGAAAAACGTAAAGTCGGAAAGGCATTCAAAGCAGTAATGGGGAAGGAAAGCTAACAATGCGACCTTAATATCTTTACATTCAGCAAACCATTAACACTTAGCTTTGTTTTTCCTTTTTAAGAAAGTAAACATTACACAGTCGATCGATTGTTAAGATAAGCACTCTCATTAATGCCGTGAACATTTCCCAATTCAATTTTGAAATATATGCGCCAAGCAAAAATGCGTATATTGGGCGCAGCTATATACGCAATATATTTCATTCACATAGTTGCTTAGAAACTGGTAAACGTTAGACCAAAAATTAGTTGTGTATTGCCTAAGACCTATGAGTGTACCCATGAAGACAGTTAGGAAATTCAAAAAAAAAGGAAAGTGTAACATTGTCGATATTAATATCAGGCGAAAGGATAGTAATTCCGAACTGGGTATAGGCGCAGATATCTAAGTTCCAAGCCAAGCGTTATATTGAAGAATCCTCAATGCTCATTGATCGAAACGACGCCCTTCGTCAATAAATCGTTAGGGTTTTTAATTCAATTTTTCAAATAGTTTACATGAACATTGGCGACTGCTTATGAGGTCCATAACCGTGTGATCAGATCCAGATTATCTGACATATCTGACAGAAACTTTGAGACTAAAAATCCGTTGTCATTGAGGAAGATAGTGGCCGAAAGAATACCCAGCCGAGGAACAATGTTTTCTTAAAGTTCACGTTTTATTTTTCATGTAGTTTATGTCTTAATGAATACAATATATCTTTCAATAATCTTCCTACACTGCAATTGGCCTACTACGGTTGATATAGATCCACGCACATGCAAATAGAAACAGAGTTTAACTTAAACGTTTTTTCACTATATGAACACCGCCTTCAAATTGTGAAATGCAAATGAAAAGTCCTATCGTCATTTCGTATCGCTGCATGCAGTAGCTTGATAATTTCCAAACCGAAGCGCTCGCTTGGGCTTGTTATTGACATTTGCATAATATAGTTTTCTCCTAGGCATTCAATTTTTCCGTAGCTATTACACTCAACATGAAAGAGAATCTTATCCATATTAAAACAGCCTGCGTAAAACTTCCTATACATCGACATTGTAGTTTCCTTAGAACTACGCCTTGGCTAACCTAGTTAAAGATAACTATGTGAAAATCTTAATTCCATATCGTTTGTTTTCCGATGTTAACTCTGTTCTCTTTAAGTCCATTCTACGTTATAATCTCTACTCAAAACTTTATCAGTATTTTGTAGAGTCGGTATGATGTATTAATTAAGCGACAGCTGCCTCATAGCAATCAGTGAACGCTATACGGCTGTGTCTTCAGATCCATATTAAGATTATAATATGATACTGAGACAGGAAGTGTGAACCACACTTGATAGGTGTTGTGATAGATGATAAAGACATGCTATATTAGTGCGTAATCTATACACCGTCATTCCAACCCAGTGTTGATGTACGGCTTGAATATGTGCACATTCCTAGACCACCTTAGTCCTTTTTTAAAATTACATATAATTTTTGAGGTGGCATGACCCTAATCCAAGGCTCGACATGAAGGAAATCGCTAAAGGGGGTATTCGCAAAATCTTCCTAAATCACGCAAAGATATTTTAAAGAGTCTCGAGCCTTTAAAAGGCATTAAGGTAGAGAACTCGTAGGATAATGACACTCCGGAGTTGCTTTAGTTTGATTGTTCGGGTATTACGCTAGTATCGACCTAGGTCATGGCAATGATTTTAACCAATTTATGATGCCAACTTTCGAAATGATAAATAGCTTTGCTGTTTGTTTTTTTTCAAAGACGGGGGCGATAGTTCTAGTTAATCTTTTCATGTGAGAACAGACGTGTCTATGGATGTTAGCGAGTTTTTGATATTCCGAGATCATTTTGCTCTAGGCCAATCAGATATAATCAAGAAACAGAGTTGTTAAGCAAATTTTTAGTGTCATTGAGACTAGAGTATTGCAACCACGCCCTGAGAAAAAAAAATTAAATCGATAAATCATTGTCTTGAATTTGAACGCAAAACCTAATATATAGCATCAGTTTATTTTAGCCAAGGCGTGCATGGGTTAGTAACAACACTTCGATCACACAACAATTGTGAATGAAACAAGTCATTTACCCCGGTGAACCTGCTTATTCAATATACTCCCATTCCAACAACATATAGCCTATCACGCAGACAATATATCGTAGCAACAGAATTAGGTTTACACGATGGAAAATCCCAGACGTTGCTTGTGGCATTGATATATAGAAATATCTACAGTTGAAGTGAGAATGTCTGTTTATATGTTTGTAACCAAGCATGTACGATTGGCTCATATCAAATATTTCACCGCAAACAATGATATTAGCATTAAGAAGGGATACCTGAACGGGGAGTTTTACATACATGGAAGAATTGTGTAACCTCGGAGTTCCGTGCAATATAGGATACACAGCCTTATTGACTAACTTCTCTCCTCAATGACAAACTACGTAATATCTACACGAGTTTCTGCACTTCATATATAAATATAGCCACTTGATAGTGCCGTTGTATATCTTTCCAAGAGAATGACCTGAACACTGAACAACATGTATATAAAACATTTTGTTCACAGTACAAACTAAAGAGACAACGGGTCATTCGTTGCCGCTATTATACTGAGAGTTCAACTTTGAGGATCTCAAACAAATTCCTAAACCTTGGGACTTCGACATTGATTAGAATTGCAGTAACGTAGCCACTGATATGTCATGTTCAGGGGAGTGTATACATTCAAATGTTTATGTTTATCGGCCAAGTGCAAAGAATGTGTCTCATATCAAAAATTCTGTTGCAAACATTAGTAGTGGCCAACTAAACAAGTACACAGCTTTCACAATGGCGGGAGACAAGTATTAACAAGCATCGCTATCAAGTACTATGGCCTTATATACGCACTATTGGACAATATTATCTACACTAAATATTTTGCAATTATAGGCGAAGCTCCATTTCAAAAGGTTCGCACGTTTAGAACTGCTTGCATACTACTCTTATATTCGAATACAAGCATTTGAACAACACTGACTGAAGTTCTCAATTATGAAATCTCTCTATTACTATCGTGATCAACCATTTCTGTCATGCAACTTTCTTGTCATGCAATGTTGAATTAGGTATAATTCAATGGTATGATGCAAAAGCATTAGAACTAGAACTCAGGGGCATCGATTTTCTCCAGAAACGGGTATTTCAGATTGAAACAATATTTATAATGACTGTGTCGAAGTGGTTATTCAAACTTAGTGCATGCTCACAAGCGGTAATTCGAAACATGCGATCTTGACATATAGTGAACCATAGTGAACCAGAGTATTCTACTTGTCCCAATCTACGAAGGACAAGATTGTGAAGTACTAAAGACTGTGACTTTTTATGTGAATTGAGTTCAAGTAAATCAGCGACATTCCTTCCATAAGGGCGTGGCACACACATATTTTTTGCTGTTTTACTCTTGCATTACAAACACCCCCCACCCCACCCCTCCCTCTTTATCACTAATCCAGGGCTGGTCCCCCAGTCGACAACCAAACACACAAACACACAATTTCCAGTGGAACCTCTTGTATGATAGTCCTGGGTTATGTTTCTGATCATATGATCCTACTGTGACTTGGTAAACATGGCTATAAACACAATCGTTCTATGAATAACGACGCGGCCTTTATTGATATGAAAAAAACAGTGCAACGCCCGCACAAACTGAAACTTCACACATGTTGCGGCTGGCATCAAACATATGCATGCATTGTTATCACGTTTGGAGAATTCTGTTTTTAGACTGGCGAAACCTGTTTATGCATCGAGCTGTCAGCAAAAACATTTATCATGCTTTTAGAATCTCTGTTTGTTACACCAGTCCGCTGCCATATCGACTAATGCGAGGGGACAAGACGTACTAATTGCCGGGTTTTGATTCGTTGCTTCCTATAGTAAGGCATTCGGGAAAGCATGCCATGGAACAGTTTACCAAAAACACTGTTTTCACTTTGATATTTCACACAGCTTTCCATTATGTCTTCATTCATTCAGTGAAAAAAGATATTTGTCATTTGATTTTACACAGACAGGTTTTGTGGTGAAAAATTGCGCATCGGGCATTTCCTGACTAAGCCAATTAATAAATACCAGTCAGGATTTCAGGAACCGTTAATGTTCCATATTTCGGACAGGAAACTGGCTGAGCATTTCTGTAACTAAACAGACGTAAGGACGTCGAGGTCTGCGAGGGAAATGAACCGTAATGTTTCGCCGTTGACAGACATTCATATAACCGACGATAATCCTTTCATAGATCGGTATGAGCTACAATAGAGTAGCAATCACCCAGTATGAGATAGGAGGAAAACTATCATGTTAGGCCGAGCAACTCTCCTTATTTCACAGCAATGTTTCGTTCCAAATTTTTCTTACTCTTCCCCAGGACCCAACAGAAAGCATCATCCCACAGCTCGAGCAGCAGTACGTCAAGTGAATCAGACCGCGATAAGAGTAACTGGAGTGACGATGAGAACGGAAAATCCGCTGAAGATTTATAACTGAAAACATTGAACAAGTCGGAAAAAAAATGTAAAAAGATACAATTATATCCAAAAAAATAGCTTCGGGCATGTAATTATTCATGATATATATTATGAAACAAAAAATGAATATATTAAAATTGGCTGCTAAGATGACTTAGGCATGAACTAGTTTTAAGCTTGCAATGTAAAATATTGACTATTGCTTTGTAGTTCTCTAAGTTTGCGCATGTATAGGGTGAAATATATATATATATGTAAAATATACAATAGTTCATTCTAAACTTGGACAGTCTTATATATAATCGTAACTGCTACAACTCAGTATTGCGCTTAATATTAAATTAAAAATTAAATTATTGAATTAATCTGAAGAAATGTTGAAACAATGTTGCTTACGGGGTAATTGCGGAGTGTTTTCACTACAGGTCCAGTAAAGAAGCACCTCTGATCGATCCAGGGAAGGTACATAAACTATACGTTCATTTCGTCCAAAAGGAGTAATTGTCGATATCCCGATATAAATACGATTTCCCAGTAATTCACAGAAGAGGCACGTGCACATAAGCCTTCCTGTTTAGATTATTGGAAATAATTTTACCGTGCGTAAATGTTCGTTTTATTACCATATATATACACATGTTAAACCCCAGCAGGCGAATATTTCACAGCTTATTAATTAAAACGTTATTGAGTATTTACCAGTTAATCCCATAATCGGATTCTGCGAGGGCTTGGCCGACAAAAGAACGTTCCAGTTAATTAAATATAATGTAAAAAGGCCAGTTGTATAAGAAGCCTTTTGAGAGCTCAGACTAAACAGTTGTTCCCCCAGAAGACCTTGGCAAACCAACGGTTTATCATGGTTGATGGTTTTGAAAGATTAAAATCAATCGCAGTTTATATCGTTATACAGGGTGTCCCAAAAAAAACGCAACCACTTAAATATGCAAGACTGATATTAATATTGTTCGGGTTTGCACCATAGTTCAGCTAAAATGACTTTTAGCATGGTAAATGAAGGATTAAGAGCCATTTTCAATTCCCAGAGGTGCTTATCTTTTGCGCTTTAGAGCTGTATTAATGTTCTGCATATTTAAGTGGTTGCTTTTTTTTTGGGACACCCTGTATATACGTAAACTTTGGTCTGAAAAGTCTATAATTTCCGATCGACTTCCTATCAACAAAAAAATCTCGACATTTATCTATCTTGAATGAAACGGTAAAAACTCCACGTTCAATAAATCCTAAATACACGGATTTGACTCTTCAGATTAGGTTAGGATTAGTGTTAGGTCTTAGATTAGGATTATGGTTGATTACGATTATCCTGATTCATCTAATCCTGATCCTAATCTAATCTCAATAATAAAATTCGTGCATTTAGGATTTACGATTGAACGTCGACGTAAATCGTGTATGCTATATGTTGTTGTAAACAAAATTGTTGTATTCATGTCCAAAAAACCTCTTCCGCGTGATAAATATACTTTTTTTCCACGGCCTATTTAAGCTAAACGGGCTTTGTACAACAGGCCTCAGACGTACAATTTTGCAGGAAGAAATACAAATACTCTGTACAAATACTTTCGTCTACTTTAGCTACAAACTATAATGATATTGATCATAAACGTCATCGCAAGTGTCTCTAGTGAAAAGCGATCATTATATATACGATTGTTCAGCTTATTCTACTAAGACTCTTTCTATTCAGTCGGACTATGGTGTGAATGACTGGCTCACAAGACTAAATGGAAACCAGACTTTACGCAAAGCCACATTATGGACGGTCAATCGAAGCAAGTGAAGCGGGAAAATTTGATGCAAAGTTTATGGATGGCAATGGACATGTACAGTATTGTAACGTATCCGATGAACTGGCTGGAACATGATCATGATGTGCAACGGTGAAATTTGGTGAAAACTTCTGTGAACAGCTTCCGTAGTTTCTTTCACACATGAAATACGAGCTGTACGCTGAATTAAATATCATTGACCAAGGTTCTTTCAGGTCGCTGTAAAATTTATATAAAATGCTTAACTCGTGGCTTACTTTTTTCAGCGGAAACGGGCTTAGTTAGAATCGGTTACGAGTCATGCAATTGACCTAAGTAGGAGTTTCTTCTTGAGGAATGTTCAGCAAGTAATGATGTTTGATACAGTTTTAATGAAAAACTACCTTCTTCGTTGTTTTGTCATTCTGATACGTTGCCGTTTATTTTTAAACCAGTTACTGACTTGTGTGACTGTCAAGTTTGTCTTCTCTGCTAATTCTTTTTTCTCTTCCAGTGTCGGATACGGTTTCAGGTTATAAGCCTTGTCGTTATATCATTGAAGAAGAGTAAAGAGCATTAGCTGATGAACTATGTTTGGATACAGAAATAGCCAGGGAAACTGAAAACACTTCTATCTTGGACATCCAAAGATCTACCTGCATGCATGGGGATAAAACAGCATGGACTATACTCAATTGGCTACCTATTAAACTACCACTAAACTCAGCGAGACTTGCTTGAAAACTGCCATTCAAAAGCTTTCTTGAATATCTTCTCAAAATTATAACTGCACTAGCTGCTTCGTGCTTCTGCTTCATACCTCGTTCAAAAGCTTTCTCGTATCTTCCTGGAAACAATAGCTCTTCTCTCGGCCATTCGAAATGGTTCCTGGACTTGGAAACTTTCTTCGAATTCTATACTTAGCCACTGCATCCAAGGACCTCTCCCGAGATTTCTCGGCTTCCACGTAGCGCGCCTTATACCAGAGGCGTTGTAACTTTTCGTGGAATTTTTCAGAGAACTGCCGTCCTTCCAAGATACGGTACAATTCGTGGAAATTGCCAGTGTGAAACGCGGCAACTGCACGAAAGACGGCGATCGCTTCGGAGCTGGAAATTCCCTTGATCGACGATGGCAAGGACCATAGGAATCTGCTCAGGCGATCAATCTGCCCATCCTTTTCAAGAAATTCGCAAAAACGGATAATATCCAAGAGAGAGAATGGTACGGGGTACATTTCGTTCCACTTTTGTCTCTTTACACACGAACTATTCTCGTGGCTTTGCATGCAGTATACACCAGCTCACTCTCTAGATGGTGTTATAACTACCACGTCTCCTTAGGAGACGCACGTTTTATGTTGATTCAACTAATAGCTTATTAAAATTCATAAGAAGAAATAAAGATGCGACAGTGTTTCTGTGTTTGCAGATTTGTTTATTGATTTCAACGTAAACTAGCGCAGGAAATATGCGATAGTCTGCTAAGAGATTGAGGAATAAAGGGAAAAAATGCTCTGCACAAAAGAGATTTAACTTCATTAAAACCTTTAAAAACTTACTCAGTGAATTTCAGTAAAATTACACACTTCGTACGCGTTAACTTAAATATCGTTTGGAAAGGATTCCGAAGTGAGTGTTTTAGGTACGGCTTAATTTTAGAGCCTCATTCATGCAAGCAATTTTGGTATCCTATCATAAAGAATATTTGACTTCAAGGTAATAATTTTATCAAGGTATAAATTTAGAGCTTCATATCCGGTTGAACCAGGTGCGTAAACATTACTAACAATAGTATAGGAGAGACATTTATATTAAATAGTTTATGCACGAAATTTTTCATGATGACTTCAGACTGGATTATTAATAATGCCTTAAAACTCATACAACCAATGGCGTATCAAACATAATTTGATATTATTGTAGTAGTACGTGAAAATACATTCATTTAACAGGGCACAAATTCTAGCAATTCTATTTGATAGCTAAGCCGTTTGAGGTTTCTCAAATTAAAATAGGTTCTTGTAGTTATCTGATCTTTAATATGTATGTATTAGACTAAAATTCACAAACTGCTAAATCTATGCGGATATATGAACTGATAAATATTTAACTAACACTGAACGTGAATACCTTTTGAAAAGATATGATATTTACTGCATGGAAGACCCGCTATCATATGTTCAAATAGACTAATGTCGGGATAGCCTCAGAGACTTTCAAATCTATAGTTTAAATAAACACCATCGTATGTATAAACATAACTTACTCACAGCTGTCCTAATTCCTAAACGCTATAATTCCTGCTTTGTTAAGGTTTTTATTACGTTGTTTTATTGCCCGCGTAGACGCAATATTGTGTTCCTTTTTGACCACAGTTGAACAAACACACGCAAACAGATTTTGTAATTAAATACTTGAGATAATCGCTTAAAACGATCCGGCACTGAACATTTTTTCAAAAAGAAAATATATAGTTGCATATGTTCCCGTATATTTTGCTGTTTTTTTTAGTTTGGAATGTGAACTTGTTGAGAGCATGCAGATATTGAGTATTTTCAATCTTAAAAGCACACTGCATATATAAATGTATATATAAATAAAATCCCTCGATCCTGAACTTACGACTATGGAGCTAATGACAGCATTATATATTAGTTTTCATAATTCAAGATGTTCCTGCGAATGTAGTAATTTATATAGACACGTGCATGTGGGCAACAATTCTATTATTTATGTTCTATACTTGCGCGTTTCGGTGTCTCATTGTTCCATATTCGGGCGTTCAGGTGTCTCATTGTTCCAAGACTGATCAATATTCGAGTTATGTGTGTGTGTTTAGTAATCTAACTATTTCAGTACAGTGCGAGCGGTGCTGCTTTAAAACCGCTATCACATGCTTTTAACTGCCTGGTGCAAATGAAATTGATAAAGCTTTGAATTTACAGTGCAGGCATCGCGGGTGTCAAAGACTAAATAAATGGCTTTGTGCAGTTATGATGGTTTATAAAAAAATTAAAGTATTTTTCCTGTGCTAAAATATAAACCAAGTAACGCTCCAGCAACAGCTAACATACCTATATAGGCCAGTAGCACGCCAATGCTAAAATTTTTTACTTTCTTTGAGGATGATAAAGCAGCTTCATAGTCGCTTTCTCCCACCGCGTCATTTACCTGGATGAAATTAGGAGATGATTGAAAGAGATTGCCGGCGATGAAGGGGCCATTCAAAAAGGATGTCCAAGCCAAGGGGCGAGGGGGGGTTGGAAAATCAAGACATACTCGGACATAGGGGGGGGGGAGAGAGAGGGGGGGGGATAGCAATCTGGACGTCCGAATTTCTTTCCCGTCGTAAATGTGGCGTCTTGAGCACCTCATAATATCTATCATATCTCTTCAATGATTTTCACTCATAAAGGCTAGTTTCCACTCAGGAAAATTCTCCTTTGGACAGGACAGGAAAGTTTCCTTTGTATAAACGCCGCCTGAGAACTCACCGACAAAGGAAATTTTCCTGTCCGTTCCGATCCAAAGGAGATTTTTCCTGAGTGGAAACTAGCCTTTACATACACAAGGTTGTGCGAGTTTTGCAAGACATAGTGGACGTCCGCAGGGGGTGGGGAGGGATCACTTATTCGGACAATACCGGACAAGGGGGGGAAGGGGGGCTCGAAAATCCATCATTTGGTCGGACATCCTTTGTGAAAGGCCCCTAACAAATCTAGCTGGGATGAAAACAGAATGAAAAGCAAATAAAGGCACGAGAAAGCAACTAATTTGATTACCTGTCTTGATTTTGCGAGTGCGTAAATTCCGAAGGGAAAACATAAGATACACGATAGAATAGCACATAATCTATACGAAGATGGCTCCTCCTTCAGGACAACGCGGCCAGCTGGTTTCGGTTTTTTAAGAATTGATTTCTACGATAAAATGAAAAAGAAATCATTAAATCGAACTGACGAAAGGTGTTAACCTTTACGAGGAATGGTTTAGAATTGATAGAACTAATCAGTCAGATATAGGGTTTAGGTTTCCTCCTGTACTGGATCTCTAGAAAGAACAGTTTAAAACTGATAAAGCTATCCAGTATAAATAAAGTTAGTTTAGTTTAAGTTTCCTCCTGTAGTAACACTGGATTGATAAAAGATGATCCTTACTGGACTGTTAGGAAGAACAGTTTAGAACTGATAGAGCTCAGCTAACACAGTATATATGTTAGTTTAGTTTAGACCTAGGAGATAAGCCATACTGGGCCAAGCATGTGAGGGCACATTTTGAAACTTAATTTCGATTGTATAAATTCATATTTTAAGAGATGTAAACAAACGTGTCAAGATACTCACCACGCTAACCTCACTAGTGCCAGATCTCGCAGAATGATGTGACACGTGACTGCTAGCGACACTTTGATTGGATCGAACACTCGAGGCAGGTGATGCTGACCGTGAGGTTTGGGGACGAGAAGGCTTGGCCGCTACTAGTGGTGGTATCAATTTAGAATGTGACACATTGCTACTCCTAAAAGCTTTCTGGCCTGACGTATTCTCCACCCCATCTTGCTTTTTAGGAAAAGATGTCTGCCTAACGATCCATAGCTCTAAATCTTGACGCTGATTCTCTTTACTGTCCTTCTTCACCTTCTTTTGTTCCCAAGCAGATCCCTTAGGACCCTTACGGCTCTCAGTTGACTGTCCCATCGTGTAGTTTGCCCTCATTGGAATATCCTTATCACCTACTGTCCTGTTTTGATCCCTTGAGTCTGAAATGTCCCTTAAGTTGTTATTTATCCTGCTATGTTCTACATCGCCATTCATTTGTTTTAATTCAGTGGGATGAGCAATCCTTTTCGAGGGACGTCTTGTGTAGCCTCTTACCCTGCCATGTTCACCATCATCCCTGAACGACCACCTTCCATGGTGTTTAAGATGAGAGTTCCCACTAGCGTGTCTTTGATTATATATATCTTCGTACTCTAAGGAGCCTCTATTGAAACGGGAGGAGGACATCGGTGCACGTCCAGGTGTCCGTTTGTCGAAGGATTTCCTTGTACTAGGAACAAAAGGGTAAACATTGGGGCTAACTTGTGGTCCAATAGGATGTCCTTTCCTTTCCCTCCTGCTCAAGTCATCGCTGTAGTAGTGACGTTGAATTTCAACGACATAAGGCTTCGCACGAGATGAGTGCGCCATCAAATTTAGCTGTGAAAAAATAAAACATCTCATGGTTTCTGACGCGCAATATTTGGCAAGGTCTGGTGAAATAAATACAAAAATTTCCAAAGACTCTGATGTGAACATTTAAATGAGAAAACACTGTTTCGTTCTTTGTAGTTTTAAGGCATTTATTATGGCAACAAGTACTTGCATAATTTAAGTAATAACCACCAACTGTCTTGTCTGTTCGTATGTAAATATATTCAAGTGTTTCAAACAGTCTTACAAACTTCTCGATTAGAACAGGTGCACTATCGGAAGTTACCGAAGAATATGTGTATATAATGATTTAAAACCAAGCATTCATCAAGTTTGTCCAAGCACGAATGATTGGGATAAAAAATATGTTATTTTGTTTGCAAAATCTAACCGGAGCGCAATTTACATAAGAACGAAAACAAATGTTCATGCATTTGAAGGAAATTAATACATGAAGCAGCACTAGAGTGACTATAGACTATAAGTGAAATATTGGTTCAATTTTTGTTTATAATCTGTGTTTATTTCTCATAATGAATGTTTAGTATTTATACTTCTTCTCTTCAGAATCTGTGGTACTCAGTAGAGAACACTGAATTTGAATGACTATGTCGCCATTCTCACGGCTATTCAAAGATCACCGAGTCAAGTAAATAATTTTAAAGCGGCTGCGTATTTAGGAACTGAAAATCGTAATATATGTCCGAATACTATGAATTTCCCTTGGAAAATGGTCTTTTAACTGAATACGGGTTAAAACAGGCATGCATCTAGTTTGGCGATCGAAATAGAATACAAAAATATTCACAAGTCTTTGCTATAGATTTACACGAGTCAAACATATCGTCGGGCCAATAAAAATCACCTATGGTTAAGTATTTTTTCTCAATTTCGACAAGTAACCTAATGCTGAACAATTTTCAACGCGATATTCCTATGAACACACCACGGTCCGGTCTAGTCTAGAATATTTCCCGGCACTTCAGAAAGAAAATATCTTGGCATGCGAAAAACACCGATTACCCTACTCGATTTTTCGAAATAATAAACGTGTGAATTTAGAACGATTTCAAGGTTGCCTAAAAATTACTTGGAAACGGGAATGAGAAATTTCATCTTATTTGCTACTGAAGTTAATTGTATCAGTATCTATCCCACTAAGGACTGCCATGATAGCTAGCTACGTTTCATACCAATTAAATTGTCCTCTGGACTTACTTATGTATTCTTTTCCTTGTACCAGTAAGTCATACATCCCTTCAAGGAATTAAAAGTTCTCGAATGCTTCCTCAGGTCGAATCCACCTCATGATTTGAAAACATTCAGCAGTCGCGTATATGGGGATATTGCCTGTCGATCATATGAGGTACGATTGCAATAACTTTGCATGAACAGTTCACAACATGAGTCAGACCAGGTTCTGAAAATAATCGAATATGAAATGAGATATCCTGCCGTGAAAACTAATTGAGATTAACGTCAAAGATGTGAGGCACGTGAGAATGATCGCGGTATTTTCCCTCACACGAGGAAACTTTTAAAACTCGCGTATGATTTCATGCACATGTCGAATGCTGAAACACAAATCTGGGTATATCAAAAATAATCTATTTTTTAACAAACACGCTTGAAGAAAAAAATATTGGTAACATGCATAGCTTTGGCTGTAGGTATATCCTTTAAAGCCAATCACACAAGCTCAGCGTTTTCAAGCCTTTTCATATGTGTTTTTATCCAAAACCGGTGCAGACACTGAAACTTTATGCCAGAAATTAGTTAATAGATTATACCTATTTTTAAAATTTCATTGAGCGAAAACGTTTTTTAAATTTAATTGATCGAAAACAACGTTAGCAAGCACATAGCTTCGGATGCATCATGCATAGTCGATATGCTTGTGAAGAATGATATAGAATTCTGATGTACAGATTAAATATCCCATACCCCGCCATAAACTATCATACCCCTGACTAATGTATATATTGAGGACAGATTGTCTATTCATACGAGTTTTGAAGATAGTTCGTTCGGCTTTATGGCAACATGCCATGAAGTTCGATATTATAGGAATAAATTTTCACTATATATAGGTTCTCTTTCAAATTTTTCACCCAAATATTTTCCGATGATATACTGAAAGTGCCCTTATCTAACTTCAAACACAAGATTCATAAAAAATATTAAAAACAGCAGATTTTAAGTGGGGTTGGAAAAAAACGGGAGTGATTTCTGCGAATGGGTAAGAAAATATTTCACGCCACGTTCAGTTGAATCAACGCGGCCACAAGTTTTATCTCAATTCAAAACAAAAAACGTCAAAAATCTCAATAACTTGATATTGGGAACTGTATTCATGCTGGTTTATATTCATTTGGGAGATGCCATTATATAAGTGTTTTGACTATGCTTTCACAACTGTAAAACCGTTAGGAAAAAACAGAGTTTTTCAAGGATTGGATGGTAATGAGGGAAAAAACAGGATACGATACGTTTGTTTATTTCAATGTAGTCATCACACAATCAATATTAACTGAAGCTGGTATATATGCTTTAACTAATTAATCAACTTCAAAGCTGTAATAGAAAGTTAATTATGACGTCAATGCTATCACAGAATAACATTAATTTTATCACTCTATACCAAGTTAAAAATAACTATCACTTTGAGCACTTAAATGGACGGGTATTATCTCATTATTTAATCCTGTCTTTACCTACATGTCGAGAAATTCGATATAATTTTAGAGCATGGCATCTAATTCTAAAGGCTGGTTTATCGTTGATCAGTACGAGAGACGAAAGCTCTATCAGGGCGAAGTTTAAAATTATTTTTCATAGCAACCTAGCCATTAACGGTAACGCTACCGTAACAGTATAGTTGCTAAATTTAGCATATTGTTTATGGAAAGTTCCTGGCAAACAATGGACAAACTCTTCAACTCTATAACAATTTAAGCGATATTTTTTTAGCCGTTTTTTCAAACGCATTCACTAAATAAAACAAATCTGGGTCTGGTTGAAGTATACATAATTTTCAAATATACATATAATTTACCGATCAGAATCGTAAATTCTAGTGTCACCGGAAAAAGTCCCTAATGTCAAGCATTAGTTTTCGTTCAGACAAGCAAAGCTCATGCAATGCCATGCCAAGAGCTGCTCTATAACCGTTTTCGGTTCGGTTACCCCAAAAAAAAACATTCCGAAATGCTCAAAAATATTTTTAATGGCGCACTCTAATAGATTCGCTTATCTTGCTTTGACTACGGAATTTTTAAAAATTGTGTATCGAATTTGATATAATTATATCTATCTTAACGAAGCGCGCATTAGCGGTTACAAATAAGCCATCCCATTAGAAATATTTTCTTCTAACTCAGAGTATTATTTGCGACGGGTTTATGTTAATCTAGGCTCATTGATAGTTGACAAAAAGAAATATTGACATAGCTAGTTGACACAATCAGCATTCAGACACGCAATCATTAAGCTTTAGAGATGGTAAAAAAATCAACGAAGCGTAACGATGAGTCATAGGGATGAATAGCTGAGACACTTAATGGGCTGTTAAAATCATCTGGCCATTAAGCGTGATCATGTATCAATTGATGTGATCGAATAACATCACGTTGATCACATCGCAGTATTGTTTTGTTAAATTCGAATTAATTACGACACATCTGACGCATTAGCTGTGGCATTTCCTTAAACGCACGTGTTAGCCAATAAAATGCTTGCGTTCGCTGGCCGTTGACATATTTGCCCTGCGAGTAGGGTGATATAAAAGGCTGACATTCTTTTAAGTAAATATGCCAATTACAGTTTGTTCAACGCAGTGAAACGTCTTTCTATAAAACACACATTGATCGAACACGATATTCAACATGAATTTCAACGACGCGCTAGGCGTAGACGCAAACGGGAATGAGACACGGAACAGCGCTACATTGAGTTTCAAACCGGAGCAAATCGCATGTCTGTGCGACGCACTAAGGCAGTCTGGAAATATGGATCAATTGAGCAGGTTTCTCTGGTCTCTACCACCGCATGATTTGCTCAGTGGCAGCGAGAGTGTTTTAAAAGCTCGCGCGGTTGTGGCATTCCATCAAGGAAACTTTCGGGAACTGTACGCGATACTGGAAAGCCACAATTACGAGTCCGCTTCACACGAGACGCTGCAGAAGCTATGGTATATGGCGCACTACAGCGAGGCCGCGAAGCTGCGAGGCCGTGCACTCGGCGCCGTTGATAAATACAGAATCAGACGAAAGTATCCGTTGCCTCGCACGATCTGGGACGGCGATCAGACCGTGTATTGCTTCAAGGAGAAGTCTCGCGATACGTTGAGAAGATCCTACCAAAACAACCGCTATCCCACACCGCAAGAGAAACGTGAATTGGCCAAAGCGACTGGACTTAGCCTTACACAAGTCAGCAACTGGTTTAAAAATCGTCGTCAGCGAGATCGTGGCAGCGAAAATGGAAAAAGGTAAGATCATTGAAAAACTTCTCAACTTAACTTGAACTTATAAACTAGTACTAAAAAGTATGTAAAATGAGCGCTATATTGGTGAAAGACTAGATGTCTACACGGGCCATCCAATATACCTTGCCTTTGTTCCCACTCATATGCATATTTTCCTGGTATCAACTTCATCTCTCGTTGGGTATTATATTTCGGTACTTCGCAAATCGCAATGAAGAGACATTTATGTGAATACCTTTCTCAAGAAAATCATCATTTGGCTAAATATAGTTTTATTTCTTGCTGTCACAAATTCCAAATACTACAGCAATGCTATTTCGCAAGCGTGATAAATTTTAAAATCGCTAATCCGACATCAAATGAAGCGTCGTGTGTATCGCGCTGCATTCATAGGAAATCCTTTTGAACTGTTGTATGAATTTCATCATTCAAGCCTTCCCACACTGAGTAACCTATTCAAAACATTTTGAAACATATACAATCCGTTTTGTGGCATAACAAAATGTAGCACGAAGCTTTAAAACAATGCGCTTATATACATAATCTCAAAGTAAACGCGCCAAGACTGTCTTTTGAGTTTCGATACTAAACATGACCACGATTGTAGAACCATGATTCTCGTTACATTTACCAGATCCAAACGCAGGCGAGGAATTTCGGGAAACCAAACGAAGCCAGTGTTAAAACCCGGCACAAACTTTGAGAACCTCCTTACCCAACGAACACCAAGCCTAAAATGTTTCGTCAATGATTCATGCTCATGTCTTCTCGTATTTCCTTGCTCAAACAGAAGCGTCTCTTATGTCAAACGTTTACCAATAGTTTCGCTTTAAAATGGTAATAGGAGAATCCTGCCGGAATGACTTAATCTACGGGATTCACAATGTTTAGAAAACTGACTGAAAAACACAACATACGATGTCTTAAATCCGACTGAACAAACCTAATTTTCTTTACCGCGAGAACATCAAAGTAGTCGCTGACGGTCGAACCTCCAGAGACGCATGCCTCTGAATTGGATTGATTCGAGGAATAAAATTATATATTCTTATTTTCTGGTCGACAATTGGTATCACCATTCATAATAGAATATGTCGACAACCAGTTACGATGAAATATTTTACGCTTTGTGCATGATGAACATTTAGAAATCCCTCTTTTCGCGTGCGAAGATTGTAAATTGTAATTACCTAATTGTTAAATTCCTTAGGTGAAATTTGTATCTTTGGTTATGTATATTTCTTAGAGTTACATATATGTATGTATATTTGAAACGCAACACTTCCATTTAATTATGATAAAGCCGGTAACACAATATCAAAAGGCAAATTGTGTGTTCATTTTATGCATTATTTTGAGTTGTTTGTTTGGGAACTCGGTCATTGAACGCGGAACACAGTTTAAACGCATTCATTTGATAAACGAAACCTTTGACTGAGCCACTAGTATTTCTCGATGTGAAGACATTTTTCTCAACGAAAACTAAAGAGAACCATTAAAATTAGGCTGGTAATAATAGGAATCGTTTAAGACTTATGTTTGAGCAAAATCTGTCTGTGTTTCGTTCCTCAAACAAATTCATTTTAATTGTTCGTGGCGTGTGGGAGGGACGATTTCATTTGAAACACAAAGCTTGGGAAGTAAATATGTCTTAGTTTCCTAATATTTGAAATTATAATATAACGTGCAAGCTCAAATTGGATCAAATTAAGGTCGCTGTAAATATCAAAAGTTAAAAAAAACAACTTTGTATTCAACAGAAGGATGGCCAGTATCCATGCTTTTATTGCTAGATCTATTAAGCCCTGTATCATGTGACTCATAACTATTTGCACTGCATGGGCATTTGGGTGTTATCAGGGATATTTATGTACTCAGTCAAAATATCAACAGGCATGCATGACAAGGAATATTAAAAATTAATTCCCCACATAGCTATTCTGTCAAATTCAATTCCGGAAATGGCATAGTCTATTTTTCTGATAAGATGGGTTAAAAAAGTCTATTTAAAAAAAGGCTGTTAGAAGTTAATTTGGGGTCTTGTTTTTCTGAGGATAAATAGCGCCATTGTTTTTAACTGCAACTAGAGAAGTAACATGCCTTATGTTTTCAATCATAGGAAAGGAGACATGAATAACAATGATTTGGATGACTTTACAAATGATCAAGATCTAATCAAGAAAGAAGACAAAGAAAGTATCGATAAACATGCTTGTGGTGCACTTGTTGAGACTACCACGCTATTGGGGGAAGGCTTTGTTGATGAGACACTTTACGCAGACGCTATCTCCGCGGAAGAATTGGCACGAAATCTGACAACGATGAAGAAAGAGGTGGAAATGGCTAATTCTGAAACAAGGTGATATTAAAAATAGATTGGATATCTACGGTTGTCCATGACTTGCGATGACATTTTCATAAATGCATACCAAATATGTCAGTATGATGTTTTCAAGTGGACAAACAACAAAAGTATATATAAAATATAAAAGCACCAAGTCTATCATGAAAATCTTGTAAAATATTTTCAGTTTTATACCATTGTGATTTTAATAGGTACATTATGGCTAAACAAAAATACTCAGAGAACATATTTGGCATAGTTTACCAGCTTAGATTTCATGTAAAAACATTATTTTTGAAATATTGTATAATTGTGCATAGAATTTTATTAAAAACATGTTTTATTGTTCATTTTAATCTCGTATTGGGGTTGATATTGTACATTTAAGACAGCCACCGCAACAATCATGGTAGGGATTTCCAGATGTCAGATGGTTGTCAAATACCAAACAAAATATTGACCCACAGTCTGCTATGATATGTAATACTTTGTTTATTGCCAGATCATTTTATAGGTCACGAGGTTGGATGCTCGTATACCATTCGTGCAGCTTCGTAGAAATTAGAAAATTCAGATCTCCTAGTTGACAAGTGAAATTCTACATAACTTGTCATTACTTTGGATCATTCAGCTCTGAAGTCCTGTCTCTTTCCACTTTCCAAAATGAATATATTACTCATGCCCCGTTTACTTTAGACTATATTATAAAACATATTTTCTTACTTTCTGTATATAAACGCAAAGCTGAGACAAATGCGCTTCAAATTTATCCATTGACTCCGTCGCTCATGCAGTCATAGGAATCCCAATGAATATTTTTGAAATAAGTTACTTGCAGTGACGCAAGATATTTATCATTTATATACTTGAGGTGAGGGATATTCGGCGAAATATTTCCCACTATATTTCCCGAAGTGATGATATCATTACTCATATTTCCCCGACATTAAACTGTGCTATGGTACAACCAGGCCAATGAAAGTAAAACCACGAGTTACTCTTACCTGGCATTTAAACTTTGCAAACTATTTCAAAAACCCGTTTTACACCGTGAAATATATCATTAACAATAAATTATATCCTCAACATACCTGAACTTCGTAAAGAATTGCTTCAAGAACATTGAAACGTTGAAAAAAATCAATTCTAAAGCTTGAAATGTACAAAATTTGACTTGTGAAATGAAATTATATTTTCCGCGAAGGATCTTGACCGCGCGTTTGATAAAGCCTGAGGCTAGACGTTTTTATACTAGTGTGAAGCTACCACAGGATTCACCACAGGATTCGCTCTTCCTCCGAAAACAACAAAATCGAACATATGCGAAGCTAGCACGACATTCATCCGCACTAAATTCGATACGTAAACACAATATATTATTTTTTATTTTGCCGTTAAAAACAGGCAGTATATCAACGAAACTGGTATGGATAGAAAGCTTAGATAACACAGATTCCGAATATGTAATTTTTATCCTGGCCCAAATTCGTCGTCGAATGTTACAGCTCCTGAAACGCAGACGTCTGCAAGCCTGACATTCGAAATCGCATGTAATGATGTACGTTAAATGCGCGTTGAAATACGAGCGAACTAAACACCAAAAAACGGCTTCACATTCAATGAAACTGGTATCGATAGAAAGCTTAGATAACACAGATTCCGAATATGTAATTTTTATCTTGGCCCAAATTCGTCGTCGAATGTTACAGCTCCTAAAACGCAGACGTCTGCCAGCCTGAGATTCAAAATCGCATGTAATGATGTACGTTAAATGCGCGTTGAAATACGAGCGAAGTAAACACCAAAAAACGGCTTCAAAATTTATGAAACTGGTATCGATAGAAAGCTTACATAACACAGATTCGGAATATGTAATTTTTATCCTGGCCCAAATTCGTCGTCGAATGTTACAGCTCCTGAAACGCAGACGTCTGCAAGCCTGACATTCGAAATCGCATGTAATGATGTACGTTAAATGCGCGTTGAAATACGAGCGAACTAAACACCAAAAAACGGCTTCACATTCAATGAAACTGGTATCGATAAAAAGCTTAGATAACACAGATTCCGAATATGTAATTTTTATCTTGACCCAAATTCGTCGTCGAATGTTACAGCTCCTAAAACGCAGACGTCTGCCAGCCTGAGATTCAAAATCGCATGTAATGATGTACGTTAAATGCGCGTTGAAATACGAGCGAAGTAAACACCAAAAAACGGCTTCAAAATTTATGAAACTGGTATCGATAGAAAGCTTACATAACACAGATTCGGAATATGTAATTTTTATCCTGGCCCAAATTCGTCGTCGAATGTTACAGCTCCTGAAACGCAGACGTCTGCAAGCCTGACATTCGAAATGTCCGTTAAATACGAGCGAAGTAGCACCCAAAAACGGGTTCACATTCAATTATGAAGCCACAGGCAGCCCGGTCACGTACTGCTGTTACGTCCATAGGAACCCCAATAAATATTGTTTAAAGAAAAAGTAAATAGTCCAGTTACGTTGCGAGTTCAGTGACGTCAGTGATCGCGAAGCATATAAATATATAGTTATTGAGAAGGATGGAAACCATAGGCGGCCCAAAATTGGCGGCCGAAAATTTTTTCGGCAATTTGTCAATGTAATGTATAATATATAATTACATAAGGTAGGAAGCTCTTTTTTACGTTACGAAACTTACCACTTAGACTATGACAAAATACATCAATTAAATTGACCGAAACTAATAAAAAAATATAGTAAACTAATCTCTGATAATTTTCCTCGCTTCTTACATACGAATTACGATTTAAAACTACTTTTAACATGACAAAATACGGCAATATTTTTATAGTTTTTGATCAAAAATATTTCGTACGATGCGGGATGACAGTGGTCTCTGTATTCGTCATTGTTTTGAAATATTTTACATGATCCTATTGGTTGAAAAAAGTTCGTTCAAATACATTACAGTTTGTTTATTTTTTCAACCAATAGGATCATGTAAAATATTTCAAAACAATGACGAATACAGGGACCACTGTCATCCCGCATCGTACGAAATATTTTTGATCAAGAACTATAAAAATATTGCCGTATTTTGTCATGTTAAAAGTAGTTTTAAATCGTAATTCGTATGTAAGAAGCGAGGAAAATTATCAGAGATTAGTTTACTATATTTTTTTATTAGTTTCGGTCAATTTAATTGATGTATTTTGTCAAAGTCTAAGTGGTAAGTTTCGTAACGTAAAAAAGAGCTTCCTACCTTATGTAATTATATATTATACATTACATTGACAAATTGCCGAAAAATTTTTCGGCCGCTAATTTTGGGCCGCCTATGATGGAAACTCTTGAAATAATATAAACATACATACGAATTTCACTCGCAAAATTTCATATCAAAACAACGAGAATCCCTCAAATAAATTATCACAAATACATTTTAGATACTCCAACAACATTATTCCATTAAAAATATTTTAAAAAACAAATGAAAATGCACAAAAAATGTACAAAACGTTTGCCTATTTGCCCAAAAATATCGTGGGACCATGCGAGACATAAAATGCGGTTTGAGAAACGAATCTGATTGGTCAAAAAAATAAACAAATGACGTGTGCTTGTCAAGCATACGGGGGGTAAATTTAAAGTTTAAAGCAGGTTGAAAAAAAACGTGAAGACACAAAAAAATTAAAGTTTGTATAAATACCTGTTGAAAATTTATAAATACCATTTCTATGCGAACGTTTTAAACGCAAATGGACTAGAATTTTAAGAAGACTGCAAAGGTTAAACCGGTTTTTCAACTTGCTTTAAACTTTAACTTTACCCCCCGTATGCTTGACAAGCACACGTCGTTTGTTTATTTTTTTGACCAATCAGATTCGTTCCTCAAACCGCATTTTATGTCTCGCATGGTCCCACGATATTTTTCGGCAAATAGGCAAAAGTTTTGTACATTTTTTGTGCATTTTCATTTGTTTTTTAAAATCTTTTTAATGGAATAATGTTGTTGGAGTATCTAAAATGTATTTGTGATAATTTATTTGAGGGATTCTCGTTGTTTTGATATGAAATTTTGCGAGTGAAATTCGTATGTATGTTTATATTATTTCAAGAGTTTCCATCCTTCTCAATAACTATATATTTATATGCTTCGCGATCACTGACGTCACTGAACTCGCAACGTAACTGGACTATTTACTTTTTCTTTAAACAATATTTATTGGAATTATTTATTGGGGTTCCTATGGACGTAACAGCAGTGACCGGGCTGCCTGTGGCTTCATAATTGAATGTGAACCCGTTTTTGGGTGCTACTTCGCTCGTATTTAACGGACATTTCGAATGTCAGGCTTGCAGACGTCTGCGTTTCAGGAGCTGTAACATTCGACGACGAATTTGGGCCAGGATAAAAATTACATATTCCGAATCTGTGTTATGTAAGCTTTCTATCGATACCAGTTTCATAAATTTTGAAGCCGTTTTTTGGTGTTTACTTCGCTCGTATTTCAACGCGCATTTAACGTACATCATTACATGCGATTTTGAATCTCAGGCTGGCAGACGTCTGCGTTTTAGGAGCTGTAACATTCGACGACGAATTTGGGCCAGGATAAAAATTACATATTCGGAATCTGTGTTATGTAAGCTTTCTATCGATACCAGTTTCATTAAATGTGAAGCCGTTTTTTGGTGTTTACTTCGCTCGTATTTCACGGACATTTAACGTACATCATTATATGCGATTTCGAATCTCAGGCTGGCAGACGTCTGCGTTTTAGGAGCTGTAACATTCGACGACGAATTTGGGCCAAGATAAAAATTACATATTCGGAATCTGTGTTATCTAAGCTTTCTATCGATACCAGTTTCATTGAATGTGAAGCCGTTTTTTGGTGTTTAGTTCGCTCGTATTTCAACGCGCATTTAACGTACATCATTACATGCGATTTCGAATGTCAGGCTTGCAGACGTCTGCGTTTCAGGAGCTGTAACATTCGACGACGAATTTGGGCCAGGATAAAAATTACATATTCGGAATCTGTGTTATCTAAGCTTTCTATCCATACCAGTTTCGTTGATATACTGCCTGTTTTTAACGGCAAAATAAAAAATAATATATTGTGTTTACGTATCGAATTTAGTGCGGATGAATGTCGTGCTAGCTTCGCATATGTTCGATTTTGTTGTTTTCGGAGAAAGAGCGAATCCTGTGGTGAATCCTGTGGTAGCTTCACACTAGTCGTTTTTATCAAAGTCTTTATTAAAGTTTTTACTAAATCCCAACATTTCATAGAAAAAGAAAGATACAATCGTAATTACATACACTTCACGTGGAGCTACATACACTTCACGTGGAGCTACGTAGCTACGGCTGTTACTATTGAATAAAGTACTATTAATGATAAAAAACGTATTAATAATGATAAAAAAGTACCCAATACTGGTCACTGGCGGAAGCACTGAACTTCATCCCGAAGAATCAAGAGCTTTGAAAATTTTCTCCACCTCGGAAACACCGAAAAAAGACTGCATTACTTTAACAACGACGAGCTTTCCAGAGCTTGCAAAATCGTGGAAATTTTCGCGCACGTAATGTGCCATTTTATGCAACTCAAAGGGCACAGCAACAAAACGATCGTGCTCAAACTTATCCTTACAATCACCTCCGGTGAACCTGGACGCTATCGATTCAAACGTGAGACGGCGCTCCGGAGCAATACGCTCATCAGAAAGATCAACAAATCCGCACATCCCCCATTCGTGATTGTCGTATTTCAGATACACTGTTGTTAGACATATGGCCTCTCTGTCCTTCCCTTTAAGTTCAATTCCCAATTCTTCTTCCAATCCTCTTGCCGCTGTTTTGACTAGTTCTACGTACGTTTTATCACCTCGTTGAACGTAATCTTTCACGGAACAGCTCTCAACCGCACCACAGGTCAATGTCCCAGGACTGGCCATGCCACCTGAAGCCGGATATTCCCGAATTTGCAGGTTAATCATGAACATGAACTTTCAAAGATATTTGGGGAAAAATATCAAAGACATTTTTGAAAATATCTATCTTGAGAAAAGATTGATAAACAAAGATATTTTTGAAAATATCTGTCTTGCAATAAGGGGGGACATCTAGGGGGAACATCTCAAATAATAAAACTAGGCAAAATAAATATTTCATTATGCAAAGCTCACAAATTTTTAGCACACAATTAATGGAAATATAGTCAAAAACTATTCAAAGAGGGTTGTGAAATATTTTGTTAACTCTTTACCTCTCAAAGCTCTACGTGTAAACACGAAGAGTTTTTGTGGTGCATCGTTAGTGATGACTGCGACATGGAGGCCAAATGATGTGCTGAACAATGGATGAACCGCTGTCTTACACGGGAGTTCTTGTAGTTTAGCAGCAGGGTCCAGCTCTTTCCATACATCTCTCATAGCTCGGTGATGAACATAGGTACCCTGAGCAAACTTAAGGACAACTCTTTGCTCTTCTTCATCACCCTCGCGTGGGGTAGCAAGATATTTTAAAGCGATATTCTTAAGGTTGTCAATCTTCTTTTCCTGGGCTGCCTAAACCAGGAGGAAGAAACGATAAAATTGTCATCTTGTCGCTTTTATCATTCCCAGACCGGTCTGAAAAGTGGAAATGGTAAATTGGATGGTAATGGAAGAGGTCAATAGGACATACCCTTTCCCATTCATTATGGTGTTCCAAGTAAGGTTCTTGAAAAGGCCCGTCTAATATGCGATCAACATATTCTTCGTTATCAGTTTCCACACTGCATACTAAACACTCAGGATGATAACCTTGTGGACGCTTATTACCAAATGAGCTAACCAAAGACTGAAAAATGTAATGAAAATTATGATAAGCTCAGACATTCAACGATATTTGAATTCAACCTGAGATAGATATGGACCCAGAGGTATCATTAGACATGATTATGGCTCGTTTCAAGATTCGATATTACACAAAAACGCGTGTGAACAACAATTTAGTTATTTCTCAAAAATCAGTGACTTACAATGCCGAAAAGCAATGCATATAAAGGTTACGTACTTTCGCCTAGTGTTGCATGCAGGTAGGCATTAGCCATTACATTAGAAATAAATGACCCGACCTTCGACAATGACCGCGAACAAACACAGACACAGTGAACTTTGGCGCCTCGTAGCAATCAAGAATCTTAGTTCGTAAGAATACAATAATATCAGCAAATTACCTCATCAACAATACTATCAGCAACAACTATCTGTGTGTCTTTGAGAAAGCCACAGGTGAAGAACTCAGCTGTCTGCATTGTAACTGTGTAGGGATTCGTTGAGTGAGCTAGGAGTAAAGCAGAGATAAATCATAAATCCCAGGTTATAATATACGAATAATACGATATTCACAATATATGAGAAGTTGTTAAATTTGATTGGTTAAACTAACCAACTTATATCAGTCTGCTCATATATTTAAGTAGCAATCTCCAAAAAACGAATAAAAAAACAGTTATTGAATATATGGCAATAACTGCAATTGATATTAGCAGATATTAACAGAGATCACTGAAATATACTGATTAAAGACTGTGAGTTTTATAATCAAAATCCTAGCTAAAGATAATCAGCTGCTTGCTTGCTTTACCTTGAAATTTCTGATTGATGATTTCTCTCGCACCAAGTCGGTCTTTTGGCTCCCATTGTAAGCAATGGTCATAGAGATCTTGAAGTGGTTCTTCACCAAGGTTTTCTGGATAATCTGGAAATGCTTCGAGCGCTCTCTCCGCACCAGCTAAATATGATTCTTGTATGGCCCAGGGCTTATCACCAGTTAACATGTAATGCAAAACCAATCCATAGGAAAATATATCACCTTTCATAAATGCTTCAACTTCCTCCATAATCTTCTCACCTGAATTTAAGAAAATAGAAGTTTAAACAGAATGGTAGTTTAAATACTGTTGGTTGGTGGTTCAATCTGGTTCCTAGTTTTTCCAAATGCAATAATTAATTAGCAAGATCTGGCACTGAACTGAAGACTGCTTGTGTTGGCATATTTATATCCAGATGAAGCCACCATGCAGCCATGATCGAGCAACAAAGACCTTGAAACCAGGAAGAAAAAATACCATACCAAGAATTTCAGGTGCACACCAACGTAGATGAAATTGGCTTTCATTTGTCTCAGTGTCATTTGGACTTTTCAAATGAAGTGCTAAACCAAAATCTGCCAGTTTGAGCCGCATCCTTGTCACACCCTTTTCTAACTATAAGTAAATACATTGATACTCAGCAAATGTACGTGCAGGCATGCATGCATAATGCATATCAGACAACTTCACACATCAAAACTAGCTATGGTTTCCATGAAATTTAGGATACTCACCAAAATGTTATCAGGTTTCAAATCTCTGTGCGCAATTGAAAAACTATGAAGATAATACAAGCCACTCATGATCTGTTCACCAAAATCCCAAACCTGACTTTTCGGCAAGCCATTCACCTCAGGCGATTTCAAACTTTCTACATGATTACTAAGGTTGTCTGGGACATACTCCATGATTATCATAAAACTGCCCTCTTTCACGTTGTAGTCTTTTGTCAAGTCCTTCCTGAGGAAATCCATTCCACGGTATGCAACAATGTTGTCATGTCTCAATAATCTGACATAAGGAATAACACTTGTTTAAATGTACGTTTTTCAGTGAAACAGAAAAATAACCCCTTTTATAAAATTCGGTGTATAGATGCTCATAAAATGATACTGAACACATCAATACAATCATAGTTCAGCTCCAATATTCTTTCACTACAATTACTTTGGGTGAAGCAATAGTTGAAAAACAGGTAAATGCATAAATATCTCTTGCTTTGGTTTATTTTATACCTAATATATCTCAAAGAAAATTGTTTGCTAACAAATCATCATTTTACCAGCTAAATATATTCCATTATTCAAAGCAAAAAAAATGAAAGGAGAAGAATATGCCGACCAAGAACATAGCGAGACATATTAGATCATAACCTCACTACATACCTGAGGATTCGACCTTCATTTAATTTAGATGGGTTTTGCACTGTTTGTAGAATTTTTATGGCAACTGATGCTCCCCTCATTTTTCCTTTGAAGACGTCACCAAATGCACCATGCCCAAGATATTCCCAGGGAGAGCTTGTTAAATCCTCCTGATCAATTCTCTCTAATTCTGGAAATATTAATCAAAAGGCAAATTAGCTATGTTCTTTTAAAATAAAAAAATTGAATAAATTTGAACAAGTATCTTAAATAATATATATCCTGCCCACATAAGTCAGCTTGCTTGCCCGAAACGTTGCACTTTGACTCTAATTTCCTTGCCTATACATCCAGCAGTGCCAAATTCTGTAGTTTTGCCAGCACAAAACTGGCAGAAGAAAGAGGTAAGTCATGATGAAGCTAAGTTTCATCTATATGCCAGCGTATAAAAGGCAGTGTACGTCTAAAGTTAGGGTGTATAACATTGGAAATTTGTACAAATATTTGTACAATAAACAACGGTAACATGCTATTTACAATCTGTGGCAACTAATTTCAAAATTTTTTCTATACCTTGATTGCTTTCGTTACCCAAAACCAGCTTGACACGTTGTTTTATTCTTCCTTGATACTCGATGACATCCTGCAAATCTTTATACAGTTCATTTTCAACGAGCGGAGATAGCCAGCGTTCTAAAATACTCCTAAGTTTCGCGATGCTTTTATCTATCATAACATCTACATTGTCAAAATCTAGAATACTATCAGTGATTCCCGCCGGCATTGCTAGGAAATTCTAAGCCAAACACATTAGGCATCACTAATTACAAGTTACAACACGTCCAACAACTTTGTTACAAGTCTTTGAATACAAGTTGTAACTTTTAGTTTCCCTTTGTTACTATAGGGTGAAAGTGCATGTCTATGAGATTATGTGAGATAACATCCTGCAGGTGTAACCTAATAACCACCGCGTTTAATTTCAGGGGGGCGGAGAAAGAAAACCAGGTTAGCATTGCTTTGGAATTTACCTGCAAATATAACCGCTATTTATCTAGCTTATATCACGATCCAAAAATTTGCATTCTTAAAAATTTTATTGTTTTCGTCGTTTTCGGGCGACAAATTCCAGAGTCCTTTTTTATGTGCATTGCTCTCTATCATAATTTTGTATTCAGATATTGTAAGTGTTGTGGGATATAACACACGCTAAGGTCCTTCAAAGAGCCTCCATTCAAGAGTAAAATGATATGGGTGTAGGTGGAACACTTATAGCCTACTTTTTTCTTTTTACAATAGGCTTGACGCCTCCAAAAATTACAAGGGCAAGCTCAACAAGGCTATTGGCTTCTTATCAAACGATGTTCTTCCTTGGCCAAGGCTTGGTAATCTGCATGTATCTCGATTTACCTTAAAAATATGTTTCGGTCTAGAGTTTTCCAACAAGTTTTGAAACCGAAATTCGCTCTTCTCTCTGTCAAGAAAATAGGGATTCAAATACGAGGATTTTGTCTGGCCCGTTTCAGTTGAAACAGAAAGCTCACTAAGCATTCTTTCCTTCTCTCCTTGCAAAGAAAATGCAAAGGAGGATGGAACCGTTTGCATTCGATTTTCCAGAGCAGTCTGAATCATTTTTCGTATATATTGTAACCTTGATTGGTTGAGCATAGACCGACCGGGACGAGTTACTTTTCCCAACTTGGACATCGTAAAATTCTCATAATCTTCCACGTTTCCGAGAAGTAAAACAAAGGCATCACCGAGGGCAGTGTAGATATGTCTATACCATTCAATAATCTCTTTGTTCAATGGAGTCTGATCCACCAGACCTAATTTGCTGTGTTTGTCCGCCGGCGTGTTTGTGGCATTACCTCTGGTCTTCTGTATTTGGAATTGCTTTTCACGAAGCGTAGCAATAGTTCTCAACTTGGCACGAAATATTGACATCGTACTGATCTATAGTTTGACGTACATAATATACATCACTAGTGTGCAGTAAAATGTGAAACTTCTTGACCATGGTAGAGTGTACTCTTGGACTGTATATGATCAAGAATACAAAATATTATATAACAGCTAATAAGCAATCAACCTAATTACCTTCAAAATTTCTAAAATATGAAGAATTTGAATAAGTTCTTCTCGTGCTACATCTTTTTCCTGGAGATTCCTTAAGTTTTCACAAAACTCTTTCATGTGTGGGAATATAGTTTGTTCAATAGCCTACGATGAAAGAAAAAATCGACTTGTATTCATACTCCAAATCCTTTTCAACCACGTTTGAATGGTTTGAAGTGATATCTGACCGGTGGTTTTACTTACATGATCTCCAAGCATAGCTAAGCCAGTAATCGCGCCATATTGAGAATGCAATGGTCTGTCAGTCGCGTGGTAAATATCTTTTAAATTTCGTAATAGTTGGAGATGAAGCAAGTTTCCAGCATTATTGCACTTTCTTGAAGAACAAAAATCTGATTTAGTCAGGGCGAAAACAGCCACCATAGTACAAACAAGACCCAATGTTAAACACCTTGAGGAAACCTAAACTCGCTTTATTTATACTGGATAACTCTATCAGTTCTAAACTGTTCTTCCTAGTAGAGGTCCAGTAAGCATTATCTCTTATTGATCCAGGGTTGCATCAGAAGGAAACCTAAACAAAACTAACTTAATTTTTACTGATAATCTAGTACTGACATCAGTGCTGTTATCTTCTCGATCATAAACATACCTATCAATATGACAGAGTGTTAGAGCTGCCCTGTTTCGTAAGGCCCAGTCATCTATCCAGCTTGCAGAAACTTTAGAAACAGGCTTTTCAATCAAACAGAACATTGCTGCTCTTACAAGCTCAACAACCTGGTGTATAAAAAGCATTAAAAGCTTTTTTATAGATATGATGATTGCCATGGACACAACAAGACTATATAGACATACGTACGTAGGGTTTAAGATAAAGATGCTTGTTGTCCACCAAAGCTTTGATAAAATCAAATATTCTTAAAAGTTTTGGGATATCTTTATCCAAGGATTGCATCTAGGAAATATCCAAAGTACAGAGAGTGAATATTGTTTGGTAAAGATGGTGGTAAAGTACCAGCTGAGAATGCTTCAGTTATTAACCTGTACAAGGTTGTTATTAACCACAGTTACTACAACTTACAAATGTACCAAAAATAACTGAAGAACAAGAAAGTTAAAAACCCACCGCAGTTGTCAAAAAATGAACAAAGTATGGAAGAAGAATTTGTCCTCTTTGATTGGTCTTTACATCAGTAAGAATGACCTAGGTTTAATTAACCAATGGTATCTTAATTAGTGAATTGTATCTTTCCTCCACTCAAATGTATGTCTTTTCTGTGACACACACTGAACAATTTCCCCCCATTGTTTTGGGATAAAAGATGGGGAAATTAATACACTATTTCTCACAACTTTGGTTAGATACCTTAACTGCTTTATCATTGCCTGTGATTATATTTCTCATCACTTGGTTATAGTAGGTCTTTAGAACCTTTAATTGTAAAAAACAAAAGATACATTATAAAACAGGACTTCAATATTGTAACACATACAGGATAAAATAAACTTACTGGTTTAAGACTGTCAAATTCAGGGTGTTTGACAGCAGATTGTTGATTGTCACCTTGAGCTATTGAAAACAAAAATTTTGTATACTATACAGATTGTAAAACATATGCAGACTGTATAAGTTTATAAACTTGGACATACCTTGTGCTTGACCATCACTTTTAACAACTTTTTTATCTAATACTGAAACTAAAATGTAATGGAAATCTGAATCAAAACTATCCAGCTTAACAAGAAGGATCATTATGACTATGGAATTGTAGATTGTGCTCAAGATCTTCATAGAAAATACAAATGATAAAATAATTTAGTGGTTCTTGATACCTTCGACATTGATATCGCTGCTGCCAAGTTCATTTAATGAAGAGAATCCTTTTGAAAATGCAAGTTCTCTTAAATTGATTTCTTTATCTTCATGAAAGAATAGATCTCCATCCTTTGTTGATATGCTACTGAATATATTGCTGTTCTTTGAACCATATCCATAAATTGGCTGGAAAAGTGGAGTATGACATACAAACAATGATTTTATACCAGTGGCTACCTAACAAATCATCCAAGTATGAATGTTGCCCAATATACACAACTTCTCGTCAGAGGATAATTTGTCCCACTGTGAAAATGTCAGTTCTAATTATTTATTTCTTTAGAGATTGATTGCTCTCACAGTCAATGATCAGCAAAATATTAGCATTGCAAGGCTACATCATCAGTCAGGCTACTCTACTGATCCCTACTAACCTCAACATGACTCCAAAACAAGGCCCTGTTTATATCTTCCCCTGTCATATGATCTCTTTTACTGTGGTGCACAAATTGGTTGGCATTCTGTAGGTTATATCATTGCAAAGGGAAATAAGTCAATATGTTATGGATTGAAAAGCATAAAAAGTGTTGAGTTACTGCTGTTTAATTATGTGAGAATACTATAGTAAAATAATGTATGTTTTATTCACCTTAACTATTTGACGTATTCTGTAAGAGGAATCCTCGGCCAATGTTGCAGCAACTTCGCTGGACAGATAACCAATCCCAACCGACTCACCGAGAAGTTTTATAGACTTTCTTGGAACAACGCAAAATTGGTTTTCCACTCCTGTCAGTCCTGTGCGCTTCGCCATTTTGAGATCTGAAAGTTGGAAAAACTTCATGTAAGAAGATGGTAATGATATTTCACATTAAGGAGGCTTCGGTCCGTCACAAATGAAACATTTCAGCAACCTCGATCCCAGGTGACATTCCAGTTTCCACTATGCAAATTGCTACAAATTATTTTTATTTACACGTATCCACAAGACAACAAAATGTTGTTTGGTGTTTTCAATATTTTGCTATACATGCATATCGCTTGTGCCAAAGCAATTTCCGCAAAAAATTTAGAGGGTTTCGGTGAAATTTGATACCGAAAGCACAATTATTATCGGGATTATTATTGTACAGTTTTATACTTCCTGTGTGGGCAGAATTCTAAGAAAAGAAGAGCCAATTTCTTGTATGAAGGCTTGGCGTGCTTATTATTAATTTCAACATTTCGTACACAGGACGCGTGTTTTCAGGGTAAGTTCACATTTTGCATCGTCAAATGTTCAATACTCAAGTCAAAACACAAATCCTCGCTTGAGAAATTTTAACAAATGCATAGCATCGAAGCAGGTCGCGGCAGTTTACGAATCAACGCGTTTTTAAAACATATCGATGTGCCTCTATAGTTATTTACACACGGCTCGCTAACATATACATCTAATAACTATTGCTCTAACTGTTTTGTGGTTGCTTTTTTTCAGGGTTTTGTTAAGCTTGTAACTTCACAATGTCCTCAGGTATGCGGTTGTTTTAAAAGTCTAACCTGGTATGAACCAGGCACACAAAAATGTACAAAAGTGTGTTTGTATTGTACAATTGTTTGAAATATGTGTATGGGGACGGAATGATTGCCCGTTTGAGTATTCTATCGATATCTTCTATTGAATTTTCTCGTACTAATGGGTACTATTTATTAGGAAATTGATAAAGCGATTTATTAAACACTGAAAACCGACCAGGCGTTGCTAATTGTGGGGATGCAAGAACCGTTTTCGACAAGTTTAAATAAACAAATTAAACCAGCGATTTTACTCAAGAAGAATTGCATGCAAATCTACGATGAATTCAAAATTTGATTAGTCAAGTAGCTCCTTGCCCTTCCTTGTTTAACTAATTCTCCGTGTATTTGAACAGCAAAATATCGGGGTAGCTAAAACTCTAATTTAAAGATTACCGCTTTTTCTAAACGAAGTTCAATATTTGTGCTGTTTACCCTAAAAGGTGCAGAAATATTGTATCAAAGAGAATTATAGAGCATATTCCGGGGCTCTTCGAAATTAATAAAATATTTCTGACCAAAAGTAATCGCTTTCCACTCTTGTCTACCTTATCATAATCCTTGCAAAAGGTTATCAAAAGTATAATTATGAAGTATTAAAAACTGCATGTATATGCATGTACTCACTATATTACACCCCAATGTCACAACAATATCATGATTCTAATTAAGAACCTGGTGAATGAGATTTAGTCTATATTAAAGCACATATTTGAAACTTATTGCCAACACACATCATTGTCATAGAGTACAATCTATCACCCACCTGCACAACACCCCACAAAGGCCAAAGCATCCTATGCACTAGCAAAACCTAGACTTATGGTTTTCTTTGTAATATACCATGTAAGGTTAATTTAAGTGAGCTGGGAACCTTTGTTCATTGTTCAACTTCTACCTTTTATATCTTAGACGGCGAACATTTTAATTTTGATGCAAATGCCAATCATTACGCACCACAGGTAACTGTTTAGATAAAATATATCATAAATGGCAACTTTCAATTTGTCCTAATAGCAGCAATGCAGTGAGCATCATTAATAACAGTAAACCTGTCCCAAAATAAACAAATCTAAAATAAAGAAAATAAGTTGTTGTGTCACTCCGTTGATTGAGCTTTGGGCTATATAGCAAAAGATTACAAAGCTAGATTTCTACTTGCTTGTTACCTTCACAGCAGCATGTAAAGTCGCTGAAATATTCATTTGAATTGTAGGAGGACAGACATTCTCCACCAGCATTAGATGAAAGTCATGAAACAGTGAGAAGGTAATGGAATTTTTATATACAAAAATTTTATATACTAATTAACTGACAACGAAAGGTCATGCAAAACAGCTAACTTGTAATGATTCTTTTATCTTCCTTTGGCAGACCTCCTTTGTTGACAATCCCAAGGCAAGGCAGCGTCGACTTCACTCGCTATGAGGATATACTGGTAAAGAATTCAGTCTATACAGTGTTTAAGCCACCCAGCTTCAGATAATCAAATTAAATGATATATTTATTATTGTCTTTGGTAGAAACAAACAAAAAGATACAATACAATATCGGATATTCCATATCATATAATTAGCGAGGTTCATGATTTGTTGAACATTAAAAAGGAGAATCGCATGGATTGGCGCAATGTTGCATCAAGAATGGGTGTGAAACCAACAATTATAGAAAAATTCGAAAAAGAAATAGGGAACCAAGAAGATGAAAATCACAAGGGCCCATCTCAAAGATTATTCAAAGAAATATCTGATCAAAAGATCACAAAACTTCTGCAAGTTTTATACCAAATGAATCGTCATGATGTTTTAAATGTATTTCATGATGATATGTGTGAACAATCCAGTACTGGTATGCATCATTTGTTAGTTGTGCTTATTTATAGTTAGTTAAGTACCACATTTACTTCAACAGTGAATTAACTCAAAGTATTCCATTTGTTAAGCGTTGGAAAGGAGAGAAAATTTCAAAAAATATAAAAACCCTAGCCAAGAAACCACACCTGTTAGTGGATCATCTACTAGGTATGTGTATGTATATCTGTATGTAAATTAATTATCTGCAGTGCAATGTGGTAGTTGAACTCAAAGCATACTGCAGTTAATACATCCATTTTTGAGTAACTCCATCTGTCCAGTGACATGAAGTGACAGGTCTATTCTTGCTCTAAATGTTTTCTGAAAATTATGTTTTTCATTTTATACAGTGAGTTCATGCCATCTCCCTGCACACCAAAAAGTCCTTACAAAGGTAAATAGAAAATCAATTATAATTTGAAGAAAAACCAGGGATTGCAGCAATATACTGCAAAGGACAGAGAGGGGAAGGGCTAGGCAAAATACCAGGGTTCTCAGAGGGTACTGGAAATCTAGTGCAATTGGTGATGCCTTTGTTGGTGGTAGGTATCTAAGGTTGGGGGGTTATTGCTAAGGTTGGGGGGGGCTGTGGTTGGTTCGCTCCAGCCTTGATATACTAAAAATTGAATTTTTTTATATAGATGCTGGTACACCCAGTAGTGCAGAGGTGATATACCATGAAATTTTTTACCATGCAAATAATTAAAATTATGGTCAGCTAAGAGTAATATGGCAATTAATTAATATATGTTTCACAAATTTGTTACAGCGCCCAGACTCTGGAGTGGGCAGTTTAAGATCACCACCTTTTGAGAAAAGGTATATCTATTTAGCTATTTATGCAATTTTAACCATCATACATTAAATTAATTTACTTTTACATTGTCTCAGAGAGAAAAGTGGAAGTTTTGCAAAGCAACATACAGATGATAATTTAGGTTTGTTGGTTACATAAACGTTATGTGCTCTATATGGCCTAAATCTCAATCCATTATTAATATATGATATATACTGTATATGATTTCAATTTAAGCTCCTCGTGTACAATCATCAATAAGCTTCCACACATCAGAATCTGATCATTTTTGGCGTTCAATACCACCAATCCCCAAAGCAACAACAAAGGTATGTTGATTTCAACCTTGAATATAAGTGACTGTAGATCGACTGTTGAGTTGCAAACAACAATTGCTGACAATCAGAGCCAGCTAACTGAAGATGCACCTGGACCAATGTATTTATAAGAGTACCACTAAGTTAACAAGCAACCAATTACCGCTGTGCCGAGCCTTGATGCTTTCTTGAAAAATTGTGCTCCCTAATATATGTTACACTGTGTAATGCTTACTACAAATTTCTAGGAGTGGAGAAAATTTGAGGAGTTGTTGAAAAAAGAGTTTAAGGAGGAAAGCCAGAAAAGCCAGATCATGAGATTTATTTGCTATGTTTTAAAGATTGAGCCTTATGGTAAGCCAATATAATTATGTTAAATTGCTTACATCCATTTTATTTCATAAAATTAATTGTATTGTGACCTAGAAATAGAATATGAAAGTCATTACCTAGCATGATGTTTGTAAAGTTTTCATCAGCGCTCAAAATGAAGCACAAAAGTTGTATGTTGGAATTAGTTTGTGACCACACTGACTTTTTCACTGTAGAGGAACGGCACAATAAATATGTCCATGATCGTGATTTTGCCAACCTGGTAGCCTGGTTTGGTCCAATTAAAACTGGCAATGATGGTCTTTTTTACAAGGTATTTCTTTCCACACAAAACTTAATTGTTGAGCACAACTACTTTTGTTAATGTACATGAGTTTGAGCTGCTGTTAAGTTCTACTTAATTTGAACAAAAATATTGTTTGAACAAATTTCAGATTGCTGACTTGATGAAAAAATCTACTACCTACAAAACTAACACTGGACCACACAGGTATATACTGTATTTTGTCTATGTATTGTAGTAAAGACTTTTGAAAGCATTCAAATGTTTGACTGTTTTTTAACCCTATTTTAGCTTCTTCGCTGGATATATGACCAAAGAAGATGCAGATCAGCTCATAGGCAATGCAGAAAAAGTTGGAACATATTTGATCAGATTTAGTTCAACGTATGCAGATACAGGGTCATTTGTTGTTTGCTTAAAATCAGACACTGGTCCAGAACATGTGCTTCTTCAGGTAATCAACGTAACTCTGTTATTCCAATGTTTTTTAACTCATTGTGATACGAAACAAAACTATATTGCTCCTTGTTTCAGGGCAACCCAGAGACGGGCAAGATCTCCTATGATGGTAAGGACTATGATGATCTAGTTCAACTTTGGAGAAGAGGACTATGCATGGGTAAAGTGTCGCAAGACAGAAAAACATCATGCACAACAATATGCCCAAACCTACCTCTAAATGCTATGTTTAAACCCTATGGTGCTGGTCCTAGCCAATCCCAGCCTGCTGGCAGAGGGAGGGGGCGAGGAAGAGGACAGGAACGTTAGATAAACAAGATCTATTAGACTGCAGCAATAAAAATTGAGGTCCTACTTGATCAACTAAAACTAACCACTAATGGCACTGTATTGTTATAACATTGTGCATAGTTTGTAAAGTTATGCTGTTTCATGCCAAGGAATTGATCTGGTAATTGAAACAACATCAGATTTACAGTACAGTTATCTATTTGTTTTACAGTAGAAAAGTTCATGCACTTGTAAAACTCAATAGTGCATAACCTGTGATGGTTTTAGAATGCGAGGGTTTTTGAATCGTAATCTTTTTTTAGCAAATGTACATGCCAATTCCTAGAATAGATTTTAAATCAGCCAGGTAATGTTTGTACTTAAGTGATTAGTAAAAATTTCATTTGCACAATTGTCTATTATTTATATATTTGATATATCACTTACAAACTTTACACAATTGGGCATCAAAACTTGGCTAGTAGTCAGTCACCATTAGTGATTTTAGCCACAAGATTTTCTAGCTGTTCATCATTGCCCAGGCCAACTAATCTGTCAACAACTTTGCCATCCCGAACTCCAAGAACAGTCGGTACAGCTGTAACCTAGCAACCAAATTTGCATATGCTATTTAGTCTTGTTTTCTCTGAATATCCTTAAGTAACATAAGGACCCAAATTAATCTGTGTGCGCATTTTCTATTCGTTGAGTGAATACCTACTGCATGAACATACCCCATAATTCATAGCTAATTCAGCATTCTCATCAATATCAACCTTAGCAAGTTCTACAGCACCATCCTTCATATCAATAAGTGAATCCAATTTAGGGGCTAGCTGTTTACATGGACCACACCATCTACACAAAGACCAAAGCAGGTTACTCATTTTTGCGATATAAAAAATTTACTTTTTTCATCTAGACTTACGTTGCATGAAAATCAACCAGAACAGGTTTTTTAGACTTCAAAACTTTCTCAGTGAACTCAAAGTAGTCCTTCACTTCATAATTCCTTGCTGCTGTTGTTGAGATGTACTGTGAAACACCAGCAAGGTGTCTTGGTGAGAAAAATGCTCGGTGATGAGAGACTAATCGATGAGCCATAACCTGGAAAAGATGGTGGAAAAATTCAACAAAGTGATGGACAATAAAGTGATAAAGTTATATCAAAATGATATGGTGTTAATAGGTTGATCTAACCAGGATATTTTCAGACAATTATTTATGACACTTTCTACTTTAGACACTTGAGTTTTTTCTGCTAAAAGTGTCAATGTCTTTTGTAATTACCCCATCAGCTTACAATGCATATACAATTATTTTTCCTAATATTTGATTTTGATTTTCGACCCAATCATGCTTAAATATATAACTAATTACTAGTTTAAACCATAAAAATTAGCAAGACTGCAGTCTCCAGACAAATGAACTATTTTAATAAAACTATCTCTCATAAAGCCCCCCCCCCCCCCATTGAATGGATTTTAATACGTTATATTGTGTTGTGATACTTACAGAGCTGTTGAACTGGTGCAAAAGGCGGGAGAAAATAAAAAAAATAGGACGAGAATCTGGCAAAATGATCAAAAAAATATTTGTTGTGTTTTGCAATTTGCAACATCCATGGCTCCCACGTTCCAGTTAATCCATTATTATGACGTAATTTCATTCAGTTCAACGCTGACCGCTGATACCGTGGGGACTCGAGATCTTTGGTCTTTCAAAATGATTTCATCTTCAAAAATGAATCCTGCAAAACTGCAGTGCAAAATTATATTCTTTTCAATTTTTAGAAAAATAGTGACGAATGATTTATGTCGGATTTTCTTTAGTGTACCTTTTCAAATAAAAAAGAGTTACATTTTGAACACAGCTTTACATTCAAGGCTTACATATCACATGCGCAGAACGGACTAAAGGTTGACCGTTTCTCGAAACTTTATTTTTCAAACACCGTAAAGTTTACTTCAAATTACTCTGAGTATTATAAGATTAAATAGGAAATAGCTTAAATGGAGCGATGCGAACGATTATTTCGGCGTCAGATGTTCTAGTGTCGTAAAATTACCATATAAATAAGTCAAGTTGTCATCGTCTTTGTTCAATTTTCGCGCCAAAACTCGCTGCACGCAGATCAGGCGTTTTCGCTGTTCGCCAATTGTTCAATTCGTAATTGCCATGTGCTGTGATAAATCAATAAAATAACCGTTTCCTGATTTTTTATCTTTAAATTTCCCGCCTCATGACTGCAACGTTTCTCTATGCCTATGATTATAGATTCTTAAAGTGTAAAAGATCTTTAATTACTCAGGAATGTGCTTATTCGTCTAACCAAAGTTTAAACTCCGGTAAAAACTCTAAAAGAAAACAGAAATCTCTTTAGGTTAACAATAATTCTCTGTACTTTGGATTTCATAAACATTTACGGCCATTTAATGACATACAGAATTATGCTTGACACAAATTTTGCTCGGGACATATTTATCAACAAGTTCATTTATGCATCTGTAATTAGACCGTGAATACATAAAACCATAATTTACTTTCCAACAATTTATTACACGGACTGTCATGTCCAATTCTATTGATTGATAGATATTTAGTGAACATATTTCGTTCCTCCTTTTAATAAATGGTAAGAATTTAGAAAGTTAACGTGTTGCAATTACTTAATTACCAACGCTAAGTTGCAATTAGGATTTGACCATAAGCGGTTGAAATGGTCGTTCATAAAGACACGATGTTGCAGCTGGGTGCAGTCATGCATGAAAATATTTCATTCCACATTACTTTGGACACAAGAGCTGCAATTATGGTCATTTCAAAAACAATACGGTCTTTCAAAACACGTCAGTAGGAGCGAAATTGATGCTTATTATCGGCTATTTTGTTAACGCAGGTGTTCGGACATATTTGTTTGGAATAAACACAATATGCGTCATCCTGACTAGAGTTGGTGAACACTTACAATGTCAAATATGCGACTTTGCCAGCTAGACCATAAAATATTTTCCCCCACCAATATCTATTCACTTTTATACACTGACATAAAAAAACAAACAACTAGTGCAAGAAAATATATTGGTTACTAACATATAGAATAGATGGTATCGATAATCCAGCCTGGATATGACAAGACCTGTTTTAGCCGGACTTGCTCGTTTTCACATGTCAAAATGTATGCTCGGACAAATACTTCGGCGATTATAGCATTCTAATCTAGGTTAATCGATAAAGCTACTTTGAGATAAAGCAGGCTTTGCTAAGTCGGTTGACCCTTAGTTCATTGCCTAGACGGACGATAATTTTTTTATATCAACACTATTTTGGGTAAAATATCGATGATTTTCACTTGAAGCACCCATTAGAAATACTCAAAGGTAATTCGATAAATTCATTGAAAAACATGTGCTTCTTTGAACATGTGACACTAATGTTTATTTGAAAGATTTAGTTTACGATTGTTTCTGTAAATTGCAACATTTGTGAGTTTGCCCATCTCAGCAATTTCATGTGGTAATAATTAATTAACCTGTTCAAAAATAGACTCCTCCGAAAAGCAGGACGGTTTTAAAGCATTTCCACATTAGAACACAGTTTTGCCCAAACTGTCTTTAATGAAAACACTTTATTGGTGTAAAAAACTACCAGAGAGTGGAATAAAAAAAAATGCTTGCGAGTAACTCTAAGACGATTCTGTCAACACATCATAATTACCATACGCCACCTTGCTTCATGTACATAAGCCAATATTTCACAGATTACAAGCTATTCAACACAAATTCTCTGTTTTTTGCCCAGCCCAGTAATATAAAGGGCGCCACCAATAACAACGCTATCTACTGTTGAATCGTGCGATATGGGTGGTCACCATTTAGCGTACGGAAATCACGCTGTGTTGCTACACACGAGAACTGAGAAGGAATGCAGATTTGAATATGAAACGCTAAATATGAACTAATTGGAGATAAGGATCAGATTTAAAACGCTATGAATCTTATAAAATGTTGCCAGATTTGAAGCATGAATCGTGATTATAGGATGCTCTATAAGAAGTGAAAATAAGTTCTCGTTTGTTTAATGAAAACGGAAGGTATTTTTTTATATTTTGCCTCGACACAGTGCTAAACAGCTTTCAATGTCTGGTTTAAATAAAATGTCTTTTAATGAAGTCCGTAACTTTCAACTTTTTCAAAAATATCAAATAATCACAACAATATTGTATGCAGTAAAGTATTTATTTAAATTTTACATAGGATTAATTAATATAAAAAAATAGATATATACATTACTTCACCTATATACACAGGATTCCCTCATACGTACAGTTATATTTACATACTCCTAAATTAACTACATTTATTTACAATTTCTATCGGGGGAAAACGTTCCCACTCATTCAGTAACGATGCGCACATGCATATCAATATGTTTCGTGTACATATAATACAAGCCATTTTCCTGTGTCTTTGGACAAATTGTACGGTTGCTTAAATAGTTCGTTTTATACTGTTCAAACAGCTATAGCCCGTATATAACGTAAACTTGCTGATGGCACCGTAGTTTTGCAATGTTTTTGAGTTTTGGCACGAGTCTTGTTGTCCAATGGTTCAAACGGTACGCTTTCAGAAGTAACATGCTACTGTGCCAGACTTGTTTGTGAACTCTGTATTCACTTATAGCTAGCATAATCTGAATCTTCATGCGTCGTGATAATGACATGTTTATTCCTTCATTTCAACAGCTGTGTCCAAAGCATTTTCAAGTCCTTTAATGTACTCCATCGCCAACAGGAGAATCTCGAGCTCGCTCAGGTTTTTTGAATTCACTATCTCTGCCGGCAGTGTCCTCATCAGAGTAACGAACGCTTCGTCCATCTTATCTTCCCGTTGAAGAGGCCATGTGTTTGAATCGAGAATGCTTTCGTCGGGGAAACTGTCCAATCTGCTACACGACTCTTCAGTGTATCCTAATTCAGTTTGGGTAAGCATATTGGTATAAGATGTGGTGAAACAAATCGTTCGGTTAAGAAAAGAAGTAAATCAGATCCGATATCTGGAGTCGACTACAATTTCACTCAAAGGTTACCCAATGCGTCCTTTCCTCTCGACTGCTGCTTTGGAACTGACAAGTCTTTATATTGGCCAGCTGTATTTAAGTTACCTGCGCCTTGTTTTGAATTGTGAAGCTCGTAATCTCTCTATTGTTAACAAACCCCCGCGCTCTTGAATAAAGAAGTATTTTAATATCGGTATCAGCCTTTCCAGTGCCGAGGCTACGCACTAATGGACGTGGCAATCTCGAGTTTTCTAAATATTACAGCTAATTTCACGACGTTTTCTTCAGAGACGTCTAGTTCTTGAATTCGCAACATAACGCAGGCATCGGCTGGTGTATTTCAAGTAAGAGTTTCAATTCATCCCTATGTATACATCCGTCATTAAGGAACAAAAGGTAGCTGTCGGACCGGAACTTATGAGCAGTTAACCTAAGTCTCTCTTTCCTCAGCTGTTCAAACTTATAGAATCGGTAATAATCCATTCAATGTCAACATTCCAATACACAATACTACCACCGTGGGAAAGCCTAGCGCAGCTGTTGTGTGTTGTTCCCAGCAGTTATACCCGAACTGGTCAGACATTGTGAAGATCAGGTGACGATAGTTGAGATGACCAGGTGACCATATAAACGCTGACATATCGCCGAAATTAGCAAATACAATTTGGTGAACAATGTACGGGGTTCACGCAAGGCAGCCCTAGCTAATTCACCAAAAGAACTCTCTCGAAATCAAATTCGAAAACCAAAGCAAACAACTGAACAGAATGTAGACGCTAGCCTAGGACACTTTCGCAAACTAGGAACAGAAATCAAAGCTCGACCAGAAGTCATCGAAGGTTTTTGGTAGAAAAGTGAGAGAAAGGAACCGATTTATCGTAGAATAGTAGTATTCACGTTTGGGAACCCTGCATCTTTTTTCAGTGAGAAAGGCATAGTAACATGATGCTATTCATGCTAATATCATCATCGTGGATCCAAAAATTGGCACGGATAGATGAAGTGGTTTTTTTTATTCTTGGTAAGACATGTGCATTGAGCAGGTCTATTATATAGACACCCAAAGACATGCAGCTGTCTAACAGCTGTGTTGCGGTTACATATTATTTTTGTACTTTTATTTTACTAGATCCAATTCATCCAAAGAAGTTACGACTATTTCATAAGATCACAGCAAGCCTCATCCAGTAAACTTTGCTTAAAGCAATGGGGAGTTTGGCGGTCGTAACCAAGACATCTTGAACATCTGCGTGATTGAAAACAATACGCTTTTCCCGCCATAAATGTCTGCATTTCAAAACTGCCACATGTAGCAATTAGGAGGAAATTTCATTCTAATCCCCTCAGATGAAAAAGGTTTCGTTCTTCAATCACGCAAGCAAATGGGTCACCGTTTTTTGTTAGCTAAGTTTGCTTTCCCGACCGAGGGATTGATAGATAGGGACGAATCTCCAGCTGACAGATGCCACCAGCATTTAATTGAGCACGGGCTTTGTGTTAACGATACAAGGAAAATATGTGATAAAATTTAAATAAAGTTCTGATAGAATTTGAATAGCGCATATCTTAAGTTAAACATTACATAAAGAGTGATGCGAAGCATAGAGTATGAAAATGCCACGGAGAAAATTTTGCGAAAAACATTGAGCATATACAAAGTATATCACCAAAGTTGGGAGGCTTTGAATACGCAAATAAGTCGAGTGTCTCCACTTACAGTTGCTGTTATTCTTCGAAATAATTTCCGATTCACAGCAGTTCCGTTGAATGCAACGTCGAAAACTACACAGGTTTTGAAAATGTGGGAAAACAACAACCCAAGATGATTTATAGATGTTGTGCTTATACAAACAGCATGTCCTTGGTGACTCAAATTCGAGACTGTCTTTTGTAAAACCGTTTCTATAGTGTTGAAAGCAAAAGGTTACTAGTTATGCCATTCAATTCACATACCGAGATTGTTATCGGGGCGTGTGTATGGGATTAAAGTTTCACTCGTTTGAAATGAGATAAGAAAGTGACATTGATAGCATATAAGATTTGTCCAAAACACTGAGATACATTTCACATTGTGGTCGGTCTAAAAAGAGAGTTATCGTCGGTAGTGTTCGATTGTTCGCAATATGTCTTGTGTTCGGCGGCAAAGCTTCACTATTATAGCATCTATCAGTTTGGCATTTTGGGTATAACATATAGATGTAACTTTATTTCCAGTTGAATTTAACACTGCATAACCGAAATGCTGCCAGCCTGACTGAGAGGTTCTGAGATGTCTAAGGCCCTATTCCAATCATAACAATGAGTAGTTTATCATACAATAGATGGTGGCACTGCAAACTAAAGAGCTGCCTGTCTGACTGAGAACCTTTGAGGAGCAAAGTCCTTATTGCAGGAACAACAATCACTTGCTTGTCATGCAATATGTCTTACGATGTTATATTCTGTGTTGCAGAAAGATTACGATGAAGACACCAAATCTTGTAATAGCCGGGTCTTGAAGTAACAGACACTAGAGATCGTTCAATTACATTTCACAATCAACAAATGAAGAGGCACGGTAGCTTTAAATATACTGTTTAGTAGGATTTATAATAAACGTCAGTTGATAGCAAGATCGCCCAAAAACGACGCATGAATTTTCGTGCTATTTTTAGGTATATTCAATACGTGCAACGATTTTGACCAGCCCAACAATCCTGAGGGCAATTTTCTAAAAACGGTATAAGATCTATTGTGCTTATGTGTACCAACTAGCAACAGGAAATGCTAATGCATAATATTCATCTCAATTTAGTTGACAAGGTCATTCACAAGCAAGGTTTCGAGTTGAGATGTCTTGGGTCTCTTGGCACTAGGAGCATTCTTGCATGGTAGCAATTACGTCTGCTTTTCTTTGTTTCTGAACCGGTGCTGTCGTCGTAACGATCGTCAATCGTTAGTATATGTTCTATAACAACATCCCTACTATATAAAGGTTCAACCTATGAAAAGGCCTTCATTTTTCAACCTATGATATACCAATTTTAAGTTACAATAATTTTTTCAACCGTATCATATCAATGTGTGCAAACGCACGTTCCGTTCACATCGATGAAGACCAATCCTATACGTTAGGATTGTTCAATAGACTGAACCACCTTGCCTTGATACAATCTTGAAACTCGAAGCTACCGGCCAATAAGTTTCATGCCCTATATATTGAGCATCTTCTTGTTTATATATACATCTTTGCCGGTAGATACCCAATATTGAAAGTGCTTCATATCGTCAGGATTCTTCAACAACCATCATAGGTATGTAATCTTTATAAAAAACAACTCCCTGATCCGGGTCAACAGATGCGGACATCATTTCTTCCATCTCTTCTTGGGTAAATGGTTCTCCAGATTCTGTGACATACTTTGTGAGCTCTTCTGTAGTTAGATATCCTTTATTATCCTGATCTAACACTTCAAAAGCCTTCCTTAACTGCTCTTCTGTGCATGGCTTGTATCTGAAAAAGAACTGGCAATTTAGCATCGTGTATCATTCCTGCTAATAAATTTTCAATGAAATGAAATGAAAAAAAAACACACGAAAACATCTCACTTCTTCTGCATCAAAATGTTCATCATGACAGGTTCAAATTTTTCATATCGTACATATCCCGTTGGTTCATCTTCCTCTACCTAACAGGATCACACCAGATCAGGCATAAAAAAGTCATTGAGCACACATTTTGTACAACTTTGTTTGCAAATTTGCATCATAGACAAAAATACTTAGTATATTACATCAGCTAAAATGTCGTGTAATTCTCCCTCCGTTGGACAGCACTTCAGAGATCTCACGATTGTGCCAACCTCCCTAAAAGGTCCATAAATTGAACTTATTCATGGGGAAAAAATACACGATATGCCATAACGATAAAATGTATTTTGCAACTAAACGTCTCAACTTTTATAATAATATCAACTATCAACTGTATCAAGTACATTATTTAAAACGAAAACAGAAAATTAAAATATTTTGCTAGATTTTATACAACAATATAAAACAGACTCACCGCATGTCGACTGTTTTATTTGATTCATGATCAAATATATCAAAAGCAGCAGAAATACTCTTTTGTATTGCCGCAGCAGACTGATCAGAATTCTCCACTTGCGACGCCATATTGTTTATATCGCGACACCATGGCAACTAGACGCGACAGTTGTGACGGGGTGGGTCTGGTAACGATTTGTGACCTCATCCAATGAAAATGCGGGAATTTCAATTTCCGTTTGCTAACGCCATATTTGATTTATGTTGACAATTCGAATGTTTTGAAAAAAATTTTGATCATACAAATTCTATGAAATGCCGTCGACAAAACTAGACAATTACGAAGTTTTAGAAACCATAGGCTCTGGGTCCTATGGGACGTGTAGAAAAGTACGAAGAAGGTCTGATAATAAGGTAGGTTTTTAGCTATATGAATTATAATTTCTTTCTTCAAACAATTCTTTTAAGACGCACATGTTAAAACATATATTTTTGGTTTATTAAATTGCTCCTAAAATCGCTATCAGTTACTCCAGAAAGGGAGAAAAGTTGAAGTATAACTAAATGAGAACTACTGTGTATTATATAACTTTTGTGTCATCTTACTTTGAGTTCAAACTTGACTATTTCTTATCAATAAGATACTGGTATGGAAAGAATTAGACTATGGAACTATGTCTGAGTCTGAGAAGCAGATGCTGGTCTCGGAAGTGAACCTGCTACGAGAGCTGAGACACCCAAATATTGTGCGGTATCACGACAGAATCATTGACAGAACCAACACAACCATATACTTGGTCATGGAGTACTGTCAAGGGGGTGATTTAAGTCAGGTTATTTCAAAATGTAAAAAGGAAAGGTAAGTTGGAATCTGTTGTTCATTTGTAATGGTTGCTCAATTATGATCTCACCAGATTCTTCTGAATTTCATTTACCAGGAGATACCTAGAGAGTGACTTTATATGGAAGCTTTTCTCACAGCTGGTCTCAGCACTTCAAGAATGCCACAAACGAGACAATGGAAAGCACATTCTGCACCGAGATCTAAAACCTGCTAATGTTTTCCTTGACTCAAACCAGAATGTGAAACTTGGAGATTTTGGACTAGCAAGGGTTCTGTCCCATGACACAAGCATGGCCAAGACGTTTGTAGGAACACCATATTACATGTCTCCAGTAAGAATTGTGTGTGTGGTAGTTTAATCTACGTATTTTTGTACACTTTTTGTCTGACTATTCAAATTTGCTTTCCAGGAGCAGATGAACAAAAGTGGATACAATGCTAAGTCTGATGTCTGGTCGCTGGGCTGTCTGTTGTACGAAGCATGTGCATTAACACCCCCCATTTTCTTGCTGCCAATCAAAAATCTCTTGCTGAGAAAATCAAGATAGGACGTTTCCGTGCAATACCATCACATTTTCCAGAGTCACTCAGCCATCTGATTTCTACCATGCTCAGAGTAAATGTAAGTTGAAAAAATCCGTCGTACTACAAGTGTCATGCTGTGATTGCAACCTCGTGATTAAATTACACAGTTGTTATAACATATTGGGAATAGCATATCCAATGTATACTCAGGATAATCTCATTACATAGGATGAACTTCGACCATCAATAAGTGAACTTGCAGAAAATCCCATTTTGAAGAAAAAGAACATTGAAAGGCTGACTACTTATCCCTCTCTGTAAGTATTCGTTAGTATGTAATATACCAAACAATTGTTGCTAGAATGGTGTACAGTTTAAGAATGTTGAAAGTAATTTTTTTATAAATTATTAAAGAACAACTGAAGTTGATCGAAGAGAAGATTCTTTGAAACAAAGAGAAAAAGACTTGGATGAAAGAGAAAAAGACTTGGATGAAAGAGAAAAAGATCTGGGAAGTAAGTGCACAATGCTCTATTACACCATGACCACTCAAGACTTGTTTATAAACATTGACATTGCTAATTCAACTCCAGGAAGAGAGAAGATTCTAAAAGAACAAGAAAAAATTCTGGAACAAAAATTGTCTCGGTAAGAATTTTTTTGCCATTGGGTAGACTATGTTGGAAGCATGCTAAAATTCCTCTCTAAAATATTTTTATATGTAGAACTGAAGTGCTTCTTAATGAGCTACAGTTGGAAAGGAGAGAATACAAACTGGACCTTGTGAAGAACAGGAATTATGTTTCAAACACAGCATACCAAGAATACAACAATGAAAATGAACATTATGATATGAACTATAATAGATACTATCAATTAGAAAAAGCTGGCTTCTCAAACAAATATGATGCAAATTTTAGAAAAGCATTGACAAGAGTTGGTTTGAAGACTACCGCAGCAGTGTTAGACACAGGTGTGCGATACCCCCGGGGACACATTGGAACAGAGGTAACAAGAAAATTGGCGCATATGAGATAACGTGATGGTCTGGAAATCTATATGTTGGTTTGTGAACAAAGAAAGTTATATAAATGGGTTGGTAAATAGATTAAAAATATTGTATAAAATAAATTAAATTTATTAAGCTTTAATTGGTAAAAAGCAACTCTGGTGAGGTGACTAGATTTAGAAAGTTTGCAATGTTTATTAAATAATAAACTTTTAGTAACATGGTGATAATAGCAATAGCATAGCACTATATGATCTTAGGTTGTCACAGTTAGAAATCATGTGTCATTGCAGACAGACATCCACAGATCCGCTAACTCATTTGATTATTAATTGATCCTTTGCAAAGCAGTTTCTATTCACAATACATCCTTATTGAAGGTTCACTCATTACTCAACGCAGCTTCCACTTAGGTTTCTCTTGTCGATCAAAAATATCACCAGGTAGTTCATCCCTGGACAATTTATGGACTTTGGTTGGATCCTCTTGAATCAAATCAAGTTGCCGGTCTTGACGGCTTTCCAAAGTACTTTCAGCCTGCTGTAGACTCCGTGATGATCTGAACTTTCTCTCAAACATATACCCAATACCACCAACGACAAAAGCACAAGGGAAAACTAAGTAAGGTGCATAAGTACGGGCTGCACCTAATATCAATGGCAACATTCTTGCTTTGAAATTTTTCTGAAATTATGTCTCAGTATGTCCAAACTAAACAGCGGCCACAATAACAAACCTTAATGAAGAACCATTAACGTAAGTTTTCTTCGTGTATTTAAAGAGATATTCTTGGTATATTACAGCAAACACGACATATATTTCAATTTTCAAATCCAGAACTATTATAATGAGTTCATTCAAAATTCCAGAGAAAACCAACTCATCACCGAAGAACTTCATGTACCATTCGTTATTAAAAATACGTTTCCTTGGCCACCACAGCGAGCCCAAAACGTTAATCAGAGATTGTAACAAAATGGCGGCTATCAGACAACGAATTTCCACTGATCCGCTAATTTACGTTCATATTTAATATTTTTAAAATTATATATACGAAGCTCTGTATTGAACTGTATTGTTGATGTTTGGAACCACCAAAAGTGCATTTGACATACAGCCATCCACCATTGAGGTACCACAAAATGCGTCCCATGCCCCCACACGTACGCGAACTTCAACACCCACGTGCATTTGTTGTGGTGCAATTTACGAGTTGATATAGCGGGTAAAAATGGAGGAAGAGTACATTGTTGATAGCCAATTAGGGCCGGTAAGAATCACATACAACAGCAACGGAATAACGAGGATCAAGTTCACAAAAGATGCGGTTGAAATATCACCCAAAAGCAAAGCAGTAAATAAGAATTTGGAAATCGCAATCAAGTGGTTAGAAACATACTTCGAGAACGCACATGAAACGAAATCGATGGATTATCCATGTCTAGATATGGAAGCGCACAGCGGCAAGAAATTCATGTGCACAGTTTGGAAGGTCTTGAAAGATCAGGTTGGACCAGGGGATACGATAAGTTATGGTGAACTAGCAAAGCTTAGTGGTAGTCCCAATGCAGCAAGAGCGGTAGGCCAGGCCATGAAGAATAATCCTTTCTCAATCATTGTACCATGTCATCGTGTGATTAACGCTAGCGGTGAAATGGGAAATTACAGCGGTGGTGTGGACAAGAAGCATTGGCTGTTGAGACACGAAGGGAAAGATTTTGACCTCAAGGACAAGAATTGAGAACATGCTGATGTCAGAGTTTTTGAGGAATGTATGACGTCAGTATAAATTACGTTATGAAGGGTGAAAAGGTGGAAACCAGGGTGAAAAGGTGGAACCTCAATCAGATGTTTTGTGTTAACGTTAAGTACATTCTAACATTTTACAGTTACGTTTATATACAATATTTTATATTGGGAACTGAAAACGAAGTAGTAAACTTGATGTTTTATCAATTATATATATAAACCTAAATATCTAAACAGCGGGGATTAGCAAAATGATCTTTCGAACGTTTAAACAATTAAATGCAAGTCAAGTCGTGTTTCATTTCATCTGTTATGACATTTGGCTTTACGCTGCGGACGACTCGCGTTGAATCACGTTATAAACTGTCAACTATTCATTAACGTAGATCGTGGCATATGTTATGGTCTGTGAATTCTTTGAAAACAGTTTAACAATTCACTGACTTCAACAATGAATTGATCCATCCGATTCCATGGTACCGCAAAGCCCGAATTCAACACCGAATTTCGAAGCAGAATTTACGATGAAAGCAAACTCGTATGTTTGCTTTTCAATAACGTATATTCTGCATATTAACGTCAGTGTCTTTTCGAGCATCAAAAACGATTATTTACTGAAGGCGAACCCAGCGAGTTTAGAATTCACCTTTTGCTTGTCAAATGTTTTCACTTTTTTCGAAGTATTTTCATCCTCTTTCAAACTAGGTTCAGATATTTTCTCTTCACATCCACTCTCATCATCATTATCGCTCCTTTTCCGTTTTTTCTCAGCTATTTCACGTTCACTGACCCGTTCACTTTCATTCATTCCATTTTCCACTGTACTAACATTACCTTTAGCAGTGTTTTCCCAAACCTGCTTCTCTTCCTTGGGCGTCTCACGCCATTGTTTCATCGCAACTTTCATCACTTCGCTTTCGGATAAATCAGGATTTTCTTCTTGAAAGAAAGGCTTCATGTTCTCCAGCCAACATTGAAAGGCACTTTTCCTGGAAACCACAAGGGAATAATCAAAACACACATAAGCACTGGTTTAACTCCACATACATGTCTAAACTAAGCAGTAAATATCTCAATGACTTACTTTGGTTTACTGGCTTGCTTTTTCTCATCTTTGCCATCCTCTCCTCCTTTGTCCTGTTTTTTATCCTCTTTTGTCTTCTTCTTACTAAACAGTGTCGTCTGTTTGCCGTCCTTTTTTTTCGACGTCTGGGATGATGCTGAAAATGACATGAAAGTCTTGTCAATTCAATGCAATTACCATGCACTCATCATTGTCCGTCAACACAGTACAACATTTGACGGTCGTGCGATTGAACTTACGAGATTTCTTGGTCGCTTTCTTGGCGAGAATGTTTTTCTCTTTCTCGACACTTTCAAAGAAGCCTCCATTACTTTGTGTCGTGTTTTTATTCTTGCTCATTTTAAATGGATTTGATCGTTGTGGTGTATCTTGGCTATACACCGGATCATAGTTTTGTCGTTTGGGAAGAGCTCCAAGACTTGGTCTGGATGCGGCAGTCGTTTTTGCTCTTACAGTATTTGTGGAGCTTTCTATTACAAGAAGTGCAATATTAGCTGGAATATTTATTATTATCACAATCAATAGACCCCAAAATGTCATTCAAGAATGGAAGCATAATAAAATGATACCTTCTTCATTTTCTCCAACGTCATTAACACCAGCGTCGTCGTCTTCCTCATCCATATCTTCCTCTTCTTGTGTTTCCAAATTACCTTCACCATTCATTACTTCTCTCCTAACATCCTTTCTACGAGACGGAATATTCTGCCTTTGCTGCATCACCGCATCCTCCTCGTAACCATTCTCATATACGTCATAATTCTGTTCTTCCACTTCAACAGCAGCTGCTTCCTCGTCCGCCTTGAGCTGCGCCAATTCATCCAGTTTTTGAGCCAAGTTCATACGGCGGTTCCGAGACGCATATTTAATAGCCAAACTGACCTTGATTAGAAATGGATTGAAGTTAAAAGTAGAGTTTTCATGTCGTGAATATAGTTATGATTGGGACAGTCTAATTCGTATCATCTTTTGTCACACTTTATTGGAATAAAATCTAAACCAGATATTTCTTCCTTATCACAAGCCAACCCCAAACAAAAACAAAAGAATGCCGAGACAATTTGATGATAAAAAGGAGTGAAGATTTTATTCTCACCGAGTAAGCATCCGGTAAAAGTTCACAGATTTCTCTTGCCCTGAAATCTCTGTCTGTTTTACATGACAACTGAAATAGAAAACATGCAAAATATCAGCTGGAGTAGTTACTTACGCACTTAAAAATCCTCAATTTTAAACTTACAGCAAAAAGTTTCATAAGTAGTTGCTTAATTTGAGTTTGACTTTGTTCATAAAGTTCATCATCCATTGAAAAGCCTCGTTCTTTATCATGCTCGAATCTGTTCATCAATAATCGTGATCGCAAATAGTATTCCTACAATAAAGAGAAGAAATATGAACGGATTACACCTGGACTTTTGCAGAAAACAAAGCAATCCGGTAGAAAAATAGTTTTACTCACCTCCAACTGGCCTTTTTCAGTCGTCAGTTCACACACCGGCAATTGCAGCGGCAATGTACTCACGAGAGGGCGGGGGAGCGTAGGGGGGTAAGTCGACCCAGTGCACAGAACACACCTGGAAATAGGGATATTGGGTAAATTTAATATCTGCAGGCACTGCTCGTCTTTAGAAGCGATTGGTGAGAGGATGACCTCAGGGACACACCAAGGAATGCCCCTGGGACACTCAACAACATTTCACTAAATATTCCAACAGTTTCAACCAACCTTATTTGCTCTGATGTTTCTGTGAGTCCGACAACCCAGTAGTTATCTGACGATCTCTTCACCTTAAAAAATATTTACATTTCAAAATTAAACCCCTGAAGTCTACGATAGTATCCGGAGATAAAGACATCGGTTACTAGCTTGGATCAACTACCTGCGTCTTCGTGTTGGCCACAACACTCCAGGTGTTGTCCATGGCACGATTCAAAATACGAACGATGCCAAGAGAATCCACAGCTGCTGGCGTTCCTTCCAGTGAAAAGCTAAGTAGACAACGATAAACAAAAAGAAAACATGGAGAACTAGTCTATAAAAGAGGATTGTGTGTATTTATAGATCTTCTAAGTGAATACCACCCACGAGAGAATATACTAGAATACTACCTACACGGTATAACATATTCAACAGGCCTTTTTAGGTATAGTTTATATATAATTACTTGTTACTCGCATTGAGCGTACGCTCTTCAAAATTTCTCTTACCCTAGCCATGAAAGATTTGCTTTCGGTGACAATGGTAATCTTTGATCCGCAACAACTTGAGTCTTGCTGTGAAGATCAAACAGTTTCACAGCCAAACATTGGCAACCTGGCAAACCCATTCCATGATGATACACAACTATCAACTGACTTCCATGACCTGACATGCAAACAACTGGACCAGGTAAAGAAACAAGTGCTGTTTGAAGACCACCGATAGTGAAGATACGTAACAAATCCTGATTTGTTGCCACAGCCGTCCAGGTAGTTCCAACAGCAACCGCCTAAATAATGAAGATTTCATAAAGCATCGAACTAAAATCTCGTGATTTCATCAGAGCCACTGTAGACTTACCATAATATCCTCACCCTGAGGCATTACGACAGTCCATTCCTTTGAACGATCCCAAGTGCCAAAATGTAAACACAACAGTTTACTGAAGATTTGGAAGAAAAAAATTAGGTGTGAAGGTAAGTTTGCTGGGTAACTACTCGTGAAGTAGGAAGGATTAAACAGAACTAGGCAAGGGGGCAACTGCTACTTGCAGTGGACATATCCTGACAAATACGGCAAGTTAAGTGACAACGAAGAATTTAAAAAGCAAAAATGCACCTTGCAAATTCTTCACTAGCTTGACAAGCGAGCAGAACAGCTGTTTCTGATAGCGCTGCCATGGTATAATTCATTTGATTGATGATATTCATTGCGTGATGTAGATTACTGTCGTGAAACTCGATGTCAATTGAAGCAGGTTCCTCTTCAGAATGACTTCTTATGATACCAATGTTGTTCCAGACCTTCAACGGATCGCATTTTACAGTTGAGACCAGTTTCACTACAATTAAGTCAGTGAAACACAAATGGTACTTATATACATACCATAAATCTATCCATAAGATGCACAGGTGTGGAGCTAGGTTGAAAAGCTTGTTGCTGTACAGTATGTGGTTGTTGTATGACGATCGGTCTAACATTCGTTTCTGTTGCTTCGCTCTTAGCATCGTCTGGCACAGGGTTATCATCGATATCCAGTCCCATTGGGCCAGCTAATTCTGCTTTGATTTTTCCAAGGTCTAATAAGAACGAATGGATTAACTCGTACCAACCACCACAATTATCCTTAATCTAGTTTTAATTATCGTATCGTCATCATTGTATCAATCAGGCTGACATGTTTGTTTGTGGGGTGTGGGGCAACTCTGAATACGAAGATGAACCTATACCTGTGGTGTTCTCATCATCATCATCATCATCATCATCTTCAGCGCCACCTTGCATTCCAACATGACCATCGTCTTCATCAGCTTCATCATCAAACCAAGAGTTCTTCACCCTGCTTCGTTTTTGTACCTCGAGCAAGCTGCCTGTCTCACTCGCATTATCATCCATCATTTCCGCTGCCATTGCATCAAGCGGATCCACCATCGCAAGTTTCTAAAAACGAGATGAAAAATTACAAATCATCCCAGCCTACCACTTCGCTTTTATAAAGAATAGGGAAGGATTTTATTCCTTTCATAACTTACCGTGATTTACTGTTTTGCAAGAAATAAAGTTTGTAATTTAGTGCAAACTTGTCTATTCCCAGGTTTTTCAGTTTTTTTACTCAAGTACCAAGATTCTACAACGCTTCAAAAAATACCTTAGACTTTGTTTCATCATCCATTGGTATAACATTGCTACAAACACCCAGTTGACCCTAAGAAGATTAAACACCAGAAATTTAGTTTGTGAAATTTCCAGCACAACTTGTAAACAACGGAAGCTTAACTCACTTGATTGTCAGTATAAGCTATTTCACCATTTATCTTTGGATTCCAAACTAAACAAGTTATTGGCAAACATTTTTCATGTTGGGTCCTAGAAATATGAAGTTTTGCACATTTAGGCTATGATCATGATTCAACCATTTAGTACCCTGGTGGGGCTAAATGTGAACAGAAAGAGGGAAGATAGAGGACCCTAAGGATTCAATTTAACAGCCACACTGAATGTTCCTTCATTGTTATATACACTAATTTTGACTTTATCGTGTTGCAGGTGGAGAACAGGTATCATTCTACATTATTCACACCCATGATCAGTTTATATCCATGATATTAACTTCATTTACAATACCTCTCAATGATTTTTTTCTCTTTAATAGACCAAACAAGAATCTCTCCATTGACGCTGGCAGTTGCTAAATAATTTCCACATGGCGACCACTTGACAATTGAAATGGACTAAACAGAGATATATAATATTGAGTTATATATTTCTGTTGATAAGAACTGACACAATTTTGTATATCAGTAAAATTAAATATTTAGTCTTACCTCTGAGCTCTGACTTTCATCTTTCAAACTAAAAAGGTTATTCCATGTTCCTTGTTCATACACCTGCATTTAAGCAACAATATGGCAAAATTATTTTTCCAAAACCCTTTCCAAGTCACAACTTCCAATACCGATCATCATATATCAGAAATATTATACTCAATATTTACCTAGTGCTAAACCAGTAAGATCTTTGCAAGCTATTATGGTTTAAAAGCATTTGAAAAGACTAAATACCTTAACTTCTTTATCAACAGGAATGGCTAAACACTTCTTCCCACTTGACTGAAAAGCAAGTCTACAAAGACTTTTGGAAGTGCTGAAAACATGAAGACAACTTTTAGTAAAGCCTTGAAAAAGAAGATATGTATATTGTGATACAGTGCAATTGAATGATATTACCTTATGTCATTACTCTTGAGAAGAATGTTCAAAGTCTTCAAACATTTCTACATAAACATGTAGAAATACCAAAATAAAATCTGCACAACCCATATGAGCTAAATTGGAGATGAGATCCTTGAACCAAGAGTGGTCACTCACCTGTTCCTTCCAATCCCAAAATTTTACAGTGCCATCACAACTTGAGGATACCTTGGCATAAACAATTAGTAAGTACAATAGATTGATTTGCATCAACATAAATAGACTGTTGGTATTCAAATCTTGCATCTACAAGCAAAACTATTACTAGAATTTGAACAATTACCACAAATTCTTCATCAGGATCCAATGCAACACTCAAAACAGGTGCTTCATGACCTTTTAAAGATTTATGGCTGCTATCACTCACTTCAACCACTTTGACATTGAAGTCACTAATGAGTAGGTATAAAAAGAAATAATCTTTTGTTTAATTGCTAGGCTGATATGGAACTTAATTGGAAGTCTGAATAAAGTTAGCTTAGTAGAGCTTGAATGAAATGTTCCCCCAAGTAGATCTATAGATCTGAAAATATTCACCTTGCACCAGCTGCTAAGTATTTTCCTGATCGACTGTAACAGATGGAGTTGACTGATGCAGTAAACCTTGTTATCATGCCATCAGGCGAACCCTGGAAAATGAAGGTATTTATTAATACTGTATCTGGTAAAATTTCTTTTATAGAAAATTGTCTTTTCTGTGAAATATCATACATCAGGGAAGGTATATATCTGTACAGCGTTGTCGGCTCCTGTGATGATCCTGTCATTCTAGAAATATAGAAAATAAGGTATAAATATATTGGGCTTTCATTGATTCCCTAAAAACACAGGTATGGTTAGTTTTCAACAAGATCTTGAATGTGCATGGCTGAATTTGTGGTGCTAAATGGGATGTATATGAAGTGTCTATGCTGAAGTTAATACCTCTACCAATTATTATTAAGCCATATTTATCTGATAAAGAACCCCAGGAGGGAGACATAAGGTAAATTTAGGCCTTGTAAACCTTAAATGTGACTGCAGTGACATTCTCTCCAGCTCTAAAAGATTCTGGATCATCATCATCAAAGCCATCATAAATACGAACATCGCCATCAGAACCACATGTTATTAAATATCTAAATTAAATACAATAAAATTATAAATTTTGCAACAGATACGGCAAGATTTTAATATAAATACTTGAAAATTGTCATTTCTTTACACGAATTTAGGGCTGAAATCCAAATTTTAAACGAATTTAGGCCTGAAACAAAAATATTAGGGCCTTTAAATGAAAGTGCCAAAACCAGTACACTACTGAATTTTTACAACAAAGTCTCCTAACCTGCCATTATCATCGTAGCAAACGTCCGTGTGTCCCTCGCTGTGGGCATATCGCATTGGTTTCAAATCCACGGGCATTTTACATCGATATTTTATAAAAGATAAAAAATTCACACAAAAACTTCAACTTTGTATTTCCCTCCAGAGGTTTCCCGCCAAATTCTCACCACAAATTTCCGATATCCGATGTGTTTCCATCATGCTCAAAAATTTCAAATGCTGAAAACATATGAAATGCAGTCACTAATGAAATGATTCTATGGAAGGAAATGATAAGTCACTTTTGTCCTGGCTTCGCGGATTGGTTGATTTTGATTGACTCCGCAAAAAAACTATCGGTCAAATCCAGTGGTCGCATCACAAACGCCGGATAAGACTTCCCGCGATTGACGTCATTATGAGAAAGGATATTTATTATTTCTTTTAAATGTGATTATTCAGAGGCTTCCCTCTCAGAAAAAAAACGTATAAGAAAAATATTCTTGAACTGTATGTATCATAGACAATCCAAGGAAATGTTCCTTCGTTGTCTATATGGCTATAAAAAAATAGTATTACCGTTGTCTCTATAACATTTAATATATTAGAAAGAAACTATATTCATGTTTACAAATCTTCATATATAAAACTATATTACAATCTCTTTAGTTTTTACCCTTTCTTCTAATTCCAGTGTGCATCTGGTTTCCTCCACTGTTTTTAATTTGGACGAAATATAACGAAGATGGTTTGATTTCACCTTGCACCCTATGTAATACAATGAATCTTATCAAAAAGCTGACAATCAAGGATAAAAAAACCAGACTGGCTCTAGCCTAGGTCAGGTCGCGTGGATGTTAGAGGCAGAGGTTTAGAAAGCTTTCAGTTTTTCATATTAAAACATGGGCGTTATCGCAATCCCGCAATCGATCGGAAAGTGAAGCTGCACAAAGAGTTAGGACGAGCTGAAATCAAATTAAATTGGAACGAAGCTGACGATCAAGGATAAAAAAATAAAAGGCCTTTGGGTTGTCTGAAGAAGCTACGGAGGGTAGATAAGACGCTCAATCGCTCATCCGGGAAACGTTATTCTTAAAAAGGCAAGAAAACTGTTGAACGAAGGAAATTATGTGGCTGAAACAGACAATTAAAGAGTCATGCGAGAATATCGTCAACATGGTGACGACTGTGAAAATTTTAAACAGTCCAAATAGGAAAACGTACACATAGACGTCTTACAAACTATACGATCAAAAAGGTACATTTAGTAACGCTTACACAACGTCCAGACACATTAGAAATACAAGAAAAACTAGATTCAAAGCTGACTTTTATGGTATAATTATTAATTTTGAACAGAAATATTTAAACAGGCCTTTAGGCTTTAGTATACACTATAAATTGATAAATAATCGTAATTTGACAACCTCTTTATATTACAATCTATAACATTGTAAACTATATCTAGATATCTAGCTGTAATTCTAATATAAATAATGATAATGCAAGTTACTTCTTGTCAGCAGATTTTCACTACATATATATCACACACAATATATCTCCTGCATTCATGAACAATCACCCCGTATTTTAATTTCATATATTGTTGGACTACATGTTACCAAATATGGTAGAAATGCATGAGACAATTTCCTGTTATGGTAACATACACTGCTCACCGAATCTCATTGGTCCATCGACAATAATTATACCTGGACTAATTTTCTTCACCAGAAATTCCTGACGAATGACACAACATTTAACAGCAGACTGCATGTTCGTTCGGAATGTCGAAAATATCTAATGGCAAATACTGAGCAATATATTCCAATATTATTGATTTTTGAGTGTTTTCTCTTATCCCTACACAGTCTCTACAACACTGGGATCCTAATTATTCCCGCAAATCTGAAAATGGTAAGTTACAGTTTGCATGCATGGTTTAAAAGATGCATGCAAGTATCATAGCACAGTTATAGTTGGTCGTTAGTTATCCAACTATAAAAAGATTGTTGAAAAACACAAAATTCACCACAATTACAAACCAGGCTGCTTTACCAAAAGAAATCTTACGATAAGCATTTGAAAATTAGTGATGGACAGGGTTTTGACTCCGAAACACGTCCGCGACGAATAATGGGCGATTCAGGATAAGATAGTATTTTTATATCTTTTTATATAAACGATCTATTATAAACATTTGCATGAGATGTTAGCAGTCATATATGACGATTATAAGAAATATATATAAGAAATATATTATATTTCTCGGGAAACCAAGACCATTTACAAGCCATTTACGGTATCGGCAACGACTTCCAAATGGCAATGATTATAATTTCGTACTCCAAGAATTAAAGTATAGTATAGAGATACTAACAGCGTAAAAAGATTTAGTCACTATTAAAACTTCAATTGAAACGTAAAATTACATTTTAAATATATCCAGATATAAATTCGTTAATCAACTATACAAAATATATAAGAAAACCCATTCACGAGTACTAACATCGACAAGTTAATTTCTTGAATATCTTAGGTATAGTTGATTTCGATTTAGATCGATTTGTGTCTTGTTAAATCAGTATTTAAAGAAGTTGTCAACTTACTACCTTGTGTCTCGCATCGAACATTTCATGTACAACCATTCAGTCAGTTCGAACAAAAGGAGGAAGGTGACGGCAACAGGTGAAAACCGATCGATATTCTCGCCTTTCTGCCGTAATGATTTTTCGCAATTGCTAGTATCATGAAGCATTCAGTCGCAGACAAAGACGAAATTCGCTTTATACTAACGCTAAATTCGACAAGATAAGGAAAAACAACTTATAGCTTTAAAAAATTGGTGTACAGTAAAACTGATCGACCCGATTATACCTCTTAAATTCCTAATACTGAATAGAAATCCCTGGCTTTATAAAGTTAACGTTGCATTGGCCATTGCTTTAGATAACACGGTGTCAGTGAAGACACATACACTATATATTTCTTACATTAAATTAATCTATAGAGTATACTAAACACTTAACAAAAATGCGCATCGACAATTTCTTTGAAAATACACGTGGAATACATTTTACAGTATCACGAGAACGTAAATTCATTTTCTGACGACAATGTCTAAGCTGCTTTCATGCGGTTCGAAGACGTATGAAAATTAAGGACAATGAATGTTCATGGGTTAAAATTAGTTAAAATATAAACAGGCACAAAAATCGTAGGTGAGAATGAAACAATATATTCTTATAAAAACCTATATCTTTTCTGATATATACAAGGAGTATATATTTCACTATATAGTTTGATCAAACAGTCATATAATCCAAGCGGGGTTCAATCACTATCTTATATATATACACATGCATGTATAACTGTGTTTTTTATTCTTCTATTCTTAAGAAAGCTCGCCAAAGGTCATCGTGCAGCGAAAACGTTTTACCAAACGGCTTCAACTCGAGTAGCCACTATTGAACAATGCCGAGTTTATTGCAATTGGATCGATCAAATTAATATTTCAAAATCTTGTGTTATTTGTTCAATCACTGATTCGGAACGTCTTCCTGGAAAAAGACTTTAACATTTTAACAGTATTCTATTGAATCCAGGTGTGACATCACGCGAAATATTAAATGTCGAAATAGATAACTTTGTGAAATGTCAGTATGCATGGATATATACATGCATATATATAAAATTAATATCAGAATGCAGAAATTGGTAGCCAAATCTAAAAAAAAACGACGCGCGGTCATGCCTCAAATATATTCAATACAAACACCACGAGAGGTATTGAAAACAAATGGTTAGAGAGTTATCGAGATCCATATGATTACATGCACAGATGTTTGTGTTTTATTCAAATCGTCTGTCGCACTAAGTTTTACAAACAAATACTATAAACGTTAACAACTATATTTTCCAATGTCCATGCGGTATAGTTCGGCATACAGAACATGCAGTGCTCAATTCATTCAACTTAAACACCATCCTGAGCATGATACAATTACAAATGCGACAATAAGTTAAAAACATCACTGACAAAAGCATAGCAGTTCACCCGAAAAATTTAATTCGTTTAAAATAGATTGCCTATAGCTATTGCATTTGACTTGTGCACCACGCGGGACATTTAGCAAATGTCTATAGTCGTGTTATTCTATTGTACCAGGAATTGTGTTATTATTTCTCACACGTTCTTTTATTCATATTACACCACTCTTTTGAAACCAAACTTAATGTTATGCGCTCCGAAAATGACATGCTTTTTCTTATTAGGACAAAGGCACGAGTTCCCAACAGTCCAAGCATGATCATCCACCACGTCAATTACGAAAAGGCACCGAGATTGCGTTACACCCCTCCGTTCCTCTTGGAAACGAAGAAGCAGCGGGTCAAATTGCTGTGGCCGCAGCAGCAGCGGCACAAATGATACCATCGATGTATTTTGCCAAAGGGAGAGAAATGGGAGAAATATCCCAGAGAATAACTGGTCTGAGCGAAGAGAACAACAAACTCCGGGAAAAGCTGAAGACGTTCAAAAAAGACAACACAGCAATGAACCAAAAAATAGGAAGTCTGGAAAATCGAAACCAAAAGCAAGGGGAAACAATTCGCGCTTTGGAATCTTCCCAAGAGAAGCTGCAGAAAGAGCTCGAAAATGTGAAGAAAGCGAAAGAGCGGCTGCGAATCGAAATCGAAGAGAAGACATCGAAGTTCAGTACGGAGAATAAGATCCTAACCGAGAAACTGGAAGCACTGACCAAGGATTTCGAGGAAGTTGAAAACGAAAACAAAGAATTGAAACACACTCTGGAGGAGCTGACAAGGAGCAACAATTCCCTGAAGGAAATGGTTGAGTCGATCAGAGAAGAGAATCAACAATTACGAGAGGACGTGGGGAGTTTGAAGACGGAACACAAGGAAATTTCTGCTAAGATGGAGTGCAAGGAGGTCAGGCTAGCTCTTGGTCAGGTTGCGTGGATGCTGGAAGCAGAGATTTGGAAAATAGTTCTTCCTGATCAAAAAATGGGCGTTACCGGCATCCTGAAATCTATGGAACGTTGGCTGAAGAAGAATTCCACGACCGTGGAAGGTAAAGCAGCGCAAAAAAGATGGGACGAGCTGAAAGTGAAACTGCAGTGGGATGACGAAGATCATAAAGGGGCTTTGAGTTGTCTGAAGAAGCTACGGCTGGTAGACGCTCATCCTGAAAACGTTGATCTCGAAGAGGCAAGAAAACAGTTGAACGAAGGAGATTATGTGGCTGAAACAGACAAGGAGTCATGCGAGGAAATCATCAACATGGTGACGACTGTGAAAATTTTGAACAATTCTAAGTAAAGAAAACAAGCGAATGGGCCTGAATATCGAAAGTACAATAACATTATAAGTGGATTAATGACATTTTTACTGAAAACAATCACAAAAAACCTATGGTGAAACATTCTTAAAGGAATGAAAAAAAAAGTTATAATAAGGAATAATAAGTTATCAAGGATTAAACCATGCGTTTATTTCACTTATTAACTTATTTTTTATATCCTAAAGGATTTTAACACGTGAATCTAACTTCCCAGATTTTGTTGGGGTGTAATACTGAAGATATCGTAACACATTAAAATAACGTATGCGAGTCAGAATAACTGTATAACAGGGGATATACTGCGCAATAAAAGACTGAATGATTCTCAAATTGTTTCATACATGTTTTAGTTTTAAAGCAGGCAACTACAAAAACTAGACCTTGGAGTTTATCCTGTGAATTGTCCTAGGGAAAAGAATCCTGTGACTGTTTTAGACAATTACTCATAAAATATGTTTCAACACAAATTTCAAAACTTAATATAGGTTTATTCAGGATGGATCCAGCACTAGTGCACTAATTTGGCCCGGAAGATCAACTTTCAACGACTTTCAATTGACCTCGCATATATGCAGGATCTGATTAGCATATAATTTAGCCACACAAAGTTGTTATTTTTCGCAATTTTCTTGTGTCATGCAGATTAGTGCACTAGTGCTTGGATCCGTGCACCCCTGTGTTTATATAACGCTATAGATTTGTTGGTCAAAAATGCTGTAACGAGCACACATTTTCAAGAGATCGCTTTCTTCCTTCAGGCCGAGGCCTCCTTGCTATGACGGAAAGCATATTGCAAGAAACCACTAAAAGCTAGTATGTGGGTAGATAGTATTCCCTCTCACCACTCCTTCGGAAACATTTTTAAGCTTTTACGCCTGACCAGATACCTGACGACAGTAGGACAGTCCAGGTCTTTTAAACCAAGTGGCCCGGAAGATCAACTTTCAACGACTTTCAATTAACCTCGCATATATATATGGAGAATCTGATTAGCATACGATTTAGCCAAATCATATATCATGAAACTATTTATATAACAATGCATATCATGTTGCTGTCGAGGAACACTTTTATACACAATGTTGGGACTGTTATTTTGCCTTGAAAATATGTCCCGTATCTGGGCAACTTATAAGCACGGTAGAATAACTGGGGAATCTTATTGCTAAATTGATTGAACTTTCGAGAACGACAATACTAAGAAATCACGCGAGAATTTCATTAGAAGCTGTCAAACTATTCAAACTTAATAATAAATGAATAGTACAAGAATTTTACCAGCAAACCGAAGTCGCCAGAATGAATGGAGACGAAGGAGATGGAAACGAACCGCTCGTGGAAAACCAAGATAACAATAATGAGGACGAATCTCGACTTCTGTATAGAAGTGAGCTTACATTCTTCCGACTAACGCTGAGATTACTTTCACTCTGGCATCCAAGAGATGCTTGGTTCGTGGAAAAAAGCCTCTACCCGCTTGTAGTCAACGTTCTTCTACTGTTGCTGATAGCAGCTGACGTGTTTATGCTTAAAAATGGAAACTGGACTTCATTAGAAATTTACGTTTACATAGTGATCGACATTGGAATGTACTTGAGCCACTCGTTTGGTTTTTTCTACTTCAAGTCTCGTGACCTTGAACACAACATGCTGAAAATTGTCTATGACCGCCAGGATCAGGAAAGCGACGAGACAGAAGAATTCAAGAGAAAATTAAAGAGATTAAAACTACTTGTTATTTTCACCTTCAGCACGTTATCCGTACTTATTTTGCTATTCTTCAATGTGAATGCGTGGTTGCATGGCCGCTTTCACTGTAACTCCGTGTTTACATTCATCAAGGGAGCACCTAATCATATTGTCTGCATTCTGAATTACCCAGCTAATATATACGGCATTGGAAACTCGTTGGCAATATCATGGACCATTTGTCTTTTGCAGCAAGCATGTTTTGTACGTTTGAATCAACTTGCCAGAAAGTACCAAACATGGAGGGGAAATACGGAGTCGGCCATTTATGATCACATAGTGAACTATTCCCGCAAGGTAAAAATATCTTGTACCAAGCTCGGACCGTGGTTCATTTTTCACAATGTTGTTTTAATGATTGCCACGCCGTTCCTTATCTCAGATATAATCAATGCGTTTCAGGATATCACGGAGAATAATCCCATTCACTCTGGTTTGTTCTTGGGCTACTTGATCTACACCATAGTTGTTTGGATATCACCGCTGTACTTTGCCGAGCTTCTGCAACGCCACGATGAAAACTTCTGTACCACTGTAAACGAATTCTGTCCTGGTATATTCAGAGAGCTTGAGCCTGAACTCTATGCAGAATTTATAAATCCTCGCAACGAGGGAGAGCCAGTGGTGTACGTGTTTCATTCGAGAGGTGAAGTGAATAAATTCTTGTCTTACTTGATGCACAGGAAATCTGGGTTTCTTATTGGCAGCTATAGCTTTCAATTCAAGCTCTCGATGGTTTCTATAACTCTGGCTATGATTGCATTTGCAACTCGAATTATCGCTTGACGTTGCAATGCGAATACTGTGGAATATTATTCATACTCCGAAATGGAAATCTTGCAAAATCCAATAATATTACAAATGAAGCGCGAAATCATGCAGCTTTGGCAGTTTCCAGAAACCATATATCCAGAAAATCCGCACAAAATAGGATTTACACTTAAAAATTCTCAGTCTCACAGAGACTTTGCTATAGTATAAACGAAGATTTGCCATGCCATTATATCCCTTCGAAGTGACATGAGAATTTTTGGACAAATGTGGTATTATAACTTACTTGGCTTTTCTTAGTGATTTTGTCCAAATGCTACCTTTTCGTGGACTGTGATCGAGTTGTTTTTACGGTTGGTTTGCTGCTGCCTGAGATGCTTTGAAAAGAGAGAAATGTGTTATATCGTGTAGCCACCACCTTCATCAACACAATGACCATTCAAAACTACAGACCTTAATTGCAAAATCAACTATGTATTAATTTTTGTAATAAACACCATGTAGTAATCATGCAATCATATACTTCCATAACCACGACTTTCCCATGCTGTATATAATTTACCTGTGGGATTTCTTAGCGGTTGCAGATTTATTTGCCATAGTACTATGCGAACTCTTCACTGTCACTAAACTTGGACCACTGGTCACTTTCCTAGAACTTGCACCAGTGGTATTCTCAGAAAGATAACTACACGAAGCGAGGTCGGGAAGAGCCGAGGTTATCGACGCCATTTTTCCGAGCGTTGAATTCGTAGTTTGCGAGTTTTTACTGGCTGATGCTTTGCTGCCACTGGTTTTACCTTGAAAGAGGACAACAAGTTTTTTTATTTATAATTATATTTATCCAGGATACTGTAAGTGTGACTGTCATAGTAATACGTTTAAATAGAAAATTGCACACCAAGAATTATTCAGAATAAACTGCTCATAAACATTGTCAGCGAAATAACAAACACTGTTAGTTTAACACATACCTTCTTTACTCAATGTTTTCTTTAAATCTTGTTTTCCATGGGTAACTTTTTTGCTGTTAACTGTGAGGGGAAATCACATCATCACACAAGATGGTAAGTTGGTGAATTTGCGTTGTCTGACGCACAATGCACTAAATACGTAAAAAAACAAAATAACGTTCAATTCAATTTACCTGAGCTAACTTTCTTGCTTATCTTATCATCCTTTGATGGAGTCTTTTTCTTGCTATCAGAACTACGCTGAGCCAGAGATAAGCCACTGCGTTCCCTCTCCTCCTAAGGGAATAAAACTTAGATTTAGAACCGTTATCGTTGTACATCAACCTGCTAACGTCGCAGAACGTCTAACCAGCACCGACATGAACAGTTTTAGACGTTCACCAAATTACGATAAAGGATTCTGTTACTAGACGTGATCATTTTACCATTAATGCTTCTTCTTCCTCTTTCTTCTGGTCGACTAAATCCTCTTCAAACATGGATCTTCTGCTCAACTAACGAATAGAAAAAAAGTATATGAACGAGGGCCGCAAATGGTAAGCAGGTGAATTAAGAGAGAACCAGGCGAACACCTGGCTAATGGACAAAGAGCAATTTGGGATGGTACAGCAGTATAGGTTCTGGAAATCACATACCGTTTCCATAACAACTTCTATTTTATCTAGCTTAAGAACAGCCTAAACAAACAAAAAATACATTGCTATCGTACAACTGACAGAATGTTCACCATGATTTTACCATGTTTGTTTTCACAACAGATTTTACTGCATGATCAGTGATTGAAGAGAGTGGTAATGAAGGAGGAAGATTATGTACCTCTCGCACGGCTGTGGAAACATCTGGATCCTGTTCTTCACTTAGTAACTGTCTGACACACTGCTCCAGACGTTGTAGCAAACCACGGTCGATTGGCAGCTTTAAAACTGACTTCAGCTTAGGTAATAAGTTACAGAATTGTAATCTTATATTGACCACAGGGTCCTGGAAAAAAATTCACAGGATTACCGAAGTTGCTGTTTGAAATAAAGTCACTGTTACTCAAACTTAAGATACTGGCATTTTCGATTCATATTCCAAGTAAACCTCAATCACTTAATATTAACTCTAATCCCAACGTTTATCATAGCCCCGGCCTCCATTCTAATAATTTAAATCCTAAAGAAACCTTAATCTCAACTTCAATCCCCATGTTCATCACAAACATCATCCTAATCCTAATTCCAACTTTCATTCTAATCATTTAACCCCTAACTGAATCTTAATCCAATCTCTGATCCCCGGCTCCACGCTAACAATAATCCTAATCACAGATGAAGGCGAAACCAGCATAATCCAGTTGCTTACCATTGCTAGCTCCAAGGCGAACACAAAGAAATGCTCCTTGAAGAATTTCCTCGAAAATATTTCTAATATATATGTACATATCTTTATAAACAATAATCTATGACGATAACTTTTTCCTTTCCCACAATCTAAAACATAGTTTCAGCAAACAAAAGTTTCAGCACACACCAAAAACTTATGAATGAAACACAAAATACCAATTTATAAAAACAACTTGTGAATTCTTCTACATACCCTCAATAAAACGGCGACAAAGCTCCTCTCTCTGTTCAGACCGCGTGTTATTTTTGATAAGTATACAGAGTGTGTACGCCGCAGCGTGGGTTACTGGAAGCACATGCTGTAAGAAACAATGGAAAGAGATTTACTCAACTACTGACTAGTTGAAAACATTTGGATTCATCAGAAATTACTTACATTTCTTTGTAGAACATCGAACAGAACTGGTACAAATTTATAGTAGATCTGATCGGAGGTGAAACACTTGACAAAACTAGCAAATTTTCCCAGCAGCTGTTCATGGACTCTCCAATTGTTGGACTGGGATACAGTATGTTCACATGTGATAACTGGTGGGATAAGGTCGGACAAATTGTTCAGCTGCAAAAAAGAGAAAAATAGTAAACGTATGTTATCAACCGCCTATTGGATTCAGTTTGGTATTGAAGCTACATGTATTCACCATTCACCCAACTTGCTCATTCATTTATTCCTTTCATCCATTCCACATATTTTCCAGTCTTACAATTCACAACTTGTACAACTCATTCGTTCTTTTATCCGTCCATTCATTTATCCACTAACCAATATTCATACCATCATACTAACCTTAGATTCGGGCAGCGAGGATCGTCCGCCATTCGATAATGCCGTCAGTATAATATTAAGATTTGATATGAAACCCTCCAAAACCTAACAAAAGTAACAAGATGGAATTACGATTACAGTCCCCCCCCCAACTATCCTAAAAAAAACACCGAAATATAGATACATACATGCACAGATTCATCCATCAGAAGAATGTGCAGTTCTGGTTGTAGACATTGAACATTACTTCCTAGTAACTTGATAACCTAACAAGACAAGCCATGGTTAGATGTGCATGACAATACTCGTGGCTCTATATAGTATGTGACTGACTTGGTTACTGGTCCTATAAACAAAACCCAGGGTACCAAGGTTATTTAGAAAGGTAAGTTACATGATACCTCATGAAAGCCACATGAAATGGTCCGTCTCACAATATTTTTACGATCCGTAACAAGAGCGTGAAAGCAAGAGGCTAGTTCTTTTGTAAAATTCTCAGGCCCAACGAACAGAACCATTGCCTAGAAAGGATTAAAAAGAAACGCTTGCTGACTATCTGATACACTAAAGAAATTGCAAATCAAAGAGGGGAATACAAACCGGAAAATTAAAAGCACAATTGCGCCGAATCTCTGTGCATCTGCTTTCTTCCAGGCTTTCATTATACGCATTGAATCTCTGAAAAAAAAATCCAGCAAGTGAGGTCACGTCATTACCGCGCACACACGCGTATCTATTTCTACAAAAACAATTACCAGATGTGTTACATGTTTTAAATATCAACAATCAGGGCTATAGATGCATGTGTTCTGCTTAACACTTTAATTTTTTGTAGGAACACCACTTTGATTTTACTCAAAGGTATTGGGAACTTCGAGTTCATTTACATTGACTCCGATTGCGGCCATAACGATATTTGATTATAGCCGCGTTATCTTAAAAGAAGATTCATTCCTAAACAAACCTGAAAATGATTCACTTTATTCTTGGATTCAGTTAAACCAGAACTACACAACTTTTGGAAATATTCTACGAACCATTTCTTTTGGGATTCTGTCAAATTCACTGCAACAAAAAAGCGGGTGATCAAAACTGGATTATTAATGAAAAAACTTGCCTTAGTCGTTTCCTTAAAGTACACAAATATGAATGACTTCATCTTACCATTCAGGCCGTAGCTGAGTTTCCCAAACAGTTGAGAAACTGTGACGAGAGTTTCGTTATTTTTCTTGTGAGCAGAATCGCAAAAGTTTTGCACAAGAGGAATTATAACTTTGACACAAATCTCTGTAAAAGCATACGGAACTTTATAAGTACGTTGACTGGTTTCAATAACACCAGTGCAGGGTGGTGCGTGGCTGGTGGTTCTGCAGTTCTATGGTAAAGCGTCTTTTCTTTATGCAATAGCTTGCATTTTAACTAAACACCTAAACGGGTCAACTTTTTCAATCAAAGATGCCTCTCACAAGCCTACCATCACATGAAAGGACGTAGTCAGTAAAACGAAATTACCATCATCTAAAAGTTGCAAGAGATTTGCAACAGTTTCAATGGCAGCAAGTCTAACAGTGCATTCTTCATCATTTGTTAGTTCCACTAGTTCAGAGATGATAAATGCCTTTGTCAGCTCCCCTCTGGAAACAAAGAAACTCAATCAGTACTGTACAAAAAGCCTTTACACATAAAGTAATCTAAAGTGAAGTTTGTCAAGTCTGCCCTATTAGACTCCAGTCAATTCTATTTCATTCATCATTACCAACCCCAATGCCCTTGCTATGGACTCCAGTTCGTTGCACATGCATGCTCGGACTTCATAGTCAACATCTTGACACAATGATGTCACCAGACCAAGAAGCTCTTTCTTGATCCTAAAATTGTACCAGCATAACAGTCTTGAGCTAACAATCCTATGTACACTGATCTGTAGTTAAAACTAATGTGTGGTGACAAAATTTAAGTAGACACAATAAAATTAAAGATCAATTACCAAAAAGGCTCAAATTTTGTAGCCACCTGACCAAGGATCTTACAACATGATAATCTTGACACAACTGACTGTGAGAGCTGGCCTTTTGTGATAGCAAGTGGTAGAATCTTGAATAAAAATACAACATTAGAAATGTTAGTACTCCGGCGTGAGAGACGGAGTTGAAAATTCGCTTTTAATGCTTATTTATTATATAATGCTTATTTATTATATAATGCTTATTCTTATTTATTATTTTATTATATAATGCTTATTTATATATAATGCTTATTATTATATAATGCTTATTTATTATATAATGCTATTTATTATATAATGCTTATTTATTATATAATGCTTATTTATTATATAATGCTTATTATTTATAGCTTATTTATTATGCTTATTTATTATATAATGCTTATTTATTATATATGCTTATTTATTATATAACGCTTATTTATTATATAATGCTTATTTATTATATAATGCTTATTTATTATATAATGCTTATTTATTATATAATGCTTATTTATTATATAATGCATATTTATTAATGCTTATTTATTATATAATGCTTATATTATATAATGCTTATTTATTATATAATGCTTATATTATATAATGCTTATTTATTATATAATGCTTATTTATTATATAATGCTTATTTATTATATAATGCTTATTTATTATATAACGCTTATTTATTATATAATGCTTATTTATTATATAATGCTTATTTATTATATAATGCTTATTTATTATATAATGCTTATTTATTATATAATGCTTATTTATTATATAACGCTTATTTATTATATAATGCTTATTTATTATATAATGCTTATAAATTTATTATATAACGCTTATTTATTATATAATGCTTATTTATTATATAATGCTTATTTATTATATAATGCTTATTTATTATATAATGCTTATTTATTATGTAATGCTTATTTATTATATAATGCTTATTTATTATATAATGCTTATTTATTATATAATGCTTATTTATTATATAATGCTTATTTATTATATAATGCTTATTTATTATATAATGCTTATTTATTATATAATGCTTATTTATATAATGCTTATTTATTATATAATGCTTATTTATTATATAATGCTTATTTATTATATAACGCTTATTTATTATATAATGCTTATTTATTATAGCATGTGAATGGCACGCTGGAGTTAATGCCAGAACAGGCGTCTTATTTTGGAATTAATTTTTCTTATCTGTTTTTTTTACACAAAAACAAATTACTGTCATAAGGTTTGTTTTTCTCACCTCTCTTTTAATAGCATCTTTAGGTAGTTGTGGTATTGTGCACAGCAATGCATTGAGCCAACCTCTTGAAATGGCTATTTTAAAACAAAAAACAACCCGAGGGAAATCCTTAGTTATATAGATTGGTAGCAAGCTTACACATAAGAACACACAAACTGTAATGTCCATGATAATGCAGATTGATAAGATCAGTTAGTGGACTAACAAACCTGGATCTTTGTTTTCCATATTGCTTAAAATTGTTGGTAAAAAAGTTGAGGTGAATGCATATATTGGTAGGAGACTATTTTCTATGATATGACAGTAGACTCTGCTAGCAACAATTTGGATCTCAACTGGAGCAATATACAATAATTCCTGAAATAAAAACATATTTATGCAAACTGTAATGTAATTTTTACAAAGTCAATGTATACCATTAAGTATAAAGAGGGATAAAGAATAGACATCATGCTTTAGACAGATTCAATAAAATGCAATGAATATGGGTGCATGTATTTCATATCAGAAAATAATCATTCATTGTAGGCATAATGGTAATAACTATACAATAGAGAATCTTTCTTGAATGAAACATACCCTAACCAATGGCATAACTTGTTTGATTGCATCATTGGCGTTATTTTCAAACAAAGATGGTAGACTGTTTATAACACTGACTTTCTGCGCTTCTATTCCAGAACTAGTTGGCAAATAACAACATGAATTTAGGTAATTGTAAAATTCATAACCTGTAATTGTGATAATCAGATATTTTTGTCTAAGCATTATTAGGCATCAAGGCTGCAGCCGTTGGCCTATACAGCAGAAATGGTAAAGAATATGGTAGCAAGCACATAAACTCTCAACTGGGAGAAGATTTTTTGGCCACACCAGTCTCATGATAAAAAAACTTGTTGAAAAACCACTCTAGATATAACAACAGCTGGATGACCTAGGAACAGTGTTTAACCCCTATTAGTTTTACATTGTCTTCTTAGAGTGATCCTGTAGTGAAGTAGATTTTGTTGACAGGACGAAAGTATGCTTTTTTTGCTTGGATTTAAAAAAATAAGCAATCTGGAGATCGATAGCCAATTTACGCAAGCCTATAATTGGTTGATCGCTTGTTTTGTTTTGCAAATTTTCAAATTTAGGACGAGAGTTTGTTTTTACAAAACTAAAATTTGAACATTTAGAGACCCTTATAATACTCACAATAAAACAAAATAAAACGCTAAAAAATGCAAATATTTTACGATGGGACATCCTAAACTGTAATCCCCGTTGCTTTCTACGCAAATCTACGTTGATATTCAAATATAAAGATCAATAAGACATCGTCAACAAATAAAAGCATTAAATGGTGAAAGCGTTACCTGAGTAAAAGCACAGCTCTCTCAATCTCTGTTAAATTCTCATCCACGGTCAATCGTTCAATTTCTTCTGCAGACTACAAAACATGCAAAAAGGAGATGGCAACTACTTGTTGTTGTTGTTGTTATGAACATATTGTTTAGGTATTTGCGAACGCTAAATTGAACAACAAAGCATTAATCTAACCTTTAGACCGCTTTTAATGGTTCTTTCAGACCTCAGCTCCTCGACCTCTTCCTCTCGTAACTCGCCGAAATCGCCATAAAGTTCATTTTGACCGAAAATGCCAGAGCCACCATTTGGCCAGTCCATTCCAGCCGAGGTGTGAAGCGATATTATCTCCAATATCGCAGGTGTTTTGCTTGAATTACGCAGCAATACTTAACCGTCATCTTTTGGAAATTTTCCACACTTTAGCCCGATAAAAAACAGCATAAGGACTCGTCGAAAACGAGTAAATACGAGTAAATATATTAAAATATATAAACTTTATTATATATCATTCATATGTTTGGCATATAGTTTACGTAGACGAAGATTCGCATTTTCGCATGACTTGATTTTGACGTCGGCTCCAAGCCGCCAAAAAATTCGCCGGGTACTAAATAAATGGTACACGGCACGTACCAGACTTCGAAAATGGTACCAATTATGGGTTCCACTTTAATGAGGGGTCGATTTGTGCAATTACTGCGGATTTTTAACGCCCGGTCGCTTCATGGAGTAAGTTCATTGTGTATGTTTACTCAAGTGAACAACGCAATTTTGTATTTACTATAAATATTTACCATGTGGACAAATTTGCTGACGTCATCATTCATAATAATAAGAAATTAAGAATTAGTAACAATAATCGTTTGTAATTTGATGACAACATGGTGTTAATTATTGAATACAATATAATCTTTAACTATTCTATTGCCGCAATGCAGCCCGGACATTCTCATTTGATGCTGAGTAATATATATATATTACTGTCACAATAGATTGAACTATAGGTGGTGTGCAACTATTCTTATGGGACTTATAAGACAAAGACATTTTCGCCATGTTAGTTGAAATTTGAATTACAAAAGAGGAAAATCCTAATCATCCAACATGGCGAAACATGCACACCACCTATACCTATTGAAAATCGATTTCGAGCCTGTAACAGTCGTGCCAAGCGCTGTTAATGAATTTTTTGACTTATTCATCATCATGTCACAGGATAGGACTTGTGATGGCTTCAAAGGGACAGTAGGATGGTAAGTGGATTTTCCTTGCAACCTTGCACAAGAACATAGATATGAAATTATCTTTCCAGCCAGGATCTACAGTGCTATAGTGAGTACAAATTATTGTACCAGATGTGTTCAACGTACTCACAAAGAAAATAATTATGCAATGCCATGCATTTTAATTCTCTTCCTCCAAATAGTACATACTACCACATGCTAATATTATATTTTCAGGACTCCACTGATTAGACTTAACAAACTCAGTGAAGCAACAGGCATGTGCTGTGTCAAAAATTTTGCATGAAACATATCTCTATTGCTCTACATACTTGTGATTGAAATAATAATTACTAAATGAGAGTTACATTGTACTTTCCATAGGCTGTAACATAACAGCAAAAGCAGAATTCCTAAATCCAGGTGGATCCGTGAAAGATAGAGCAGCCTTGTATTTAATTAAAGATGCAGAAGAAAAAGGTTGTGAAAATTATTTGTTAATCATTATTTTAGTAGAGATGAATACAGATCATATCATTTTACTGTTGCTATGATTCACTTTTCTACCTGATCTAACACAAATACAACAGCATTCAACTAAGTGACTTGTACGAAATGTACAAGATATGGAATCTATCCAGATTGAGTTCGTTTAGGATAATTCTCTCTTGTACAAAATTTCCACACCACAGGATTACTAAAACCAGGAGGTACTGTTGTGGAGGGGACTGCAGGAAACACTGGTGAGCACCACTCTGAAGGCAATTGTGCCATTTCTATTCAAAAATCCAGCTACGTTTTCAATGCATAGAGAGAGTTTCATGGTTTTCAACACAAGTTTCTCAATTGTGCAGGATTTTTTATATTCCTACTTTGTTTATTCCTCTCTCACTATCGCTCAATTTCAACTTTATCAAGGTATTGGTCTGGCCCACATGTGCTTATCATCTGGATACAAATGCATCATCTACATGCCTGATACACAATCCAAGGTTAACATGTTTCTGTCTCATGTTTTTCACCTGAAAACATTCAAACTCACATGATGCTTACACACATTACAGGAGAAAATAGACATGTTGCGAGTTCTAGGTGCTGATGTCAGACCAGTACCTGCGGTACCATATGACGACCCGAACAATTATAACCACCAGGTTTGGATATATCTTTGGCGGTTTCTTCACAAAACCATTTTACAGCTACCTATAGGCTGCTTCTATATCTCAACTAGGCAATGAGATGTGCAAAGGAATTAGACAACGCAATATGGACTAACCAGGTTTTGTGATTTCCACTTGGTTTTATCACGACTTGTAATACCACTCACATTTTCTCTGACCTACAACATCTACTTTCATTAAGTACAGTTTGATAATACGGCTAACAGGAGAGCGCATTTTGAGACGACGGGTCCTGAGATTTGGGAACAAACACAAGGCGAAGTAGACGCAATCACATTCTCGACTGGAACTGGAGGAACACTGGCAGGTAGACTAGTCAAAGGATATCTCCTTGTTTTCTAAATGAAAAGCAAGGTTCTCTGGCTTTCAAAATTCCAGAAACCGTAACATTTCTGGGAAACTATCATTGATGGTGTCCTTTAAGTTTGCTTTCTGTAATTAATGGTTCCTGGAGTTTACCTCTTCAATCATATAATTGTTGAATTTTTAGGTTCTGGTTTATTTTTGAAAAAACAAAAGCCTGGAGTGAAAGTGATCATAGCCGATCCTCCGGTATTAACTGAAGAGACCTTTTCTAGCCTGGTCAACATTTTCCACTGGTCCAGTTTCATAACCATGCTTCTTTTAGGGTAGTGTCTTGTATAAATATGTGAAAGATGGAAAATTAGAAAGAACTGGCAATGATTCGATAACAGAAGGTTGAAATGATTATAAACTTTGGATTTTCTAAATCTGAGTTTTGCATATTGTAAAAGTAATCCTCAATTTTTAACCAACTTAACTGTACATCTAGGAATTGGGCAAGGAAGGGTAACTGAGAATCTTAAGGGTGCTTTTGAAGAAGGAATTATTGATGATGCTCTGCACGTCCCCGACGAAGACTCGGTTAAGATGGTATGATAGATTTCTATGTAATGATTTCGAGGCAAAGTCTCATTCAGTGTTTTCGAGGTACCCCTTCTGATTGGGCCAAGAATGGTTCTCGAATTTTTAAAACTCATGGACATTGTGAATTTGAACTTTTCAGGTATTTTATTTGCTCCACGAAGAGGGATTTTTCGTTGGTGCTTCAAGTGGATTAAATTTGACCGCAGCTGTAGAGGTGAGAGTTAGCGAGTGAGAGTTTCATGGTCTCTCATTCTCTGGTTAAACAAGAATGAGAGTTGATGACGGTTTGCAAGGGAGGAATTGTACCTGAGAGTCGAATCATCTTTCACCAATCTGTATTACAACTAGGACATAGATAAAGTGAAATATTTTTCCGTTTCGTATTAGGTTGCCAAACAACTCGGCCCAGGGCACACGATAACTACATGCTTGTGTGATACGGGCGAAGTAAGTAACTTTTGAAATCTGATTGGACCCAATTCCCACGGCGGCAGAAACAACTCTACCGTTTGAAAAAAATTTTTTCGGCAACATTTTCTTTTTTTTCAGCGCTACTATGCTCGTTTGTTTAATAAGGAGTGGCTGCGTCAGAAAGGTGCCTTCTTCAACTTGTTATAAAGTAACTTAAGAGCTGGAACTGGGAGTACAAGGAAGCTTAATATATTTTTCTTTCACATTTCTTTAAGGATTGTTAGATGTGATTCCAGAGAAATATCATCACGCTCTTCATTGATGAGAAACACTTCACAGACACAGAAGAAGATTCATATGATATCGTCCCTAATGAGGTCATTAGTAATTTAGTTAGTAGTCTTACATTGGCTTACAATAACGTTTTAAGAATATTTAGTTAGTTATTTCTGGTAATCTGCGTGGTAACAACAATATCAATGTGAAATTTAAAATTTAATGGAATATATGATTGTAATGGGGAAATAAATTAGAATTGTTGGTTCATCGAAGTGTTGTGATAAAAAATGACCAAGGGGATACGATCATGACCGCTTGTCTTACGTTTTGATATTTTTACATTGATGCAGCCAGTAGATAAAAGGCTTTTATTCCAGAGTAGCATGGGATGACAATATAGGGATAAATAAGAACAAAGTCAAGGACAAATCACCTTCCTCCAGCAGTATAAACGTCGTCCAAAGATTTAAAACTTCAGAGCTCAGACTACTTGAAGTAACGCTCCCTGACAAGAGCGCTTGAAAACACGTGCAGGAACAGTGACGCACTATTACTGCATCATCTTGAACTATTCATCCTTAACACCAAGAATTTTGTAAAATACTTCCAATTTCTAACAATTTCATTAAATGAAAGCTAAGGAATTTCAACACAAGTAAGAAGGAATTCACGTCACTGATCACAACTATCACTGATCTCATTACTGTTGAAGTGTGAATTTGCTGACTGGAGTCACAGCGCTGGTGTTCTCTTTTGAGGGGCAAAAATGGAGAAAATATCTCTTGCATTTATTTTACTCTATGCAGCTCTAACGGTTGCAAAATATGTGGAACCTGTACCACCATACGAAGAAGCATTTCAAGAGCGCGAAGAGTACAGTTTACCAAAGCTCCCTTACAACTACAGCGATTTGGAGCCCTTTATTGATGAAGAGACGGTTAGGGTGCATTATTTGCGCCATCACGAGGCGTACACGCAACAGTTGAACCACGTTCTTAAAGTATGGAGAAACTCAAGCGTAAGTACCAAGAACGAAGGGTATTTGATGAAACCGTTTGCGCTTTTGAGGAATTCAGTTGAATCAATATTTTTATCGCATGATTGATCAGGTTTGTTGAATAATATAAACAACAATGGTGCTATTGTCAGACAAGTGATGCGTCATCTTTGAATCTTCATTCACTTTGCGCTTTTCTGTGATATCTTGTTAGTAGACGCAATGATGACATAGCAATAAAAATAATGCTAGAATTAGAACTCAGTGTTAACATAAAATTTCGGTGTATGAGATGACCAACATTTGTCTCCTGCTCAGACACCTCTGTCAGGCTCTGTGAGTTCACCCTCTTTGCCCCTCATCAAGTAATGCACTAGGTGTAAATATGCCAAGCAGTCCAAAATAAACATTAACCAAGTCTCACTCTTTGTAGGAAGAAGGTAAAGAGCTTGCGTCAAAGTCAATTGTAGAAATATTAAAGCATATTGATGAAGTTCCAGCTAAATATCAGCATCATGTTAAGAATGTTGGAGGCGGGTAGGTATTTGTTGAATGGACCAGTGGTTTTACTACCCTTTCTAATCCAGCCGCAGTATCATCACAATCTGATTTCAGACAGATCATATAGTTTGCCAGTTTAGCTCAGCTTAAACCATTATCTTGCTCTGACCATCCACTGTCCACATTAAGGTACTTCAACCATGCATTATACTGGGCAACATTGACACCAAATCCAACAGGCGAAGAACGTGAACCTGGTCCTGTAACCCAACAGCTTATTTACAATACATTTGAGACCCCAGATCGTTTACGAAGATGGATCATCCACGAAGCCTTGGACCTGTTCGGTTCTGGAAACCTGTGGATCTGTGTGGATCCAAAACTACCCAGGCACATCACCCTGTACTCCTTGGGTAACCAAGATACCCCCTTTTCAAATGGTTTGTTTCCTATTTTGTTGGTTGATGTCTGGGAGCATGCATACTACCTTAAACACCGCAACAAACGACGCGACTATCTGGATGCTTGGTGGAAATTAGTGAACTGGAAGACTGTTGAAGATCTCATCAACCGATATGGTGTAAATCAGTTGCATGATGAACTATAGGAATCTTTAAAATCCTTATTTAAATTGCTAGGGAAATTTGTAGTGCATGTACTAAACTTTGGATATTTAAAAAATTAAGGCCAGAACTATTGTCAATTTTTGTGGTTTGTGTTATATATCTTAGCTGATTGCTTTGAAATATTGGGAAATTTTTACTTTCACAATTTTTATTATTATCACATTTTCTGCAAATGTATTAGCATAATTTGCAGTGCATAACATTTGTACCTATCACAACACCGCATTATAAGTTTTCGTCCAGGCTGAACTTTTTTTGCAGTTAAATGAGGTGGAACTGGATATAGGCTGTATTTCTACAATTAATTAACAGCAGCGCAATACTTTACGCACGACCGCCAACAGTGGCGCAATTTGCGCAGAGCATCAAATCGCAATAATCTGGATTATGTAATCTAAAACCACTTGGTCCATAAGTTATCACCGACCTTGAACTTTCATCTGACGACGATGAAATCGAGATTATTAAGCTGCCTTTATATAGTTTTATTGCACGTTTTGGCCATTTCAACCATAGCCAAATGTGCGTCTCAACATTACTGTCCATACTTTAAAAACAGAGCACCATCTCCGCAGAATAACCTCGAGAATTGCACATGGTTCCGGGATAATTCATGCTGTTTGAATCACGAACTGAACGAGATATTCTCGGCGATTACTACACCATTAAAAGCTGCAAGTCCAGCGTGCTTGAAACATACAAGTTATCTAATGTGTTATGTTTGCGCGCCAAACCAAGATACGTTTTACGAAGATGAAACGCTCACTGTTTGCGAAGAGTTTTGTGATGAATGGTATTCCTCTTGCAAGGACGCAGTATGGAAAGGATATGTTGTGCGAAAATTGTACAAAACTGGCGCAGAATTTTGCAGGGCAAGAAAGTTTATAGTGGCGGAGAAAAATGACATACAAAAGGGTTGTTACACTCTAAAATTGAACGAAAATGTTGCGAGTTTTGTAAGTACAAGCAAACAAATATGGATGATTATTTTATTTGTAACTCTGTGGAGTGCGTGATTGTTTAGGTTTTAATATAAATGATCTAATAACTATCAAATGACAACTAAAATGTGAATTGAAACGAGAAAGATAGCAGTAAGCGCTTATTTAGTTTAATTATCTTGTTACAAGTTGTTCGTTATTTCGTGCGCTGTAAACGTCGTTAAATTCTCTAAAAATTACTCAACCACTATCTACATTGAATGATTGTTTATCAGAATATTGTACATCTTTAAGAAAATATAGTTGTTTCGCAAAATGTATCGACAGTTACTACAGTCTATAGCTTGCGCCCGGAAGATTAACCACCATAAGATTTTTCAATCGGAAATAGCAAAGTATGACGTTCCAAGTCCTAGAGCCACCTTAAGACAGTTACGCATGTTATGCCTGCCATGGCGATGGTATTTCACGTGATGCTATCAAAACAACTCGCACGTTCCGACGACTTTCGCCCGTCAAAACAACATAGGAAACAAACCCGACTGATGATTTCCAAACTATTGATTTTACGTTTCTCGTTATTGTCATAAGTATATTGTCGTAACTTTCACTAACAGTATATATGTTTTGGGTCTTTATAATATTACATGTTGCCCATCTTTTATCCATTATAAATAACCTTTACTTCCGTACTGAATATTGACAGGATCTTGATAGAATTTTACACATGTCTCAGTTCGCAGAGATTTTTAGATTTTTTAACTCCTGGAGACATAAGATAGTTGACTAAAACATAGACGGTATGGTTCCATACAGGTAGCCTTGTATCACTAAAAATAGCAAACCGCACCATAATAATATGACAGATCCCTGCGCAGACACAGCAAAGCTCTTAAGTAGTTTAGTGAAGTCAAAACACTTTCCTGAATTTGCCTTTTCTGTGTAAAACTTCCGCGCCGCGCAAAACTCGGTGCCGTTTGCATACAATTCGCGCCAGGGAACACCTTTTAGGAGTGCGTTTGCGCATTTCACGTGAAGTACATTGCACGATTCCTCGCACACGGTCAATACATCTCGTTTAAAGAAGCTGCTCTGGTCCGGAGAGCATACGTAACAATATAAGTGATTCAACGCCTCAAGGCAATCTCCATCTGCTCCGGCCATAGGCAAGAGATTTGAGAATATAATAGACAGTTCTTCATTGAGGCAACATGCCTTCTGTTTATACCAAGTACAGTTCTCTAGCGAGGGCTGTGGACTTGGCGCGCGATTCTGAAAATACGGACAGTATTGAGGTGATGAGTTTTTCTGCGATTCTCCGTTATGAAGACATAAAATAACATAGATAAGGACTACATATGTCTCCCTTGTTCCTATCATCCTAGCAATCTTTCATGCTGTCTGTATTTCAAATACAAAGTTCTTTTTCCTTAATTTCAACCAAAGGGTGATCCCACAAGCGTCTCCATTTCAGGCTAACGAGAGATTACTTTCATCCTTTACTTTTCCAATGCGGTCAAGCCATCAAATACCTGTCCATCCACATCGTTTCTCGTTGTGAAGTACAACATCCAAGGTTCGAAGGCCAAAACATTACGCTACCCCCTGCTAGTGTACACTCATCATTAATTCACACACAAACATGATTCGTATAAAACTAATTACCTCGCTAATTCCTATTGGACGGTTCCAACAGGTTGCTACTTTTTTAATAATCTCGCTCGAGGGAATTCATATTTCAAGTGTTTAACATAGCATACAATCTTTTCTGGGTATTACAAGGATTTTTTTTCAAACTCTGTTTGTCATCGCAAGGGAGGAGAAGATGGGATGGAAAGATATCGTAGAATGCTGTAGAGAAAGAAAATATTTGTTTTGTATTGTCAACACAAGGTTCCCATCGTCTTCGCGTGAATGTGTAAATATTAACATAGAAGGAACAGCATTATTTCATCTAATGATGAAATTTTTGACAATTAAATGAAATGAAGCATGTGTGGCATACGTCATGTCATTTATTTCACGTGTTCCAATTGTCACTCGTAGTCAGACGTATTTGGATAGAACGTTGATGATAATAAACCTTCGTCGTTCCAGGCTTTTGGGAAGATCTTTTCGACCAGAAGCTGACGGAAATTTAGGAAACGAGACGACTTGGTCAATAGGCGTTCCTGCAATATTTTCATGAAATCTAACCTCACCCCAGGGTCCGCAGTTTATCACAACAAATCGCTGTCAGAGAGAAATCAAAATCTAATCCAGTAACTTCGAGCAGTTGGAAACATACAATTATTTATACTAATAGTGCCGGTCGAGTTACAGGATTCGGCACTAGGTCACGTCTCATCATCGTTCCAAGGATTTTTCTTGGTGGACAAAGTCAGCATGACAATACATATTCATTTAATGAACTGTGCCTCATCGCAAATAACCGACGACAGCTGAAAATATGTTTACACAACTTGGGAATAATATGAAAGATAAGTATAGACTAAGATGAGATTAAATATGCCGAAGTTTCTAAGCAACGAGTAAGCTACTACGAATAACCGTTCTTCCACGCGCGGCCAATGACGACATATTCCGGCGATTTTGACAAGAGGTTGCCCAGATTTGCCTCGAAGTACTGTAGGTATAATTGTGACCGTGCTTATCACCAATTTAGAAAGACCTCGATGTATTTTTAATCGATTTACTCACTGTTGTGATGGTCTATCGACGGTCTGTTAACATGTGATGGGTAATCGGTGTATCGACGGTCTGTGAACTGTCGTGTTAACGTGAGGTTTTACGACCGGTAAAACCTTTTTACCTGTTAGAATGCTCGCAATTTCAATTGTCTTTACTTCGAGCATTTTCTCTGCTATAATGGTAACAAGTGGAGCATGTGGGGATAGCTTCTGCTTTTATGGTGCTGGAAGGTTTATAGAGTGTCAGGTTTCATAACATACTCGAATGATAGACACACTAGTACTATTCTATATCTTCATTCAATTATTTATTACAAATACATACAATTTTACAAATAAAGTTATCATAACACATATGAAAGCAATTAAATCCTAATTCTGACATATTGATGCAATCCTTACGTCAGATATATTTAGGCATTTAGCAGGACGATTTGTAAAACTATCACTTCGCCGGCTACTAAATTTCACCGGCTATAAACTGTCAGATGTAATGAAAAATTTACGCTCTGAAAGCATCAAGTTCAGGAATGAACGTGTTACGTAAAATCAGATGGTCTATTCCTTTGTATCTTGCGTGTTTACGTCATCACTTTTATTGTCGCCGTCTTTTGTATTCTCAAAATCTTCTTTGGATTCCTTTTCAATTTTGCTCCGCTTGATTTCTGGACCTTCACATTCACTATCACCCTTCTCATCCTTCTCACGTCTCCTCTTTCCACCCATTATCCCTACACTACCCTTCGCAAGACAAGTGCTAATTTCACCATCTCCCTTGATACCAACACGATTTCTTTTCTTGCTTTGAATGTTGTCGCCGCTTGGCCCGCCTGTATTTTTTCCCTCACCACTCCTTTTTTCCTCGACTTTACTTTCCATACTGTCTTTAGGGGTTTTTTCAACCTTGTTACGCTTCACATTGGGACCTTTACTGTCAGAATCTTCTACATGTTTCCTCTTTTTACTTTTCTTTTCCAAACTTTTCTGACTCACAATGTCTGCAGTATTTTCTTCAACTCCAACGTCTGCTTTACTTTCCAAACTCTCTTTAGATTTTTCTTTAACTTCCCTATGTTTCATTCCTCCTCTTTTCACTTTTCTTTTCCAAACTTTCTGACTCACAATGTTGCAGTATTTTCTTCAACTCCAACGTCTGCTTTACTTTCAAACTCTCTTTAGATTTTTCTTTAACTTCCCTATGTTTCATTCCATCCTTCTTCTTCACTTTCTTTTCCAAACTTTTCTGACTCACAATGTCTGCAGTATTTTCTTCAACTCCAACGTCTGCTTTACTTTCCAAACTCTCTTTAGATTTTTCTTTAACTTCCCTATGTTTCATTCCATCCTTCTTCTTTTCACTTTTCTTTTCCAAACTTTTCTGACTCACAATGTCTGCAGTATTTTCTTCAACTCCAACGTCTGCTTTACTTTTCAAACTCTCTTTAGATTTTTCTTTAACTTCCCTATGTTTCATTCCATCCTTCCTCTTTTCACTTTTCTTTTCCAAACTTTTCTGACTCACAATGTTTGCAGTATTTTCTTCAACTCCAACGTCTGCTTTACTTTCCAAACTCTCTTTAGATTTTTCTTTAACTTCCCTATGTTTCATTCCATCCTTCTTCTTTTCACTTTTCTTTTCCAAACTTTTCTGACTCACAATGTCTGCAGTATTTTCTTCAACTCCAACGTCTGCTTTACTTTTCAAACTCTCTTTAGATTTTTCTTTAACTTCCCTATGTTTCATTCCATCCTTCTTCTTTTCACTTTTCTTTTCCAAACTTTTCTGACTCACAATGTCTGCAGTATTTTCTTCAACTCCAACGTCTGCTTACTTTCCAAACTCTCTTTAGATTTTTCTTTAACTTCCCTATGTTTCATTCCATCCTTCTTCTTTTCACTTTTCTTTTCCAAACTTTTCTGACTCACAATGTCTGCAGTATTTTCTTCAACTCCAACGTCTGCTTTACTTTTCAAACTCTCTTTAGATTTTTCTTTAACTTCCCTATGTTTATTCCATCCTTCTTCTTTTCACTTTTCTTTTCCAAACTTTTCTGACTCACAATGTCTGCAGTATTTTCTTCAACTCCAACGTCTGCTTTACTTTCCAAACTCTCTTTAGATTTTTCTTTAACTTCCCTATGTTTATTCCATCCTTCTTCTTTTCACTTTTCTTTTCCAAACTTTTCTGACTCACAATGTCTGCAGTATTTTCTTCAACTCCAACGTCTGCTTTACTTTCCAAACTCTCTTTAGATTTTTCTTTAACTTCCCTATGTTTCATTCCATCCTTCTTCTTTTCACTTTTCTTTTCCAAACTTTTCTGACTCACAATGTCTGCAGTATTTTCTTCAACTCCAACGTCTGCTTTACTTTCCAAACTCTCTTTAGATTTTTCTTTAACTTCCCTATGTTTCATTCCATCCTTCCTCTTTTCACTTTTCTTTTCCAAACTTTTCTGACTCACAATGTCTGCAGTATTTTCTTCAACTCCAACGTCTGCTTTACTTTCCAAACTCTCTTTAGATTTTTCTTTAACTTCCCCATGTTTCATTCCATCCTTCTTCTTTTCACTTTTCTTTTCCAAACTTTTCTGACTCACAATGTCTGCAGTATTTTCTTCAACTCCAACGTCTGCTTTACTTTTTAAACTCTCTTTAGATTTTTCTTTAACTTCCCTATGTTTCATTCCATCCTTCTTCTTTTCACTTTTCTTTTCCAAACTTTTCTGGCTCACAATGTCTGCAGTATTTTCTTCAACTCCAACGTCTGCTTTACTTTCCAAACTCTCTTTACATTTCTCTCCAATTTTCTTATGTTTCACTACATCTTTGCTCTTTTCACTTTTCTTTTCCAAACTTTTCTGACTCACAATGTCTGCAGTATTTTCTTCAACTCCAACGTCTGCTTTACTTTCCAAACTCTCTTTAGATTTTTCTTTAACTTCCCTATGTTTCATTCCATCCTTCTTCTTTTCACTTTTCTTTTCCAAACTTTTCTGACTCACAATGTCTGCAGTATTTTCTTCAACTCCAACGTCTGCTTTACTTTCCAAACTCTCTTTAGATTTTTCTTTAACTTCCCTATGTTTCATTCCATCCTTCTCTTTTCACTTTTCTTTTCCAAACTTTTCTGACTCACAATGTCTGCAGTATTTTCTTCAACTCCAACGTCTGCTTTACTTTTCAAACTCTCTTTAGATTTTTCTTTAACTTCCCTATGTTTCATTCCATCCTTCTTCTTTTCACTTTTCTTTTCCAAACTTTTCTGGCTCACAATGTCTGCAGTATTTTCTTCAACTCCAACGTCTGCTTTACTTTTTAAACTCTCTTTAGATTTCTTTAACTTCCCTATGTTTCATTCCATCCTCTCTTTTCACTTTTCTTTTCCAAACTTTTCTGGCTCACAATGTCTGCAGTATTTTCTTCAACTCCAACGTCTGCTTCACTTCTCAAACTCTCTTCAGATCTCTCTCATTTCTTATTTCATCTTTCACTTTTCTTTCCAAGCTTTCTGGCTCACAAGTCTGCAGTATTCTTCAACAACGTCTGCTTCATATTTCATTCAACTCCTCCCGTACTTCCATCAATAATTTCCCCATATTATTTTCTCCTACGATTTTTTGTCCATCTTTCTTGTCCACTCTTCCACTCCAGAAATCTGTTTTCCCCCTCATGGGTGTGTGCACCAACACGCGTCTGCCCGTTTTCAAAAGTAACTCCCTGAATGGCTCGGCTTTGAATTTCTTTCGCAAACCTTGAGAAAATAACATTTTTCGTTAACATACATGGTCGTCTGTTCATAGATCTGTTCACACGATCCAATTTAATCGGACTCAATTCACTTCTGAAGGATGTTTTATAGTTTGTTGACTCGTAATATATATGGGCAGCAAATCAACTAAAGGCAATGCAGTGCTGCTTTAATCAATAACAGACTATATTCCATACGTCAGAAGCGAATTGGATCCGACAAAACAGGATCGTATGAGAACAGACCTTAACATCATCATGTCAATCGCAGCCCGATTAAATCTTATTCTAAACTTTTACGTAGTTGCTATTTTTTGGTATATTTTGGCATGAAAGTTAATTTGAAATCCTATATTTACCTTCTTTCATTTTCTGTTTTGCCCACATTCGTTCCAGTCCACCAGTTCGCAACGTCAATGCATATTTCTTGGTACCATCCTTCCCACCTGCGGACTTGATAAATCGTCCTTTGGAGACACTTGGCTTCCAACTGCCAGACTCGTGACTTTGCTCGCCGAGATCTCCATGAATTTCAAATCTTGGATGATCTTTATCGATAAACTTCGTCGCGTGAAAATAATGTTCGACCGAGGCGAACACTCCTTCGGGCATTTCAATTTTCGCCTCGTAGAAATTCGATAATTGATTATAAGGAGCCTTTGATCGAGAATTGAAAGTGATAGGGCCATTTTGGTCGGCCATATTGGAAATAGGTCGAGCAACGCGGTGATCTTGAGAACGATGTATTTGAATGTTTATGAGATTTCTTTGAATACGAAGAAGAGCCCCGAGTTGATTAAATGTCATAAAGTGTCGCTATTGCACCACTTAATATAGTTCTAAATATTCAATAATAATACGTTTGAACCGCATTCTAATGCTTAGCAAGCATAATCGATTCGTTCGTGTAATTACAAAATGAATAATTTGCTTGAGACCTTTCAGAGTTCAAAGGCTAGGTCACGTGCATGCACACACGCTTACCGTCATGAGAGTGTTTGCTCCTTGCAACTTATAATACTAAACGGCGTGAAATGCGTACATATTGACATGATTTGGAGGATATCATTAGTTAACTACATCACTCGCATTGAAATTAACCCTATAAGCTTTGTCTGGTATAAAAGCACAAAGAAAATATAAATTTAAACTCATCCCCATAATAAACGTTTGTCCGACGAGATGGGATTGTTGCCAAAATCACATTGAATCATGATACTAAAGTGATGTATACAAAAACCCACAGATTGACTTTATTAGATATGACAATCATACAAACCTTAAGTTAAAAGTAGCTGTAAAGTCAAAAATCGTTTTAGACGCTCACTGCTGTGCTCAATATACGGCAAGCGGTGTCAGGTTTCCCCAGCATTTCGTGCCAAGAACGCTGTGAAGTCAAAAATCGACTGGTTTCGTTCTCAACTCAGGTTTCTCGAACATTTAATAATAAGAAGAACGCTTTCGCGGAAATGCAATTTATATGAATGTGTCACGAGTGTAGACATTTCGGCACGAAGCCGAAGGGAAGTTAGTTCAAGTTACAGTCAACAGACTGCAAAGAAATTTGTACATTTTCAAAAGGTAAACATAACTTTGTTCACAAAATTTTAATGGTCATAGATACTGTTGAAAGGTTTTAACCAGAGCTAGATCAAAAATCAAAATTGAAAGTGTAAAATACTTATCATATCTGCAAGATCGCTGCGGAAAATCGATTTCAAAATAAAATACGTCTTACAAGACTTCGAATGAATCGCTGCTGTTAGACTAAAGGCCGACATAGACCGGACGCGATGCGGCAACGCGACGCGACAGCAGTCAAAATGTATTATTGTTATATAATATACAAGAATATTATAATAGATTAGAATTTATTTTATTTTGAAAAAGAAGAAACGTTAAAAATTCGCGCCGCGTTGCCAATTCGCGTCCTGTGTGTGTGGGCCTGTCTGTGTGGGCCCGCTAAAATGTTAAATATGACAATCTATGGCAATTTGAGCGAATATGTACAGTCAATCTTAGCTCAGACTCTTAGGACTCTCCCTAGTCGAAGACTCCTAGATTTGACTGTCTTAAGCAGTATCAAGTCGACATACACATTGCATCTTATCGATTGCAGATTCTTATTAAGAACAAAATACTTGCTACTATCATCTTGCAACTGAGGTGAAGAATGGCTGGAATCGATGAAATAACAGAAAAAGCATCAAGGCTTACTATTGGCAAAAAAACAGATGAAGACTTTTACGGTCTGAAAGGTCTTAGTCCAGCCACAATATTGTATCGTGTGTGTAGACCTGATCAGGATACTAATAAGGATATTCTTTGCAAAGCGCAGCCTGGTACAGATGATGCGAAACGAACAGTTAATCAGCACATCCACAGCGGCACCAAAAATGCTACACGATTTATATCCACAACTGCCTTTTATGATGTAGCCAAGGAGTGGGCATCTAAAACCAAGGAAGAACCAAAGAATGTCATACCAAGGCCAGGTGGACCATTATCTATCATCAAAATCGACCTTTCAAGGATGACCGGCATGAACGAATTAAATAATATGATTAATCTGACAAATGAAGAAGTGCGTGGTCATTTCGTCAGTGGAGCCACTCAGATTAACCGAGTGAAAAGCTCAAAGGAGGTCTTGTTCCAGTGGCGCATACCAAAGAAGAACAAGTCAGGAAAGGATGTGTTCGTGTTGTGCTAACTAATCCAATCTTAAAGTATAAAAAGAAAATAGTGGAAGCTTGCTTGCTGTTTTCATCACAAAGTATATGCAATAGCATTTTTTTTATAAATTAATTGAAGAGAATTTATAATTTAAACAATTTGTTAAACTGAAGAGAAATTTCACCCCAGTTTATATACCTGAGCCCTAGAAAGACTTCAATCAATGTTCAATTATAGAATACGTACATAGTAAATATTTAATCTCTTAATTGCTTATCCTTGGGTTAGTACATTGACACCTTGCGACCTAGATTTTCAATGAAGAGCTCAAAATTAACTAATTCACCTTAAATACTTTGAGATAAAAAAGATTGTTATTAGAATTATTCTCAATAACGAATAAAAATGAACAAGTGAAGTGTGGTTTCCTAAAACAGTGCACAACGCATGATTGCATCATCTGTATTATACGGCGTTTTATATTTCTTTTACCCCCATGCAGTTTGTTAACGATATGGTTACAATATGGTTAATTAATGGGAATTGGATCCGGGAAGATCTTTTGCGGTGTAAACACTATATAAATGTACAAAGTGGGAAGTCCAAAGAAAAAGTACGATTTTGAAAGGTAATAATGACATACCATTGCACCGAAAAAGGTTCTATACTGTCACTATCTATAAAGTATGTGCATGCAATTGCTATGCATGAGTCGTAGAACTTGCCCTTAAAGTGGATGTATTTAATCATAAAAAGGAACATGTTTAAACATGTTCTAAGTCAAATATGCATAGAATAATACGATCAACAAACACATAATAACATGCACTACGAAAGCAGAAAGACAATATATTAGCCATTTTTGTGTTTGAAAATAATAAGCATTTAACGAAATTGTTTCGAGCAGCGCGACTATGACTTTTCAAACGATTCCATATGAATGAAATATTTTGTTTTGGTTTAAGTGAATTTTGTCAACAATTCTAATTTAAGCTGCTTAATGCCCCCTGCTATGTATTGTTTGCATTATTAATCGTTCTGTTCAAAACAAGAGGGCTATAAAATTAGTGACGGATAACTGAAGCCGAACATTCAAGTATTTTGATAAAATTTCAGACAATTATGCTGTAATTTCTAGAAATTGGGTGACGAGGATTCGAGTCAAAGGTACATCATATGTTCATAATATAGATATCTTCCTATCATAAATATAATGTAAAATATTCGTCGTACAAATGTGCACGTATAAAACTGTACGTAATCAAGTTTAAATAGAAGTTCCTGAGCTGACTTGTCTGTGTTGTGGTTATAATTTCAAGAAGCTGCCACGCTTGTAATAAAAGACTGTGGTGTAGCTATACATATCCCTGCGTGCGATCGTAGCAGGCTCAGTTTTATATGCCGAACATCGATAAGTTTTAAAAAGGAATTAACTGTGGCTTGAAAACAGTAAAGAGCGAATATTTTTGACCAGGAAAGCATTTTCTTAAGACAATCAACATAAAGACCTTCGCCCCCTGCGAAGAAGGCATTCGATATGTAGTTCTATAGGCCTTTTGTGTAAATATATGCGCATATGCGTCGTTTTTACCTAGCTACATTTAGTTCACTTTTGTTATAGATCGTCAGCGGGTGTAAATCAAAAGTTTAACGAAGCTGGTAAACGGTAAATTTCTTCCATAAATTCCTAAATTTTCTTTCTTAGCAAAGGCATTTTTGGAATTTAAATTATTGTTGACAGATCTGTTTAAATACAGATGGCTTTCTCTCCAAGTAAAAGGTATATCATATACATGAAGTAAAAGTGGAACACCTCGCGAACGTCGACGAAAGTGAGAACTTCGACGTTTTGTCTAACCTTTTACCGCAAGTTTCAACATACATTCGTGTTTAAGGCGTAAACTCTTACAGGTGTATGAATTTTAGTACAGGTATACTGTATGTACTAAAATTCCCGAAACCCTTCCTCAGGGTTTTCATTTCTAAGGAAATTTCCTTAGAAAAATGCTCCACTATGGGGGAGGGGGTCATTATTAATTGCATAAATTATACATTCTTTTCAAAAGTTCTTTGTTTCTTTCTGCCCAGCAATCCCACCCCTGTGCGAGGAAAGCAATATATAAATAAATTATGGAAGCCCTGCCCTTCCTGACACTTGAAGAAGAAAACCGGTTTTCATTTCTCGAACAAAATATACGGAGCAGCGAAAATACGCTATATTTATGTTATGTTTCGTAATACCCAGGAAAATGTGTTTCAGTTGTGTGTATAAAACGGCAACTAGCACTAAAACCACAAACAACCGAAATAAAACGTTGTTTATTCACAAGGTAACCTTATTTGGTGCAATAATTATGAATTCCATGCAATTTTCTAGTGTTACCAAGACGACGTGTTAAAGCCGATGATTAAAAATTCAGAATAGCATTATCTTCTATGCCAAAAAGTGAATTTATAGTCGCTGAATAATAGGAACTGCATTCTCGTTCGATATATACTTCTTGGAAAACGACGTAAACAGACAAATCAAAAATGGCTCATTCTACTCATAAAAGGTATATGACCACATAATAGTTATCATGGTTGTGACTTACTTATACCGTTAAATTAAGTTAAATTGTTTTTTCTTAGGGAAGAAGTCATGGTCGGCTGGGAAAAGATGCGAGGCTATTGGATCTATTCAGCTTTTAAATTATCAGAAGATGCGGGCACAAATGTTAAAACGTATTTAAATCATTTCGTTGGGAACAATCCTAGATTTTCTTTCACTATAGCACAGCTTTACGACGAAATTTTCTATGCGTGTATAACAACAACCCAAAGTTCAGAAATTAAGCGAAAATTGGAAAGGAAGTTCAGAATAGAGTTACCAGACGCTCAAACGCAGGAATTGCTTGACGGAGGAGGTAGAGAAATAAAATCGTTTAGAAACGCCCATCAATTCAGACAACTTCGGGAAAAGACTTTGCCTGAACTCAACAAACCAATCATAAAGAATAAGCACGCTGTAGCGAAAAAACACTTTACAACAGTGAGAAATGAATTTAATCAAAGAAATCAACATGAAAGTGAAATCCTGGCATTTGACATCGAGGTATACGAACATGATCACTCAAAAATGCTCGAGATCGGTTATGTCATTGTTCGTTTCTCACCAACACGCTATCCCAATGAAGGCAATCTTCCTAGCATGAACGTAACGAGTCGAAAGCATCTAATAATTGAAGAAAATCTTCACTACAAGAATAAAGATAATGTTCCGGATAATAGATATGGATTTAAGTTTGGTGTTTCGGAAACTATGTCGATGGAAGCTGCTGTTCAAAGGTATATATAGAATAAACCGTGATATAGATACGTTCCAATATTACCAGGGTGCAGCGTGGCAGCGTCTTCAAACCACTTGTGGTATAAAAACTGCCAAAAATAGACAAAACACTTCTCGATGTTTCGACCTGAGGGCCTTCGTCAGGAGAGTTGACGAAGGCCCTCAGGTCGAAACGTCGAGAGGTGTTTTGTCTATTTTAGGCAGTTGTTATACCACATTTGACGCTAAACCGTGATATAGCATGTCGTTAATAGGATAATATCCCATTATTTCAGACAAAATATTTCTTGATTTGCTTTCTTATATTCCACAAGCAGACATCAATGAATTATAAATAAAAAAAACTCAATCATTGAATGAACAAAACCTTACGTTGGCAAGATAGTGTTATTATAGAAGTTTTTTGTTCTATAATATTTATTTTATTAAGTACTATCATCGTCATGTATTTATCCATATTTAAAGGTTTCGCGAAGATATAATCGGTTGTGATTACATTCTTGGTCATTCAGTGAAACACGACGATGCTTACCTCAAAGATATAGGCGTGGATTTGAGCGTTCTTGGTAAGGCAATGTTCGACACACAAGTCGTGGAGACCTACAAGGAAAGTTTGAAAGAAAGCAATAAGTATTTCATGCGCGGTTTGTCAAACCTGTTGAGAACGTACAATCTCGACTACGAGGACAGTCATCTCCATAATGCTGGTTGTGACGCCTTCTACACTATGATGGTGTTCTTACGGCAAATGGGCTACGATGCTAGCACAGTAAACGCCATCATCGCATCTTAAGATGGACACAAGGTTCATTCTTCTACGAATATCATTAATAGAAAAATTCAATAAACCTGTCTAATTCAAAGAAACTAGAATGTAGGGGAAGGGGACACTGCTTGACAAACTCTCTCGGATGTGAGAGTTGATGTGAGTGATGTGACTGTATAGGGTTGATTATAATAATTGCTCATATATTGACATACTATTTTACGTCTTTATATGCTTTATATATGTCGCGTGTATGCATCGTGGTTTTGATTAGTAGCATTTAGATCTGGGTCTTTCATTTCAGTATTTGTAATTAAACATACAAAATGCCAATTCAGTGTCAGGTATTTAATGCCAGCGGCGTAGGATAAACACCTTTATGCCTAAATGAACCAGAGAGTCCAATCAGGCTGTGTGTATTCAAATTATCTTTGTGCAAGTATACTATAGCATTAAAGGTTAAACCATTATACCAAAGACTGTTGGAACATGCTACAATTTTTTGGGAATTAACGACTTAATAGAAACCGGAAATGCTAACCGCAAACTTAAATCATATTTAAAAGCAAACCCTGCAGGTTTTCGAAAGTTCAGCACATATTAATGCTTCAATTCTCATGGACAAAATTGTCCGAACTTCATTCAGGTAAATTATAGTTGGCTGAAGGATACGATATGAGGTTTGCCGTTTAAATTGTCTAACAATAGGTTTTCAACCGCGGCAGGTGTTTCACAAAACTCGGTTTATGCAAATTATTTTAAAGAACAATATTATGTTTGCTGCTATGGCTGCAAATTGATAATAGAAAACGCATTTTAAGAATAAAATTTGCATAAAGCCGAGGCCTTGTTGATTCAGCTTGCCTGCACCGTCTATTTTTGTTGACTATAGCGCATTACATATAACATCCCCGCCTTCCCTCTTGTTCGGCACAAGAAAGTTTTTCCACAAAATATATCCAAGCAGCGGTAACGAAATATGCCTTTAAAATACAGTGACATAGAGTGGAACGGGCAACCGGTGGTTTGGTACATCGTGTGTCGTAATATCGACTTGGCCTCTGGAAAAGACTCGGAAACACCGTCCGTTCATGATGCTGATGAAGAGGTTCAGGAGATGTGCGATGATGTGAGTTTTAAACTGTATGAGTTTATATGAGAAAATGTTGGAATTCATTTTAAAAGGAAAAAGAGAACATACATATATTCTGCTCACAAACTTATACTAATCTAACGGTCTAACGGTGCATGAGTGACAGAATATGATATAGATGTTCATGTTTAGCAAATGATTTACTACTTTAGTTTAAAGATGAGGTCGCAAGAAGAATCAAAACGCGAATTGACGATATCCAGGCAGAGACCTTTGCTGTACAGGTTGTTCACTCTGGAATACACTTCTATATAAAGGTATATATAATGTCGAGGCTTCCCTTTTTCTAGCGCATGTTATTGAGTGAAATATGTACACAGTTGTATAATCTTGGCGAAGTTTGGTAAGCTAATGTGTCAAATGTACTCGCTAGCATACACCAGGAGGAGAAAATCGCTGTGAAAAATCGCTCGAACTAGCAAAGGTTTTAAGAAAGTCTAGGATACAAAAGTGATGAAAAGAAGGTTGATATAAATTTTAAAGTGGAGAGATGCATTGCCTCATATACATTTAAAAATCTCCTGCGATATTTTCTGTCGTTTATAGGCGAGCATTTCGAGTAAACAGTGCGTGCACTTAAGGATTCATCGTCCGTTCAGTTACAGAGGTGAAGAGTCGACGTTGGAGGCAGTACTTGCTAACCAAGGACCGCAAAAAGCATTAAATTACTTCTAAGGGTTTTGGTAAATGAAATACACACAACACAAGGTTATTAATAATACTAGCTGGTCTGGTTTATGTATACAATAGTATTTGTTTATATTAAATAACTTTGGCGATATAATTTTGAACACGGACGCAATTTCGCCAAATGATGCCTATGTAAATAGATTTTCACATTAGCGAGACAGTCTTATAGACTGTTGTTAAATAAATGTTGTTTCAATTAGCCAATAAAATCATAATTATATACAACACAAGTAATAAAAGCGTTCTTAATTGAAGAGTGGCTGGCATTTACCACTTGACTTTTTTCTGTCACATGAGTCAAAAGAAATTCTACAAACGATTTTTTGAAATTTGAATTTTAAAAGAACTCGATGTTTCCGTTGTCTGGTTGAGCACGCTCAAGAATGGCTTGTAAAGTTGGGACAGCCTTCAATTCATTTTTATGACTGAAAATTCGCAAATGAAGGCAATAATCCTGCCATACGTTAACCTGTTAAAGAAAACAAAGTTAAAATTAAACGACGAAATTATTTTCAAGCACATATGCATGAAGCTCGAGGATTTGACTGACATTTCGTCAAAGTTATCGTGAAGATATCAAGGTGGTTGATGTGTTTGAATCAAATTGCTATGCTGGTGCATGTGTCAGTCAATAATGACTGATATGAATGAAAAAAATTAAAGACAAATTTTCCTACTCTAGACTATTCTTTATCGGTGAAAATGACTTAATTGTTCTCGGCAATTACGCGTGAATGAAAACCAGTCCTAAATGATGATTTTATGTAATTACTCTTCATATAAATGAGGAACAGGTACTGCTATGAGAGTCGACAACACAAATGAAAGGAGAATATGATATTGCTTGTCGTTTGTCTTAAAGATAACTGTCTTAAAGTCAATGCATATAGGAGGCTTGCATAAGTCAACAGTAGAAAATAAACCATCTGACTCTTACAGAGCCATAGGGCTCTACCTTGATATAGTAAAATATTCCTTCAGCGCCGGCAACTCGGACCTTGTAAGAGAGAGCTTTGTACTTGATGAAGTCCATTCCACACATATACTCCACATGATTCCTTACCTAAGTTTCATAACAATGGTCAGCATTGATAAATTTAGCCTAGGATTAGCCATAAAAAAACTATAATACTATTCATAGATAAAGTACCATTCACAAAATATAATACCATTCATAGGATAAAGTACGATTCATATAATACTATTCGTAGAATATAATACCATTCATAGCATAACGATTTAGCAAAAAGAGTTTCTTACCTGGTCGCACAAACGTTGAATAAATTCATCTGCCTTTTTTGGTCTGTCTTCGTTATCCTCGTCATCCCACGCGGAGATGTTGTAGTTCAGAGAATTTCGGAACCTTTGCTCGCGCTGTGGCGAATTTCCAGGACTTTCAATTCCCGACCAGACGTCATCTTGTACGGCTGAATAAGTCTCCTTCGCTTTGGTATCGGTGACTAACTCAATATTATCAAAGTACCACGAAAGGTCAGCGTCACCAACCATAGGCGTTGTTTCAACATTTGGTACGCTCTCGTAAACATAGTTGTCAACAGTTTCTGCAACAATGGGACTTTCCTTCGTCCAACCATTATCACTCTTTTTCCATTTGGAAGGACTCAGGGATTTTGTCGGGGAGGAAGCAGGCGATTGGCCGATCATTCCTGGCGATTGGCTTCGAGTAGGACTTTTTGATAACGGAGACTTCGCATGTTTGGAATTCACACCAGGGGACTTACTCCGGGCATACGGGTCGACACCAGGTGATTTGCTTCGTTTTGGACCACCTCGAACAGGAGATTCACTTCTAGTCTGAGTATTAACAAGAGGTGACTTACTTCGTACGGGAGAAGAGAACCCCGGAGACTTGCTTTGGGCCTGAGGGCTCTGAATTCCAGGAGATTTGCTACGCAGAGGAGAAGGAAGCCTGGGAGATTTACTTCGAAGTGGTGAAGAGATTCCCGGAGATTTGCTTCGCACAGGAGAAGGAAGCCCGGGGGATACACTTTGTGTGCTCTGAACTCCAGGGGATTTACTTCGCATTGGGGATGAAACTCCTCCGGGAGATTTACTCCGGGTGGGATTGTACAACGTATTTGGACGCTGGTTGCTGGGGTTTGGGGATTTGCCTCGCGAAATATCTGATGCAGGACTTCGGGAGTTAAATTTCCTTACATTTTCTTGCACTGGACTTTCAGATTTTCCCTCGAACTTTCTCACATTCTCTTTTACGGGACTCTTGGTCTGATTTCGTTTCCTCTATTATGAAAAGGCAACACACAAATTACATGATTAGTTTGTCAGATTAGTCATCGTAAACCACACAATCACGGTGTCATTTTTTTTTTCACAAATGCGAGTATTTGGATGGGTCAATATATATTGAAAAGTTCCTCAGATTTTAGCTAACGTGCAGGTATTTCAGAATATTTGCATGCATTTGATTGCTTTAATATAAGTCTAAAGAATTGTACACAATTTATTAGGAGGTTGGGTGAAATTCAATTTACAACTTAAGTAAAGATTAGTTTAAACCACAAAACTAAAACTTATAGAATACATTAAAAAGTTTTCATGCTTTACGCTTTACAGTATACGTATTGATACGTAACAAAAGTTGGCAACAAATCAACTTTAAATAATCAACGAGTGCGAAATAACATTCTACCTGAAAATAAGACAATGACTTACCAGTTGAGCTATTTCTCTTTCTGACTCCATACGACCGACTTCTTTCATTTTAAAAGCAAAAAACAATTCTGCAACTGCTTTACTCGCTGTCCAACGCGTTGTTTTGGTTCTACTTCTTCGAGTTTGTGAGAGTATAAACAGTTTTACCATGAATAATATATTAATATTGAAGGATTATTTAGACACTTCTCCTCTGTTGTACATTGTAGTTTAGCTGCTTTAAAGGTATTGGAAGCCTATCTCAGGCATATGATGATAAAATGCTTCATACCAGACCGTAGACTGGAGTCATCAATGATAACGCTATCGATAAGGTTGCGATTTTGTGATGACTGACGAATTATTGAAATGCAGCAGTGTAGAGTTCATTAGCTTATGCTACCTGTTCTATCGAGTCAAAACACAATATTTACCTATCAGTGATTTTTACTAGCTACATTTAATTTAACTTATATCATGTTCACTATATATAATAATACCATATCCCTCTCTTATGGTTTAAAAGAACGAGGTAATCATTAATATCTTCGAATTAAACTGACCCTGCGCAAATTTTGCTACTCTAATATACATATAAAAAACTCAAATATTTCCTAAACAAATTGCATTTATAACTACAATTATCTCAATTTCCGACTAGTGATTCAGGTTCTACTCGAAGTCTTTCAATTGAAAGGCAAATGCCTTGACTGGCGTGGTCACAGTGGGTGTAAAAAAATTGAAAAATTGTAGCTTGAGGCAAAAACCATTTAAAGCCTAAACCACGCTAGTACGCGAGGGAAACGTATTCACACAATACTTCCTTTAGGTAACAGCTTTTCCTATTGGAACTCCGGATTTCCGAGCACGTGGGGACATTTCACTTTGTGTCTGTAACTAGAGCCCTACTGTGAACAATTAGAATGCCTCGATTACAACTGGCTACATGAATGAGAAGAAGAACGACAAGTCTGGGGTTCCTGTGGAGTTGTTTGTTCTAAACACTGATGTTAATTGTGTAAGGTCTGTTACCATTCCAGATAATATCTCAAACGCATGTATATAGCTAATGACTTTTGTGTCGGTGCAAAAAGGAAAGAGTGTGAGGGAATCGCATAGTTAATATATTCAAAAAGAACTATCTTAGAGTATGAGTGTTTTTATTTTTCTACTCATAGCATTTCCCCCATTTGTGTAAGGCATTTTCGTTTAAAAAGCCAGTTAGCCACGTGCTTGTGTATGGTTGGTTGAGTCAACAGTCAGTTGTTTACACTGCGATGTTTTCCCTTTTTTACATCCATCAAAAGCGAAAATTGATATAACTAGCTATACTAACTGTAGCCGGAGAACGCTAAATGACCCATCTTCAGGAAGATGTTTGATAACCTACTTTGTAGTTAGACTACAACAAAGAGTTTTTTAAAAATATTAGAGTGTTCCAGTCTGCCTCTTTTATGCGTACTTCTAGAAACAACCACGAACGCTTATTAATAGACAGTATTGGATTAAGTACTCCAAGTGCTTCTAATCCTTGTTAGAAATATAACGCTCTATAGTGCTAAGTGCTTCATGTGCGGTTATGAAGGATATAGATCTTTCATGATATGCTTATATAACTGAACTAAACTTAAAGAAATACCTTGGCAAGTCATAGTATGATTCTATATTCTGTCCATCTCAATTTTATCTGTCAGTGAGGAGGTTCTGCCAAAAACTTCCCAAAATACTTGCACGCACGTGTCCGTTGTTTACTATAGCGCATTAATTGGACTTGTATTTCCTGTCAATGGAGTGTTACTTTCGAGTTTCGCTACACGCTACACAGCGGAACACTGGCTCGATACACTAGCAGTGATCGAAGGAAAACCCGGTTGGAACATCCAACATGTGCAACTGCCATACACTTTATTCAACTAACTCGCCTATAATAGGCCACTGAAAAGTCTTGCCTGCACGCTAATACGCTGCCTGAGTAAGATTTAATGAACACTGTCAAGTACAGCTAAGTGTCGTCCATTGTATATCAATGGAAAAGGTGTATGTCTTGAGATGAACATGCACATACACATGACGCAATTTTTGCTTGTATTCGGAAAACTTAAGTGGTTAATAATATATAGTGTTTACAAGTCAGCTCAATCAAGGTCATCTACGAAATGCACGAGGACCAGCACAAAAACCCTTTCTCATATGTGGCCAAAATTCAAGCGTTTTACGTCAAGCCAACCACGAGGCAAGTGCTCTCGCGACATCCTCAAAATGTTAATTGCATGCACCTATAACGATATATATATATTATATTGTGTATATAACGTCTAGCCAATAGATAAAGTTATATTTAATGTCTGAAAAAAAGCTAACCGCAAATTCTACAGGAAATTAAGGCTAGTGCTATCATTGTATGGCTATTTCCTGCGAGCGCATGTCTTGATTCTACCTGGATAAGTCTGTAAAGTGTTTTTTTTTATGTTTTAAGGACACAATATGCTGCGCGTTCAAAAAAGCCGAAATTTTCTTCGCTGCACGCGATTTGCATATGATATGAAATTTGAAGGGGCTCTCTTTTTCCAGCAATCCATAAGTTGTAATGCAAAAAGGGTTGAATGGAATCCAGAACCATCTACGATGTTCTATGCATGGGTTAAGCATTGCACTGTAAGATATGAAAAGTTGTGTGCAAAATTATCAAATCGCAGTTTGTACAATAAACTTTATTTAGAAACGCTAACGATGACGTATAGTTACCAACAGAATATCCGAAAGCGTCTTACTTAGAACTAACTATGAAATACAGGTATACATTCTGACATTTCATATCATTAGTTCTCATATATAGGTTGCAACTATATAAATAAATTTAATATACACGTAATATCATAATGCTATTATACATATTAAATTACTTTTTTAAATGTACAATTAACGCGCCATAGTAACGGCAGTTTAAAGCTATTACCCTAATATACTTCCCTTCCGTAATAAATTACTTTCGAATAGAGAGACTCCCGCCACAGTTCATGTCAAATGAAGAAGCAGAGTTTAGAAGTTTTCTTTGAGATGAACAGAATCAGTATTTTACATCAATGAATATTATTATTATTGTTGTTAACGGAGCAACGTAATGGATTCGCGATGCCTGGTGAAGATTGAGGATTGATCGTGGGTCTGTAAGACGAACAATGAATGGCTGAGAGTGGACGAACACTCGGACAACTGGAGCAGCAATCGCTGGAGCACGTGCGAAATGCGTGCACGCGCTGCTGGCTTTGTGTAGTTTGAGGATAGGGGAGAGCGGGGTACGGGTAAGAGGAAGACATGAACGGATACAAGGTGGGCGCCCAGGTTGACCCGGAGTAAAAAGGTGGCAGAGGTAGATCTTCTCTGGGTGTTGGGATTCGATAGTTTCCAAACGCCCGGTAGAATATAGGAACAGAATTTTGGAGGATATTTTTGTTGAATTTACCGCATTTGAACTGTTCGAAGTAGTTGGGATGAATACGCCAAAATCGTCCTTTTCCTTCGGCTGCAATCTCGCCTTTCACAAAACACTCGTGTAAAGATAGATTATGACGCACCGTGTTTCTCCAGCCAGGCCTGTTCGACAAAATGCCGTAGAAATGTTTCTCCATGTAGGTGTAAATCCCCGCAAGCGTAAGCTTCGTCTCAGCCGATCTCAATATAGCTGTCGCAATCATTCCAATGTAAGATAAACTATTATTGTCTCTGCTGTCGCTGGCGTCCTCGTTAGCATCGGCAGGGTCTCGTCCGAGAGGAGGTTTTTCTGCACCCGACAACGCGTTGCCACACTTCTGCGAGAGCACTTTATCGTCGGCGTCGGTACGAAGGCGCTCGTAGGAATCTTGAAACGTCTTTAAGACATCTTGATTGTCCTTGAGGCTAGAGTATGTTGTTGGGTAACGCGGCACTCCATACGGCGAGAAACGTTGCGATGTTTGCCAGCACTTGCGTTTACCAAACGAATCCATTTCGTTTACGCTCTTGTAAGCTGCCTTTGACGTACTGGAATCGTACGTTTGTATAGATGAATACATAGCGATCTCGAGTGGAGATTACTTGACAGCGCTTTTTTGTCCTCTTTCAAAAGCTTCGGGTATATTTGCTATTAAAAAGAGTAAAACCAGTACGTTCAGTCAACAAACCTGCCGTGAAAAAAGCGTTCGACTCGCGGCACGGAACAAAACAAAAATGCCTTCTCATTAATAGGACAGTTTGGTTCCCTATAGAAATTTTGATATCATAAAAATTGATAGAAGCGATGTAGAATGAGGGCAAATGAAACGATAACAACATAATTACATCGAGTTAGTATACATTAAAAATAACAATCGAGTTAGTACCAAGCATTTCACAATCGATAGCGAAGCTTAAGTACAAGCAACGCATAAAGGAATGCTTGTTTTTGTTAGTCATAGAGTGTTAATTTTCGATTTGAGTTTTCAAAGTTTATAATTCGCAAAAGGATAAAACTAACAATCAACACAAGTACGTAAAGTCGAGTGTGATAATTATTCAGATAATGAATAACAAGGTTGGGCAGAGATTGTACAAGAGGAGATAACGGAATGTAAGCTGCTAAGCGATATCGTTCGCATGTCATTGAATATTTTTTATAGCTATCATCGATAGCTATATAGCTTTTACGCTTAGCTTTGGTTAATACAATTATGTTTGGTTAAATTGAAGGAAAGTTTGCTGTTGAAAATGCATTTATTTACCGGAAGACGATCATCGCGTCTTTGAAGGACCGCTCTCTTTGAAAAGAGTCCATTTTCCGGCCACACAACAACCCAAGTATTTTAATATTCGATATATTTCTTTATAGCAATATATAAGTGTCAAAATTCGTTTAAATACTGATCTAGGAGACCATTTCTTAAGCGTTTGTTCAATGATTTTTATGTATATCGAGTTTGGATTTTCACTGGAGGGCATGCAACGCCCAAGTTTGCCTCTCATGCGGGAGTCCCATTTTACAGATTGTCCCTAAAATGCTTAAACAACATTTATTCGACCCAGTCTCGGCAAGGTATTTGTTTATATCAACAACTGGGCATGGAATAGGAGCTCCCATCCACTCGCTGGTAAAGAAAACGGGTGCAATTTAATCGAGCAAATCGAACGGTTTATGCAAAAAGCTTGTACTTAATTCATTCTGCGAAATTATGTCAAACTACGAACGGTATATTTAATGCAATAATTGCAAACTTTAAGTACACCTCAACTATAAGTTCGAGCCGTTTTTGCCACAAGACGGGAATAAACAAATATCTCAAACGAAAAACGAGTGATCCATTGATAGAACATTAGGCCTCATCCTGTGCTATTGAAACGAAGCATACGAAACACAAGTACTTTAGTTTATATACCAGTACATTTGTACTAATGTTTACGTTTCAACCCTTACAAAATGATGCAATTAGAGGGAATAATCAAAGCTCGAATTCAATTAGTCTGAACCTGAGTTGCTATTTCATAGTGTTAAAAGACAGTGGGTACATTCAACTAATAGATATAAATGAAAAAAATAGTTTGTCGTTGTTTGCTAACTAACCTTACTTATAGTTAATTTCTTTGTTGTTCCTTCACGAATTTGTCTTCTTGTCGATTTTCCTGGCGTCTTTCTTTAAATGGCTTCAGGTTTACTTCGAGTGGACGTGCAAACGCGTGTTCCTCCTTCTAATTGTGTGATCAGATACGCTTAACCACGGCCTTTTAACTTCGCGAAGACAATACACTGCATAGCAATATACTTCCAGGTCTTTTAATTATTCAACGTTTTAACTAGCGACAGCGCGCGCAGCGGCGGGGGGTGCAGCGCTCCTCCCGCGCGACACATTTGAAAAACAATAATGTGCAGCCCTTAAGGAAAAATAAAACAAAGATATGGCGCAATGGCTAAGTTGACAATACCAGAAACGTATGACAGACAAATAGCAAGTTGTTTGCTCATAGCGTTCATAGTTAAACAACTATATTAGCATATATATATATGTGTGTGCTAACCAGTGAATTGTTTCAAAAGAATTTGTAATAAAATAGCATTGCATTGGAGTAACTCGACTTTCTTTCTTTTTGTTCATCTGAGATTGATTAATTACATCAACTTTGCAGCTCGACGTGCAATTGGTTAATACAACGGAAATTTAATACGATATAGAACAAAATCATTTCTGATATTTTTATGGCAAACCTCGCATTTAGAGACTATATATATAGGCTAAGTAAAGAATATGATGATTTAGGTTTTATAACCAATTTCTAAACGTATACTAAAATAACGAATGTATAATCTTAAAAAATATATATATTTATCCTGTACGACTAATTTGGAAGGAATTGGTCTTGACATCACACATAATGTAGCCAGGGAGAGTATATAGGTGTATAAAGAATTAAACTCCCTTATGCTACCTGCACAGTACAGGCGGGCTAAACCCGTTAAGGAAGCGACGACAATGCATTCAAAGGGCTTATAATACTATGTTCTATATTAGCTGTTTATAAACCAAATAACAAAGACCGCAAACCACAATGATATTGGACCAAAATCATTAAGAATACAGCTTTCTGCAAAAATATTTCCTCTATATATATGTGTGTGTGCATGATGGTCGTATTCTTGTAAAAATCAACGTAAATTTTCAATATATATGTATATAACTAACTCAGGTTCAACAAATATGTAGTATTATTAAACTGCACTTCATCACCGAATTGGCCATGCAAAAGTTTATATATACATAGTACACTATAGTATAAAAGTTGGCTGTAATATATAATGCGCATGCACGCACGGCCTCACTAATGAAAACTTACTTTAGCAAATTTAACAGAGAAAGTACGGCTCAAACTGCGCATCTTCTATACATGCTTCACCCGATATCCGTTCGTTTCGCACTCCAGTTTGTATGCAAGTGCTGTGCTGCACATGGTTTTCAGATACAAGACGGTAATAGAGTATAATTATTTTCCAATTACGCACGTGTTACATTCTTTAGCTAAAGATATATCATTATATATGCACACATACTGAGGTCAGTCAGTTTATATATCAGCATGAACATGCAGTTAATTAAGGATTTAAAAAGGTACATTTGAACGGCGAGTGTTGAATTGTTTGAAATAAACCCAGTTTATGGCATGGACAGAATCAAATACTGTAAGAGCGTCCTTAAGGATAATTATTATAGGAAATACCGTCAAGACGTCGATGCTCTATACTATGGTCTAAAACTTCTTGCAGTTGCATGATGAGCCAATTTTCTTGGATATTTCATAAAGCTCATGAAACGATTTGCCTATATCCTGTTATTGAAGTTTGTCTGATAAACAATCTTTTTCTTTTTCGCGGTACAAAAGATCATTTAGCCATATGTTTTATTTGTTATTCTGGAAAACAACTCATAAAAAAGACTCTTTGTGTCGAGCGGTAAAATAAGTACTATAATAAATAGGAAGTTTCCCAATAAGTATCAAAATGATCAACTGAAGATAGGTATAGAGCACCTTAACAACTTAATGTCGAGACAACATTGAAATATAGTGTTCCACCTCAGTTTATGCACAAAACAAAACCCAACAAATTAATTTCGCACATGCAATTAACCCCGAATTTATATGAATGAAATTGTGCATGGTGAAGATTGGCTTATAGTTTCTGGCATGAAAAGGACGGTTTGTTTGAAGAAATCAGGCTGATTTTACAAAATTTACGTTTACACATGACCAATCCTATCTCGTTTGGATCTGAATTGTCTGTGAAAACAAGGAAGAATGATTAATCTGATGTCTGGTAATGTGTCCCGATGGCATGAAGCCAGTCACTGATAATGCTACGTTCCGCCTTCCGTATTCAAAATGTTACAAAATTCTTTGTCTTTTTTTGAAACATTGTTAAGGCTATAAGTGAACGTTATATATACTGTCGTGAATATACATGCAAATTACTGAAAGGGAAAGAGCTAGGAAACTATATACACGATATCCTGAAAAGAAAATTAAGATATTTCAAACAGGAATATTCGCGGTACATGAATTGCTGGAGTATTTTGTGACCGATTTTATAGGCATGTTAGAAACAGTATGCTGTCAAACAGGATTCCAAGTTTCACAGTGTAGCTATATGGCATATATACTATATAGGTATAAAGCTTAAACCTCTCATCAATCACGTACTTTCTATGCATTTTACTAAATATAACCCACGCCCTAATTTCCCCAATTATCTACTTCTCTACACACGAGGAATACATCGGCAACGTGGTCATCGTGCACCCGGCATTTAATGTAACATGTAAAAACCATAACTTACACGGAGAATTAAGAAGCTGTTTAATTGTCGAAGCTGCATGGATAACGCGGTCTCTATCGCGGATAGTGTTTTTTAATTGCTTGAAAATTGCCCCGTTGTTCTGTATAAATTTAATTAAATCTTAGTATTCTTAAATTCGGGATCCTCTTTAACAACTGTTGGCTCAAAAGCGGCAACTTTCTGGCATTTACACAATTTTTACAACGGTTAAAAAATTTCATCGATAACGCGATATTCACGCAGTCTGTGTGCAACCGGCCCAGGCACTATTACTACCAAGCTGTATATATATATATATTTATACATGCATTGCTTGATAACCTCTGTACTGAAATCTATAAAAATCGTTGCTTCGACAATGTGTGAAATATATCAAGATGTTTACTTTGCCATGTGCGAAAACAGTTGCATACCCGTTTAACGACAAACATGAACCATATATCTCTATGAAGAATATAAATCCTATCAATGCAAATAACAATTTACTGGTACTAAATACCCTCGTGTCTTCTGATGTGGATGCAAATGTAAGTAGCTATGTCTTATGCTTTCAAAAAGATTATATAGTAAGAACAAATGGGCTAGACGTAGAATGTCTATAGTCTAGTCTAAACAAAGAATAAGTTGAAATCTGTATAATAACACTCTCAGAGATCAATTTCAATTTCGTCGATCCAATATATCCATGATCAACGAAGCAGGTCAATTCTACCAACACGCAAAGTATCAACGACAGCGATCAATCTACATACGGACATGTGAAACCATGCGGTTGCGACGACTATAGTCCTATAATAGTTCAAATCGCTCACGATCTCCTTCAGTTGAGGCCATTTGGTTGTAAAATAAACGACTCATATCATCTGCATATACAAGCCAGCCTTCATTGGCGAGGAAATATATTGTCATTCTTTTCAGTCCGCAACGCGACTTGTAACAACAGGCAAATGATCTGAAACTATACTGCATGGATCGTGCATCTGGTATACGTAAAATTGTGGTATATAAAAATACGAAAAATCAATCTCTTGTTTAGTTACAGAAAAAGTGTTACACCCTAGTGTTTCATCTGTTTCATCAAGAAAGTATTTTGAACTAGACTTTGCTCATTATTGTACCTCCTGCATGCACGCATGGCAATGATTACTTCATCTACGAAAACCGCGATGCTTTACGAGAATTTTTAGGTTTATTGCAAAACCATCTTTGCCAGGATTAATGCATGTAGTGGAAAGTCATGAAGGGCAATGTGTATTTCTCATGTGCTGAATTGAATGCGAATGTGTACCTCAACAAAGACTACCTTAGCATCAAATGTGGTATAACAACTGCCTAAAATAGACAAAACACTTCTCGACGTTTCGACCTGACGGCCTTCGTCAGAAGAGTTAGTAACTAACTCATTAACATTAGTTTCGGCACTTGAAAAGTTCGACGTCTGGAACGGACCTTATCCACGTGGGGGTTCATTTAAGTTTAGGTAAATTATATACGCCGTGTTTATCACAAGCCGCATGATAAAGATGACTTGATAATGATGAATAATATCAGATTCACGACCGCGTGAGTTAGAGTCTGCATTGCATGTGCAGGTTTTGGTCAAAAAATTTCAAAAACGACAAGGAAGGGCAGCAGACGCGCGAAAATGATTAGTAAAACTGTCAACATTATTATAGACAAACAAATTGTTAAAGTACAACAACACATTAACGACGCGACTTGTACTACTCCCAGCATGCCTTCAGGCACCCATCGCGATTGAAAACGGGTACCTTTTAACTCTAACCACATTCACACAAGTAACATTACCGCAACTTTTGCCAAATATTATCAAAGTCTTAAATCGACAGTTAGTCTTGCACGCGATATATTTATATACACATATAACATCAAGTAACCATTCACGAGAACCGGTGACCTTTTACAACGTTTAAACTAGATGTGCAAAGTTGTGAATTTGATTAGATATTTAGCGGATAAGTGTTAATTAATGCAGATAAACTATCAAAGGAGACATATATATATATATTTATTGATATGCATATTATTATCAGTAAACACTTTGAATTGTGGTGATAACGAACAGTAGGGATGTGTTTTGAACCACAGTTTTTTTGACAGCTTTTTTTTATTTGTATTAGTTACAATTTACCAATTTATTAAAAGAAGCATTCATATATAACCACAAATGTATATAATCTATTGGTTTATGAAACAATGCAAAGTAATTATTGTGTTTTTGTTAAGTTAAGATATAATTAAATATATAAACAGAAAATTAGATAGAATGAAATTGTGAAAAGTTTTAGCTTATTACTTAAACCCGATTAAATCTCATGCACTATATATGACCTCGAATGAACCCCAGTATAACCTTGATT